GGAAAAAGGGATAAGTACAAGGGTTTATAGTGGCCTGAATGAGCCCTAATAGGCTAGGTCTATAGTGTGTTGAGGCCTCAATCTAACACTCCCCCTCAAGCTAGAGCATATAGATTGTTGACACAAGAGGGAAAAACCCTAAAATCAATGTAGCCTCAAAGTAGAATACATGACTCCTATATAAGAGAGAGGAGAGAGGAGAGATGAGAGAGAAAGATAGATAAAGGGCCATAGTGGGCCGGGAGTTCAATACCACTATCAAACACTCCTCCTCAAGTTGGAGCATATAAGTCGAACATGTCCAACTTAATACACGTGGTGTCGTAGGAGATGTCGATCAGATTCTTCGTGAAGACATCTACAAACTAATGAAATGATGTCACATGAGAAGTAGAGATAAGTCTATATATAACCTTATCTCGAATGTAGTGATATTCGATCTCAATATGTTTTGTACATTTATGAAAAGTAAGATTACCGACAATGAAGATGACAACTTGATTGTCGCAATGTATGGACATTGGAAAGGAAGAAGTAATGCCAACATTATCGAGAAGTGATCATAGCCATACTAATTTTCATGTTGTCTTAGTCATGACTTGATACTCGGATTTCGTACTAGAGTAAGACACCACCCTCTATTTCTAGGACTACCATGTGACTAAGTTACTGTCGACATATGTGTAATAATCTGTAGTAGACTTTTGATCACCTTTGTTACCTGCATACTCGACGTTAGAGTAAGTTGTAATGCAGAGATGGTTGTGTCATCAATAGATGAGCCCTTTCCTTGGGGTTCACTTAATGTAAGCAAAGACTCATAGAGCTCCCTTCCAATGAACTCATTGAGGCTCCTACATGAACTGACTCAAAGCACTAACCGTATACACCATGTCAAGACGAGTGATAGTGAGATGTATCAATTTACCCAACAATCACTAGTATCGATTAACATCCTTGTGTAGTGGAGATAAAGTGTCTTAAAATTATAGGCGACTTTCATGGGCGAAGTCTCTGGCTTGCATCTAAAGAGGCCTATCTTTTGAAATATGTCGAGGGTATACTTCTACTGAGGGCGAGATTTCTGTCTTGAAGTATGTAGAGTTTCCAAGTCACTAATGTTGATGTGTTGTTACAAGTAGACTTTGGTAGCAGAGATGTCAGCCTCATCACTATTAGTCATAAGAATGTTGTCGACATAGACTGTAAAGATGATAAGACCACCTTTTATCTTCCTCGTGAGCATGGTAGGATCCGCAGTGTAAGAGGTGAGGCCAAAGGTGGTGAATAAATCACAACTTGCCGAACCAAGTACGTGGACTCTACTTGAGCTCATAGATGGTATGCCGCAAGAGACATAGCTTCAATGACTCTCTCTGAGCAACATACCTAGGAGGTTGCTGCATAAAGATCTGCTTCGCGAGATCATTATAGAGAAATATATTATAAACATCTAATTAATGAAGAGACCATGCCTGATTGATAGCGAGAGAGAGGAGCATGCGGATGATAGTAGAGAACGTCTTAGTGTAGTCAATCCTATATGTTGGCGTGAAGCCCCAAGCAACTAGACGAGTTTTGTGACAAGTGATGAAGACATCTGGATGATACTTGATAGTAAACATTCACTTGCACATCACAATATTGGCATCAGTCAGATGTGGAACCAAATGACAAGTCTCTTGAGCAACTAATGCAGCTACCTCTGAATCTATAGCTGCCTTCCACACAAGTATTTATGCAGTCTCAACATATGATTGTGGAAGCGACTCGGTAGTCATGGAGAGGGCAAAGACATGAAAGGAGGGAGAAAGACTATCATAGGAGACAAACTAGGAGGTGGGATGGTGGGTGCAAGCACGTATACCTTTCTAGAGGGCAATAGGGAGATGAAGGTCATCAGGTAGAGTAGCGACCGAAGATGCGGAGAAGATGATAAGAGAGGATGATGAGGAGACTGCATTTAGAGTAGGATGAGCCATGGAGACATGAGCCAAAGAGAGGTGGGTGTAGGTAACAACCCCAAAGAGAATGGGCAGGAGGAAAGAGAAGGAGGCGGGTCCACAAGAACCACTAAGGGAAAGAACTCAGGTGGAGGAGACATAGCAGCCCAAGGAAGAGGAGTCAAAATAAGAAAGAAGAAAGGAGACTCCTCATAGAAAGTGACATCAACCGAGGTCACATAGCGACAACTATTGAGGAAGTAGACTTGATAGCCATTTTGTGTGCGAGAATAGTCGACAAAGACCCCTTTAAGAGCACGAGGGCAAGTTTAGAAAGAGAAGGAGAAAAATCTTAGATGAAGGTAGTGCATCTAAAGACCCAAAAGGAAAGTGAAAAAAGATGAGAATTAAAGATTAAGCAATGGAGAGAAATGGCCCCCTCAAGAAGAGTAGAGGGAAGCTGATTCTAGAGGTAAATGACAGTCAGAAAGGCGTTAGCCTAGAGATAGTGAGAGACATTCATCTCAAGAAGAAGTATGTGAGTGATGTCAAGGAGTTGACAATGTTTGTGTTCGACAATATCATTCTAGTGCGAAGTGTGAGGACCTGTGGTCTAGTGGAGGATGCCACAATGATTGTAAAAGGTGCGGAGAGAGGCTTGGACAAACTTAAAAAGCATTATCAGTACTAAGAATCTTAGGTGTAGTGGTGTACTAGGTGATAACTTCAGGGATGAAGTGAGTAATTATAGTGACGACCTCAAAGCGGTTGTAGAGGAGGTAGATCTAATTCACATGAGTGTAGTCATCAATAAAAATGATGTAATAGCGATGGCCCAAGATGGAGGAAGTACGAAATAGACCTCATACATCGTAATAAAAAAAGGTCAAAAAGAGCGAAAGAGGGGATGCCATCATGACTAGGATAAGAAGCATAATGATTTTTGTCTAGTTGACGAGACTCATACACAAACTTAGAGAGAGAAAGTTACGATAATTTTTTTTTATAATTTAGAAAAATAAGGATGGCATAAACAACGATGTCACAAAAGAGAAGAAGTAGTCGTAGAAATAATAAAAAGGGTCTGAAGGCCAGATGAGAGTTTGTTAAAAATGAATTTATAGACACTTGCCCATTTTCATGACCCAAATTAATCCTCCATCTGATATGTAGATCCTAGAAAATATAGTGAAAAGTAAAGAATGTGACTATATAGAAGAGGGCACTGGTAATAGCACTGATGGAAAGAAGGTTAGTCGGAAAATTGAGAACATAGAGTACTTGGGTAAGGTGAAGGGAGGGAGAAGCTGAGGTGGCACCATGACCTTTGATTGAATAGGTCTGACCATTGGCAATGGTGACAGGGGGATGGGTTGGCGTAGGCTAATAAGAAGAGAGAATAGTGAGGATACCAGTCATATAGGTGGAGGCCCTCGAATTGATAATCTATAATGTTGAAGATGAAGCAAGAAGAGTATGTGTACTTGGCATGGAGGAGGTTGGAAGCAAGGCTAGACTAGCAGAGGTGGAAGTGCTGATACCATTGGGGCGGCAAAGGGTGTCATACTCCGTAGACATCAAGGTCACGTAGAAGGTAAGAGCTGAAACATAAGATGGAGTGAGGGATGCTAGAGTCAGAGAAGGTATCGTTAGTGACATGACTTAGTCGTTGTATAGTAAATCATGTAAATTTAAAATTTATAAAACTAAAAAAATATGAATTTTCAGATATTTAGAAGTATTTCTGAACAAATATACTAATTAAAATTCAATAAAACTTCTAAAAATAGTGATAATTTTCCAAGTTGATCATAGGGATGTAATATAATATCAAATAATTATTCAGAATTTTTCTCAAATAATACTATTTTCTATGATTTTTATACTAGGAAATGAAAATAAAATATATTTAAAATTCACAAAAAAAGGAAATAAGGGTGCGGACGTCAAGATGACGTCTACACCTAGCGAACACAAATCGGGTGGAAATAGAGTTCCACCTGGCAATTCTTACGTAAGCAATTACAAATAATTTAATTAATCAAATTAAGATATGTAAAAGTCAGAAGAATCATAATTGAATGAACTATATCTTGGTAAATTTAAATCACACAAATTATCACTAAATGAAGTGAAAATTAAGTTGAAAGCAGGAAAATAGAGTTCCGACGTTGCGGCGACGATGCGTCGGGAATGCATTGGAATCCTAAGTGTTCAAGAGGATAGCCGTGTAGTGTCCAAGGCCTCGAAGGCTCTCCTTAAACAAGGACGAAGTGGGCAATCTCTAGATCTCCTTGCGAAGTCTAGAGATCAATGAAATAAGTCGTCGAATCGTCTCTAGCGCCTGTCACCCGACGGAGAGGAGCTAGATGGAGGTGGGGCGCATGTGAGGGAGCTTCATCCTCAAGTCCTCGCAGCAAGAAGAGGCTCTTCATCGCATACAGTACGCTCTTAGGAAGTGACGACTTGTCTCCCAACGGATCATCCTCTTTGCGATGATGGCTTGTTCGTCGATCAATCGGAGATGCTTTACTCGATGGATTCATGATCTTTTTATCGTGAATAGTTCAATAAATTTCGTAATAATGCTCCACGAATCGCATTGACAAGATTTTTGCCGATGATTCAGCGATTCTGGCGGCTTAATCCTTCATCGGCGATCTACAGGAAAGTCGCAATAATCAGATAAAAAATATGAGTTTTGGTTTTGGGAGGATTCAAACCCACACCGGTTGCCCCCCCTACATAAGAGAGATTAAAATAAGTACTCTAATGCCTTTATCAAGTGACGTCATCATAGTATATCTCTATTATAAATAAGGGTTATTTTAAGTATTAAAATCTTCAAAGCCTGTTAGGGGAAGGTGTGACACAGGTTTAGTCCCACATTGCTTGTGTGCCAAAGTTTCGGGCGAATATATAGTAATATTACATTTGCAAGTAAATCCCTTTCTCCCGCGTGGACGACCACTTCTTGCCCCACAACCGGCTGGCCACCGGTGACGTGGAAGGGGAGTGGCACACATGTGCCCCTATTGGTCCTAACCGCTCGAGCCCCTACTCGCGGCTCCTCCTTGACTGCACTTCTGACCCACTTGTGTGCCCGGTTGGCCCCCATTTTGCTATATTTTTCTTCATTTATCTCAAAAGTAAGACTATAAAAATCATATAAAATCACATAATTATCTAAAAATTCATGTTAATCAACTAAAAACTATTTTTTCACAATTTAACATGATAATTATTACTAATTATTTACTAATTATTAACTCATGATAATGAAGACTTATCAACTAGCTATCCAAAAGTGGGTTTGCCGAACTGCTGTCTACTTAGTGGTTAGATGATTTTGTTTCTCATAGTAGGGACATGGAGAAAAAATATTGCACCTATATCCATGAGGAGTACCACCACTGTTAGGGCAAAAAAGATAGGTATCATCTCGAGTCCGTGGAGCAACAATAGCAAGAGACGAAGGAGTAGAGGTGGTGCCTAAAAAGGAAGAGGAGTCGTTGAGGGTACTGATAAGTCTTGGTTATCATGAGTTAATAATTAGTAAATAATATAGTTTTAGCCTTAACTCGTGATAAATAGACTTATATTTGTGTTAAAGTGTGAAAAGTGGTTTTCAGTTGATTAATGTGATTTTTTGGGTAATTATGTGATTTTATACGAATTTATATGATTTTTACAATCTTACTTTTGAGATAAATGAAGAAAAAGAAATAAAACTAAAATATTGCAAAATGGGGGGGACCCGCTGGCCAGCCGGGCCCGCAAGCGGGTCGGAAGCTCAGTCGGGGAATAGCCGCGAGTAGGGGCTCGAGCGGCTTGGACCGATAGGGGCACGTGTGTGCCCACTCCCCTTCCACGTCACCGGTGGCCAGCCGGCTGTGGGGCAAGGAGTGGTCGTACACGCGAGAGAAGGAACTTTATTGCTTAAAAATGTAACATTACTTTATATTCGCCTGAAAAATCGGCACACAACCGATGTGGGACTAAACCAGCGTCACACCTTCCTCAGAAGGGGCGGACAACTGGCGCGGGTTCGAATCCTCCCAGAGTCAAAATTCATATATTTTTATTTGATTATCGCGACTTTCCTGCAGATCGCCGGTGAAGGATTAAGCAACCAGAATCGCTGGATCATCGACGAAAATCTCGTCAACGTGATTCACGGAGCATTGCTACTAAAATTGCAGAACGATTCGCGATAAAAGGATCGCGAATCCATTGAGTAAATCATCTCCGATTGATCGACGAACAAGCCGTCATCGGGAAGAGGACGATCCGCCGGGAGACGAGTCGCCACCTCTTGAGAGCGTACCAGATGCGATGAAGAGCCTCCTCTTGCTGCGCGGACCTGAGGATGAAGCTCCCTGACACGCGCCCCACCTCCATCCAGCTCCTCTTCGTCAGGTGACAGCCGCCGGAGAGCCGCAAAGTCGCCGTTTTTCCGCTCTGCCGAGTGACAGCCGCCGGAGACGACTCGGCGACCCATTTCATTAATTTCTAGACTTCGCGAGAAGATCTAGAGATTGCCCACGTCGTCTTTGCCCAAGGAGAGCCTTCGAGGCTGTGGACACTACACGACGATCCTCCCGAACGCTCAGGATTCCGGTGCATCGCCGACGCATCGCCGTCGCGACGCCGGAACTCTATTTTCGTACTTTCAATTTAATTTACGCTTCATTTAGTGATACTTTGTGTGATTTTAATTTACCAAACTATACTTCGTTCTATTACGATTCTTCCGGCTTTTACAGATCTTAATTTGATTAATTAAATCGTCTGTAATCGCTTACGTAAGAATCGCCAGGCGGAACTCTGTTTCCGCCTGATTCGCGTTCGCCGGGCGCCGACGTCATCCTGACGTCCGCACCCTTATTTCCTTTTTTTTTCGTGAATTTTAAATATATTTCCTTTTCATTTTCTAGTATAAAATTCATAGAAAATCATATTCATTGAGAAAAAATCTGAATAATTACAAAATATTATATTACATCCCTGTGATCGACTTGGGAAATTACCACTATTTTTGGAAGTTTTATTGAATTATAATTGATATATTTATTTAGAAATACTTCTAAATATCCAAAAATTCGTATTTTCTAGTTTTATAAATTTTAGATTTGCGTGATTTAATATACAACGACTAAGTCACGTCAGGTACCAATAGTGACCCAAAGGGCTGCCAAGAAGATAGAGGCGAGATCAGGCACATGATCCCCAAAGAGAATAGACCCTCAAATCTGAGATGTGATGGACGGATGAAGTCCACTGAGATAAACCCCAGCATAAATTTTTGACGATCGCACTAGAGGGTCAGGAGGTTAGTAGTAGGGGGCTGATAGATATCAACTTCCTAGATGAGGGCCTAGAGGTGACGATAATGAGTCTGAAGAGAGAGATCGCCTTGTTTACAGAGAAGAGACTCGAAGATCTCCACAACGCGACTGATGTTTGTCCAATTGGCATAGTCTCCATAGTGAGTCACAGGAGACGAGGTGATGTGCACCAGTGGCTTGGTAATACTAGAATTGATACTCTGAAGCATCCACGTGATGATGACCGAATCAAGCTGTGACCATGTCACATACGAGGGGTCTTGAAGGCCAAGTGGGTCCTCTAAGAGGTGATGGAGGAGACTATGAGATCTAAAGAAGAGCTCGAAATTAGATGCCTGACGTGACTTAGTCGTTGTATATTAAATCACACAAATATAAAATTTATAAAACTAGAAAATACGACTTTTCAGATATTTAGAAGTATTTCTGAACAAATATATCAATTATAATTCAATTAAACTTCCAAAAATAGCGGTAATTTTCTATGTCGATCACAAGGATGTAATATAATATCTGGTAATTATTCAGAATTTTTCTCAATGAATACGATTTTCTATGAATTTTATACTAGGAAATAAAAAGGAAATATATTTAAAATTCACGAAAAAGGGAAATAAGGGCGCGTACGTTAGGATGACGTCAGCGCCCGGCGAACGCGAATCGGGCGAAAACAGAGTTCCGCCCGACGATTCTGACATAAGCGATTACAGACGATTTAATTAATCAAATTAAGATTTGTAAAAGCCAGAAGAATCGTAATAGAACAAAGTATATTTTGGTAAATTAAAATCACAAAGAAATATCACTAAATGAAGTGTAAAGTAAGTTTAAAACAGGAAAACAGAGTTCCGGCGTCGCGACGGCGATGCGTCGGCGATGCACCGGAATCCTGAGCATTCGGGAGGATCGTCATGCAGTGTCCACGGCCTCGAAGGCTCTCCTTGGGCAAAGACGACGTGGGCAATCTCTAGATCTCCTTTCGAAGTCTAGAGATCAATAGAATGAGTCGTCGACTCGTCTCCGGCGGCTGTCACCCGGCGGAGCGGAAAAACGGTGACTTTGCAGCTCTCCAGCGGCTGTCACCTGACGGAGAGGAGCTGGATGGAGGTGGGGCGCATGTCAGGGAGCTTCATCCTCAGGTCCACGCAGCAAGAGGAGGCTCTTCATCGCATCTGGTACGCTCTTAGGAGGTGGCGACTCGTCTCCCGGCAGATCGTCCTCTTCTCGACAACGACTTGTTTGTCGATCAATCAGAGATGATTTACTCGATGGATTCGCGATCGTTTTATCGCGAATCGTTCAACAACTTTAGTAGCAATGCTCCGCGAATCGCGTTGACGAGATTTTCGCCGATGATCCAGCGATTCTGGTTGCTTAATCCTTCACCGGCGATCTGCAAGAAAGTCGCGATAATCAGATAAAAATATATGAATTTTGACTCTGGGAGGATTCGAACCCGCGCCGGTTGTCTGCCCCTTCTGAGGAAGGTGTGACGCGGGTTTAGTCCCACATCGGTTGTGTGCCGATTTTTCAGGCGAATATAAAGTAAGGTTACATTTTTAAGCAACAAAGTTCCTTCTCTCGCGTGTACGACCACTCTTTGCCCCACAGCCGGCTGGCCACCGGTGACGTGGAAGGGGGAGTGGTGCACACGTGCCCCTATCGATCCAAGCCGCTCGAGCCCCTGCTCACGGCTACTCCCCGATTGAGCTTCCGACCCGCTTGCGGGCCCAGCTGGCCGGCGGGTCCACCCCATTTTGCAATATTTTAGTTTTATTTCTTTTTCTTCATTTATCTCAAAAGTAAGACTGTAAAAATCATATAAATTCGTATAAAATCACATAATTACCCAAAAAATCACATTAATCAACTGAAAACTACTTTTCACACTTTAACACAAATATAAGTCTATTTATCACGAGTTAAGGCTAAAACTATATTATTTACTAATTATTAACCCATGATAATGAAGACTTATCAATGCCCATAACGCATAATTGTGGTCGTTGAAGATATACGCTGGCCAAGTAAGTTACAGCGTGATGGAGTGGCAAGCTAGAGGAACTACTAGAGAAGGGAGAACACCAACCGAAAGAAGCTCAAAGCGCTCGAAGGAAGGTGACGGAGGGGGGTGAGATGAGCCCATGAGGCCAGTGGGTCTGGGTCAGAGGGGTAGGTGGTGGGGTGAGCAGGTCAAAGACCGACAAGCCAATTCAGAGGGCCCAACAAAGCTGGTTGGGGCTAAGTGGGCCACACTAGGCCTACGGGTCTGGCTAGGCTGGTCCCAAGTGGGCAAGCCTAGAAGAAAATTGCCAACTGGCTCGCTGGGAGATAGGCAAAACCCTAGCTACCATGGCTGGATGGAAAACAGCTCCCGCGACAATGATGGCAAGGGATGGGGTGCGACAACAAGGGAGTGACGTCAAGGGTGCAATGGCAAGGAGGGACCTCAATGGCAGCGGCAATGCCCTCGGCACCTTAGAGTGATTGCGCCTATGATGGCACAACAATGAGGGCACAATGGTGAGGATGGGCCTTGATGGTGATGGTGACAATTGAGATGTCGAAGAAGAGGAGGAGAGCAATGACACTACTAAAGGGCGATGGTGGTGAGGAGGGTGGTGCCAAAAGGAGAAGGAAAGCGACGGTAGAAATAACGATGCTAGAAGAGAAAAGAGCGGTGATAAGTCTTCATTATCATGAGATAATAATTAGTAAATAATATAGTTTTAGCCTTAACTCATGATAAATAGAATTATATTTGTGTTAAAGTGTGAAAAGTGGTTTTCAGTTGATTAACATAAATTTTTAGGTAATTATGTGATTTTATACGAATTTATATGATTTTTATAGTTTTATTTTTAAGATAAATGAAGAAAAATAAATAAAAATAAAAATATAGCAAAATGGGTAGGACCCATCAGCCAGCCGAGCCCACAAGTAGGTCGGAAGCTTAATCGGGGAAGAGCCATGAGCAAGGGCTCGAGCAGCTAGGACCGATAGGGGCACATGTGCGCCACTCCCCTTCCACATCACTAGTGGCCAGTCGTCTGTGGGACAAGGAGTGGCCATACACACAAGAGAAAATGACTTGTTTGCAAATGTAATATTACTACATATTTGCATGAAACTTCAGCGCACAAGTGATGTGAGACTAAACTTGCATCACACCTTCCTTTAAAAACCTTCAATGATTTTAATACCTACAATACCCCTTATTTATAATAGAGATATATCATGATGACGTCATTTGATAAGAGCATTAGAGTACTGATAAGTCTTCATTATCATGAGTTAATAATTAGTAAATAATATAGTTTTAGCCTTAAATCATGATAAATAGACTTATATTTATGTTAAAGTGTGAAAAATGGTTTTCAATTGATTAACGTGAATTTTTGGGTAATTATGTGATTTTATACGAATTTATATGATTTTTACAGTCTTACTTTTGAGATAAATGAAGAAAAGGAAATAAAAATAAAAATAAAACAAAATGGGAGGGACCTGCCGACCAGCCGGGCCTGCAAGCGGGTCGGAAGCACAGTCAGGGAGTAGTCAGGAGCAGGGGCTTGAGCGGTTTGGACCGATAGGGGCACGTGTGCGCCACCCCCCTTCCACGTCACCGGTGGCCAGCCGACTATAGGGCAAGGAGTGGTCGTACACACGCGAGAAAGGGACTTGATCGAAAATGTAATATTACTATATATTCACCAGACACTTTGCCGCACAAGTGATGTGGGGCTAAACCCGCGTCACACCTTCCCTAGAAAGGGCAGGCAATTGGCACGGGTTCGAATCCTCCTAGAGCCAAAATTCATATTTTTTATTTGATTATCACGACTTTCCTACAGATCGTCGGTGAAGGATTAAGCAACCAAAATCGCTGGATCATCGACAAAAATCTCGTCAACACGATTCACAGAGCATTGTTACTAAAATTGTTGAACAATTCGCGATAAAAGGATCGCAAATCCATCGAGTAAAGCATCTCCGATTGATCGACGAACAAGCCATCATCAAGAAGAGGACGATCCGCCAGGAGACGAGTCGCCACCTCCTAAGAGTGTATCGGATACGATGAAGAGTCTCATCTTGCTGCGCGGACCTGAGGATGAAGCTCCCTAACACGCACCCCACCTCCATCCAACTCCTCTCCGTCAGGTGATAGCCACCAAAGAGCCACAAAGTCGCCATCTTTCCGCTTTGTCGGGTGACAACCGCTAGAGACGATTCGACGACCTATTTCATTGATCTCTAGACTTCGCAAGGAGATCTAAAGATTGCCCATGTCATCTTTGTCCAAGGAGAGCCTTTGAGATTGTAGACACTACACGACGATCCTCCTGAACGCTCAGGATTCCAGTGCATCGTCAACACATCACCGCCACGACGCTGGAACTCTATTTTTTGACTTTCAACTTACTTTCCGCTTTATTTAGTGATAATTTGTGTGATTTAAATTTACCAAGATATACTTCATTCCATTACGATTCTTCCGGTTTTTACAGATCTTAATTTGATCAATTAAATCGTTTGTAATCGCTTACATAAGAATCACCGGGCGGAACTCTGTTTCCGCCCGATTCGCATTCGCCGGGCGCTAACGTCATCCTAACGTCCGCACCCTTATTTCTCTTTTTCGTGAATTTTAAATATATTTCTTTTTCATTTCTTAGTATAAAATTCATAGAAAATAGTATTCTTTAAGGAAAATTCAAAATAGTTACTAGATATTATATTACATCCTTGTGATTGACCTAGAAAATTATTGCTATTTTTGTATTTTTTATTGAATTATACTTGATATATTTGTTTAGAAATACTTCTAAATATTTAAAAATTCATATTTTCTAGTTTTATAAATTTTAAATTTACGTGATTTACTATATAACAACTAAGTCACGTCAAATTTTGACACCGTTGCCGAAGATGTATTGCATAATATTTAGTATTTTTCTATTTTTCTCTTAGAGTACACAAAAAAGTTTAACTCTTGCTTTATTTTCTTTTTGCCGATTTTTTTTTTTAAAAAAGGGAACGAAGAGAAGCAAGGCAAGGACTGGAACATACTAAAGGAGGGTAATAATTACTAAAGTTTTTCCTCAAATTTATTGATTTTTTATGCATGGTAGAAGATCTTTGCATCCAAGGCTAGAAAATCCTTTTATTATTTCATTCAAAACTAAAAATCCGAAAGAAAAATTAATTTTGATGGATCCTGAAGGAAGTATAAGTCAAGCTGTTAATCTCAAATATTAAAGTCCCATTAGCACCCACTGTTAAATTCAAAATAAATCTAAGAATTTTTCAAATACTCCTTAATTTTCATGGATTGACTTTAGAAGAACCTCATCAGCACTTAGAAAAATTTCATATGGTTTGTGATTTAGTTAATCTCTCTCAAGTTACACCAGAAATTATTAAGATGAAATTATTTCCTCATACACTTTGGGACAAAACTAGTCATTGGCTATCCACAGTAGATAGAGAATTAACTAGTTAGAAGACATAGAATATGCCTTTCTTCGAAAATTTTATCCCTTAGGAAAAACTCAAAATAGGAGAAAATATATATGGAGTTTTTCTTAAAAACTAGGAGAAACTTTGCATGAGACATGGAAAAATTTCAAATATTTACTTAGAATGTGTCCGCATCATACTATACCCAAGTGACAGCTCAATAAAATTTTTTATGATGAATTATTAGAACAACATAGAAATATGATTGATTCTATATGTGGAGGAATTTTTATGGAGAAAATCTTTGATGAGATTTACAGTCTTTATGAGAATTTAAGTGAAAATTCTAGAGATCAAGCCTCTTTTAAATTATATCAAAAAGATATAAAGAAAGGAATTTACGAATTACATCATGATGATGATTTTAAATTAAGAAATGAGGTTAATCAGATTAATCAAATATTAGAAAAACTTGATTACTTATTGAGAATATTATAAAGCCTCCTAACCTTCAATTGAATGCATATAGTGTTTATCCTATGTATGGTGAAAATGATCATTTCGAATTTCAATATCATCTTAGGCAAGAACAAGTGCATGTACCTCACAATTTTAGTAAAAATAGGGAATATTTTTCTAATTCTTATAATCCTAATTGGGGGAATAATTTTTCGTGGAGAAACCCAAATAATATTCAAAATCCAGAAGCACTTAGAACAAATTTAAAATTTGAATTTCGTCCAAAACAGGAACACAGATTTCAAAAAAATTAGTCCTCTCAAATCCAACATGATGCTATGGAAATGATGCAGCAAATGAGCCAAATGATGTAATAAACTATGAATCAAATGATGTTGCACCAAAAACAAATTATAGAGGCTTTTGAGAATAGGAGAGAAGAGGGACAGCCACCCAATCAGCCCATAGAAAATTCAGGAAGCTGTCCAACAATAGGATTTCAGCAAGGAGAGTCTAGCTGGATAAATTTAAAAAAAAATCCACAAAATGAAAATGTTAGGACAGTGAATACATTGAGTGAGAATATTTTATCTGATCATTATTTTCAATTATTGGAAGAAATCGATGAGCCATTAGAAGTAAATGAGAATATTAACATTGAAAATATAGTAGCAGAAAATTTGAATAAAATTATTTATTGCTCACAATTAATGAACGAATATAGTGAGGATGATGAAAAGAAAGAGCCCTTAGATGAAGAAACAACAGTTGATCATGGAAAAATCATCTAAATTTTAGTAGAAGGGAGTAAGGACAGAAATGAAGAAAAACATATTTCAAGTGAGGAAAAATCAATTGATTTGGGAGATGTAGGAGATGAAATTAATAAATCTAATCATAATTTTACAGCCATGGATGTCGATAGTAAGGATGATGATGTATATCATATACCAAAATTAGAAGATAGCTCTTGGGAAGATGAAGAATTTGATGAGTTGAGAAACAAAAAGGTAGAAAAAGAGTTGATTCAACTAATAGAGAGAAACAAAAATAATGAATATGAATATAGAGATAATTTTGTAGGAGAAAATTTGAATTTTACTGAATTCATTAAGTCTGAGATTAAAGAAGACAATCCTTCCATCCTTCAAAACCCATAGCTCATTAGAATTCTTTCTAAGCTTGAAATATTTCACTCCTCGCAAATTGAACAAATATGTATGGAAGATAAAATGGAGTAGAGGAAGATTATGCAGATAAAATAACACATTAAGAAATAGGTGAGTGGAAGAATTAGAGATATCAATTTAGATGAAAAAATTCTAGATTAGGTAAGAGCTAATTTGAAAATTATATGGCTTGATCACATTTTATGATCTATTAATAGAAAGTATTTCTTAATGAATGAGAGCCTTACAAAACAAGATAGAAATGAGGAAAGATTCTTTTCAAAATGGAAATATTATTTTTGGGAAAATTTTGTTAATTTTTATTTTGTTTTGGCTGAAAGTATGTCAAGGTATATATATGAAGTATATGAATTTATGCTAAATCTGAAAAAGAATATCATGAAACTTACTTGAGATACAAATATATTTTAATGGCCATAGATCATCTTATATGATCAAAGAGCTGTCCAGTTGAAGACATTAAATGCAGCGCTACATGGGAGGCAACCCATGGTTTTTATTTCATTTTGTTTGATTTTTTTTAAGCTCTATTTTTCTTAGAATTTTGCAATACTTGTTTCTGTATTTGTTTTTCTGAAAAAGTGTAGGAGGAGGAGTGTAAGATGAAGTGAAAAATTAAAAATGAGGTTGAGGTGATGTCTTTCTGAGCTTTATCATTTATGACAATATTTTTAATGCTTAACTTTGCATATATGCATGCTTCACTTGAAAATTATATTTTCTGTATATTTTGTTTCAATTTTCTGTGTGAGGACAATGTCATTTTTAAGTTGGGGGGTGAAGTATTAATTATTAATTTATACTGTAGGACGATTTAGAACGTGTTTGCATTTTATTTGTATTTTTTTCATGCTCACATAGAACAGCAACTAAAAAAATAAAAATAAAATAAAATTTAGAAAACTACAACATTTATTTTCTCATTTTCTATTAGGAACAACAGACTATCAAAAACAACAGACAAAAAATAGCCTGAAATTTGAAATTCTAGAGACCCTTTTCTCACATTTCAATCCTCTAGACATATATTACTGAAATTCGAAATTACAACTATAAAGAAGATAGTTTTGATTTATTTTTGACAAATTTATTGTTGCTAAAAATAGAACTGAAAATAGAAAACAGAACTATCAGAACTATCTAATTTATAAATTTCTTACATCATATTGCATGCACAAAAAATTAAATCAATTATATTGATTGATATCAAAAGATACTAGGAAGATTATTATTGAGTCAAAAGAATGATCTAGTAGCATGAAATGTTAGAATACTCCTTAGATACATGATAGATAACATGAATTTGATTTTACAAATTTTCACTTCATGATCTTGATGGATAGTATTTACTTGATGTAAAAATTTGATTGATCATTTGAGTTTAATGGAGATTTTGCACCCTGATCTATAGGACTTGTGAGGAGAAATCACTTATTTCGAAAAAAAAAAGAGAGAGCAATGTGAAAAATCTAGAAATGAAGAGTACACATGGAGGGTGTGAGACATCATTCTCATTGTCGAAAATCGTACATAGAAAAACACTTGCTACAAAATAAGTAGATAAAGTGAAAGCCTTGAAAAGGAAGAGTACATGGAGGGTGTGAGACATCATTTTCATTGTTGAAATTTTTCTACAAGAAAAACTACTTATTCACTATATATATATATATAAAAAAAAGAGAAGGAAGAAATATAGTGCAAACTTCAAAAATCAAGTCATGGAAAAAGAAAAATGTAGGATCAATATTATTCTTAGATGAGTATTGATAATTAAAACATCTTGTAAATATATCTATGAGTGAAGAAGTGATAAAGATGTGAATTGAAGAAGTGAAGTCTAGATTGTTATTCCAAGGAGTGCGTAAACATTTAAGTGCTTGACATCATTCTTAAATACTTGATATAAGAATCTAAAGTGTCTAAAGGTGCATCATTTCTAATTGTATTTTTATGTATTGAAATATGATGTTTGAGATTTATAAATTTTTATTTTCGTAATTCCATTGCGAAGGGACTAGCAATGATTTAAGTTGGAGGGTGAACAAGTACTTATGTCAATTTCTCTCATGCAGGCAGACAACTAGCGTGGGTTTGAATCCTCCTAGAGCCAAAACTCATATTTTTTATCTAATTATCGTAACTTTCCTGCAGATCACCAGTGAAGGATTAAGCTGCCAGAATCGCTGGATCATCGGCAAAAATTTCGTCAACACGATTTGCGAAGCATTGTTACTAAAATTGTTGAACGATTCACGATAAAAGGATTGTAAATCTATCGAGTAAATCATCTCCGATTGATCAACGAACAAGTCGTTGTCAGGAAGGGGATGATATGCTTCCCAGTTCTTCATCGCATTGTACCGGATGCGATGAAGAGCCTCCTCTTGCTCCGCGGACCTGAGGATGAGGCTCCCTAACATGCACCCCACCTCCATCTAGCTCCTCTTTGTCGGGTGACAGCCGCCGAAGAGCTGCAAAGTCGCCGAAAAACTCGCTCCGCCAGGTGACAGCCGCCAAAGACGATTCGACGACCCATTTCATTGATCTCTAGACTTTGTAAAGAGATCTAGAGATTGTTCACATCGTCTTTGTCTAAAGAGAGCCTTCGAGGCTGTGCACACTACACGACTATCCTCCCAAACGCTCAAGATTCTAGTGCATCGCCGACGCATTGCCGCTGCGACGTCGAAACTCTGTTTTCCTACTTTCAACTTAATTTCCACTTCATTTAGTGATAATTTTTGTGATTTAAATTTATCAAGATATACTTCATTCAATTACAATTCTTCTGACTTTTACAGATCTTAATTTGATCAATTAAATCGTTTGTAATCCCTTACGTAAGAATCATTGAACATAACTTAATTTCCACCCGATTCGCATTCGCCGAATGCTGACATCATCTTGACGTCCACACCCTTATTTTCCTTTTTTGTGAATTTTAAATATATCATTTTTATTTCATAGTGTAAAATTAATAGAAAATTGTATTCTTTGAGAAAAATTCTGAATAATTATCTGATATTATATTACATCCATGTGATCAACCTAGAAAATTATCACTATTGTTAGAAGTTTTATTAAATTATAATTGATATATTTATTCAGAAATACTTCTAAATATCTGAAAATTCATATTTTCTAGTTTTATAAATTTTAAATTTACATGATTTACTATATAATGACTAAGTCACGTCAGAAACATACCTTAAAGATCACCATAGAGGAAGGTGTTAGAAATATCTAACTAATGGAGATATCATGCTTGATTGACTACTAGAGAGAGAAGTACATGGATGGAGTTGAAACAAACCATGGGAGAGAAAGTTTCTATGTAATTGATGTCATAGACCTGAGTGAAGCTACGAGCAATGAGATGCATTATGTGATGAATAATAGAGTGATCAAGGTTATACTTGAGGGAGTACACTCATTTGCAAGTCACGATATTGGCGTCAGTTGGACAAGGAATGAGCTGCAAGGTATAGTGTTGAATCAAAAGTAGAGTATTTGACATCTATCGCCAACTTTCACTCAAGTACCTCGAGAGCCTCACAATATGTCTCAAGTATCAACTTAGATGAGTCAAAGAAAATGAAGGTCTGAAAGACAGGGTGAAGGTGATCTTAAGAAATAAAATGAGAGACAGGACGTTGAGTGTAGGAGTGAATGACTTTTCGTAAGATAATAGGAAGTTGATGATCATCGAGTGAGAAGATAGAAGAGGTAGGTGAGAGGGTAATGAAGATAAATGAGAGTCATGGACCACCAAAACATTGGAGATGATAATGAAGGAAGAAAACTAGGAGGTGGTGAGTAGGACACTAGAGAAGGAGCAACAGAAGAGAATAGGGGACGTCCTCATGAAAATTAACATCTATAGATGTGAGATATTGATGAGTGTTAAGAAGATAGACTTGATATCCTTTCTAGGTGCGAGAGTAGCCAACAAAGACACTTTTTAAGATGCGAGGTGTTAGCTTAAAGAGAGAGGGAGTATGGTCATGCACAAATACAGTACAACCAAATATATAGGGAGGGAGAGGAAAGAGGTCCATTTGAGGAGAAAGTCAATGTAATAGAATCGTGTCACGAAGAGCAACTGAAGGTAGATGATTAACGAGGAAGATGGTAGTGAGGAGGGCATCTGACTAGAGATAGTGTAGAACATATATGGCTACAAGTGTGAGAGTAATGTCAAGAAGATGTCATTCAACAATGTTGTTTTGTTGAGATGTTTAGGAGCAAATAATTTGATGAATGATGCCATGGTCTTTGTAGAAGCTTTAAAGGATATTTTGGATAAACTTTAGGGTGTTATTTGTGTGGAGAATCTTAAAGGTAGTAGTGTGTTGTGTGATGATCTTTGTGATATATTAGCAGACTATGTTGCAAACTTGAGAGTAATTTTTGAGAAAATATACCAATGTAATGCATGTATAATCATCAACAAAGACAATGTAGTATCATAAGTATGTTAGAGAAACAACTTGAGATGGCTCCCACATGTTACAGTGAATGAAGTCGAATGGTTGAGAAGTGGGGATAAAATCTCAAGGTGGGTATGTAGAGCGGTGATGCTTACGTAGTTGACACGATTCACACATAAACTCAAAAAACATAAGCCATATAAGGGATTTTTGAAGTTTAAATAAACATGAATGTCGTAAACAATAATATTACAAAATAGATAAATTTTGTGTAGAAGAAACAAACAAAACTAGAAGTATCAAGGAATGAGAATCGAGAATGAGCTCATAGACGCCACTATTGTTCTCATGCCCAAATCAATCCTCCATCTAATACGTAGGTCCTAAAAGACACAATGATAAGGGAACAAGATGATGACACAGTGTAGTGCATGAGTGATGGCACTAATTGACAAAAGATTCTTAGAAAAATTGAGAACATAAAACATGTCTCGGAGTGGAGATTGACAGTGGAAGTGGTTGTGTCATGCCCTTTAATAAGGCAAGAACAACTGTCAACGATGAAGATAAAAGGAAGATAATTGATGAGTATAAGAGAATGAAAAAAAGAGGGTGACCACATCATATGGGTAGAGGCCCTTAAGTCGATAAGTCAAGAACTAGAGCATGTGTACTTGAAGTGAATATGTCATACGTGGAAGTAGAGGCAAAGCTGGTGGAAGAGCCATGAGAGAAAGCACGAGAGGTCTTTCATTTCAAATATTCTTCAAGAGTCATGATCATATGGACCATGGGAGCAGATGATTTAGGCAGAGGAGCCATAGAAGGTAGGCTACTAGCAATCGCAGCTTGATCCCATACCAACTTACCAAACTCTTAATATTTCTCAACTAGGTGATTTTGCCTACCACAATATAGGCACAGAGGGAAGAAATTCTTCTACTTAGTCAATTACTTTCCCTTCCCGATGGTCTTGTAGCTACGACCTCCACCAACACCTATAGCAGCAAGGGTAGACAAAGAGCAAGAAGCATGCTGGTGTGAATATGAAGAGCTGTTGAGAAGATATATGTCATAGGAGGAACCTAAGTGCTAGAGAGGACTTGGCCATGGATCTGATTAACAAGCTTTAGATGGAGACTGTTGAGAAAGGTCCCTACGTAGAGTTTGTCATGATACCGAGTGAGAGTGGACAGATCCACAATTAGTGGTTGATAGACAAAGAGCTTGGTGATGATATTCTATAATTTACTGAAGTACACATTAAGTGATTGATTGTCTTGCTTACAAATGAAGAGTGATTCATAGAGACAAATGGTGCATCTGATGTTGGTCTTATTCACATACATCGCCTCAAGAGTATGTCATAATAGGTGAGTTGGCTTTAGGCAACTAAGAAGCTAAATAATGGAAGGTTCAACACTTTAACAAAGCTAGGTGCTGACTGCGGAGTCAAGATGCCCCCATTGAAGATAATTCAGAGATGTGACATAAGGAGGAGGTGATGTAGAAGTCAATGAGCGTAAATGAAGTCTTCAAATGTAGACGTCCACAAGCCATAATTGGTACCATCAAAGACGTAGGCTGGACAACTCAATGCAACCATGATGGAATGTTGGTGAGGGAACGAGGCAAGAGGCGAGGTAGATGATATCGTCATTGAAGGCAAAGGCGAGTGCGGAAGGTATTGTCATAGACGTCTAGCCCTCCCCTATGCCAACCCATGATCTCTAGGGCCTCATGTGTGTCAGCCTATATGTGCATCTTTTGCCTCATGTGCCATTCACTCATGCCTCCTGTCATCTTGGTGGGTTCCATCTCTTCCTTTGATGATAGATACACTAGGGTCATCCTCCTAGGGGACGAGGGTTAGACACCTTGAGAAAAGCACCCAGAAGGCTGATGTCTCAATGTGGAGGGTGAGAGATGGCTGGTGAGACATGCCAGTGTAGAGGACAAGAGAGAGCTGGCATGTAGCACAAGGTGGGCTGCGAGAGAGAGCAGCATAGGACAGGCTGCATGCGAGAGAGAGCACGAGATATTGCATGGGCAATAGCGCATGTGAAGACACCACAAGAGGAATGGTGGCACAATTGGTATAGTGAGGGTGACGGATCAATCCCCTATTGATTTAATACCATGTGGAGAGAAAGGGCATCATCAACCCTTAGAATCAAGATATTGAAAGGGAAATGGTTTATAGTGACCCTAATGAGCCCTAATGGGCTAGGTCCATAGTGGGCTGAGGCCACAATCTAATAGTGACCATGGCGGATGAGTCAGGGACAATCATAGTGGAAGTAAGAGGAGCTTGGTCGGTGGACACACATACAGACCTTGAAAAAGTTGTTGCAAGAGACAATAGAATGTTGGCGACGAAGACTTGACCCCAAATTTGAGAATCTATGGAGTGATGAAGGCCAAAGAGATAAACAACCACTACCAACTCTTCACTATATCTAGTTTGTGTGGTTAGATCAGTGGTGAGAGGTTGATAGATCTTGAGTTCATCCATAAGCGAATTGAACTTCTCATTATAGTCTTGAATTGGAATCCCACCTTACTTAAGTTTAAATAGTTGTTCATAGATTTCCACTAAATGAGAGATGTTCTTCTGGTTTCAATACATATAATCCGAAGCTTCCGAAGCTCACTTGGCCGGGGTAGTAAGAGTAAGTGGACATGCAATAGAAGAGGTGATACTCTTGAGCATCCAAGAAACGACGGCCGAGTTAATCATACACCATACATCATATCTATTGCTTTTCTCTTTGAAAGGATCCTTAGTGAGAGATGACAACTTCTCATGCAACCTAAGGAAGTGCTTGAAGCTCGCCACCCAAGAGATATAATTTGTCTCATCAAATACTTTTGTAAGACTATTGAGTTGTGCTAGATAGGTATTCAAGATGGGTGGAAGGTGTCAAGGTAGTCGTAGGGACGAACGACTAACTAGGTGGCAAATTGTGACATCCCCAATTTAGGAGATGCCGACGTCAGCACTTGTATAGTGTGGGCCACACAGTGGTTGACGTGATGAGTTGGCGTGCTAACAGAGCTAGTGTGTGCGCTGCTGGTGGGCACACAGTGTGCGAAGTGTGTGTCGTTGGATGAGATAGGGGCCGACTAGGGAGGGCTCGGCAGGCCATACAAAGAGAGGGCCAGCAGGGAAGGGCTCGGCATGCCCTAGGATGAGAAGGGGCCGGCATGGAAGGGGTAAGAGGGAGGCAAGGAAAGGGTCGGGGTGCCCTAAGATGAGAGGGGGCCGATGTGGAAGGGGTAAGAGGGGCAACGGGGAGTAGGATGAGAGAGGGGGCAGGCGGCATGCCCTAGCTCTGATACCATGTGTGAGTAAAGAGAGAATAAGGAGAGAGAGTCATATACCCTATGTATATATAGGGAGAGAGGGAGATAGGGGGAGAGAGAGAGAGATAGCAGAATACTGCCCATTAGGCCCGTACAGCCTATACGGCCCACTCACAAACTTGAATAACAATAATCAAAATGTAGGGTTAAATAGTTTTACCTCCCAAGAAATCCATTGAATTAAGGCTAACCTTATTTGTTTTTCATTTGCCCCTAAAAGTTTACAAATTTTAATATGTAGTCTCCATTTCGATTCTATTACAAAATGTAATGAATACAACCATTATTAACGTTAGCTAATTTTTTTACCAATTTGTGAAAAATGACTTCTTATCCTCTATGTAAAATCATTTGTTTGAAAGTTAACATAAAATAATATGGCATAAAGTTTATGAAAGTAGTTAGTTTTTGTAGTATAATTTTTAATTTATAATTATATAAATTCTTAATTAGTTATAATTATCAATTAAGCTATTGTTACTTGTGTAGAATACTTAGTTGGATAAGAAATATACTAAGAAGGGTGATAAGTCTTCATTATCATGAGTTAATAATTAGTAAATAATATAGTTTTAGCCTTAACTCATGATAAATAGACTTATATTTGTGTTAAAGTGTGAAAAGTGATTTTTAGTTGATTAACGTGATTTTTTAGGTAATTATGTGATTTTATATGAATTTATATGATTTTTATAGTCTTATTTTTAAGATAAATGAAGAAAAAGAAATTAAAATAAGAATATAGTAAAATGGGGAGGACCCGTCAGCCAACTGGGCCCGCAAGCAAGTCGGAAGTGTAGTTGGGGAGGAGGCGCAAGCAGGGGCTTGAGCGCCTAAGACCGAAGGGGGCACGTGTGTGCCACTCCCCTTTCACGTCACCAATGGCCAGCCGGTTGTGGGACAAAGAGTGGTCGTACACGCGGAAGAAAAGGACTTACTTGCAAATACAGTATTACTATATATTCACCCGAAACTTCGGTGCACAAGCGATGAGACTAAACCCGCGTCACACCTTTCTCTAAAAGGTTTCGATGATTTTAATACCTACAATACCCCTTATTTATAACAGAGATATATAATGATGACGTCATTTGATAAGAGCATTAGAGTACTTATGTCAATCTCTCTCATGCAGGCGGGCAACTAACGTGGGTTTGAATCCTCCTAGAGCTAAAACTCATATTTTTTATCTAATTATCGCAACTTTCCTGCAGATCGTCGGTGAAGGATTAAGCTGCTAAAATTGCTGGATCATCGGAGAAAATCTTGTCAACGCGATTCGCGGAGTATTGTTACTAAAATTGTTAAACGATTCATGATAAAAGAATTGTAAATCCATCAAGTAAATCATCTCCGATTGATCAACGAACAAGGCATCGTTGAGAAGATGACGATTGATAAGTCTTCATTATCATGAGTTAATAATTAGTAAATAATATAGTTTTAGCCTTAACTCATGATAAATAGACTTATATTTGTGTTAAGCATGAAAAGTGGTTTTCAGTTAATTAACGTGAATTTTTGGGTAATTATGTGATTTTATATGATTTTTACAGTCTTAGTTTTGAGATAAATGAAGAACAAGAAATAAAAATAAAAATATTGCAAAATGGGGGGACCCGCCGGCCAGCCGGGCCCGCAAGCGGGTCGGAAGCGCAGTCGAGGAGTAGCCGCGAGCAGGGGCTCGAGCGGCTTGCTTGGATCGATAGGGGCACGTGTGCGCCACTCCCCTTCCACGTCACCGGTGGCCAGCCGGCTGTGGGGCAAGGAGTGGTCGTACACGCGAGAGGACTTTGCCCAGAAAGCTAACTTTACTATATATTCGCCCGAATAATCCGCGCACAACCGATGTGGGACTAAACCCGCGTCACACCTTGCTCAGGGGCGGGCGACTGCCGCGGGTTCGAATCCTCCCAAAGTCAAAATTCATATATTTTTAACTGATTATCGCGACTTTCCTGCAGATCGCCGGTGAAGGATTAAGCAACCGGAATCGCTGGATCATCGGCGAAAATCTCGTCAACGCGATTCGCGGAGCATTGCTACTAAAATTGCTGAATGATTCGCGATAAAAGGATCGCAATCCATCGAGTAAATTATCTCCGATTGATCGACGAACAAGCCATCGTCGGGAAGAGGACGATCCGCCGGGAGATGAGTCGCCACCTCCTGAGAGCGTACCAGATGCGATGAAGAGCCTCCCCTTGCTGCGCGGACCTGAGGATGAAGCTCCCTGACACGCGCCCCACCTCCATCCAGCTCCTCTCCGTCGGGTGACAGCCGCCGGAGAGCCGCAAAGTCGCTGTTTTTCCGCTCCGCCGGGTGACAGCCGCCGGAGACGACTCGACGACCCACTTCATTGATCTCTAGACTTCGCGAGAAGATCTAGAGATTGCCCACGTCGTCTTTGTCCAAGGAGAGCCTTCGAGGCCGTGGACACTGCACGACGATCCTCCCGAACGCTCAGGATTCCGGTGCATCGCCGACGCATCGCCGTCGCGACGCCGGAACTCTGGTTTCCTGCTTTCAATTTAATTTACACTTTATTTAGTGATACTTTGTGTGATTTTAATTTACCAAACTATACTTCGTTCAATTACGATTCTTCCGGCTTTTACAGATCTTAATTTGATTAATTAAATCGTCTGTAATCGCTTACGTAAGAATCGCCGGGCGGAACTCTGTTTCCGCCCGATTCGCGTTCGCTGGGCGCTGACGTCATCCTGTCGTCCGCACCCTTATTTCCTTTTTTTTCGTGAATTTTAAATATATTTCCTTTTCATTTCCTAGTATAAAATTCATAGAAAATCGTATTCATTGAGAAAAACTCTGAATAATTACAAAATATTATATTACATCCCTGTGATCGACCTGGGAAATTACCGCTATTTTTGGAACTTTTATTGAATTATAATTGATATATTTATTTATAAATACTTCTAAATATCTAGAAATTCGTATTTTCTAGTTTTATAAATTTTAGATTTGCGTGATTTAATATACAACGACTGAGTCACGTCAACGATCTATCAGGAGACGAGTCGTCACCTCTTGAGAGCGTACCGGATGTGATGAAGAGACTCCTTTTGTTGTGCGGACCTGAGGATGAAGCTCCCTAACACACGCCCCACTTTCATCCAACTCCTCTTCGTTGGGTGATAGCTGTCGGAGAGCCACAAAGTCGTCATCTTTCCACTCCATTAGGTGACAGCCGCCAGAGACGATTCGACGACTCATTTCATTGATCTGTAGACTTCGCAAGGAGATCTAGAGATTGCCCACGTCGTCCTTGTCTAATGAGAACCTTCAAGGCCGTGAATACTACACGACGATTCTCTCGAACACTCAGGATTCTAGTGCATCGTCGATGCATCACCGCCACGATGCCGGAACTCTATTTTCCTGCTTTCAACTTAATTTTCACTTCATTTAGTGATAATTTGTGTGATTTAAATTTACTAAGCTATACTTCATTCAATTACAATTCTTCCGACTGTTATAGATCTTAATTTGATCAATTAAATCATCTGTAATCGCTCATGTAAGAATTGTCGGGTCGAACTTTGTTTTTGCCTAATTCGCGTTCGTCGGGCGTTGACATCATTCTGACGTCCGTACCTTTATTTCCCTTTTTAGTGAATTTGAAATATATTTTATTTTCATTTCCTAGTGTAAAATTCATAGAAAATAGTATTCATTGAGGAAAATTCTGAATAATTATCTGATATTATATCATATCCTTGTGATCGACCTGGAAAATTACCATTATTTTTGAAATTTTTATTGAATTATAATTGATATATTTGTTCAGAAATACTTCTAAATATCTGAAAATTCATATTTTTTAACTTTATAAATTTTAAATTTGCATGATTTACTATACAACGACTAAATCACATCAATGAGAAAGTAAATTAGAATTAACTTTTAGCTATTTTTATCATTAACTTATAGTAAATTATGTTTATTTGTACTTTTGAGTTATTTTTATCTATATGAGTTGACCAACATTGATTTGGGTAAAGACAATTTTATGGTGGGTTAACACACTTTATAAATGGGTTGACACACTTACATTTTTGGTAAACTCAAATGATTATTTTTTAACAATATTCTTGGATTTTATAATGGTGTGGCTTTCCTGGCCTTCATCTACTTTTCAAGGATTTCAATACTTGATTTCACTAATCTTGTCTAAACAATATAGCCAATTTTAAGGATCAAAACATTTTTATTTGCATGATAGATTTACTCAAGGTTCATCTCCCTACACTAGATATTAAGACTCTACCTAGTATTTAAACCTAAATTACTAGCACTCATTTGTGAGTCTTTACTTGTGAGAGTGGTAATGAGGAATGTACAATACTTTCAAATAATTGAATGAAGCTTTCCTTGTTAAAATAAGACTTTGGCATTGAATAAGAAACTTTGAATGCAAAGCATTGTTTCTGATTCTTTCCTTTAGTATTTGGAGTTAAATAATGTTTGTGTTTTGATAGTTATTCCCTCACTTAAAAACTTGTCCCAGATAGTTTATTTATAGTGATGCACCTTGTTTTGAGCTCAATTCAAGTGGATGATATGATACAACCTAGTTTTATCCAGCTCAAATGAACCAAATGCTGAAGATACATGAAGAATACAAGATAGCTCAAATTTAGCTTGAGATGCCCATAAAGAGTTATGATGCATCTTAATTGTGTCTAAAATTATTTTTCTCATTTTTATTTTTATTTTCCTCATCTGATCATTTTGAATTTTTTTTGAAATTCAAATTTTTGAAGACCCAAATGATTTTCAACTTGTTTAAATGTTTGACTATTGACCTTCTAAATTTGACTATTGAAGTTGAAATAAGAAAGTTTTGGTAAGTTAAAACTTTCTAACACACTTTTTAAGTTGTATGATCAAACTAATTTGACCATACCATTGGATTTACTTTCTGACTTGTTAAGTATGTTCTTTTGTCCATCATTTTTATTTTATTTTATTTTAAGTTAATGAATTAACCTATTTTTGATGATGTGATTGGTAATCTAGTAAATTCACATATAATGTAAGATTGATTTCAAAATTGGAAACCAAGCTGGTTGATGAGAACCCAAAGAGAAACTGAATCAAGCCTTCAAATCAAATTGACAAATTATCAACATTTTAAATGTGGATATATTTTTTATCATGATTTTCATAATCAGCCCACATTATTATTGAAGCATGGTCTGGTAAGGCACGACTTGATTAAACCCATAGGCTTAGTCCAATAACATGCGATCACTAAGCCCTAAAGGCTTGATCTATTATGTGATGGGTTCAACCTAACATTCAAAACAAATATTCTAAGTTTGACAAGCACCGAATAATCAAAGCCCATGGTGCAAAGGACCCTTATTTTGCCTAAGCTGTTAAAGCCCAAAGTATGGCACAACCCACATCACAAACTAGAAGTTAAAGCCCAAAGTACATTATCCCCCTATCCTAAGTAGTTGATAAACAAGATGAACTAGCCCACTTAGCCCCAGGATATAAGAGGGCTTCTTGCCCAAAATTAAGACAGAAAAAATCAAATAGAGATTTGACGAGAGAGAGAGAGAGAGAGAGAGAGAGAGAGAGAGAGAGAGAGAGTATATATAACACAAATGATTCCTCATATCTTCCTCATTTATTTCCAACTCAAATCCAACAAGGTTCCAAATGGTCTTGAGCACTTGTTTTGTTAGGTCAATACATTCCACTCACCTTAATAAGCTAATATAGTTATTGTCATTGTCCAAGTTGATATCCCTTGAAGAAAGTAATATTTCTTTCTTGCTAATATTTTGTTATGTGCATCATATTATCATTTTTCTGAACACCACATGTGGTGTGCTATGTTACTTCCTAAAAACCACTTATGATGTGGTTTTTTGGATATGAATGGTTGCTAGAATCCTGATCTTTTAGTGGGATGATTTAGACTCATGAAATCTTTAGTGTAAGGGGTAGTAAATGGTGGAACCTAATGAATGATCCCTTAGGAGGTAGATGTACGCTTAGACAAGTTGAACCATCACAAAATTGGCTCATCCATTTAATCATCTCATCCCTTCAGCCTATTAGTCCATTAACTAACTAATCAACATAATATCCTGAAATAAAAATAAAAAATTGTTCATAATGAACTAAAGATATTAATTATAATAATAAATTAGACCCTTATTATCTACCCATAAAGAATGATGTCAATGGACCAATGTTGACATGTGTTCTTTTGACATCTCATGTTGTGCAATATTCATTAGTTCGAGAAGCAATCATTTTTCAAATGAGCATGTTGCTTATTTTTCCACATGTCACACTGGACCTTTACTTTAACTTCCATGTGCCATCTTGATTTGTAATTTTATTTTGATGATTGTGTCATATAATTGTCACGTGTAACTTTTACTTTGACTTCGAGTATCATGTGTTATCATCGACTTGATTATTCATTTTTGTCTAAGGATGTTTCTACACATTTTTTGAGTTAATGCACATAAAATTATAATTCCAGCTAGGTTGTAGAATATCAATATTTTTATATACTCTACTAATATTTTATTATTTGATCTTATATTAATCTAGCTTGTTGCAAGTATAATTCTTTTTCTCATATCTTCAAATTATGATTGAAAAATATGTTTCTACATCAACAAGATGATTTTTAGATCTTAATTACAAAGGTAATGTAATTTTTATTGTAATTATAATTACAATTAGCTTGTACAATATCAAAGGCATTATGTCAACAACTTGATCTTTTTTTTCTAAATCTATTTTAAAATAACCATGATTTTTTCATCAATTAATATCATTTCAAAAAATAAATTTCCATCTTATAAACAAAAAATATACTTTTTACAATTTTGGGCTTAATGAAAGACATTAAAGGAAATGGATACAATAATTTTTCAATACAAAGTGACCTAAAAGGCAAAATGGAATATTCTTGTTACTTTTTGTATTTATTAGTATAGTATGCAAGTTATAATTGTCTTGAACTTAATTAGTTGTCTTTAGTACAAATATATCATCAATTAAATTATGGTTACTTATTATTGTTCAGAATATCCCTAGAAATAACCTTGGATTTTCCACCAAGTAATATATATATAATGCCAAAAATAAAGTGAATTTTGTAAAAAAATATTATTTAAATCAAAATTATTTGTAGTAAATATAAATTTATTGTAAAAATTAAATATTGATAGTTGTTCGATTTGTGGTGAGCTGAAGGACAAAGTGGAAATGATAATTATTTATTCCACAATTTAAATAGTTTGCAAGGAGCTAAAGTCCAATGGGTCAAATGTATGTAGTTGGGCCCAAGAAGGCCTATAAAAAGGAGAAGAGTCATATTCAACAAATAAATAAATCATTAAAATTATATATTATCTAAAAATCTCATTACTGCTTAGCACTATGGGTTTTATCCCAAATAATAGAGAAGTATCAAAGGTGAAAAAGCTAATACATTATCTTAGGAGGAGTTAATGCAAAAAAAATAGAACATTGTGCCACATCCTAATTCCATTAAATGGGCTCCAAATAATGGAGAGGTAGTAAAAGGGTGTCATTAGAGTCTACTAGTTGTTGTGCCACGTGGATACTTTAGAATCTTCCATGTTGCTGCTTGCGCCCTCCCTCTCTCTCTCTCTCTTCTCTCTCTCTCTCTAGATCTCTTTAGTACTTCATAGCAGACAAATCACAAGGTTCCATCAAAATATGCATACAAAGAGGGTACCATGATCACTACATGTTGCTTTCTAAGTACTTTATTTTAAAAATGTTACCAATTAGACACTCCCTTCCTCTACAAACACACACACACACACATATATATATATATATATATTAATTTGCATATAATCACCAATAAAAATACGTAATTATTATATATTTATGTTGTTAGAAATAGTATATAGTATAACAGGGAGATCAATTGGTCAAATTGATCATTAAAGTGTATAATAAATCAAAATGATTAAAATAAATTAAAAATTATATACGTATTTATATGCATTTATTGAATTAAGAGGTACATGGATAAAAATGAACACGTGTCAATTAATGGAGAGAAAATCAGAGTGGGGCCCACAAGGAAACAGCCACAGTACCAATACCTCCCCGTATTCGGTGCGGCGTAGTGGCCACGTTTCTTCAGACCCTTGGTGAGAAACGCTATGGTATGTAGTATTTTAATTTAGCCCCCTATAATACAATGCAATACATAGAATGCCCATTTATTTTTAGATTTACCCCTTTGTTACGATCTGACATGACGTGGACCTGCTCGGTGGGCACCCTGAACTTGTCGAGAGGGGTTTGAAAGTAAATACCGAGAGTGAAGACCGGATTAGCAAGTGCTCGACATTGAAGTGCCATGTGAGGAAATAAAAATTACACGCGGGAAAAGTGTTTTTTCGCGCCCATTTATGGCGCAAACCGTTTCATCGCTCCCGCTTCTGCCGCCGGAAACACCGCAGATGTATAAGAGAGAGAGAAAGAGAGAGAGAGAGAGAGGTAAGTTAGTTAGTTATTTATAAAAGAATAATAGAACAAACCGAGGGAAAAAAGACGTACTCTCTCTCTCTCTCTAGGGTTTCAAACTGTCATCATCTCCCTCCATCTACCGGCCGCGGAAGGTCCCGCCGAATTTCCTCCTCCGCCTCCGGATCGCCGGATCTACCCGTTCTCTGCCGGCCGGTGGATTGGGTCGGCCGGAATCTTACCGAGGCAAGGGAAGGTCCTCCCCTTCCCCCTTCCAGTGTAGGGTGTCGCGGTGAAGAGCGAGGGGGTGGATCGTTGCGCTGGATGCTGGCGGAGGGCTCTCCATGCGCTCGGAACCGGAATCGCTCGCCCCGCCGCCGCGGGGCGAGGCGTGCTGCTCCTGCGGCTGTGTGCGGTGCGGCGCCACGGCGGGATGGCGTCGCTCTGTCAAGAGGAAGGTAGAGGAGATAGAGGGGAGCGATGCGCCCCCCAGACGGGGTGGGTGCTCGATCCATGTCGATGTGGCGGCTCGGGTGGACGTGGAGAACGAGGTGGCGGCCCTGCGGGATGCCGTGGCAAGGCACCAGAAGACGGTTGCCGATCTGTACGCGGAGCTGGAGCAGGAGAGGGCGGCGTCGGCTTCCGCGGCGACCGAGGCCATGTCGATGATCCTTCGGCTGCAGCGGGAGAAGGCTGACGTGCAGATGGAGGCACGCCAGTTCAAGCGGTTCGCAGAGGAGAAGATGGCTCACGACCAGCAGGAGCTGCTGTTTCTCGAGGATCTTATATACAAGCGCGAGCAGTCACTCCAGACCCTTTCTTGCGAGGTCCAGGCCTTCCGCCATCGCCTCCTCAGCCACGGCGTCGATCCCAACTCTGTCTCGCCTACCGGAGGGGAGGATGATAGCGAAAGAGACACTCAATATGATTATCCGACCTACCAATACCCATTATTGAGGTGCTGCGCGGATTCTCGACGGCTGAACCCAAACATCAACGATGCCGATCTTGACAAGTTTCCTCCGTCCGAGATTCCACGCCGCAGGGAGCATTTGCAGAATTTGGAGCGGAGAATCCTTCATCTCGAGCGGACCCCGAGCCAGGCCAGCCTGGTGAACGAGATGGAGAAAGGCATGGTGATGGGTTCCTCTTCTCCCAATTGTGGGGGGGCAAACCACGTCCGGGAATTCTCCTCTGATGCTATCAACTCGCTAGTGGCCAAGAATCCAAATGGAAAGCAACATGAGGAATTTCCGGTGGCATTCGACGGGTCCTCTGATTTAGGAGGGGATGAAGAGAGTAGCAGCGACAGGGTGTACACGATCGACGCCGTGCACAGTTCCACTCCAACGGTTAGGGTGTGCGAGGAACGTCTAGGAACGCCGAGGGACTTGTTATCCTTGGGTGACGCCATCAGCGGCAGAGAGGAGACAGACATACAGAAGCTCTACATGAGGCTGCAGGCACTGGAGGCTGATAGGGAATCGATGAGACATGCAATCATGTCGATGGGGACAGAGAAGGCACAGCTGGTGTTGCTTAAAGAGATTGCTCAGCAATTTTATAGGGAAGCTCCGCCTTCACCTCCACCTGCAAGAAAGCTTGTTAAGAAGCAATCTTTTCTTGGTCGCTTCTCATTCATGTCCGCCATTAAGGTAATTGGGAAACTTCACGACTCCCCTTCCAGACATTGTCTACCTAGTTATTAGGTTTAATGTGCAGGATTTGAACTTTTTTTTCCCCGAATGATAATAGATAGTTAAGCATCTCTTGATCTCATTATCCTATTACATGAAGTAACGCCTGGATGTACGTGTGTCCTCTATTAGACTCATGTGGCTGTTGTTTTCACCCTGTCAGACTATGGTTCTTGAACGAAGCGCTAATGGTTGTGTGGATTCTTGAGCAGTGAGACTATGCAGCATCATTTTCTTCGTTTGTGGCTGATCAGTTCCTGCGACTTCGTTTGCAATGAAAATTTAACTCATTCCTCGAGGCAATAAGACTCACTAAAATCATCAAAAGTCACATCTGAGTGGGATTGGGGAAGTGGGCATTGTCGGTTTTTTCGTTTTAGTCGGTTAATATATTTAATTTATAGATTGATGTTAAAAATGTGTCCTAACTAGCCTTCTTTGAGATAATGCAGGGTATTAGAATCTTGACTCATGTTAATGTAACCCATCAGCTGTCTACATTTAGAGTATTGACATGCTGGTTGTTTTATTTGCTGACTTTGCCGCCAGTCATTGCACTGGGAGGTGAATGTGTTGAAATGCTTTTTTCGAGTATAGAAACTTAATTATTTTGTACGTCTGTTCAATTGCTTAAAATTCATACATGAAATCTCAAGAAATTAAGGGGAGGCATTCTATAGCCTTTTCCCCCTCTTGTCATCAGTTTTAGTTTCTTTGGAATGTTAATCTCGACGCAATGATGCCTAGGGTTATTTGTTGGGACAAGAATTCCTTGGAGATATTTGCAGAGTGGTGGTGTTCATACACCCATTCAAACAGTGATTTGGGAGAAAAAAAATTAGTCTTTAAATGTCTAACAACGACAATTTTTTGGGTCGTTGGTTGAGACTGACTCTTTCCCATCATCTGCTGTGTTGCAGTGGGCCATCTCATTTGTGTTTTGGAGGAAGACTCCGAATCAGAAGGCTCCAAATCAGACGAGGTAAGGCCACCTGTGCTTCTTTTTTCTCCTGTTCTTATTATCATCATCATTATCGTCATTGTTGCATTGACCACCTGATGTTGGTGTTCTTTGGCATCTACAACTCCAGATATATGTTTGATGAGGGCAGGGTGGGCTTGCTTCTGCTTCTGGAGAATTCTCCACTGTGGCGACAACAATGGCAGCTGAGGATTCTCCCCAGGCTACGAGGCAAGACAGCCATTGGCTCCAGTCACTGCACAATACCTTTGAAGTCCCCCTCCTAAAATCTCTCTCACCCCCCTTGTAACTTTCTCTCTCTCACTGTCTCTCTATTCCTCCGGTTGTTCTTGCTGTTGATGGCTGTTGTTGTGTGAAGGTTGCATTCTTTTTGTGTAAATTGGGTTGTCTTCTGAGCAAGTCATGGATTGTGGTGGAACTGTTTTGTGCACCTGGGCTTCACCCGCCAAGGTATCAAACCCTCGTCTGTGATACGATGTTGCCTTGCCCATCTGTGCCTTCGGTCACTAAAGGAAAAGGACCTGCTTGTGCCCAGGCTGGGAGTGAAACTAGAGATTCTGGCTGAAGAACAGGTAACCCTTTGAGCAATGGAGGGAATTGAGAGCCTCCTCGCCATCTACAATCACTTTTACCCGGTCGTTTCTCTCTACAGGAAGCATTAATAAGACCTGATCACTTAGTAACTTGTAAGCCCTAATCTGATTGCTTTAAGTTCTGCATAATCATGCCAAGTGTGGCAGATGAATCGTCACCGAGTGTTAAACCCATTTCTTTAGTGAGCTTTTTTTTTTCCTTTTTCGTTTAGGGTTGGTCAACCTGTCTACCCACCGTGAAGGGTTAGACTGTGCCTCTGTTCGCTGGGTAAGATGAGGCGAGATCTGAGAGCCGAGCATCAGTGAAACAAACACATGCGATTTCTACGTGCAAGGAAAAAAAAAATGGTCCTTATCTTGCCCTATGTCACCGCGTGTTCTTACCTCGATGTCTCACATGCAGTGTGAGTCATCTGTGTCAGCTAGCTAGCATGCGCCAAAGCTTGTCTTCTCCAACTCACTTGGTGTTACCCAAAGCTTATAAGGTTGAAACATGTTAATACATTAGATCAAGGCCGACCTGATATATTGAAAGATCCTAATACACCTTGCATCGACAGCTTTTACACTCCGAAGTGCATTGTGGGTCGCATTATTATTTTTGTGCGAGAAATTTGTTTTCAACAAAAAGTAATATTGCTAGACTCCATATCAAATAGTAGCCTCTTTCTCATATACCAACTAATTTTATTCAGCTTTGTCAGAGTTTCATGATCTCATGTACATGTGGGTGCTTACCTTGCACCAATAATACATCAATAATAGATTACTTTAAAGCATTATCATACATCTAGTATGGCTTACCTTTTCTTCAAAGAGCTTGGCATCATCTCCATTATCATTGTAGTTTTCAATTAGTCAAAGGCATATCAACAGTGGTCTATAGGCAAAAAGTCCCTCATTGAGTACACGTTCTATATTTTGACTTTTGTTGAATGGATAATATGTTTTGCTAATGCAAGAATTTATTTGTCAAAATTAAAGATTCATAACAATTTAGCAAACTTAGTTGGTGCCTACCAATAAACGATGAAGTACAATGTGTCAACTTTCCTAACACAAGTGCAAATAATATGCTTGAAGGAACATTTATAATTATTTGAGGGTACCTTAATATCTCTTATACATTAAAAAACCAAGTTTATTTCATTCCAATGAGATTTGTCCACAATAATATCATATGTGGAGGATATCAATGCCATATACATAATACCATAAGATATCATTTAGAGTGCATATCGTACATCAAGCTTTGATTATCTCAAACACACAACCTTCGGTTCATTTCTTTCTCTACAGGTTTGACTTTGTTGTATTCCAAATGCAAGTTGGATAGGTAGAAAACATGGAGTCTCAAACACTTATCACCTTTCTGGTGAGCTCCATAATACACTTATCACCATGTTCTTCACTGAACCCTTCTACTCCCTCTTTTTGCTCCAGCAGACAATTAGTCTGATTGGCATTAACTTTTACACTGAGAACAAGCTACCACGATTTTGGATAGCTCATGTTTAGAAGACATTTTTTATTTAATGTTTCTTCTTTATTATTTCCAAGTGCCCAAGTCCTCACACTTTCACTAAAGGAACTGAAACCTCCTGCCTTGGGAGCTAGGGACATTCTTCTGAATAACTACTAGATCTATACCTATTCCACTGTCATATATAAGCAAAGAGCCAATGAGTTCATTCAATGGCATTTTGTTCAAGGATTTTGATTTATCTATAGTTGTTACATTCATGGCGAAGAGAAATAGAACACAATACCTTTGTAATAATTAATGAGGTTGTGTGATCCTTACCCATACTTTTGAAGTGAATAAACATTTTGGTGGACTTGTCATTATGAAAAATCGGTGCATGTGCACTAGTTAATCTATTTTTTATTTTTCAACATGGTATCTATCTCTATTCACAAGGTTGAGTTTATCCCATATTTTCTTTTGTAGTATCACAACTTTAGACACATAAACATACTAGAATCAACTGCACTAAATAAAATAGTGACAGTTTTTGCATTCAAGAGAATAAGAGTTTTTCTATTAGGTATTCCAAAAATGTCTTGAAACTTCATGATAACACTGAACAAAGTGGGTTATTAGTAGTAGAATGACCTACAAAGGAAACTCTTACAATATTAAACATGGGTTATATTCTTCAATAATTTATACTTAAACTGTAACATTTTGCCATATTTTAACTTTATCTTGTAGTGCCAACATTGATAACGCACCAGTCCCCTTCATATCACGTCAATCAATCAACTCTTATGTTGGCACACTTTCTACAATAAAGTGAAGATTATTTGTCCATAACAACTATTTACAATTGATGATTTTTTGCTCGACTTATCTCTTAGCTACATGCCTGCCCTACAATGGTCATCTGCATCCATTGCGGGCAGGCTGTGTTGGGTTGTACATCTACTCAGCAATGGCTCCTCAAATGTCGGTTGTGCCACACACTTCTGTCACCATTATAGCATCATGCTTCCTGCATACCACCATTTTAGGCAAGATGCTTGGAGCCCTTTCCACCAATAGGGTACTACATGTGTCTATTTATTGTAAAGTTCTTTAAGTTTCACAACAATCTCAAAAAGATAATCTACTCGACAATTAGAAACTCATGAACACAAGGTATCCAGTGGGGGTCTAACCACATCTCTCTCTCTCTCTCTCTCTCTCTCTCTCTCTCTCTCTGGTAACAACCGAGATTTATGCATAGGTCTCATGTTGAGTCTATCTTTGAGGTCATTTTCTGAGCTTGAATCCCGTAAGGGCTACTTAGGCTCGGGAAGGGCTGCCAAGGGAAGGCCTGTTGACACCACAATGCATATAGAATAGCCAAGCAATTGGAAAACTAGGGCTCATCCACTCTGTGATTGTAGGCGAAGAACCAAGCAAATGAGAGGACACATGCACACTAAGTAAGGAATAATACGCTGAATTAGGTTTCTATGATTGCACTTACAAGGAATGATGGATCAACTGGAGACTTGATCAGGGTGTTTCAGGTGTTATAATAAATCCGAACAAAAGAACGAGCATCATTATCCCCATCGCTAACAGCCAACACACAACATGACAGTGGTGACCTGCAGAGGTTTCTAAAACAAGATCAAGATTACCTGCCGGGGTCAACAACGAGAGATTGTTGACTCACCTGCTTATGGGGCGCCATACTGACAAATACCATGGCGAAATAATCTCATCTGATGATACCTGGATCATACCTGTAAGAGATCTGACGGTCTTGTGACAGTTGCACTAAATGCTTCCATTCATATCAGCTTTGGCCAGAAGATGAAGAGGTAGCCATATCCCCTTGGACGTCACGTTTTGGAGGCAAATAATTCGCAAGTGAGTAAGTCGTCCATGGAGGCTGATCCGCCAGAGCTTAGGACAGGAATAAGGTTAAATATGGGCTCCTCCTCCAGCATCTCACTATTTTTACTAGAAGCCCCCGTCAACTCAGAGAGAGCCTGAGAGAATATGAGCTCCAACTCTTCGGCATTTATGCAAAGTGCCGTTGAGAAGTAGAACCTTAGACTCTGCAAGGAGGGGGGGAGCTGTGATAAGCTAGGGTATCTAGTTCCTTGTTAATGAAGTGGAGGGAGCCATCAAAGGGTAGCATGAATGATTTCAACATCAGTTAAAAAAACTTACCATCAAATCTCCCCAGGAGAACTGGTTCTCCAGAAGGGTCCGGCTCAGAAGATAAAAGCAGAAACGTGATGTCCTTTCAATGCATTTCTTGGGGATAGAGAGCTGCGAGCTTTCTGGGGTTTCATCCAATCCTGAGCATATCTGCAGGACAAGATCCTTTGTGATAGAAATCGTCACTGCACATATCTTGCCTGATATAATCCATTTCTGGCAACATGAGTCGTGCCAACTTGAGTGCTCAAAATCCCAATTCTCTGGTATTCCGGTTGCAGATGCCTCTAGACCGCTATCTTGAATCATTGCTTCTCTATCTTCGGGAATATGAAGCACTGGCTTAACTTCAACGAGTGCTCTACAAAAACAAACGAATTGGTTTCAACATCATAGCAAAAAATGGATCTCTTATTCAAAGTAGGGGGAAAGTATCTCTCTCTCTCTCTCTCCCCTCCCACCCTCCTACAGACAGAATGGAAATAGATAGAGGTAGAGAGCGATGTAATTACTAGGTGATATGGTATCAGAATGAAAACAGATTAAATATGCTTAAATTTAAACTAGTTAAGATGAGCAGGAGTACCTCTTTGGCAGGTCAGGAGCGAGAACATAAAGAAATATGGGATCAAGCACGTCTGCGGAGCCCACATGAGGCAAAGAAAATGCTCTACGTTTCAGGAAAGTCTCCACCTTCAGCTGAATTTCATGCCTCTCAGATAAAGTGAGGCGTGCTGAACAGTAAATGATGAGAAGAATTGCAGAGGAAGTGATAGAGCCATTGAAGCAATTAGCCACTGCCTCACAGTTTTCCAAGGCCTGTTCCATTTCAGCAGTTGGGCCCCCAGGGCATAGTGTCATAGTGGGAGGGTCCAACCCTAATTGCCCAGCCATGTAAAGTATTTCTCTATGCAATGTTGCCTAAGAAGGGAAGATCGAAAACATCAGGACTCACTCAAGATGCGTATTGTGCATATAGTATGGGTGATCAATTAGAGTAATTATTGGAGGAAGAGTTTCTATAACATTTCATACGTTCTTCGTACATAGGACGGAACAAAGTGGTGCACTACCTCAAGGGAATTTGTTGGCGAGTGAACATGATTGCCAAGGACTTTCATGTATGGTAATTTACTTTAGTTGCTTTGGAGACGACTATTCATAGTTGACACTCAAAGATTTGACAGGCATAACATACAGAAATTTCGCTCCATTATATTCTAAGATTGCCATCTGCTTCAAGAAACTTCTCTATGTCCGTTCTCCCAACGTTAACCACAAACAACCCGAGAAATACTCAATTTCTGTTCAAGTTTCCAAGAATCTTGACCAATCAGCCATTGATACTCAAGATTTATTCCGCTCACTTATGCCGGTCATGACCCATTCTATTCGTCATCTCAATTTTCTTAGCGTTGAACTACGATTTTTCTTTGACAAGGTATTCTGGGGCGTGTGGGCATGGTGTGTCTAGATTATCTTGTAAGAGTTATCCATGCCAGCATGATGTATCACAGCTGCAAATAGGCAACCCTTGAACAAGAGAAATATAGGTGCCTGTAGATAGAGATAAAGAGATACGTGCACACCAGTTTGTAACAGCTAATAATTATCACACACAAACATCCATAGAAATGCTTGTAAGGAGAATTAAAAAGAGAAAGGTGTTTTCCAAGCATGATAGCTAAAATTAATTACATGATTTCATCAATGAAGCGAAAAATTGATAGCTTCCTGGAAGACACAATATGGCCAAGATTATTTGAAAGACCTTTACAAAGAACTAAGAGAAATACCAAATTTACCTGGCTATATGGCCCAATGCAACTGGGCGCCCAACATGAAATACTTTGGACATGCAAGACTCTTTTGCTCTGGTCGCCCGTCACTAAGATCTCCACAGATGCATTGCCACGACCAACTTGGGCTAAAGGTAATTGGATTGTACTACGAGAAGGAACACCCATGTGGCACTTCTTTTCCGTTATAAACTTAAGGTACACTTCATTTGCAAGGGGAAATTCATTCATATCAGAAATATACAGGTGAATGTACAAAACATGTGCCCAACCAAAGTCATTTTTACTGAGCTCTAGCTCCAGTTTTCCCAGAATGGAAGTCAAATCATCCTGCAGACCTGCCCAATTCAGATGGTGAGGATATAAATTATGGAGACTCTAGAACAATGCTTCATAGCATAAAATCTGTTATAGAAAGCCTTCGTTTAATAAGTTCAAACTGACATCTTGATTATTTCGATAATGTTCACCTTCTGGAGTTTGAGAAGAATTCTGAACCCAAGAAGCCATGGAAAAAGTGCACCCTTTGGTTCTTGACATGTACACACTCTTTTTCTTAGCATCAAGGGAATCAGACGCTGAATTGACAGGCGGGCATCTAACCATTTCAGATAAATAATCTCCTTTCACTTCATGCACATTACAAATTTTGTTCAACCCGACTTCATTCCTTCCACTTTCACCACTGAATGATAATAAACTTCCATTTTTGCACTCCAGGTGGAAGGCCACAGGATGAAGGATTCCAACTGAAGCAATGGAATCCTCTGAGTGAAGTATAACTTTGAAGTCATCAAGGATGATTCGAGCATTCTGAGAAATCACATGTTAGATTGATGATGGAGAAGGATAAAGCAGTCTTTGTGATACCAATGTTTTAACCACATCCACTCAATTATATTTAATTTTTTTATAAAACAACATGAAAATCAGAGCATTAACGAGACTTAATCTGGAAAACAGTTAATAATAAGCCACGCCCAAGCAAAATCGATCTTGCTCACAGAAGCAAGGACTCATGAGATGATCAGTGGTTGAGGTAAATCAGAGGCATAGAAACATGCTCGGTCCCCTTTCAAAAAATATTCAAGCGCTATGCCATAGATATGATTTAAGTTTATTCATGATATGATGCATAACCAACCCAAAGCCAAATATTTGGGGATGCGACTTCAGCAATGAGAAAGTCCGGCGATCTTATTTAACAATGATATGATAGTAACATACGAGCTGTGTCATGAGTATTTAGACATGAATAACCCACATACAGCTCTCTTTGATGAAGATTATTTCAATTTCAGAAACTAGACTACATGAATAGGACTGAGGCATCATGAAAATCAGATGGCTAACGTATGAAAATGACTTACCTTGAACAATGGGCAGTCTAGAGTCAAAGTTTCATATTCTCCTCCTTCACCACAAACATTTATTCCATACATTCTACCATGAAAGAAAAGCAATTGTCAATACAATACTTGCAAAAAATAATCAAAGAACCATTCTGAGACTACCTTATTGATTAAATTCTACATGAAAGCTAAACGGGAATCATATTGTATCCTGACATACTCTTTCAAATTAAGAAGATGAGCCTGCAGTTCCAGAATATCCCTGCCAAGGTGTTTTGAAGGCTTCAATCCTATGGCAGCAACCTAAAGATTTGCAAAGAAAGGAGAACGTCTCACATGAAGGAAAAAAACAAAGCTGCATTGACAGGACACGAGGCATGAAAAAGGTTGAAATGAACAAAACAATAAATAATACATGAAAAATTCATTTCCAATGGTCACTTTCTCAATAAAACATCGTAACAAAACTCATCCAACACTATTGTCCTTTGGCTTACAAAACATTGGGCATTGAGATACACAAAGTTTTGAAGATCTTCCCACACAATGATTAAACCATATTTGCCTCCCCAACCAACAACGTCATGGCCCCCACTGTCAAATGGGAAGAGAGATCTGACCTCAAACCTTCCTTGTTCCATAGACAGATACATATCACCCATAGCAATCTGAATATTTTCCAGGTTCAAGTCCTTAACACAAGAAATGTGTCCCTACCAATGTGTACTTTGTAAATTGAAAAAAGGAAACCATTCATTTGTCCCTACCAATAGTTAAACATGGGCATTTGAACCTAGTGAAAATGTCCATATAGGAAACCCACCACAGGTACTCCTAAAAATTAACTACAACTAATCTCACTTGACCGATAATTACTAAGGGTGAATTATTGATCATCTTGGTTGACATCTGCCACAATTTAAATATGAAAGCAAAAAAAAACTATTAAACTAGGAAACCTAATGGTCCATTCGGAAATTTGACAAGTGAGAAAACGTGAATGAAATAACACTAATTTAAATTGGACTTCTTTAAATTTAAATGCATGAACATTGTATGGTAAATTGCAACAGGTTATTCTGTGATGATAAAATACTTCATAATGAAAATTTAATCCATTTCTTGCATAGGAGGTAGCCACTTCATAGTCATATACTTATTTACAATTTTATGTGCGGACATCCATATATGAAAATGCAAGTGACTAATACTCCAAGTAAAATCATCCTTTACATCAAAATATTTGAAAATTAAAACCATGAAAACTCAAATTTAAGAAAGTGAATGGAAGATTCAAAACAACAATCTGGCACAAAACATGATTTAAACATGAATGCCAATTTTATTTTGTTTTTATCACGAAGAACTTACTCCACCAGAACCCTTACTGTACGCTGTGTTCTAATACGTTGCAAATAAACTTGAACGCAGTGATGATAGAAGTGTGCAGAACACTTCGTAAATTTTTAACGATCACTAAAGAGCACAAACTTTACCTTTATTGTGATAGCTTTGATCTCCTTCCTGATCTGTTGAGAACGAAAAGGAATTAGACCCTACTAAAGGATGAAAGGTACAACAATGTTCTTATAGACCCCACTAAGTGCAATAAAGTACCATCAACTCATTACCATTTCGTCAAGAAGAGAGGTTTGGTCTTGCTTCCATAAATAAGCCAAAGAAACGAGGCCTAGTCTTGAACACACACTCTCCACTCGCAGTCTCTGATAATCCGAAGCAATAGCTCCAGAAGACACAGCTGTTATCGAAGGAATTTGATGTTTAACCTCATTTAGCAAAACGAACATATCCTCAACTTCATCGCCTGAGGTAACCTGGTAGTTGAGATCCTGATACCTGGAATTAGACTTGTGAGAACAAAAAGAAAATAATAGGCATCTGAAAGCCGTCACAGACCTCTGGTGCATGTGCTCTATGCACCTTCATAAAGAAGCAAGAAACAAGAAAACTCCATGATGTTCTAGCCAGTTCTCATCTAAGGCTATTGTGGCTTAATCACTGCTCATTTATAACTGAATGGATCCGCAGCTCTTTCAGGAAACAATGGGATCTATATTCACCTAAATAAGCACATGTACAAAATCCATGCCTTATGATAAAATGAATAATTGAATCGACGATTTCTAACCTGTGAAGTGCCCAAAAGAGTTTGACATTTAGTCATCAATGAGGCACAATTGAGGGCGGGAAGTGAAATAAATACCAAAGGGAACGGGGATGATGGCTGAAATTTGAAAAAAAAGATAGGTCCAACTGTTGCATTTTCTCACCAGGCACCCTTTAAGGTCTCTGGTATTTATTTTACCTACTTACTGCAAATTAGTCCAAGCACCCTAAGGTGGTTGTAGTTTTAAATCTATGGCTGGTACTGAATGGAAGTTTCAACACACTTTTTGTAAGTTGTTCTCAACTAAAGGATAGCATGTAAAAAAACGTGATTTTACAAAAACGATATATTTTCTTCAGGTCTCGACATTTACTCGATAGGGTAAGAGAATGAGTTAAAAAAATCCACTGCCTTAAAATTTGAACTACAGCTGATCAAGGTCCACCTAAGTCACAAACGACATGTTGCTTTGACTAAAGGATAGATAACGAATGCAACCTCTACACCATAACTCCCATTAGATCCATTGCAGTCGAAGATATTGTCCCAGAGATGGGTAACAGTGGATCAATGTGTAGTTCCATTAAGTTGATAGATTCAGAGTCTAATATAGTATATTTTCCTTATTATTGATATCACGCACCCTGGTAACCCAAAACAGACAAGTGACACACGCATAAGGGTATAGAGAAAAATCTCGATACCCCACTATTTCTTCGTCAGCTTATAAATTCGACCAACTGAATTATTGCTATCTTTGGGAATGTGCATTATGAACCAAAAACACCATCACAAACACAACAATTGTGCTTAAAAGCTTGTTATTTTTTTAGAAACAGGGGTGTTAACATTTTCATCACTATGAAATCTCTTTTCTTGGAACCAATATGTTTCTTGATCCAAATAAATTTCTGATTTCTCTCCCGACTATACCATCAAATAATCTAAATACTAAGTGTCCAGTTCCAATCTTTTGTAGATTTATGATGCGTTACAATGAAATTTCTGAACCACCGAATCCAGTTTTGGAAATGCCAATGCTAATTTAACTAAAAAGGTGCACGGGAGATAACGAAGTATAGAAGAGAAATGTGGATGGGCTTGGCTGATGTATTGCGTTCAAACCCTGAACCTGATTGAAAGAATGGAGCATAAAGTTCTGACAAGTTACCACCCAAATCGAATTGGGCCACCTGTGTGGCACGATATGGTTTAGAACTTTCTTTGAAAATGGCTACCAACGAACTTCTACAAAAAGAATAGTCAAACCTTCAATCTCCAGACTCTCTGATAGATACTGTATGGTGATGACATACTGATACTACAGGGCATCAAAATGCAACTACTATGAGGAATACCATGAAGTATGCAAAATACATGAACTGTATTTGTCAAAACAGTTATACTGAGCACAAGAATGAACAATATATCCAAAAACTTTTAGGATCAAAGCATGGAAATGTAGATCGAGAGCATCCAAATTAAAAGTCTTTGATTGGAAGAATGGGCACGCATTAGGAGCTTGACATACGTACAAATGATCTGATGTTTTAGAAAAAGGAAGAATCATTAAGATTGTTACCTTGAGGAGCCTTTTATTCTCCTTCGAAATAAAGGCAAGCCCATGCATTCTGCATAGCTAATTACGATCTGGTGGCCAACCTATAGACAAGTCAAAACCAAATTAGTCCCCCAACATAAGAATTTAATGAGTATTAGGCTAGTCAGACAAAAGGAAAACATATGCACGTGCAAAAATGGAGAAGACGTCTGAAATTTGAAACTATGATGTGAGCACATAAATAAAGTTTCACAGCATGTAAACAGATGCTATATTATGCTGAAACTAAATTAATATCTAGCATTGGCGGATCTATTGAAAGGAAGGCATAGGCTGAGGCTTACAGTCTGGAACATGTAGCTATCTAGCTCGTCAATGGAGTCCTCCAGTGGCATTAGATTGGCCAATGCAACAATCTGTCCGCGATCAATTTAAGAAGAAAATGAGGAAAATATTAAGCAAAGCAACGCAACGCAGGAACAAGCGCACAAATTTGTAAAAAGTGTTTCCACTACACAGGCCACAGGCATAAAGAAGATCACCACCTCGTGGCCGTAGTCCCTGCATCTCATCATGGCATAGCAGCTGTCCTTACCGCCGCTAACTAGCGCTACCACCTTCATATTTCTTAGTTTATATTAGCAAACTGGTTGCCTTTCTGAATCTCCGCAGCAAAGCACTCCTCAGCGCACAGAGGGAAGAGAAGACGACTCCACAGCCTAGAGGCCGCCTAAGATCGGAGGCCCCCTCTCCTTCCTGCCCAACAAAATTAAAATACACACGTTAGTAGGTAACTGAACAATACGCAATGAATCAGATTCGCCGACGCGAGCGGGCAGAAGCGGAGACCTCCCCTCACCAGAAGCAGAGCAGAATGCCACGGGCAGTAGAGATAAAAAGATAGGTCAGCGAGAGAGAGAGAAGAGTGGGAGGAGACGCCCGGCCGCCGGTGCAGTCTACCGTAGCAGGAAATTTCTCCCGGGCACCAGAGGAAAATGGGCAGACCACGGCCACGGGGATGGAACGGGGAAATGAAGGAAAACCCGGTCGGGGAAGCCAGAGCCCCCAAAAAATTTGAGGAAGAAGATGAAGAAAGAAAGCGGCGACTCCAGTGAGGGTCCCCCGCACCCGCCCCTGCCGGCCGAGGGCGGAAGAAGAACGCCATGGATACCTCTGCCGCCGCCCGCCGCCGCTGATCCCGCTCTACGGGAAAACGAGCAGGAACTGCTTCGAGTGGTTTAACCCCGTTAACCCCATTCAGACTCCACAGCAGGGGAGAGAGTAGGCCCTCAAACCCATTAACCCCACTTTTAAAATAAAAAATAGACCCCTTAATAGAGCTATTAAATAAAAAAATCCAGTTTTATTTAAAATGTCGAGCCAAATCTTATATTTTTTATTCTGAAGTTAAATAAATGAATTCAATTTATTCTCCCCCTCAGCTCCAACTGAACTGCTAAGTAATATTCTTAATGAGGTGATAATGTGGCCAGGGGTGGCCGGGCCGGGCTTCATCGAGGCAGATCGTGGGCTTTAACTAGGGGGGCCCACTTGCCGTTGACCCAGATTAAAAAAATTCGAGTAAGATATACTTTTAAGCTGGCTTCGTCCGTATCCTTGCGCCAGGTTAGGGTCGAACCTACGACTTTTGAGCAGGAATCAGACGCTCTATCCACTGAGCTACAGGCGCGTGCCGCAGCATAGAAGACAATTTTCAAATACGTCAGTTATTCGAGGATCGCAGCGAAGGCGGCGCCATTGAAAGTGAGAGTTCCCCGGGGAACTTGACGTATGCCGTTGACTTGTCGGAAATCCTTGCCCAGGCAGATTAATCTCCTTGAATAATTATATTCAATATGCCCCTCTACCTTTCTTAATCTCTATCTATGGAAGATCTTTGTGGATAAGTTTATAGTTACCAATTATTTGCTCTCTCTCTCTCTCTATTTTCTATCGATATAGATTTATTCACGGTGTGGACAAGTTTCAGTTGAACACTTTTCTGTTGAAGGTTCCGGGGGTATCTTCGCATTTTTTTTCCACTTTGTATCCTACAGCAATGGTACCGCGATGTTTTTTTTAATATTTATCGTGACTTAAGTCTTCACAGTATTTTGAATAGTGTTCAATATGACAAGTTCTTTTGAGCCAGTTTCATGCAGAATCTCTACGAGTATTTCTCGTGACTTTAGTCTTTTGAGACGTTCTGAAATAACGTGAAAATAAATGAATTGAAGAACTACCGTGGTTGTCAATCAAGGAGAAACTAAAATAAAGAAATTCGTGGAAGAAAATAACGGCCATTTCCCTTCTTTTATGTACACTCCTCCCTTACTCTAATTTTTCACTCACAACTCGTTAACCTTCTCCCCTTTTTCCCTCTATCTGGAACTGGGGAAACCCTGTTTTAATTGCATTTGGTTAGACGTGGAGGAAGAGAACAGCTGGCACCCCAGGCTGGACTGCCAGCCGGGTCACACGTTCTCTGGGCGCAAAACAGTAACCGCCGCTAGTGGATATGGGCCCCACCTCTCTCTCTCTCTCTCTCTCTCTCTCTCTCTCTCTTACATATATATATAAATAAAAATATATATGTAAATTTTTCTAACCTAATACACGCCGCGTCGCTGGGGTTTTGGCGGGAGTAAGAGCGGGGGTAGGAGAGGAATCGGACGTGGTTCTGCCGGAGGCTGGAACCGTGGAAGGAGGAGCAGGATGCTGCGGCGGACGATCAGGGAGAGGAGGGAGTACCTCTACCGCAAGAACCTCGAGGCCAAGGAGCGCGTGCTCTACGATAAGAAGCGCAAGATAAGAGAGGCCATCGCCGGTATTAGGCTTGCTTTCGCCACCGTTTGGATTCTCTCATCCTTCCACCCTCTTCTTTCACTCTCTCTGACGAGTTCTGCCTCTGGTGTGTTTTGCCAATGAGACAGAGGAGAGGCCGATCCCGACAGAGCTCAGGAATGAGGAAGCTGAACTTCGAAAGGAGATAGATCTTGAAGACGAGCAAACCGCAGGTATGTTTGTTTTGCCCCAGCCATCTCTTAAGTGGAAATATTTTAGTGTGCACGATTTACGTTTTTGTTCAGCCAGGGAACATTTCTGTTTGTTTATTTCAGTCGATTTATGGTGCGTTTTGTTGTCTCGATGTTTCATCATCGGATAGAGCTTCTTCTTTTAAGGCCCATTATCCGTATAATCACTACTAGTCATTGGCGTTCGGTTCTGTCCATCTTTGTCAGACCCAGACAATCTGTTAAACCATGTCCTGCTTGCATTCTCTTCGATGTAGCCTGCGTCCTCCTGGTGAATGCTAGATTTTATGCAGGATTCAGCTGCATAAGTTGGAATTTTCTGAATGTTCGATTATATCTCTTAATTTTCTTTTGTCTCACCCTGCTTATTTGGGTTCACGTAAAGACCTCACCTTTTTCCTTCTTGTTCCTAGGAGAATATTGGCATATTATGAACAGAATCCACTATTTACTTTAAAGGTTCCTAATACGACTTTTCTTGTAAATTGCTGGATTCAGTACCGAGAACCCACGAAGATGATGAGTATGCTAATGCGTCCGAAAAGGACCCGAAAATTCTCCTCACCACATCCCGAGGTCCAAGCCAGCCCCTTACTCAGTTTGCTAAGGTTATTATCCAATCCACCCCATTGAACTCTTGATAATTCTTCTCGCACTGCTCGTCTCGTCCTACATTAGGATTGATTTTGTCCCTTGTTATTGCCACAGGAACTGAAGTTGATATTTCCTAACTCACAAAGAATGAATCGTGGAAGTCAGGTTGGTAGAATCAAAGCACTTCATCTTTAATCGTATTTCTATTAAGTCTGTACATTTCTGTGTTTTTTTAGATGAGGCTTGTGAATGTCTCCCGTAGCTGTCTTTATGCTTGGCTATGGGGTCATGCCTTGTAGTGTCAAGATGCACTCTAGCATCTAATAATTTAATGATTTTTATTTTATCTTTTTAATTTGATTTTAGACGTCAATCAACCTTCTGTGGGTCTTCTAGGAATACATTTCATATTAGTCTTAATTTCCAATAATAAAATGCGTTGTGGAGAAAAGGCGTTACTGGTATCTTCTGACTACCCTTTGTTTTATGCGTATCTCCTCTATTTCCCACTTCTTTTGAGAAAATCAAATATATATATATATATATATATAATTTCCTTTTTTTGAGCTTACTATTCTCTCTGAATTATTAGGAATTGGACCATATGACCAACAGTGATTTGGTTAACAGGCTTTGGGTAAACAGTGTCTTGAGTCTATTTAGTGGCTTAATGTGTTTATTGTTAATCGTGATCAGTTCAAGACGCTATGTTTGCAATGCAACAAATAAAGATGATCAGTGATGTTACTGAGGATCTACTGATATGAAATATTAATAGCTTCCTGCTATATTTCGTTGAAAACATACATTTTTACTCTTTCGAGTGTTCAAGGATAACTACTGTTAATTTCCTTCTCTTCTAGGATTTTCCCGTGGGCTGCATTTGTTCCTCCTTCATCAAAATGATGGCTTAATATCTCTAAATATCTAGTTAGAAAACAGATTCAGATTGCTTAAGAATTACATTAGAACCATCTAAATTTTACACCCGTGCTGCATCTTTCATAGTTTCATCAATTAAATGCCCAGTACCCGAATCCACCGCGCTATATTGGATGGTTTCAAACTCTTCACTGTAATTTTTTTTTCTTGAGAAGCTTTTACTTTATTGCGGGGAAATATCAGTGGAAAATACTTAAATGTATATCATTAAACTGATAGCTCTCGGGGCTAGCTAAACGAATTCCGTAACCCAGTAACCTCAGTGAAGGAACGAGTTCCTGTATCGTTTTTCATCATATATGTTGTTCTCTTTGAGGCCATCAGGTTTGTTTTTTGGAGTTCCATGTAATCCCATCTAGCACTTCTTTAAATATTGTGGTAAAAAAATTATTCATATCAGCTTAGCTCGAACTGTCATCCTATGATTATTGTTGAGCAGTTTTGGTTTTGCCCTTTTTTTCTCGGCAGGTTATATCAGAAATCATTGAAGCTGCACGTAAAAGTGATTTTACTGATGTTATCTTGGTGCATGAGCATCGTGGCAAGCCAGATGGGTTAGTTGTCTGCCATTTACCATTCGGTCCAACAGCATATTTTGGATTATCTAATGTGGTAAGTTGAATGAACAGTTGTTTTTGTTCTTTTTACCAATCTATTTTCTCTTGTTGTAACGAACTCATTAATTTGTACCTTCAGGTGACAAGGCATGATATTAAGGACAAGAAAGCGATAGGAAAAGTCTCTGAGGTTTATCCTCATTTGGTTCTTCACAATTTTTCAACTAAGGTAGGGGTGGCTCAGAGTAACTAGTATATTTTTTCTGTCTGTCTGTTTGCTCATTTACTCTATATGCTTATGGAATCATATAGTAAATGAGAGTAATATCATATCCTTGAGATTGTCTGTATCAGCCTCACATGTGCATGGATTTCGTGAAATTATCACGAGGAATGGTTTCTTTTTAAATCGAAAGAAGTCCAAATGTCAGCAACTAATACTCTAATTAGTTGATGATTGCAGTACCAGATCTGAAGTAGTAGATTTCGCTACTATTCCTTTAAATTTCGTAGTACCTTGTGATATCAGAATGATGATAAGGTCATGATCCGCAGTTTACAGAGGTCGATGTTGAAAGTTGACGATTGTCATCAAATCAATTAACGCGGCTATCCTGGATATTGCCTGTTCTGAATTTTGCATGTGAAAGAGAGGACTGTGTGGTTTTTCTCTATGCAATGAATTAATCATTTCATTGTAAAATATGTTTCGTGAATGGTTTAAATTCGGTTCTAAATGTTTTTCCTTCTTATTTTTATGATTTCAAATTCCAAAACAGATCTCTTAACTTTCGATCCCCTTCTGCGTTTTCATGACTTTTTGCTGAGTATTTATGATTCCTTTGAATTCAGTATTATTTGCCTGATAACGCATCCTTCATTTTAAAAAATTTGCAGCTGGGTCAGAGAACAGCAAACATCCTCAAGCACCTTTTCCCAGTGCCGAAGCCTGATTCTCGACGTATTTTGTCCTTTGTAAATCAGTCTGATTACATCGTCTTCAGGTTGGTCAATCTATTTTTTTATCTCCTTGAAAAGTATACAGTCAGGTATGCTAATCTTTATGAGGTACACCTGTTTCGGGAATAAAGATCAAATGATTGGCTCAGGAGAGATGATGGGGGGTACTGACCACCTGTAAATATATTGCCCCATAATTAGTGATACCTGTGTGCCTTTAAAAACGGGCGAACTGAGATCTATGCTTGTATCTCTGGCACTCAACTTGGTCTCCCGTATCCCTCTGTCTTCTTTCATCCTGGACCTTCAGCAGACGCTGCCAAAAGGCAGCAGGTTCTTCAACAATGATTGTCTCACAGGATTTCACTTGCAGGCATCATGTTTACCAGCAGCAGGGAGGGCCTGGGTCAATAGAACTGAAGGAGGTTGGTCCGAGGTTTGATCTGCTTCTTTACAAGGTGACTTTATCAATCCCATTTTTTTATATTTTTCCTTCATACCTTTCATATTTTTTAAGACAGGTGACTAAACCCACATGCCTCGTACATACCTAGATCAAATTGGGAACCCATGATCAGAGCGAAGCTCAGGATGAGTGGGTCCTGAGGCCTTACATGAACTCCACAAGGAAACGGAGGTACCTTGCAGATTGACAGGGCTCATCGGTTCCGTTGTATCTCCATTTTTATTCCCTTTTTCTCTTCTCCTCGCAATTTATTACTCGAGAAAATTTTGAGTCGGTTCACGGAAATGACCTGCTGAATGGTTTTCACTGGACGAAACGATATATTTATTGAGCTACAGTTCAGAGTAGGGTGGGTTATCATCTGTCATTGTTATTGTATGTTATAGGGTGTACCTTTGGTGGCATCGTGAAGAGGTTATATAGTCTGATGATTCAGTCATTCCTCATTCCTGGCTTGTGCTCTCTATACATTTCCTTGCTTCTTATCAGTTTAGCCCCTTCTTTCCATTTGTGGTGATAAAAATTTGGCTTGAGGATTTGTTTCTCCAAGACCTGTATGCAGTATCTCTTCAGATCATTTTCATTTTCCTGTTATGTTTTAAATGTGCCCTGAGTTAAGCAATAGGTCATCGGTGGTGGGTTTGTTGGTGTTGAACCAAGGCATAATATGGGTTATATCCCCAAATGAGGAAAACATATGTTTAACAGCTTGTGAATATTGCTTTGAAAATTGTCAATAACTGATTCAGTCCTCACTTATCTGATGTCGCATGTGTGTTCTTGAATTAACCATGAAGGGAGTGAGTCTTGGAGTCATCCAAAGGATTGAAGGACATCCTTGAACTTCTAAGTTTAAGTCTAGGAGGTCAGACCAACATTTTGTCATTGAGATGATTGCAAGACCTTATGGAAAGCTATATGATTCACGTAAAAAAAAAAAGAGGCATAAACTCGTCTGAATTAATGCATATGGCATCTAAATTGATTTTTTGATAATTTTGAGATCGTAATTGAAGGTACTAACTTGCCAATCATGTTATGTATGATAAAGAAAGGGGCGTAAGGTTTCCAGCTTTTTTTCTTCTTCCATGGTATAGTTTCATGTCACTACGGTGCTTTGGGATTATATTTGATGCAATAATCACCTTTTTTATGATATTATTGCAGTACAATTTATAGTTTCTATCCCCAGGAAAATTGTTTGTGATGAACTATCATCTCATGGACAGAGTTATTAAATGAGAACACATTAATCGTGTAGTGTTCATAACCTTGGTCGATAGTATGAAGTAATCATGATTTATCAACGTCATTCATAATAATATTACTTACTGAAAATTAGAACTTGCATTGAACTATATAAATTTTAACTTGAAATATCTTCCATTATGATACAATTTGATTCTTAACTGAAGGCAAGTGACAGTTTATAAATAGCACGTATTATGTTCCAATAGAGCCCATCTAGTGGAATAATTTGCCCATCAAATTCGGCATTGTGAAATTCTGTGGATAATATTAAGTGCAACTTATAGACCTTATCGTATCAATCATAAAGTAAATATAATTCATAAAATCAATAATGTCTAGTTTAAGACAATAACGTATAAATAGTAACTAGTACACCATGTTAACATTGTTTACTACTTAAGACTCATATTCATATGGAAGTGAGGATGGCCTGAGCTTGGGTTAAGATAACAGTGGCATTTTTGCTTTTGACTAGCGAAAAGTAAAGATGATGCTCATGCAATGGTAGGCTCCTAAGAATATCCATGTTGCCCAAATGCCAAACACCCATTCTATTATCCCTTAGATTGTTGATTGGTTACTTGCAAGGCTAAAAATCTTAACAAGGAACGAATTAAGGTGCGTTGGGGGTTTGCTAGTTGCATCAACTTGAAGGTTTTGATTTGTCATTAGTTGACTTTAACATTTGACTTGTGCCTCTAGATTTAGATCATGTTACATGCCCTGTACTAATCAAAACCACCACGTGCTATGGATTCTGAAATGAATATTGATTTAATCACAAATTATGTTCTAGTCCACTAAGTAAAAATACAATGTTTTCAAATAGTACCAATTATTTGAGTGATCATTTTTATTATCTTTAAATTGGCATAGATTTATTAAAAACCAATTTTATTACTCAACTATTCTCTCTCATTCATTTGTAATCAAACAACTGAACTTATATTGTCCTTAGATAAATGAACATTAAAATAAGAAAAAATATTAGATTATGTTGGATTGATGTTATCACATGTTCTTAGCAATATACAATTAAAGATGAGTATTCTACTGGGTTCATATAAAAATTAAATTAGTTCATTTCGTTAAACAAAATTATTAGGTAATAGACATGTTAGGAAAAAAAAGAGAAAGTTTAAAGACGACTATGAATGTGATCTTATAGCACATAAATATATGAATTATGAGGATGGAGCGGATTTGTATATTTACGCATCACCATGATATGACCCAATTCTACTTGATTGTTGCCTTCAATTCTAGGAAAATTCGTAAAATAAAGAATAATCCAAATGAAGAGGGGTGCCATTTGATCTGGACACTTTTGTATCCTATATCTAACAAGGAGTGGTGTGACAAAGATGAGTTTGTAAGTCAAGATGTGACTCAAAATTGAAGTTCAACTGCAAAAAAAATAAAGAAATAAAAGTCAATACATAGTGGATTTAGATAAGCATCTTGAGTGATTATTAATTGTGTCACAAACTGAAATATTGGTTTACTCTATAAATTACATATATCAATTGACATAGAATTTGAAAAATTATCTTATTTAGGAACATTGTTCAAATATGAAGCTAGGATCAATCAAATATAACCAATCCATTTTCTCCTTGGACCTTGCTTTGTTTTGAGTTGACTGGAGCCCTTAGTTGCAATTTAGAACGACTTCTATATTTTTTTCTTAGCTTCATATAGGGTTTTTTTTGATTTATTTAACCATGTTATTCTCGAAAAAACATGATTTTCAAATGAAAAAGGGCACACTTGACTAGACTATGGTTCATCTGATAATTTCTTTTGGTTACATAATCATGACTCTTCTAAAAAAAAAATGATGTTTTAAATCAAGCAGACAATCAATATAGATATATACCAAAGTCTTTGGCTTCATTAGGGGGTAGTAAGGAGCAGGATGAGTTGGGGAGCCCAGTCTTTGAAGAGTTATGGCCGGAAAAAGCCCATGTATGAATTGGATCCTCATACATTGACATAGATATAAATATCTCTCTCTCTCTCTCTCTCTCTCTCTCTAGAGGCCCTTTTCTTGGAGCCTGCTTTGGTCAGGTCTAGTGGTCTCCATGTGGCAGGTTAGGACGGGTTGGCGTGGGGCCGACGTCGAGCGGCCTGAACTGGCGGCTAAGTGCGGCAACCCAGTTACATGTCGAGCCAGACTACGAGGAGGCTCGTTACTCTGAGGGTTGTGTGGCCGCCACGTGGGATTCTTCGTACACGTGAGGAGGGGCATTTGAGGAATTCTGGGAACGTCCCTTGAAGGGAAAACTTTAATCGGAAATAAATCGTGACCCCGTTGCAGCCTCCTCCCACCCTTCCGGTCGGTGGCGTCGCTCGCCGCTCTTCCCCCGCTCGCTCTCTCTCTCTCTCTCTCTCCCTCTCTCTCCTTCCTTTATATCTTCTTCTTCCGAGGCCCGGGGGATTCCCCCGCCGGCGCTGGCGACGGATCGGCCGCCCGCGTCCAGCTGCTCGACGTCGTCACCTCTGCGCCGTGGTGGTCATCCATGACTATGATGACGCCTCCCCCTCTCGATGTAAGTTTAACGCAGAATTCCTGCTGTCCCTTTCCCCATGTCTCGCGCTGTGTGCGCGAGTGTGTGAGGGGCGGGGGGGTGAGGGGGAAGGGTGTTTCCCGCTCGCGCTCCCCACTCCTCATCCGCACTCGTGTGACCTAACCATTACATTCCTGCTTCTTGGTCGCGCACTGCCTTCTCGACGGCTCAACTCCGTTCCCCCCGGCTTCTAGGCCTTCGGGGCCCGACGCGGTGCCGTGGGGCTGGCAATCGCGCAATTCTTGTAAATTGCGCGACCTATGAGATCGGGCTATGTGTGCGCCGGGTTCGATCGGTGGTATTGCGGGGTTTGGTGGATCTATCTGATTGGGTTCTCTCTGTCTCTCCCTCTCTCTGTACGTCTTTGTTTTCCGCAGCAGGAGGAGGACGAGATGCTAGTGCCGCATTCAGATTTCGTGGAAGGTCCGCAGCCGATGGAAGGTAGGCCCGAACATTCTCATTGGTCTAGGGTTTATGATCTACCGGGAATGACACTCCCCTTGGATGGAAAATGCACCATTTATCATTTTGTTTCGGTCTTGTGATAAAGTAGTTGTTGTCCTCTTTTTTTTACATGGTCTTGGTGATTTATTTTTCGTAGCTTCCAGATTTTCCTTTTCATCTCATTCCTCTTCTGTTTAAATTACAGTGGTTGCCCCACAGACAGAGACTGTCAGCACCGCGGAGAATCAGCAGCTGGAGGATCCTCCGTCATCCAGGTTCACATGGACGATTGAGAACTTCTCCAGGCTGAACACCAAGAAGCTTTACTCGGAGATTTTTGTTGTTGGCGGATACAAATGGTATGAAGACTGTTGAATAGTAATTTCTTTTTTGGCTTCCTATCGCAGTTTATCTCACAAAGCCTAAGTGTAACAGCTGAGGAAGAAAGCTTGATAGTTTCGCATGGGGTATGTTTTGGCAGGAGAGTGCTAATCTTTCCGAAGGGAAACAATGTAGACCACTTGTCTATGTACCTGGATGTTGCTGACTCGGCGAATCTGCCTTATGGCTGGAGCAGATATGCTCAGTTCAGTTTAACTGTTATTAATCAGATACAGAACAAATACACCATCAGGAAAGGTACGTATTTCAGTACTAGATATACTTTGATTGGATATTATTGGAAGACTTGGATCTACAGCTCTCTTGTCGATTGATATCCATGGGCATATATTAGGAACATGTTGCAGTCATGTTACAATCTCATACCTACCGTACTGCATACTTGCAGTGTTTTTGAGTGTCCTTCTTGAACTTCCATAGACTTCTTATTGTCCTGCGTGCATGAATTTTTATTAGACCCACGGATCGAAAGATTTTACCTATCGAAATTGATCTGTAAAATTCTTATGAAATCTTCTGTGGCACTGACGTTCTTCACTTATTTGGTGAACACTACTTGATTGATTTTAATCTACTGATGTTGCACTGGATCCTGATTCATGCGAGTGACTCTTTCGTTATTAGGATTTAGTTTCTATTTTAGAAAATTGGCAATTATTTGTTTCTTGTGCATCTTTTGGAAGACAAGTTGGTAGCTTTGGGGGAACATTCCTCTGACGATTTTTGCATATTTCAGAGACACAACACCAATTTAATGTCCGTGAAAGTGATTGGGGTTTCACATCATTCATGCCCCTTAGTGAACTTTATGACCCAAGCAGAGGGTACCTTGTCAACGATACGTGTATAGTTGAGGCTGAAGTTGCTGTTCGTAGAGTGGTCGACTACTGGACATATGATTCGAAGAAGGAAACAGGTTATGTTGGCCTTAAGAATCAAGGGGCTACCTGTTACATGAATTCTCTTCTTCAGACTCTGTATCATATTCCTTATTTCAGAAAGGTTTGGATATTGGATATTTTCTTACCATTTATTCTTAGTCTATACTCTTTGGTGGTGCTACAAGCATTCATTGAATGGAAAACATTTATTTGAGTTACACGTTTCAGGCTGTGTATCATATGCCCACAACTGAGAATGATATGCCATCCGGAAGTATTCCTCTAGCCTTGCAGAGCTTGTTCTACAAGCTTCAGTACAGTGACAATAGCGTTGCTACAAAGGAGCTTACAAAATCTTTTGGATGGGACACTTATGACTCGTTCATGCAGCATGACGTCCAAGAGCTTAATAGGGTTCTCTGCGAGAAGTTGGAAGATAAAATGAAGGTCCCTCTTTCTTTTTCGGTTAATTTCTCATCTTGACATCTGCAGTTTTCATGTTATGTCACTGTGTTAATTTGCTTTTTGTTCAGGGAACGGTTGTTGAGGGGACTATTCAGCATTTGTTTGAAGGTCATCACATGAATTACATTGAATGCATCAATGTGGATTACAAATCTACGAGAAAAGAGTCATTCTATGGTGCATTTTCTGACTGGATTGTCCTCTGAATGTGGAAATGTTCTTTTGATTATTCTAACTTGCTCTTTAATCTTGACTCTTTGGTAACGTTTTTTATTGCAGATCTCCAACTTGATGTGAAAGGCTGTAGGGACGTTTATGCATCTTTTGACAAATATGTTGAAGTTGAGCAACTTGAAGGAGATAACAAGTATCATGCAGAACAATATGGCCTGCAAGTAGGTTGCTTTTGTCAAAATAGCTTTCTGTCCATCGATTGCATAAAAGCTTAGCTATTAAAGTGATCCAGTTGTACAATATCAGCTGGGAAAGTGGGATAGCTGTACAATAATTGTAGTGCTCCATAAATGAATCATTTTTCAATTATTTTACCCTAACCGTTGTTTATATTGCTTATTTTTTTATTATTCTGAAGGTTTCATATTATCAGAGGTATTTGATAAACACTGAGTCTGGTTTATTTTGTTTGGTCAATTGTCTGGCTCCCATTGGTCTGTGTTTTTAGATAGGCACATACCCAGATCCACATTTGTGTGTTTGTTCCATATTCCTTTAGGTTTTGTTGTGATATCATTTTTAAATATCTTTTGGCACATCATCAATGAGGTGAAAAAAATGGCGAACAAAATCAATGCAAAAAGCGGTATGTTAAATTTTTTGAAACGTGTCTGCTTCTTACCAGTGTACTCATCTATTTCTGTAGTCTGCACGGTGCTCTTTTTATGTTAGGGTGTGACAGTTTTTCCTGGGTTATAAACTTCTTCCCTGGTGCCAACGCCGTCAATAGATGTGCATTCTCCAGTCTAGTTGGTTTCCGAACTCTCTTCACACCCCATAAGGAAAACTGTATCACAGATGGGGTACACATAGATGGGTGTACATTATGAAGACTATTTTTATGTCAATTATGTTTATGCATTACAGCTACTGAAGAATGCTAATTGTGATGCTTCCGATTTCATCTCATTAGATTTCATCTGTCAGAGAAACCATCTGACAAATTGGTATTTGCACATTTCAGGATGCTAAGAAAGGTGTTTTATTCATTGATTTTCCTCCTGTCCTGCAACTTCAGCTAAAACGTTTCGAATATGATTTTTTGCGGGACACAATGGTGAAGGTTGGTATTTAAGAAAGGATTAACAGAATATTATGCAATTCCTTGATAGTGATAATTCTCTGTGGCTTGCTTATGCAATTAAGTTTTCTTTTTATTATCATGAAGACTGATGTAGCATAGATAAGGTTTGTAGAAACCATCTGATTATTTCGGTTTCACAGTAGTCTCTGTTGAGGTTCTGTTTGGGACAACTCTGGAGTATGGGCCCTTCTCTAGAGAAGGGAGGGAAACCCATGAGTTATAATAAATTTCAATTGGATGCTGACCTGTGTGTTAGGAATGACTTTTAATGCCGTCATCATAAGATTTTTTGGGATGAGAAAGAGAGGACTCTTTCTTGTGGAGTATGGTCAGTTGTGAAAAGAGTCTTTTTTGGCTCATGTAAACTAGGGAGATTTAAAAACCATTCATTCAGAATTGCTTTATGCAATCTACCTTTCTAGTCTAGCTTTTTATCATCTTTATATTTTCTTGTTCGTTGGACATTGGCAAACACAAGCAATTTAATGTATATTTATAGTAGTGTATAAATTATGATGAGTTGAGATGATGGTATGACCTAAATTGGGGGAAATATTTAAGAGGATGGATGTGAGAGGACTTGATATCATCATTACTTCGAAATTTCAATTTGGCTGTGCATACTGTGGTAATGGGGAATTGAAGCAGGGTCTTTTTTTGGAGGCAATTAAACAACAGCATGAGTTCTGAAGCATAATTAATTTAATTCCAGATGATGTCAGTAATATTTTCAAGGTATGGTAGAACTCTATCAGATATGTGGTGGCATCAGGGATGGAGATTCAACTCGTTTTTGGAGGGATAAGTGTCATTGGATATCTTCGTTTAAGGTTAAATTTTACCTTCGTTTCAGGGCGGCGCTTGATCCTCAACTCAGTGTTCCTGTCTTCAATCTTGTAGCATAGAGAGGAGAATGACGGCCTAGTTTCAGGAGTAACCACATACATATGGTCGTTAAGCAACTTTTGGTCTACCCCATGCTGTGTTACAAAATGCCTTCTTTTTTCTGAGAAGCTTTTAGTGTAGATGTTCTCACATGACAAGTTACCTACATGTGATCTTCTGGGTGCCTTTTGGGATAACTTGATATGTATGCAATATCTGGGGGGGAAGAAGAATTGTTGGGGCATCTGTTTCATGATCGTCCATTTCAACTAGAGTTTGGCACTCACTACATCTTACACTCGGTATATGGTGGTAGCTTTTGAGTTTTGTTGATGAGTCTTGGGAAAGATGGAATTGAACGGTCTCAATAATTAGATTTCAAGACATGGCAGCTCGTTCTTCATGTAATAATCGGCGACTTGGGTTTTGACATACAGTCTTATCTTTCCATTTGTATATGTAATAAGTTTTACATGATTTATAAAAATTATGCGAAAAAAAGATTTTTATGATTTTAATATCTGCTCTGCACTTTATCTTAATTTTCAATTAATTGATAATTGATAAAATGTATTTTCAATAAACGTATACATTCTTATGTTTTTCATCTAATGTGCTATTGAAGCTCTGGATCAACCCAGGGTTTTTAGAGTCATTATTCTTTTTCATCTTTATTCGGTCGTCTTTGAATACAACAATCTCAGGATGGTGGTTTGGGGTCTGTACTAAACTGTTTTTGATTGTGTTTTTGTTTGCAAGTTGTCTATTATTTTCTATCCTGACATCTTTTTAACAATTTTTATTTTCTACTTTTCCAGATAAATGACCGTTACGAATTCCCCTTGCAATTAGATCTTGATAGGGAGAATGGCAAGTATCTGTCCCCTGAAGCAGACAGAAGTGTTCGTAACCTCTACACACTTCATAGGTAGTCCAAAGTTGATACTAGTAATGCTTTTTTTCAGTGTAAATTTTGTAGAAAGTGCTTCGTTGTTTTCCCACAGTCAAACACCCAAATGGATAGTTGTCGTCATGTGCGTAGGAAAACATTCATCCATAGGCCGATGACATGCTTTCATGTCATGAATTTACCATGTCTTTATATGATACTGAAGTTTCGTGAGAAATTTTTTGTTTGATGAACATGCTCCACTAAGACTTGTGTTGCCCAATTGCTGCAGCCAGTTTGCCTACACTGCTAATTGTGGGTCTCCAAATTGATTAAGCTTTTCTCATTCTCCTATTGGGATTCTCCCATTTGATGGCATCCTATCATTTACTGTCCTTTCATAATACATTCTAGAAGAAATAGCTCCTGATGCTTTTTGTTTCCCGCTTACTGCTCTGAGCCTGCTAAAAATGGACGGCTAGTAAGCGATTTCTGCTGGATGACACTTATTTGGATGCTGCTCTCGTAGTACGAGTGGTCTCTTCAAACAAAGGTAGTCCTAGATGTTTCGTAGTGTCTGCCATACCTGGAGAGAAATGGTAGTGGTGAACCGTCAAAACCCTGGAACTGATGGGAGCATATGATTTTTTCAGGAAAATATAGCTTTGCTATCATAAGGTTGTCTATAATTGCCCTTCTAAATTTTCGTTTGCCTGCGCAATGCTACCAATCTGTTTCCAACATTTTGGAAATAACACTGATGCATCCATAGATTAAGCTAATTGATTGAATTGAATGAGTTTTATTTTACTGCAGATAAACTATATTTGATCGACTATTGTGTCTGACCCTCTTCTCACTATTGTGTTCTTGCTTATCTTACCTAATGGACCTCATTGTCTTTGCTGAGATTCTCCGGGTCATTTTCTTTAGATTTTTCTGTTGCCTTCCTCTTGTAATGAGAACTCTTACCATCCTGCAAAACTGCACAATTCAGCTGCAGTTTCCTTTGATGCGGTTGTGTTACTCTGATCGCCTTGGAAATTTCTATGCAATTAATTTTTTTTAAATATTTTTGAGAGAATGCTTCTCTTTTATTCCTTGCATAAATTGTGTGTCGGTATATTTTCTCTTACTTTTAGTTTCTGTTTTATGCATAACAAATGTTCCATCTTTTCTATTTTGCAGTGTTCTTGTCCATAGCGGTGGGGTGCACGGGGGCCACTACTATGCTTTTATTCGACCAACACTTTCCGATCAGTGGTACATATTTTTCTTTGCTTATCTGAATACCCTGATTACTTCTTTATCCTTTTTTTAAGATCCGCCATTGAAGACGCTCATGGCTATGCCTACTGAATGAACCATGCCTTCATCTTTTTAAAGTGTCATTCATGATGTGATTCTACTCTGTTGTTTCACCATCCATTTTCTAATGAATTTTTCGGTTGATGGGTTAGTTATTTAAATTTATGAATACATAAAATGAAAAGACCATCAATCCTCTTTTAAGGTACTGGATACTTGTCACATCTCTATCTCTTGCTTGTTACTACAACAATGATGTTATCTTTTGGTGAAATAGAATTGATGGATGGCTGACGTGAGAAATATATGTTGGTGGTACATCAAGGGTGTATGGACTGTTTTTTTTCTAAGATCGCATCCAATGGCTAAAATTTCAGGTTCAAGTTTGATGATGAAAGGGTAACAAAGGAAGACACAAAGAGGGCATTAGAGGAACAATATGGTGGTGAAGAAGAGGTAATGATATTGAATTCGAAACAGTTATTTGCTCCTGTGCTTGTGTTTTTCCTTATGGATTTGCTTTTCTATGTTATGCCTTTTTTCCCCAACAGTTGCCTCAGGCAAATCCTGGATTCAACAATACTCCTTTCAAATTTACAAAGTATTCAAATGCATATATGCTTGTGTATATTCGTGAGAGCGACAAGGAAAAGATAATCTGCAATGTGGATGAGAAAGACATTGCCGAACATCTTAGGGTGAGAAGATTTTAGAGTTTCTTCTTTTAATGGTTCTTTTTAGAAAACTTGCTGTTGTAACGTGCAGAAATTTCTTGTCAGGTGAGATTAAAGAAAGAACAAGAAGAAAAAGAGCACAAAAAGAAAGAGAAAGCTGAAGCTCACCTGTACACTGTTATAAAGGTCTGTTCTTCTTCTTCAGTCCTTACTACGCTTCGAAGTTTCATTGATTATAGCAACAATCTCTGAATGTTATATATTTTCGTGTTGATGCAATACATACAGGTTGCTCGGGATGAGGATTTGGCAGAGCAGATAGGCAGAGATATATATTTTGACCTTGTAGATCATGACAAAGTCCGCAGCTTCCGTATTCAGAAGCAGATGCCTTTCTATCTTTTCAAGGTTTGTTTTCAAAGATTTTTAGTATGTCTGTGTGGGATTTTTTTAAACTGGGGTCATATTGATCCATTGGGAAATTTATTTGCATTTGTGTTTTTGTCATTGCCCATGAATGACACTTCTACGTCATTTTGCAACAGGCTCTATTTGGGTCTGGAGCTACATCGTATGCCATGCCACATGCATATAGCAAAATATACTGGTTTTCATTGATCATTCTAAATGATTGTGTCCTCCTTAAATTATTTGTGTATATTTCTCAACCCTTTAAAAAACTGACTGAGTTTACTTAGGATGAGGTGCGTGGATAGTTGTTTGACCTATTTGTGCGTATTCTTTAATGTCTCTGTTTGTTGACGTGATCTTGAGTGGAGATCAGTTTGTGTAAATAATTGCTGTAGTGCAACATCATGACACTGGTTCACATTGTGATTTTAATTCCTCTAGTAAGAATGTCTGCGTAACCTATCTTCTGATACTGGTTTGTTTCTGCCGCTGCTTTTATTAATGATGTTGACATTGTGATATAATTCATATGTTCTGTAGGAAGAGGTGGCAAAAGAATTTGCCATCCCAGTACAATGCCAACGGTTCTGGCTGTGGGCTAAGCGTCAGAACCACACATATCGTCCAAATAGGCCCTTGACTCCGCAGGAAGAAGCACAATCTGTAATTGCTTCGCATATGTTCTTCTGGACCTTCTGATATCATACTTTTTTCATTTCTACGGCAAAGAGTCATCATTTTGAACTCCGTGGTCGTTGCAGGTTGGGCTATTAAGGGAAGTATCAAATAAGGCTCATAATGCTGAGCTTAAGCTGTTCTTGGAGGTGGAGGTTGGGCTGGTAAAAAGCGCTGTCATTTTAAAACATGTGATTATCTTCCTTAATTATTGGCTTTGTTTTTGGCTTAGTAGCTGATTAAGGACTGTTTTTGGTGGCCAGGATTTGCGTCCAATTCCTCCTCCTGAGAAGACCAAGGAAGATATACTGCTTTTTTTCAAGCTCTATGATCCAGAAAAAGAAGAGCTTAGGTAGCCATTGTTTTGTTGCGTATGAAATACACACAGGATTAACTCTTCCTGTGTTTGTGATGAAGTTTCTTTCCATGCATTCAGATACGTGGGCAGACTTTTTGTGAAGACAATAGGAAAGCCATTGGAAATTCTGAGGAAGCTCAATGAAATGGCTGGTTTTGACGCAAATGAAGAAATTGAACTTTATGAGGTCTTATTTATGATCCCTGTTGATTCCAGTCTTTTCTAATGTGGTCATGTTCTCTTACTAACGGGCCCTTGTTGTGTTTGTGACTGTTGGCGAAACTTCTTTGTGTAGGAAATAAAATTTGAACCCAGTGTGATGTGTGAACATATTGACAAGAAACTCACTTTTCGGTCTAGCCAGGTATTAGTTTTTCATTTTGCGGTAAATACTACTCAGCATAATTCGCGTTTTGTTGTAAGCCTTGTTTAAATGATGGACAGTATTCATACGTGCGTGAAAAATGCATGGAGAAGTTTGTCTACATTCGTGACAAACATTTGCAACTTGCTCTTTGCATTTTTCATTTACTTACTGGTCGTTTTAATTCCTACCATAAGTCTTTTACTAGACACTCTTTTTGAATTTTTTGCGATTCTTATTTTAACATTTCTGTTTTTGTTCTCTTTAGGCATAATTGAAACCTCTGGCTACATTCAAACTTTTTCTTTCTGATTTTGCTTTATGCAGATCGAGGATGGTGACATAATTTGCTATCAGAAGTCTCCTCTACCAGAGAGTGATGAAATGTGTCGTTATCCAGATGTCCCCTCCTTTTTGGAATATGTCCATAATCGCCAGGTATACTTATTGTATTATATTAAGAATTTAAGGTTGAACTATTCAGGCAGATATGAACCTCTTTTAAATTACGTCTATTGCGTAACTCTCAGTTTCTTGTTTTTATTCAAGGAGCATATCTTAGCTGACCGTAGGTTGAGATATTCTTCTGGTGGCATGGCCCTTCTTTATCTTCGCTCATTTTATTCATTCTGTCACAAACATATGTTCGGGTGCTCTTCTGTTGGAATGCCTTTTTCTTGTCTTAAATTGTTGTTACACTTTAGTTCTCTCATTTTCGGCTTGACACGTTTCAATTGCTCAATGAGGTATTGTAGTTTTTTGAAATTTTAAAGATGAAGTTGTCGATTGTTATTGACTCCCTCAGGCCGAATTTCTTCAAGATAAACCTGAGTGCGTATGAGAAAACATGACGACATACGCTTATGGATGTAATTTCCTTTTTCTGAGATTTTCTCAAAAAAAGAAAAAGAAAAAAAGATGACAACTCAAGAAAATGTACTCCTTGCAAATCTGTTCCATCACGTTAATGCTGGCTTGGATTATTGCTTGTTACTCTTTTATTCATAAAAGCATCCAGAATGTCTCAAACGACACCAGGATATGCACATACAATACGTTTTTCTTCGGTTAGAGAGATCATAGATGTTTCATGCGATATAAAGTCAATGTTCGTCGTTCATCTACATCATAAGCGATCATATCGCCTGTTTTACTTCGGATAAGATCATTTCATGGACAAGTGGATTCAAAACATTCAAGCTATTGTTCTTCGCCCTTGGATGTGAGACTCTGCGAATTCTTAAGATCCAGGGAGATATATCCACCATCTATGGATGCTTGTGCTCTTCGGGATTCTACTCTTACATGTATTCATGTAAGAGAATGTGATTTAAACTGATGGATGGATTTTTGTGAATCATTGAAGAGTTTGCACTACACTAGACAGTTTGACGAGGTACTGATGTAACAACGAAAAAGGGAACATCATACCTACACATTTCTGATTTGATTTACAAAATTAAGGTATACATTGAATACTAATATAAATGCTGTGTATGCCTATCTGTCACCCCATTCTTCGAAAAGAAGAAAACACTGATATAGGAGAGAAAGCAGCTTACAGCGAGGAGCTTAAACCACTAGTAAATCCAGTTGTTTTACTCTCTGGCCAATTTGACCCGATCTGACCCAGAATCGAACAGTTTTCCGGCAGCAGTGCTTCTATCAAAGGAAAATATTGAAGTATGATACTCAAGGGGAGGGTAGAGGATGAAGAGGTAAGAGAACGGTGGAAGAAGAGGAGAAATGATTTCTTAAAAATAAAATCACCTTAGCGAATGTTAGCAAAAGATTCACTATGTTTGTCACAAAGGAACTCATTCTGCCATGTGTCCTTTTTATTCAGTAAAAATATTCTTTACCCTTTTTTACTTGTATAGCAGGGGAGGCCTGTTTTTATGAGATTTCTATTAGATTGCTGCCTGGTCTCAGTTTGGTTCACTTCTGAGTTTCTTGGCACTGTGCTGTCAACCTATGTATCTGCTGAGAGTTCTCTTCCCTGTGTCACCTGCATAATCCTTTTGTACGAGGCCATCAATCCCATCGAATTGTTCTACTGGCAGATGTGAAAGGAAGAAAATGAGGAACGTCAGTCTAGTCTAGCGTTGGTGAAGCTGAGGAATTTAGTTTGGTACTATCATAATTGCCAATGTTAATTTCTTGAACATCGGGAGAAGACAAAACATGAGATTCTAGAGGCAGTTCTTTACAAAGAAAATGATGTTTAGTGGGATAATATATCTGTGGGTATATCCCATTGTCATGAAGATTATTTGGTTGGATATTTTAGGAAAAGGTTTTCAGAAAAATAGAACAGTGTCGATTCTCATCAAGTAGACTGCGAAGACAGCCCCCTATGTTCTGGATTATTCAAAGGTTTTCGAGGGTGAAGGATATGGCGCTCAGCAACACGTAGTGTAATAATTAAGCTTGGATACCTTAACTTTAAGGAACAGGTATTCAAGGTACTCAAGGGATAACTTTAAGAATACTTATCTCTACGTTAAGGATTTACCTTGAATACCTTTTATCCATGTTATTTGCATGTCATTGGATGGAAAAATACCATCCCAATGCGTTTGGTCTTTTCTGCGAAAGCTGAATTAGGCTTATCCATCTTTGATCCAATGGTCCTTTAATGTTTCGTGTGGAAACATGTGTCACTGTCTTTGGTGTGTATGATTATGGTGGGCATTCTGTATATACATACAACTGCTTTATTTATTTTATCGATCTTGTTCTGATATCACCTGGATCCTATAAAGTAAAATCCATTGTGAACTGGTTAGTGACCCATACCAACAGTCATACTGGCCAAGTAGACATCTTTTCTTGATTTACTTGGAACATTTATGTTCTTTTAGTTGACGATTGTAACTGTCTGATGCTTCAGGTTGTTCATTTTCGGACATTGGAGAAGCCGAAAGAGGATGATTTCTGCTTAGAGCTGTATGAACTCAAATTATGATGTTTACCTGAATTAATTTTGCATGTTACTATTCATTCAATTTCTTATGGATATTTTACTCTAGGTCAAAGCTCTATACATACGATGATGTCGTGGAAAAAGTTGCCCAACATATTGGTTTGGAGGATCCCACAAAAATTAGGCTTACATCGCATAACTGCTACTCTCAGCAACCTAAGCCACAGCCGATTAAATATCGGGGTGTAGAGCATTTATCAGATATGCTTGTCCATTATAACCAGGTTTGGATATCCTGTTTCTAAGTTTATAACAGTGATTAGTTTTATCATTCAGATATTTTTGTGGTTTGAAGCATTCTAAATATTTCCTTATGAAACAGACCTCTGACATATTGTATTATGAAGTATTGGACATTCCTCTGCCAGAGTTGCAAGGTTTGAAAACTCTGAAAGTTGCTTTCCATCATGCCACGAAAGATGAGGTTTGTACAATGTTGTATGTCACTTTTCTCATATTTTCCCAGCTACAAGTTTGGATCTACGTGTGAAAAAATAAACTGGTTGTTATCAGGTGGTGATTCACAGCATAAGATTACCAAAGAACAGTACAGTTGGTGACGTGATCAATGATCTGAAAACAAAGGTAATGTGTTCTTCTCTGACTTAGGATAAGAGGATCGTATTTTGTTTGAGTATTGCATTCTTTTTCACGCATGAAATCACTTTACACACTTTGAATATTCCCTCATGCTATTGTTGCTCTGTCGTCATTCTAAGTTATTGTTGTTTCTGGAATAGGTTGAATTGTCTCATCCTAGTGCAGAACTTCGATTGCTTGAGGTCTTCTACCACAAAATATACAAGGTACTATTGTGGGTATTCAATATCATTCTGTTTGAATTGGAAGGCGTTATATCAGTGGATGTCTCTAAGTTAAAAACTGACGGCATCTCTTAAACTACCAAATTAACAAGGAGTAAGTCGGCCCTCACTTAAAACCAACTTGACAATCATTTGTCTTATTTCTTGACCATAAGTTGATAGTATTTGGTTCTGGCAAATGTATGCTGAACAATCGGTAAAATATTCATATACTTGTTCTCTTACCGTTGCCAGCATGCACTAGGGTGTGCAGACCACATCTTAGGATAAAGCCTTATCTTGTTTTATTAGATGAATTTTGAAGACTTGATAATGGTATCAAGATTCCTCAGTTGATGGTGAACAAGTGTTCAGGTGCTTTCATTGTTCTCACGTTTTGTTATCGGATGTGGATAAGAGTCCGGCATTAGTATATCCTGTCAAGTAGGGCTTCCTAATGCCCCACTAACTTTGCTTTTGATGGATGCATAAAATTAGGGAGTTTGTCATTTTGAAAATGGCATGCTGAAGTTTCTCCCATTTTTTTCGTAGAATTTTAGCACTGATATTCTTTTATGCCAAATCACAGATACATTATGCCTCGTTGTGTTACCTTTTCTTCATACCTGTGAAGAATGGGCATTCTGTTATTTTTTTTTTAGAGATGTCCAACTGAGTGACTAGTGCCAAGATTTCCTATTTTGCTCTACCTGAAATATTGAGAACGGGCTTATCCATGGGCTCTATGGTTCAAGTAAAGGTGTGGATTTTTATCTTCGCTCACAAAACATTGTGCTGAGTGGTGAAATTGATAGCTCAACGAGGATTCTCGTGAAGATATTTTATTTACAATTTCGAAGATATTTCTCTTCTCTCTCTACTGGAGAAAAAAGTGGGTTGTCTTTACAGAGCGGAAAGTTACATCAATCGATTAGTGACTGGCAATTGTTCTCTATATTTTGTGCAATTGTTTCTCTTCTAGGGTATGGTATGGTTGTGATCCCAGATTGTTCTCTGCAGATCTTCCCTGCGAGTGAGAAGATTGAGAATATAAATGATCAGTACTGGACGTTGCGTGCGGAGGAGGTGTGTTGACTCCTTTTTTATTCGCTTTGCATAAGTTAAAGAACGAATCTCCTTTTGTGTCTCCCAGACCTGCGAATATGGAATCAGTGTTGTACAGCACGATTTGTGTGTGTTAGGATAATAAAAAGCATGACTTGAGTTCTTTCACAACACTGACCGTTACAAGTCGATGCAGGTCCCAGAGGAAGAGAAAAACCTTGGTCCTCAAGATCGCTTGATTCACGTGTACCATTTCATGAAAGATCCCCAGAATCAGATGGTAAATGGCGTTCCTCGCTCGCTTGGCATCTTTTGAGCATCAGTGGAGGGGAGGGAATGCTTTTTTTTTTCTTTTTTTTTTTTTTGTTTGTTTGTTTGTTGGTTGCATGGCATGATTGACCTTGGGCTCACCATTGTTTGACTGTCCACAAAAAACCCCACCACGGTTCTTAGCTCCACACGTCTCATCAGATGAGTTTTCCCTCAATATGGCATTCTGTTAAACAGCAGGTCCAAAACTTCGGGGAACCGTTCTTCTTGGTTATTCATGAGGGCGAGACCTTGGAGGAGGTCAAAGTTCGTGTTCAGAAGAAGTTGCAGGTGCCCGATGAGGAATTCTCCAAGGTATTCCAACAATCTTTATTTATTTATTTGGAGGGTATTTGCCGACTTTCTACCTGTTTCATCGCTATCACCAAGAATTTGCAAGAAATATGAGCCTTTACTACCTCCATACATCTGATCTAAAACCATGTTCTCTATTTTCTTTTGCGCCACTATTGTAAGTAATCCATCTGAGAAGGGCCCCAACCCACAATGCCATCAATAGCAGCACTGTTGAGGTCATGGTTCACCTTCACCTTGTATGGCAGAAGGTGTTCCGTTGTGCTTTGGGGATCGAGTCATGCCTTGGTGTGCCACGCGGCAGCAAAGTGGGCTTTGGTCAACGCCTGGATTCCACGTGGGTGTTAGATATCTAGGATCTGTGGGAGAAGATTAAACGCAGGGCCTTTATAGACTCGGGTTTATTTCTCAGCTCCCCGACGGGAGAAGATTAGGAGCTCAGAATAAGGCCAAACTCATATGACAACTTTTCCTTGCCCTTTGACCAGTGGAAGTTTGCGTTCCTGTCCCTCGGCCGGCCAGAGTACCTCAAAGACTCGGACGTGGTGTCTCATCGCTTCCAGGTCAACCTCTGCTCCGTGCTTCCCACCGCATACTTGTACTCTGTTCCGGTTATTTATATCTACTTTTCTTTTGCACACCGACTTCACAACCAGAGACGAGATGTCTACGGTGCCTGGGAGCAGTACCTCGGCCTGGAGCATTCGGACACCGCCCCAAAGAGAGCCTACACCGCAAACCAGGTACTCTCTCTCTCTCTGGTTCTTGAGTGGAGGGCATCGGGGTCAACTCTCCCTCCCTCTTAGAAGAACTATCTCAGGGTTTTTCATACATCTTTTTGGATTGGGCATTGGAGATGCGGCTCAAGTTAGCAGTCTGTTCGATCATCGACCATTTCCTGAGAATCAAAAGAGGCATCCGGGAGTTTATCTTATCGGGTTCCAATCATTTATTTTTTGATTTTGTTTTGTTTTAACAGAACCGCCACACTTTTGAGAAACCAGTGAGGATTTACAACTGAGAGCGGGGGATGAGGCAGAGCGCCGCCGCCGCAGTCCGATGCCTCTGGGGTCCCCCCCCAACCCTGTGACTCGTTCGCGGCTGCCAGAGGGGCTGCATCGGATTTCAAGGTCTGTTCAAGAAAGCCATAGAATCTGTGGGGCAATCGATGGTTTGGTTTGGCCTCTCCTGCTGTTGAGGCGAGGCCCCTGCATTTGTCGAGGGCTATGCAGAGCTCTTGAGCCCGACATGGTGGACGCTCTCTGCTGGGACGAGAGGACAGGCCACCTCGCCAGCTCCTCCCTCCCCTCCCCCCCCACTCCCACTGTAATTTAGTATATAAAGCAGCGGATTTTGGATCAGAGAATGTATACAAATGTAGCCGGGGTTTCTCTCTCTCTCTCTCTCTCTCTCTCATGGCCCTTGGTGTTTTCCTTTTTGGGTTTTTCTTTAGGACGTGTGTGGGGGGCTGTATAATGACGATGGAAGGGGACGGCCGTGAGGCCTCTTTACCCATTTTCTCGGCCAGCTTCCCAGGCTTTCTAAATTCATAACTTCCTGTTCTAATCTGTCTTCTGTCACACGCTCTTCCTAATCTCGTCTTCCCACAGAGGGCCTCCTCCCTAAACATGAGGAGTAAATCAACTGGGTTTCTCCCTGCTTTATCCAGCTCAGATTTTATCATATATATTCCATGAGGTTTTATTTTATCCGTGCGGCTTCTCCCCGTCTGTTCATCTTAATCTAAGGTAGATATCGGTCTTATTTCTATAACCCGCAAAGGCAAGGTCAATAAATATGCAAAGCCATCCCGCGAGTTGAAGATGGTGAACATGATGAACATTATGATGATGTGGGAGATTTTGAAGGAATTTAAGTGTGACGGAGTCCAAACAAGAAAACAAAATAAAATTGTAGGGCACTCGATTCCACATAAACAGTAGTTGAAAGCCGCATGGAGAGCGCAGTTAATGGCTTCTACCTAGCTAAGCCCAGCCACCAAGCCTCCCCTGCGGGTCGTAGCTAGTGAAGATGCGGAATTCGTTGCCAAGCTTGCTGGAATGACGGGGCCTGAACCCACAAGGCCGGAGCTTCAAGAGCTCCAAGGCTCTCTCCTCCTGCACCTCTCCTGCAACAGGATGATCCACCCATTTTAACCTCAAAATCATATATAAAAGATGAAGATCTCACCCCCCAACAGCAAAAGAAAAGGAAAAGAATGAGGAGACGGATCCCCATGAGAGATCAAGATTTCCTAGCTTGACTTTCTTTCTGTTTTTTTTTTCTGAATGAATTTCAAGTGAGTGATGATCATGAAAGAGGAACCAGCCGATCAAAAGGTGATCTGTCGTATGGAACAGAACTGAATTATCGACTGCAAGCTGAGAGATGGGCAAAAAAGGAAGACGAGGATAAGAGGAAGCAGATGGATGTTATGCTGATGGGTAGAACAGAACTATGCAGCAGACGATGGATGGCGGATCATATACGAGCGAGTGATGCAGAGATTTCCAGGTGGAGGGTTTCAGAGGGGAACCTGTGAGCAGGAGCAAGTATGAGTCTTCAGGCCGGGCAAGAAATGAGACCGTCCGGGCGACCTTCTCCAAGCACTCTTGACTCTGCAAGAACAGGAATGCCGCTTTCTCCTTAAAAGGGCAAGAACACACCGACCAACGACGTATAAAGGTAAATGGTGGAAGCAGTGAATGAAAGCGAGATACAGATTATTCCAAGTTGAGAGCGGTTACTTCTTTGAGGAACACTGAAAGTGCTGTCGACTTTGTCACTGGAATGCTATTTAGTACCATGGAAAACGATCGTAATTGTTATTTTTTGTTGTAATCTTTAATCTTCTCAGGGAAACGTTCGATGATTTGGGGGATGAAAATCGGATGAGATTGAAGCCGTGAAAATAATCGATACTGGTCGTCTAAAAGCACTTACCAGGTAGGGGGGATCTGCGATGACAACTTGGTAAGCGTGCCGCATCACTGATGGGAGCTCATACGGCTTGTTGTAATCATAGAACGTGAAATCAGCGCCGTATTGCTCAAACCGCCTGTCGAACTCGAGCAGATGCACAGCGATGCTGGGATCCATCTTCTGGCGTTTGGGCCAGGAATTCCATGTTCAGCAGACAAGATGACCACCGAAATGCAAGAAGGAAGAAACAAAGAGCGAGCCATAATCGGTCATGAAAACGGATGACGAAATTCCAAGATCCGTAGCGTCCGGAAAGGTCTAGGGTTTTGGTTATGAAACTGGAGATCTCTGCCAATACCAAAGAGGAACGAGAACTGTAATCGTCTGCAAACTTCGGAATCGCCGGAATAAATCACGATCGATTTCGGTAGAGCTCGCAGAAGGACCGACCAAACTGTAATTCGTCTGAGATTATGAATATGACGAATCTTACGATTGAAGAAGAAACTCGTAGGAATATAAATTCTTCGAGCCGCAGGGATGGAAAAGCGACGAATCAGGTACAAATGTGTGTGGCACAAATCCACATAAATCAATCGGGAAACTGTTCTCGCCCGTTGAGGAGGGACTCCGCGAATGTACCTTGAGATAGGTGTAGATAGTGGGGCAGGCGATGCAACCGACGAGGCACGAGGAACCTGCCGCGGCGCAAAGCACCATGATCTCCTCCGCAACCGTCCTCGCCGTGTCCGGATCGTACCAGAATTGACTCAGTCGCCAGTCCTCCGAGACTAGCTCAACGGCACAGTCCCCTTCCGCATCATCCCCCCCCGTGGGGACACCAGTCTCCTGCTGCAGCCTCTGCTGTTCGGCGAGGAACTCCGTCAGGGCTTCCAGAGCTCGAGCGCTGAGCAACGGCCGGGAATCATCCTCTTCCCCCTCCACAGCTTCCAGCGTCGCCGCCGCCCTCTCGCCATCGTCTCCCGTAACGGCCATCGTCTCCGTCCGAGATGGGAGGGGGTTTAGCGGAGGGGAAACGTCATGTCACGTTGGGGTTTCAGAGCAGCGTCCGAGAGTAAAAAGCGAATATGCAAACTTTAGTCGCCAAAAAGAAGAAACAATCTTTGCAGGGGGCATCGTAAACTTAACTCGGCCTCTTCCTCCAGGCTGCAGAGATGAGCTCTGAAGAAAATTCTGTGAAAGCTACGGCCAGGGAGAGAGGGGAGAGAGAGAGAGAGAGAGAGAGAGGGAGAGGGTCCGGAAGAACAAGAAGATAGATAATCAGCACAGACAACAGTCGTAGATCCCGCCGTCCGCAGAAATTGCAAATGGAGAAAGGATGCCGTCCGACCCATCTTTCTCTCTCATGGGACTATCTCTCTCTCTCTCTCTCAAGGGCTCACGCTCCCCTTGCGGGGCTTCGTCGTGAGGCCGAAGCCGAAGGGGAAGAGCGGGTCGTAGTGGGGGTCTCCGACGTTCATCGGGAGCTGCGCGGGTGACCTGAACCAGGTGCGCGCCAGCTTCCCCGAGAAGCCGTAGTCCCCGAACAGCACGTCCGCCACACCCTGCCCCTCCGTGCCGGGAAGCCACGCCGCTACCAGCGCGTCCACCGCCCCCATGAACGGCTCCACCACGACCGGCCGCCCCGTGACCAGTACCACCACGCACCTCACGCTGCCGCCGCACGCCGCACTCACCGCGGCGCCGCCCGGCTCCGTCACGGTGAGGTTCTGACTGTCGCCCTTCGTCTCCGCGTAGGGCGTCTCCCCCACCGCCACGATCGCGTAGGAGAAGCCGCCCTTCTCCACGAAGCTCCGGTCGGGGCTCTCGGAGAAGACCACCTCCGTCGACGGCGTCACCGCCGCTCTCACGGCGGCGAGGATCGTCGTCCCTGCTCCGGCAGCCGAACAAACAGAAGAGAAGAGAAAATCTCGGGGATCAAAGGAAAGAAATAACACCGGCAGAAGATCTGGGGAAGAAGCAGGGCCGGAACTCCGCACCAACGGTGACGTCGTTGCCGCTGACTCCTTGCCACTCCATGGTCCAGCCACCGCACTGGTAGCCCAGGTTGTCGGCGTGGCTGCCGGCGACCAGGATCTTCGGGGCGCTCTTGGTCAAGGGCAGCAGCGGCTCCCCGCCGTCCTTGCCGTTCTTCAGGAGAACCAGAGACTTCCTCACCGCCTCCCTTGCCAGCTCCCGATGCTCCTGCCCACCACCCACAACCCAGAAATGTCAATTCACCATCCACATGTATATACACAGAGATGAAGGGTAGATAGAGAGAGAGAGGAGATGGGTAGAGAGAGAGAGAGAGAGAGAGAGAGAGAGAGAGAGAGAGAGGACCGGGCTTCCGATGTGGCTGGCGAGGGAGAGATCGGAGAGGGGGCTTTCGAAGAGGCCCATGGTGAACTTGACCCGGAGGATCCGGCGGACGGCGTCGTCGATGCGGCTTATGGGGATGAACTTGTTCTGAACGAGGAAGGTCAGGTTGCTGATGAATCCTCGGTAGTCGAAGGGCACCATGATCTGAATGGAGCAAGGAAACCATTTTTACGCACCAGAAACAGATTTCTGAGATCTAAGCGACTGAATATCATAGAAATTTTCCGATCGAATATTGTTGACCAACCATGTCAAGCCCCGCATTGATCGAAGTCAACACGGAGTAGGTGTAATTGGCGCCGGGGGGGGAAGTAATCCGATCGATCCCCTGCCAGTCTGAGATCACGAACCCCTGGAAAGATCCATATGATTTTTTCAATGCCCGTCAGAAAAATCCCACAGCCCCCGTCGATCGACGAACAGGAATTGACGAAAAATTGAAGCTTGAGATTCTTTTTCTGACCCGGAAGCGGAGCTTGTTCTTGAGGAAGCCGGTGACCAGCTCCCGGTTAGCGTGCATCTTCTTGCCATTCCAGCTCGAGTAGGAGATCATGACCGTGGAGACCCCCTTGACGACTGCGCGGTAGTAGCCGGGCATGTGGATCCCAAGGAGTCCACGCTGGTCAATGATGGTGTTGTCCTCGTTGACCCCGCCGGTCGTCCCGCCGTCCCCCACAAAGTGCTTGGCGCAGGCTGCCACCTTCTCCCTGCCCAAGAGTACGATCGAGGTCAACGCCATTCAATTACAGGGCGAGGGGAAGGAGGAAGGAGGAGAGAGGAGGTCAACGTCCTACTTTCCGGCTACGAAGGGAACCCCCCTACGGGAGTCCGCCGGGAGATCCCCCTGAAGCCCGGGGATGATCTCCGTCATCATCTCCACGATCTTGGGGTCCTCGCTGTAGCTCTCATAGCAGCGCCCCCACCTCGGATCGCGGCAGACCTGGTCAAACCCACCCAGACGGGCCAATTCGAATCAAATCGGATGAACATATCAAATCGGGCGATCAAATTTTCTGAGAGCTAAAAAAATATGCTAGATTTCTTTACGGCGATGCACGGCGCGAAGGCGTACTGGATGCCCGTCCCTCTGACCTCCAGCGCGGTGGCGGCGCCGATCTTCTTCACGAGCTCCGGGTCCCTGACGAGATAATTATCAGAGAGAGAGAGAGAGAGAGAGAGAGAGAGAGAGAGAGAGAGAGAGTTGCCTGGTGACACCGAGGCCGACGTTGTGGGGGAAGATGGTGGCCTTGAAGACGTTGTTGTGGCCATGGACAGCGTCGATGCCGTAAATCATCGGAATGCCGAGGCGGGTCGAGAGGCTGCCCTTCTGGAGCCCATTGACCATGTCGAGCCACTCCTTGGCGGAGGCCCGCGCCGCCGGGACGCTCCCGCCGCCGCTCAGCACGCTCCCTAAAGTCAAAAACCACCGGACATCAGCCCCATCCGCCGCCGTTTTCCCAAGATCATCATCATCATCATCATTCATCAGGCCCCTTACCAATGGCGTACTCCTTCATGACGTCGGCGGAGGCGACGGCTCGCTCGATCTGCGTCATCTGCCCGATCTTCTCGGAGAGGGTCATCCTCTTAAGCAGGTCCCTCACGCGGGCCGCCACCGGCTTCCTCGGGTCCTTGTACGCCGGCTGGCGGGCTCCAGCGAGCGGCGCCGCCAGAAGCAGGAGCACAAGGCCCAGCAATGGCGTTGGCGGCCGGCCACTCCCCATCCTGTCCCCCTCCCCTCCCCACCTGATTCCTGTTCGTCGACGCAGCAAGAAGACAGTGAGAGTGAGTGTGTGTGTGTGTGTGAGAGAGAGAGAGAGAGAGAGAGAGAGAGAGAGAGAGAGCCATGGCGCCGGAGGAGCAGAGAGGGGAGGAAATGCGATCGATTGCCGATCTGTAAATGGTTCAACGAACAAGTAGAGTTCGATTCAGAGGGAGATTTTTTTTTTATGTAAAGTAGGGGGGAAAAATTACAGCGACGGGGGTTGCTCGATCGGGCAATGCGTACCGAATCTTCGATGATAATTAATCATCCAGGGTAGTGATTAAATCGGACGCTGAAGAGCGGAGAGGGGGCGTCTGTCATCGTGGGAGGAGAGTGAGACACTAGTTGATGAGCACGACAGTAACCCTATAACTTCATCGAAGCCGGTGCAGGCGGGCAACGGCGGAAGGAACTGAAACGCAGAAGAAAGCTCGCCATTGATGTGCGGAGAAGGGTCCCGGAGAGGGAGCTCCACAAGACCCTCCAGGATCGGCCGGCTTTGCCGTTTTCCAGGCGAAAAAGGAAGGGATAAGGGGCCTCAGATGGGGAAGGCCTACAGAGATGGGCCGAGAGGAAGAGGATGGAGGGAAGAGAGGGAGAGAGAGAGAGAGAGGGAGAGAGACCTTCGGAGGACGGCGCGGTTGCTCGCTCTCTGCAGCCCCTCCGTGTGCGGCGCGGACACGTTCGACACGACCGTGAGAACGGGAGGAGGTTATTTATATCCGTCGCGGCCAGTGAGGGAGAGCCTCTTGAAAAGATCAGAAGATGGATACGGGCAGTGACCTGTGGAGAGAGAGAGAGAGAGAGAGAGAGAGAGAGAGAGGGATGCTCTTGTCCTGGTCTTCAGCACAGACACTAGCGGACGGGGTTTCCCATACCGTCCATGATCGACTTCAAACCCATTTAGTTGAAACTTAAACCTGCCTCGCCTATCCTCTTCCCAGATTTAGTTCAGCTTATCCACATCTCCATACCTTTTCAGAGAGCCAGTTCCTCTGGTTTCTCTCTCTCTCTCTTCTTCTTTTCAGATTAATGGGTTTATTTTCACGTAATCTGAGAATCTGAGAATCTGAGAACGGAGGCACAAGCTCGTGAGAGGCGCAAAGAACACATCCTTTATAGGGGGAAGAGCAGAAAGGCGGAGTCTTTGCATGGGCTCCTAAGGAAGGCCTTTTTCGCAACGAAACAAGCGTAGATTAACTATATGTATATAAAGAGAGGTAAAAGAGAGAACTATTCAAAATAAAGCGGGAGATCTTAAATTTCTTTAGGAACGACAAAGATTCCCCAAAACTCCCACTACGCGGCGATTGGGGCAGTCCTGGGCCCACACTGTAACGGTTCAGTGTTTTTTTCTAAATGCCCCTCATTTTTCTAATATGTTCTCTTATACCAACGACGCTTGGCCGATTCTTTTTCCGGAGCTTAGGTTTAGAGCGATTCTGGAAAATCTGGTAAAGTGAGAATCGCCCGCCGCCTGCGTTTCCCGAATGAACATGCGTCGCACCTGCGAAAAAGCGATTCCCCCAGCCGAACAGTATTATCGATGGGGCGGGTCGGGCCTAAGGTTTTATTACGAGGCCTAAGGTTGTATTACGAGGCCATTCGCCAACATGAACCAGGAGGGAAGCCCGAAAAACGACATTCAAGCCGTGGCCCATGAAGCTCTGCCCGGTCCGAAAAACCCTCTGCTTGCATCTATCCTACCTAGCTAGAGAGAGAGAGAGAGAGAGTGCAGCTTGGGCTCAGTTTTTAGTGTTCTTGAAAAGCATGACAGGCATAAAATAAAATAAAAATGAAATAAGATATATTTTTAAAATGGATCATGCACCGAAGACCATCAATCGTGGAGGGCCGTCGATGGGTCGGGGCAGGCCCGACCGAGTCGGGTCCCAGAGAAAAGCCCGACAAAATGGGCTCCGCAAATCCGCCAGCTTTTTACGCAATAAATTCTGAAGCGTTTCCAAACGCTGCATACGCTAATTTATTTGAATAAACTGTCGAGAATTGTCAAAAATAAGAGATTCCCAGAAGAATTGTCAACACCGACGGCCGTGATCTGATCAGGGAGATATCTGATGACCAGGGGAGCTGCAGCAAGGTATTATGATGATGACGATGATAAAATCAGAAAATCCCAAGAACAATAATAGAAGATAACACAAGGATGATAAGGGGAAATAAAAACAATGATAAATTGGTATTATTATTATTAGTATTATTATTATGATCGTTATAATGAAACAATAAGCAGAGGCTACAAGCTGATTTCAAGAGTCTACCACCGTCTAACGCTGAATTTACACTGGGATCTCTATAGAGGAGGAAGGAAGCCCTCCTCGTGATGGTTGGTCGGTCGGTCGGTCGGTCGGTCTGTCTTTCTTTCTGTCTGTCTGTCTCAGGACTTCTCCTCGTCGGATTGAGAGGAGGGTCCGGTGATGTTGTCAACAAAGTAGTCCTCGACTGCAAAATAAATATAGCACCCAAAAATTACTGAATTTAATCCGGTGATGATATGATCCGTGCCTCTCGTAAGAGAACTACCTATGTCGTCTTGATCGGGGTCGAGCATGATCTCGCTCTCGTGCAGGAATGGGGAGCCGGTGTAGCTTCCGAGGTCCCCCAGGTCTGCATAATCAGCCAATGATCAGACCATGATTTGCCGAAATTAGGATGTCTCGACACAAGTGACACATAATGATGACGATGATGATGATGATGATGATGATGACGACCATAGTAATGATCTTGTGGGTATTTCATAAGCTGGCGATCCCAGATAGTATCATATAATTTGAAAACTTGAGGATTAAAGAAAATGCAAAAATGTATGTGTGTGTGTGTGTGAGAGAGAGAGAGAGAGAGAGAGAGAGAGAGAGAGAGGGAGAGGAAGAGAGAGAAAGAGAGGAAAAGAGAGAGAGAGAGAGGGAGAGGAAAAAAACAGTGCTGGATGCTGGGCATCTCTCAAGAAGGTTACCTTCCAAATTTGTCAGATCAGCGGTGAGGTCAGTGAGGCTGAAGGTCCAGGGGAGCTGGCCCCCTGACTGGAGGGTGTCCTTGGACGAACCTTCGCCGTCAAACCCGAGCTGGATGTCCCCCTTGGCCCCTACTACATCAGTGGTGAAGGCAGAGTCGAGCACCGAGGAGTCGATTCCCATCCCTGAGATGTCGGCTGGCGTGAAGGGAAAGTGCCCGCACGATGCCACCGAGGTGGGGCTCACCGCCATCTCAGACATGGACGACATGGCATTGCAGGGCGGGGCCGGGGGCACGTCGGCTGCATTCTCGCCCACCATTTCCCTTCAGGTGAAGACACCATCAGCACCTCGTTGGCAAGAGATTAATAACTAGGTTATCTATGCATTTTCTTTCCCCCAAACTACGCGACTCGGGAAGGCCACATCTTTCAAGGGAATAGAGAACCTACCCATTCATGGAGTGGACCCGGACCGGGTGAAAGCCACCTGGTGCAGGGAACCCATTGACCACGTGGCAGTTGGGCAACCTCATGGGATCGAGATGGGGCTGCGTGGCGGCAGGCATCGCAGGCTGCTGCAGCACGGGGTACCCCATTGGTAAATTGCTTGCTGCACTGTGAAAGACTGATGCTGAATAATAATGATCCACTTACTCAGAACATCAAAAATATGCAAGTACCCATGTGCAATAGCAGCAAAAAAATTCATTAATGAAGCTCTCATATTAAAGATATGCGTGGCTAGAAGATCAAGCTTCCATCCAACAAGACAAAAGCCACCGCGAGGAGCTATGTGAAATTCTAGCAAGATATTCCAGCCAATTTCATGCAATTTCGGCTCTGCATTGCTGGAAATTAAGTAGCCATCCAAAAAGATTAAACCGTACAAGGAGTTTCCGCATGCACCCATGAACACTCATAGAAAAAAAAATAAAAGTCGGGGATTCCATATCTAATGCTATTTATAACTAGGGATTAAGCTTGTGAAAAGAGAAGACTATGCAGGAAAATTTTATTTTTAAAGCTTTCCAGCGAGAGAACAATGATTGCAAATAATTGCTTCAGTATGAGGAGTTTAAGACAACAAACTCTTCCACCTTAGTTGAAAGTGTCTTGTCACGGATTAAATGAAAAAAAAAAGGGTTCTCGTGAGAAATCTGGCTAAGAGAAATATAATTCTTGAAGCCCCAGATGTTCTCATGACAATGAACTTGCCACCACCGTCAACCATTTCCTTATTATTGCCCAAGGGAAAAAGGTGGTAGAACCATCTGAAACTGTTCCCTTTGTCTTCGGAAATTTGCAAGCATATATCTATGTATATATAGTGGATCAGGAGTTGGATGGCAAGCTCCAATAGCTTTGGAGGGGATCCAGAGAAAAATAATATTTTCCCCTTTTATGTGTGGGCGAGAGAAAAAAACTCACATGACTTATTCAGATATTGAAATTTTTGTTAGGGAGTACGCCTTGCCTCATAAAATAGTAATCCACAACAAATAATAGACAACCTATTCATTTAATTTGCATAATAAATAAATAAAAATAAAAGTAGACACCCGAGTCTCAGGGTGGGCGAAAAATTACCAGGAATTGGATGAACGCCATTCTGCATGGGAGCCATTGGCACCTTGGGAGGCGCTGGGTACTTCATCAGATGGTATTGGTGCTCAAGCAAGTTATTGAAAAGCAGAATCTGCTTCTTGAGCTTCAATCTTATGTAATAAGCCCTGAAAAACTCGGCATTCTCCTCCTCCAGCTTCTGCCAAACTTGATCAACAGAAAAGGTATAATAAAGCTCTCTTCCCTTCTTAAAATTACTAGAAAGATATTCAAGTGGCAGTAAGGGATAGTCAGACAATTGCAGAAGACTGGTCTTCCAATCCATTAAAAATAATTTTAAAGTATAAAGCATATATTACACCATTAAGTATGGTTAATCTCTACACAGAGAGTAAATGCAAGACATAATGAATTACCCATTCAGGAATATATCTGTTAAAGTAACTCTGGGGAAATTTTATCATGAGGCAACTTACCGAGAGTTGTAAACCCTGGCTCTATTCTAGCGCGAGTAAGAAGAATCCTCACTACCTCATTTCTATTCATGTACATGAGTAGGCAGCGTTCGATTAGATTCTGCACCTAAAAAAGCAAAAGAAAGCACTCACATAAAGATGGCTGAACATGCAGGAGAGGATCAGGAGAGAGCATTTTTCAAAAGTCTAGTACATATGAGAGAAACCTAATAATATTTATAAGAAATAAGAAAACTAGATTGTCTTACAAGTTCTATGTCCTCCCGGGAAACCTTTTTATTATTGTCGATGCTCAAAATCGAAGCTGACTCCGCCATGGGAGCATCAGTCCCTGAATTGTTCTGTCGGTCATGCTGAGATTCTTGGGACACCTGCGATGAGTGTTGTTGATCTTCGGTTGCCCCTTGAGGATCCTGCAGAATCTTCTCCCAGTTGATTACTACTAGATCAAAGCAAGCATAAGAAAGAACATCTCCATGCTTGTAATATCCAAGGCCTTTTCCTTAGAATGCATCAATATCTAAAAGAATTCCGCCCCAAAATTAGCATACTCGTTGAAGATCAACATTCATGGCAAATTATTACGAATATGCAGGTAAGACCGATTTTTTTAATTTTTCAGGCGTGCATAAAATAAATAAATAAGTGGTTAATCTTTTTAGCTTCATATCATTTTGAGTTTCCCACTGTATGATCATCACATAGGTGATGATTGATCGCAGCAACTCAAATTAAACCTTCAAGCACAAGTCATCAAACGATATCAGTCTTGCACAGGAATCAGGAAAACAATTAAATAGGAAACAATTTAATACATAATTTGACATTTTTTTTCTATTTTTGGCTACATTTTTCGCATTGATGGCTCTTCCATAGATCTATAGGGTGCCTTTCTGACACCTTCCTCACCTGTGAGGCCTTCATTTTCCAGTGATCAAATTCCTTCTTGTGACAAAGATGTAAGGGCCTCCTGCAGACGAAGAAGCAGTCCATTATTGGATGCAGTCAGTGCAAGGAACATTCTCCAAAAGGGAAAATAAGAAGCAGAGTAGTCATTCATCCGCAATATATCTTCAAAACCATAATAATAATAAGAGCAACAAAAATAGTAATAATAATAAGAAGAATTGGGCCACATCAATGCCGCTGAATAGGGCCATATTTGTTTCTAAATACTATTTTGTGCTTCTCTTCTCCCTTTTCAGCAGGCATTGCAGGTAGAAGAACAGTGAGCTCCTCCCCAAAGAGCATTCATACATGACACCTAGCTCCTATTTCTTTTATCCTTGTACTTCAGAGCTCTAAATCTAATTTTTTGCAGCAGAATAATAAGTAGTTTCGATAATATTGACAAATCTGCTGTGTGAGAATCCAAGTTGAATAATTCTGATGTGGGCTTGCATTATCAGACTGGGGAAGAGACGAATTAGGAACCATTGGGATGACGTTGCCCAACCGGGATAGACGTTGCCCTCTCCATCCTCAAATAGATTGCTTTAGAATAATCCCAACCGGGATGAGCGGAAGAGAAACTACAACCCAGAGAGAGAGAGAGAGAGAGAGAGAGGGAGGCAGGCAGGGAGAGAGAGATGGAGGATCCGATGGAGGTGGTTGAATTCGAGCAGATGAATATCTCAGCGGAAACAAACGCAGGGAGAGGACGACTCTTGCTGAAGCTGGGGTTTTTCTATAATTTTGGGACGAATCCAGGCAACAATGCAGCATGGAAACGATTGTCGGCAGATTCCGGCGGCAGTCCCCGCTTGTTTCTGATTCTGAGCTCAGAGAACAGTGACAGGGAACAGTGACAGGGCTCAAGATCTTCAAAACCCCGAGAACAGTGACAGGGGGTAGATATCCAGAACGACCAGAGGATTTGAGGAAGGGCGGCAAATCTTCCGGTTGAAATCGGTTTCTCCGGTGCAGATTGCTCCGCCGAGGTCGGCTGAGAGAGCGGCATTGGGAATTGCACGCCGCCGGGGAAGGTACGGATGCGGCAGTCAGAGAAGGGATGTCGGCGACTCACCTGTGAAGTTGGGGTGACCGCCGAAGAAGCTAGACGACCATCCTCCGAGCAGGAAGCTCCTCGCGGCTGCTCTGGTTCGCCGGAGATGGGGATGAGGGAGGAGTTCCAGGAATAACAGATATCTGCAGGAGAAAGGAAGGAGCAGGGAGGCCAAGAGATGGGCACGAGAAGTGATGGGTCAGGCCGACGAGCCTGTGCTCAACACAAACTAGCTCGCACAGAGAGAGAGGGAGGGAGAGATAGAGTAGAGAAAGAAAGAGATGGTGATGAGGCCGCCTGCGCGTGTCCATTGCTTGGATTTGGACCCTTCACACTGTAATTAGTGGACCCCCCCCCTTGCGAGGTCGAATGAGAGAGCGGGGTTGGGTGACTAACCTCCTCCCCTTCTCTCTCTCTAGACAAGATAAGATCGCAGGCCCGGCCGGCCAACAAAAAATGTCACCTGAAGAAGTTTTGGCCTCTTAAAAGCCCCAGAAGCTCCGTGTCCACCCCCACCCCCCGCGTTCTCTCTCTCTCTAAACCTCCGTCAGCACCCGCAGGAGGAGAAGATTTTTATGGACATTTCAACGTGGCGAGGGTGAATTTCTAGGGTTCGACGGACGGCGACAGGATTCTCGGCGCGCCCTGCGGAGGAGAGCGAGAGATTTCTCGGCTTGCGGTAATGGGGGGGGACTGCTTGCTGCCGCGGCAAGGAACGAACGAAAGGCCGGACCGGCGGAGGGACTGCATAATATCTCTCTTGTTTTCTTCTGCGGCGCCGGCCTCTCCAAATAAAAAAACTCTCTCTCTCTCTCTCTCTCTCTCTCTCTCTCTAAGGCTCCCCTTCCCTTCTCCGAAACCTCTCTCTAAACTTCAGTTTTCTCACAAATTCCCTCTCCACCACGTCTCCTTCTTCCTCAAATCTCCGTAAAAAGTCCCTCTCTCTCCCTAGAGCTCTATGCTCTCTCAAGAAAGATACTCTCTCTCTCTCCAACTGTCGCTCCCATTAAATGCCGAAAGCCGGTTTGGTCACAGGACTCCGCACTTGCCGGCCGTGCGAATGAGGATTCCTCATACTCCTCCCGTGAACTGGGAGATTAAACCTCTGATTGCGTTCATCGTCATCCTCGTCCATGACCACCATTAATTCCAGGAGAGAGAGAGAGAGAGAAGCTCGTCCTCATCCAGTATACGGACGTGACCATATCTCTCTCTCTCTTTCCGATAACTCGCAGTGGAAGGCCAGAAACAACGTGATAATCAGAGGCACCAATAAGAAAAGGCAATGGAGAGAAGGAGAGAGAGAGAGAGGCAGAGGGAGAGAGAGGGGGACCGTGATATGCAGACGACAGAGCATCTGAGGGACGGAGATAGAGATAGAAAGAGAACTGTGCCGGGCGGGAACAAACGGGTCAGAAACACAGTCGTCTACAGAGACAGAGACAGAGACAGAGAGAGAGCGAGAGCGAGAGAGAGAGAGAGAGAGGGCTGAGTCGGAGAGGGAAAGGGACGGCGGCATGGGTCACCCGTCGTTTAACGGCCACGGCTGCCGGCCACGGACACATGCCGGCAAGTGGATGGGGCCGGTGGCGCCACCACCGCCCTCCCACCGGATCTCGCAGAGATCTCCCGGAAAACGATATCCTTGGAAGCTAGGAATTTTCTCTCTCTCTACTCCTTCCCTCCCCCTCTATGACTCGGCTCATCCTCCCCTCACCACCCAATAAATAAGTAGCCCTCTCAGCCAACCAACGGTGGTCCCAGCCTCGGCCCCGCACCACCGGACCACATTTCCATCATGGGCCTCAAATTCAAGCCCAGAAAAATTAATTGGCCCAATTTCTGATTCATGATCAAATCACTGGCCCATATCTCTCTCTTCTCTAGGCCTGGGCTGAGTCTCTCTCTAATGGGTCAACGCTATCGAGATATATATATGTATATATGGTGGAATCATGGAGGCCACGTGTCAGACCAGACCCACCGGGGAGGAGCTTCGCCGGAAGGTCGGCAGGGAGAAGCGTGGAGCTCAATCAAGACCGCCCCCCGTTCTCTCTCCGAGAAGAGAAGGGAGACCTTCCTCCTTCCTCCTCCCCAAGCTAAAGGAAACCGTAACTCCGCAGAGAATCGATTCATCCTCCGGCGGAAGGAACCTCCGAAGAATCGCCGCTTCCATCCGTCTTCTTCCTCGCCGGCGCCGGCGTCCACGGGTATAAAACCCTTCCTCTCCCCAGTCCATGGCTTTAAGCCCGACTCAAACCCTTTCCGCTCTTCCTCTCCCTGTCTCTGCCTGTCTCCTCCTCCCTCCATGGACTGGAGATCAGTCCCCACCGCGGACTCAGAACGGGAGTACGAGAATGTCGATCCTCCCTGCCAGACGTTCGCCGAGGAGGAGTGGGACCGCTTCCTCGTTGACCTCACCGGTGACGAACTCTCTCCTCCTCCTCCTCCTCTGTCATGATCTTACAGTGGAAGGGCTCTCACGGCTTCTGGTTCGTGGCGTTAGGGTTGAAGAAGGAGAGGGAGTTCAAGAAAGAACACCTGAGGGTGAGGGTGGACGGCGGGGGCATCAGGCTGAGCGGCGAGCGGCCCCTCGGCGGCGGCGGCGGCGGGCGGTGGCTCCGCTTCGAGAAAGTCTTCCGCATGCCGGAGGGACGGAAAACCGACGAAATAAGGGCCAGATTCGCGAATGGCGTCCTCTCCGTAGTCGTCCCCAAGTTGAAGAGCAATAGCCAGATCGCAGCCCAGCCAGCGGCGGCCGCAGTGTCTCCTCCTGCAGCTCAGAAGCCTCTCCCTCCGCCGGTGACTCCGGCGCCAGAGGAGGGCCAGGTGAAGACCAGCAAGCCGACCAAGGACCAGGGAGACGTCCATCGGGAGGATTTGGCCGCGGCAAAGGATGCCGGCAGCAGCGCCGGAGAGAAGGCGGGTTCCAGCAAACGGCGGCCACCAACGGGGGCGGTGGTGGAGATGCGAGAGAGGCGCCAGTGGACAGCAGTAAAGGTTGCGATCGCGGCGGCTGCGGCGGTGGCGGTGATGCTGATTGTAGGGCTCGGCTTCTATCTCAGAGGAGGGTTCCCAGAGAGCCTGGAAGATCTACCGCCGCCGGAGAGCTTCCCAGAGTACTACTAACCGATCTCCTCCCCCTTCGTGGACAATGCACAAATAAATAATAAGCAAATGCCGATCTTATCCCTTCTCTCTCTCTCGCTAGAGAAGCGGTAAATGGGCCGACTGATTACATGGATTCAGTTAAAATTGGCCCAATAAGGAAACCCACCTTGTTTTTTGGGCGATGGAGGGGCTACGGATCCATTCGGCGAGGGCCCAATTAATAAAACAAGTAAATGGGCGTAGTCCTCCCTTGATAATGGGTCTCGCCGGACCCGAAGGCAAGTGGGACTTTGGAGCTAAACCAACACAACGACTTGCAGTCTCCCGCGACCCAAAAATAGAAAGAAACAACACAACAAGCCCTCCGTCTCCCTTCTTCACAACCCCCCTCCTCCTCCCTCCTCCCTCCTCCACCACCGCCACCATGGACAAGCTTCCGCCGCCGGGGACGGCAGCGGGACCACCCCCCTCCACCACCTTCGTCCACGCCGACGCCACCAGCTTCCGCGAGGTCGTCCAGCGCCTCACCGGACCCCTCGACGAAGCTCGCGGCGGCGCCACAGTCAGGCCCCCGTCGCCACCGGTAAGGGCCCCCCGCCCCGCGGCGGCGCCGCCTGGGCCGAGGGTGACGGGGCTCAAGAGGCCCTTCGGGCTCCAGGAGCGCCGCCAGGGTCCGCCGAGGCCCGCCCTCGTCATTCCCAACCCGGTTGCCGTCCAAGGGTTGACCTTTACGCCGGTGACCAGCCCGGGGATAACGTCACCGTCTTCTCCGTCGATAGCGGGCCGGTGGAGCCCGCTGACCTCGCCGTCGACTGACATGGCGAAGCTGTCCATCGTGGAGGAGGCGGCGGCGGGGCAGGAGAAGCTGAACGAGGCGGCAGAGGAGCGGGCGATAAAGGAGAAGAGGTTCTACTTGCACCCTTCGCCACGGTCGTCCGGGCAGAGGACGGCGGAGCCCGAGCTGCTGCACTTGTTCCCGACGACCTCGCCGGCCATTGGGCCATAATTTCTCTCCTTCAAGGGCTCAAATTAAATATGATTATTATCGTTATGCTACCATATATTTCGATTTGGGCCAGCTTTTCATCCTCAAATTATACCTTCATGACGACGGTGAAGACGACATTTTGAAACAAGTTTTCATGGATATTTTTGGTTGAGGGGGGTTCCTAGACTTATGGAAATCAGATTTGTTCAAAGTAATTCCTACACTGCCACGTGCCTGGCTCTCTTGCCTCCATGTGGCATCAGGCGCACATGCTTCTTCTATGCTACGGTTGGTAATGCCTCATCTTGGCCTCAAATCTGATCACTTGAATTCCAAAGTTCTAGCCCTAGTGCTCCCCATTGACGCCAATGTATCTCACTCATAGAGCTTTTCTGAAAAAAATATCTAACGTATCATTCATAGAAATAAAGTTAATACGATGGCAAAAACTATGATTTGATTAAAAGCACGATGATGGTAATTTGGGATTGGAAAATAGAAAACACAATTTGAGAATGTTTTTCATTATCACTCTAATGAAGAATTTTCATTTCTATTTATGGATGGAAGAATAACATTGAAAAGGAATCAGTATATGGAACTAAACATATCACATTCAAAAAAGCTTTGACTAGGGTATAATTTCATGTAAATTAAAATGAATTCATTATTAGAAAATGACATGAATTTGCTAACAATTAGCTCATCTAAGGATGAATTTTCCCATGAAATTCACGTTTTGTACAATATTCAATTTCAATAGCATTATTACTTTTGAAGGAACGTGTTTTGGAGAAAGAACATGCTAGAAAAGTTGTGTCGTTCATTAATTCTAGTGATCAAGTTATATAGGGATTTTCTTCTACTGGTAAATTAAGTAAAATGACAATAGAGAGCATATTAGTGTAATAAATGAAGAATCTGATATCTATCTATTTGCATTGAATGTATCTTCCAATGTGATGAAATCAATGAGAAGAAAAAAAATATTTAAAATGAAAAAAATGGCTGAAGTTAATCTATATTTTTGTTAAATGGTGTTAATTTATAGGAAATTTCTATTTTTTTATGAAAGTTACGACTTCTAGCTTTCATGAGGAAGACAAGAAATTTAGGTTAGATGATTTAGTCCAAGTAGAGTTAATCTAGATGTTTAAATAATGCAAAGAAAACTGTTTAATAGACCAGAACCAAGGAAAAACGATTCTTGTCCATAAAGAAAAGGCACACTAGCAGAACTTTCATGAACCATAAGAAATATGCTCCCATTTATGTAATTTCTTATTTATGGATTGTTGAAAAAAGAGGAAGTTACAACTTACTAGCTTTCATGATGAAGACAAGAAGCTTAGGTTATATTATCTCGTCCTGGTAGAGTTAATCTAGAGGCTAAACAAGGTGAAGAAAGCTGTTGATGCAGACCAGAACCAAGGACAAAAGCCTCTTGTCCATAAAGCAAAGGCACATCGGCGGAAATTTCATGAACTATAAGAAATATGGAGTCATTGACGTAATTTCTTCTATATTGGATTGTAGAAAAATGAGAGAAGTTTGTTTGCATTATTATATACTAGAGCTATGCCTGAAAGGATAGTTCGATGTCTGAAGAGCGTAGGAACAACTAATCCTTTGGTTCTAATTGACGAGATTGACATGAAACTTTATATAGTTGCATTACTCGATTTATTGATACTATGTTTTTTGACTCTTCAACTTGAACTGAATTTGATGTTAGCAAGGTGAATCCAAGACTACATACTGAACTTGAGTGGCATTAAACTAATGGTTTTCTTCTTTTTTATGTTGCAGTTAGTGTTATGACCGGAAAGAAGGAAGGGGACAGAGGGATGGAGTTTCAGTGGCAGAGAAGAAGAGCGGCGGATGAAGAGCTGACATCTAGCCAACATCAAGCTCAACAAGGTTTGCTAGCCAACAAGTTACAGTGTATAGGATGTATACTTTTGATGCTGTCTCATTTAGATCTTTGAGTTCATGGAAACTCCTGCAACACACTGGCCAAATATCTGTGCTTATATGTATGGAATGGAAAATTTACAATTTTATTGCTCCCCAGCCTTACCCAATCTGACCATAGCCCATTTCCCCTGGGTCCCATGCTGTTTTTGCTTCAGCGTATGAAGCGGTAATATGTGCCATATTTAGCTCAAGTTAAGGTAGATAGGCCTATGTCATACCCGAAGAGCTATTTAAAATGCATAGAGCATAGTTTGACCAGAAATGCTGAGTTGGTCAGACCTGAATGGATGGGGACAAGCCCACCCTACTTCCATCCTGTAGTGATTTGTGCCTTCGCTTGCCCTTCTTAACAAGAGAAACATGGCCTGAAGGAACAAGCAGAGGCTTCCTAAAAACATTGAAATTGAGATTGGTATTGGGGGGACACCAGCTGAGACGGGGCACATCATATTCCCAAATAAATGATGGATAATCTGGATAAGGTATTCAAGATCCCTAGTTCACACATAATTTAGTATAATAATGACAACTAATGTATAAGTAAACTTTCAGCATATACGCAAGAAGATTGATTTTTCCAAAGATGAAAACCTAGTTTATGAACACCACTCATAATAATTTCAGCTCGACTGATATGTTCGATATTACGAAAGTAAGGTTCAACCACATTAGCATGTCTTTGGAGCCTAAATGATTTTGAGAATGATAGATTAATATAAGGGCATTGAGAAGAAGAGAGATTCAATTTTTGATTAGAAGTTTGTCCTCTATACAAGAGCCGCATCTGCAACATCAAAGGGGATTTCATTTCTATAAAAACTTTGGAGTGTAATATCCCAAGTCCAGGAGCTCATTCACAATTTTTATTTGATTAGAAAATCAAGTTATTCAAATAAAATTTTCTACTTAGACTGACAGTAGAGATGTAAATTCAAAAGAGATTAGTTATTTGATAATAATTTCTTTTTCTAACATAGGGCTATGAATGTAGAAAGATTAATAGTGTGCAAATCTGAATTAGAAACCTATAATTTCGTCCATGAAGACCCAACCCCTCTCGGACTGAATATGGCCATCAAAACCTTGTGCTTTTGCTAAATACACTCTCCCATCACCATATAATTAGATTAGAACCTGATGAAGAGCAATAGTCATAGTAGATGACTAGATTGTTTATTGGATTAAGTTGATAAAGAGGATGAAACTTTCTCATTCATCAGTGATTATGTGATGTAAAAAACTTAATGATGAATGTTGAATCTTTATACATTCATTGTTGTCTTGATCCAAAATTCTTCTCCAATAAATAACCTTATATTTTTAGTAATTTTCTTATTTTCTTGGGCCTTCAATGTTTGAAATACCTGTCCAAAAGCTTTGTGTTTTTTGTAGTGTTTTGAATTCAAGTTCAAACTGGAGTGTCCTAACTTGATGATGAATAATTATATGTGAGGTCCAGATCATCATATTTATTTTCACATTTTATCCACATAACATCTATGTTGTCACCATCAGGATATTCTTTACAGCCCTTACTATTTGATCCATTCCTTATTCTCAGGCTATTTAATGTACATGATAATTTGAATAACCTTTCTAATATCATGTAAAAAAGAGATAGAATAGATAAATATCTTAATACTGTGGTTAGGACATCATATATAATTATTAAAAAAAATCCACTTTCACAAATGTGTTAGAACTTGTGTTTACTTTTATCATATGACTATATACTTTGCATTTTGTTTATAGAGGTTTACTTAATTGATAGTATTTTATCATTAAACATTTTTGACATAGAAAACTACTTAAATCTCAGGGATTAACACATAATATTTTAGTTGTTAGTAATGAAGTCATAATCGATGAACATTAAATTTAGAGATTTTGTTTACTACAGGAATTCACCAAGTAGTAAGATGATGTAGTCGAGAGCGAACACGACCAGACTGAGGGAGAGGGCCTAGAGGAGGCCCCACAAGGATCTACAAGGCCTCCTCCACTCTATGCTTCCCCCATTGCGCCGTCCGTCCCATCCCCCACCTATTTCTCTGCTCCTCTGGCCCCCTTTTGATAGGAGACGTAGTAGAGCCAACCTACTTATCACATGCTACAAAGGAATTTCTGGGTCACTCAACTATGCACATCATTCAAAAGGGAAACATCAATCAAAAAGGCTAGATGACATACCTATGTACAGAAGAGTACGAAATCATCAGAAAGTATAAACCAGGGGATAAATTATTATCATTTAGAAAGACAAGGTCTACTGACTTTTGTAGAGTCATTTTGACTTTTGCATTGAGACCCGTTCTAATTAAACAGTGAAAAAAAAAATGCACTTCTAAGTCCAACTTTTCTGCCAATAAACTGCTTACATTAGGGTGGAGAGGTGGGCCCCACATAGTGGAGACCATTGACACATTGTGGACGAAGTTAGACTGTTCTATACCAGCTGCTCTGTACCAGCTGTTGGTGTTGCTGCTGACGATGGGGTGGTTGCGGCAGGTGCGGCCGATCCTGAGATGGATGCCATTGCCCATGTTTCTGCTGTGCCACTGTGCGCCAAATGCTGTTCTACAAGGGCCCGTCCTCCAGCTAGTGGTTACAGAGGACAGCCCCTGACCTTGATACAGTAGAATCCTCTCATTCTGCTGAAGCATAATCCTCTGCACGGCCTTTTTAATAATCTCCGCCGGCCTTCAATCCTCCTCCCTCAGCCCAACTTCTTCTCAATCTTTAATACTCCGCTGCTTCCTCTATTCTCCTTCTCCAAGTGAGGAGAAGGAGATTCACCTTCCTTAGTTCTCCGACTACTACTTCCCCTGCCGTCCCCCACCATGTGAGGAGAGAAAGACTCGCTTTCCTCCAAGAGGCCATGCCATTGCTGAATGGCGTGGCTCTCATTGTTGGACACGCGGACAAATCCATCCTACAGCATTAGCGCCTCGCGGTTTCTAACTAATGGACCATGTAGGGCTCCAATGTAGGCATCTGGGCCGGCTGTAAACATGGGCCGTGATTCTCATTTTTTGGTGCCTGACCGTTGAGCTTTGCGACGTGTTCTAATGATAATACTCTAGGGATTGACAGCTATGATCGATGGGACTGTCGCGTCAATATGGTGCTACATACTTTTGGGCATTCATCTCACCATTGTGGCCACAAAGATAATTCTTTCATTGAGAAAAAAATAGCCAGACACAGATGATTTTCTTCTAATTTTATAATTCCAAGAAAAGATTCCATTAAAATAATTAAATTACTTGTGACCACTCTTCATATTTTGGCCTTGGAAGTCAAACTAACTTATGATGAAAAATTGATACAAGTGTAAGCAGGTAATATTAGAATAATTAAACTGTTTTTTAAATAATTAAATCATAAAAATTGAGAAGAGAGTTTGAACTAAGAGAAACTAATTTAAAGGTAAGATAATTATTTTATATTATAATCTAAATTGAATATCAACATGGTGCTTGAAATTTCCCAAATTGGTTAAAGATTTTCTAACCTGATATATGGAAGTTATTATCTATTTTAGAGTAATTCTATCTACAAGATTATGTGCCCTGTTTTTATACCTGGAGTAGATGCATGTGCCAACATACTAAGTCAACACAATGCATCAAGTCCAATGCAAAAGTACAAAAGAGACAAAAATGACGATAATGAGACAATCCATGGATCATATCACAATCTTGAGAGAACTCAATTTTTTATATTATTAAATCAGTATCGAAAAATTCTGAATTGGAAATAAAATTCAGAAAGTATAAAAGGAATGGCTTTAAAGTAGCATACGCCTAGTAATAAACTTTTGGTGTTAAGCTGTACTTGAAAAAGTCAATGCCTGATTATGCGATCTATGAATCCCCATAGGACAAGCTATCGTCCTAGAAAAGTTTCTATGCCACTTTCAACTATGACTTGTATATTTTATAACAATAAAAGATCGTTACATTAATATCCCAAAAAAATTAACTGTGGATAGTGTTTATAAATATTTTAATAGATGACAGGAGGTGGAACCGTGAGTCAGTTGACGTCAGGCCTGAATAATTTATTTGCGTGAACCTACCACAAATTGTTTATTCTTCAAGAAATGGGTCGGATGAAACATTGCCCTTTAGACTTAAGCCGTCAGAAGACTTCGAGGGAAAGAGTGAGAGTCGCGTAAAGACCACCGTGCTCCCCTTGATTTACTCAGATTTTACGAAAAACATGGGACCCAACAAGGAATGGGCAGAGCAGCTCCACTTGGCGTCTTGATGTTACATGAAAAAAATATAACAAATATTAAAAACTACTAATTTTTCAATATTATTTCGAATGACGACGTAAGTCAGACGAATAGGCAGGGTTGCCATCGCCGTTAGACATGATAACGTTGACTTTACATCTTAACCACTCACTGAAGGGCTTTCATTCGCGAGGAGTAGTTAACATGGGAAATGGCAAGTCTGAAGCTTGGCTAAGACGTAACTGCCGGAGGAGCCGAGACTGGCTCCGTTGAGTCGTCGATGGGAAATGGTAAGTCTGAAGCTTGGCTGTTCTATTGTCCTATGGTTACGCCCACCCGCCCTGCTCGCTGGTCATTTTCACCGAGACACGATCTGAGGCCCGCCCTGAACGTTGTTCGGGCTGGGTCTTGGATCGGGTACGGTCTGGCCCGTATGTACGACCTATTCTGGTATGATTTATTTGTTCCCATGAGAAAATAATTCCTATTTTGGTATCTCAATGGCGAGTGCTCTGTGTGATCATGTTGCCCTTATAGTGGCCGGCCAGTTGTTTCAGGACCTCTACACTGCCTCATGTGTGACAACACAGACCCTAGGTAGATTCATCTGTCTTCTCTGATTATGAGTGCGAAAATGGGGATTTGCATCATTTCTCAAATGGAACAAAAATCATTCCAAGTGAACCAAAGGAATCCCATATGGAACTTCGTCAAATTCCAATTACCTGACTGGTTGAAGAGGTGTAGCATTGTCAACAAGGGCTGACTGCAGTCAGGATGTGCTAAGGTGTTCATTGTCTCCTGAAAAGCGGAAAAGTGACTATTGGTGGTACTTCCCACTTTAAAGACTGGTCAATAGGATGCAAGCAATTTTAACCATACTCATTAAATGACAGAAATTCCCTATGTTTGCTTTTACTGATAAATTATCTATTCCTCGGTAATCAAAGCCCAAGGATCTATGAGCTCACGCTGGACTAACCGAGCAGATCAATAATTCTGTATTTTCATGTTCTCTCCCAAAAGTTGATTTGCGCAAGTATTTCATAGTTATAATGATTACAAAGACCGAATCCTTTTGCCATTCAGTGCAAAAGGAACTTTCTCAATTCATTAATTCGTTGGTAGATATTCAACTTATGGAAACATTATTTTGTTCCTGGGATTTTAGTTATGCCCACGATAAATTTCTTAGTTCATTGTTTAAAAATGGGTTGCCTGGGGTTTGCTTTTCTTTAGGGCTTGAAGGTTCCTGCACCTGCTCCTGTCCTTCTCCCCCAAACCTGTCATCTCTTCTTTGTTGAACTGTTAGACACGACAGTTCAAACAGGACCGTGACTAGGTACATATTTTGGAGGTGTGCTTTGTGATGGTAACACCCTGGAAAGAAAATATATCAGACTACTACTTTCGGAGAGGACAAGGTTACACTGAGAGTCTGAAGCCTTTATCGTGTGTACGGCAAACGGCTTTGATACTGATCTAGTCCCTTTTCTGAGGCCCATTGTAACCTGGACCTAATCCTATCAGCGTTCAATTTATAAGTTTGTTCTTTGTTAGGTAATATAGTTCGACGATTATTACCAAAGTTACGAACATTGTGAAGAAATGCCATTTGTAATTGAAAGGGCCTAGAAAAAGCTTCATACTTGAACATAAAAAGCTGTGCAACAGTCGCAAAAAGATAGAGTTTCTGGTAAACAATGAGTTCCATTGAGGGAAATAAAGCTTATATTTTTCTTTTAATGAGCGTCTTAATTGGATGATTTTGAAAACGCAGAAATGCAACTAGCGTGTATATGGTCTTGTAGCTGTGTTTCTATACTAACAACATTAACTAGTGGGTAATCATGTTTTTTAAAATTCTTGGGGAAGTTTTGCTAGTTTAGCTATTTTAGTCGGGAACACTCATATGGATGTTTTACTAATATTGTATTAGCTTAAAATAACAAAAGATGATAACTTTCTGTTGCATACAGTGAGGGATATGCATCATAGCATTTATGAATGATGTAATGGTGATATATCTTTTTTTAGTTGGGTTCGTAAGATGGGAAGAAAATATTATTCTAACAAATCGTTACCTTTACTCTATATCACTATTGTTAACGTGGCGTTTTATTTGGATTCTTGTTCTGCTGGCTTTTTAGGTGACACAAAGTTAAGTGACTCCATCAAAGGACAAACATCCATGGGTGTTCATGCTGACATTCGTGAAGATAAGGCCTCCACAACTCGTGAATTTCTGCATGCTCTTAGGGAGCAAGCTACTTGGAAGCAAATGAATTATCCTAGAGGTATGTTCCACAACAACAAACGGATGGATATGCACGGACTGAATCCTGTGAATTCGATTAGAGTTGACATGAAGCTTCTTCTATATTTCGATGCAAGATATTGGGTCTCTTTAAATTCTTTTAACAAGAAAAATAACTAGACATGCAAGGATGATTTTATGCTAGTGGATAAAAACTGGTTGGTACTCTTGGTTAACAATTTTATTTTATGAAATTGTTTATATGGAAATTTTTATGTTCTTTTCATAACTTCTGTCCAAGAACGCATAAAAATATGATCTCAAATTGGATAGCTGAGCCAATTGGAGCCTGTTGGCATGCTCTATTAGAGCCCCTAAAAATATTTTAAGCTAGACAAGTATTTTTTTTTTCCCATTCGTGTTTATTATATTAGAGCCCCTAAAATATATTTTTGTTACCATTCGTGTTTATTATACTTTCTAAGATTTGACCATGAGATCTTTGAGCCATATTTTATTCTCGTATCTTAACTGTGCTCGGCCAATGTGAAACCGTTCAGACATGGTCCCTCGCATGAAGGTAGATGATAGGGTTAGGGTGATCAAGCTCTAAATTAGTCGGAATTGAGCGGTGGTCCGCGTCTTTTAAGCTTGTTTGGTTTCGATCTACATCACTTCCGTTTGACTCTCTCTCTTACACCCACCATACGCTGAAGGGCTATCAATCGACCGGCGACGTAAGGCCCTAAGTCGGGCAACTTGGAAGCTCCGGCGCATATCTAACGGCATGGCGTCTTCCATGCCACAAAGCTTCGCCTCAATGATCCGTGCGACCCTGTCCAAGGCCCTCGATAACTTTGACTTGGAAAATAGAATTGAGAGGGAACATGAGGGTGGCACTCCCCATGAGGGCGACATCCAAACCAACTCTAGAAACTGAGAAACGGGATTAGGAAGATATGAATAGTTGTGCCGTATGCCAAGACGTAACTTGACCTCTACTGAGCTGGATGTAGGCGACTTTCTATGTCTGCCATTGACAAATAGAGATGGTGGAGGACTTACCACCCCCCTCGCCCCCGTCTCTGCGCGTAGAGCTTGTTACGTTTCACCGTCGTAGGGGATGGAAGGAAGAATGAGCTTCCCTCCTTTCAAGCCCTGGAAGGGTTGCCCACAGCCTCCTTGCCCACTCTCCTTTCTCTTCTTCTGCATCTTCTCGTCATTTGCAGCATGAGTGGTTCAAGCTCAGACTCAGGAAGGTAAGACAGCTCTCTACTCTTATGCTCCCTCCTCCTTCCTTCTCTCCACTCAAGAATGACCTTCCCTCCTTTCAAGCTGAGATTAGAAAAGTAGTCACTTTTGTGAAGCAAGGGCAATCTCGAGGATTGATATGTAGAACGCATTGCAGGCTTCATAAGTGTCGACTGCGGCTTCGCGGGTGTCTCAGATTATACAGATGCCAACACAGGAGTAAAATACACTGGCGACCGGCAATTCATCAACACGGGAGAGAACGAGATCGTTTCTTCGAACGGATTTGCTCGGCGATACGGGACTCTCCGTAGCTTCCCTAACGGGACGCGGAACTGTTATAAGATGTCCCCGGTACTATCCGGTAGCAAGTACGTTATTCGAGCCGGATTTCTCTACGGCAACTACGACAGCCAGGGTTTCCCCCCCGTCTTCGATCTGCACATCGGGAACAATTTCTGGACTACCGTCACTACTCTATCCGATGATTCTGTCTTCAGCGAGATCATCACGGTGTCGCGGGGGGTTCTCATACAGGTGTGTCTTGTCAACACGGGAAAGGGCACGCCCTTCATATCGGTGCTCGAGCTGAGGCCCCTTCTCGATTCCATGTATCCTCTCGTAAACACGTCTCAATCCTTGGTCAACCATTTGCGCTGGAACTATGGAATGGCGAACCAGCTAAGGTGGTTCTACTTTGAAATAACTCGTCACCACTATTTTCTAATCATTTATTTCGATCTCTGCTTTTTATGCCTGAAATTGTTTTAATTATTTAATCATCAAACATTTTGAAACTCTGTCAAGCCGTTCGATTATCCGCCTGGAAGGCAATGCCAGCTGGAGACTCTGGATTGGTCAATACGGCACCGAGTTGGAAAGAAGGGTTCTAAGCCCTTGGTAGAGTAGGTGTCAGCGTGACTTGGTCAACCCTTTGGGAGAGGTTCGTCCGGACCTCTCCTCTCCCCTTTTACCTTTATATTTGGGACTGATTTCAGGTACGAAACCAGTCCCGCCGCCTTGTTAAATTAGTTATTAGAAAGGGGGACCGGAAGGAGAGTGGGATTGAAAGAGATAAATCAAATCGAGAGACCCTGTTTTTTCTCTGGTGACTGAAATCAGGGTTCTCACGTCTTCTCCCCTCTTCTGGTGGCTATGGTTTAAGCTTCATTAACTCCATTTACTGCTGTATTTCGATCCTCAGCTATAGTAAATTATCCTCAAGTCTCCTGCTCCTTTCGATCCTCAACTTTATTAGACCATTTTAAATCCATGGTTTATTCTTCAAACTATTTTTTCATCTCTTTATCATTGTCTCGTCCTTCTTTCTTCCGCGGCAATATCAAGCCACATTGGAGGCCCTTTACCACCCAGAAAACTAGTCACTAGTGCGTCTGCCTACGACACTGGCATTCTATCTTCCCAACAGTTGACTTTTATGCTAAGTGCCTTCAATATCTAATGAAGCAAGCCTATGGGCTTAGTCGGCTCAGCATAACCCATCGGTGCCACAAATAAATGGGACAACCTTCTTGGGCAATAATCTGATGTGCAGACACATGATGACAAATAGAAATGACGACGCATTTTCTTCTCTCGAAGGTATCCATATGACCCTTTCGACCGCCTGTGGGATGGTGTCGCCAACAATTTCTTTACATTGAACACCTCCAGCGAAGTTATGGCAAAAGAAGGAGATGCCTTCCAGGTGCCCTCACTCGTTTTAAGATCGGCCGTCTCCGAATCACGCACCAACTATCATCTAGATACCTGGCTAAAAATTGGAACCTTCGGCGACAAGATATACATCGTCATGCATTTCGCAGAGCTCCAGAAGCTCAACTCAGCCAATGAGTCAAGAAGATTGAATATCTATGGGAAAGATGGTACGGTTTTGTTGTTCCCGGAGTACAGCCCTCCTTACTTAACGGTAGATCATAAAGAGATTGTCACTGATGAGCTTCCGAGGTCAAGATTTTACAACATCTCTATCAAATCCACAAGGTCGTCCACTTACTCTTACATCATCAATGCCTTTGAAAGTTTTATAGTGAGGTCAATGAACGAGTCGCAAACTGATGATCGTGATGGTAAGGCACCATCTGGCTGCCCCTTTTCCCTCGCTTATTTTACATTCGCTATATGTTTTTTGTCACGCGCACTACCATTTTATCCGGTTCTACTTTATTGGTACACACAGAATTACAATTTCGGCAACTTTACGGGTTCCATGTGCTGAAATTTTGCCGAGTGCTGCTGTCTCATTGCCCGTTATTATGTTGCATTCTAAATATGTCTGTTCACGTATGTCAAAACATTTGACATGATGTGTACGTTGTGTACTAGTTGCGGCCATTGAGGACATAAAAAGCGCATTAAGATTGGTGAAAAATTGGGAGGGCGATCCATGTTCTCCAAAAGAATATATTTGGGAGGGAGTCAATTGCGCCAACTCTGAAGACTCTACATCCCTCCGGATCATTTCTCTGTGAGTGCAGTTCATAAATATGCAAACATGTGGAAGAAAAAATAGGAGAGAAATGGTAGAAGCTTATAGATAGATTCATGATTGATCAGATGGTTAATAATTCGCATCATGCAGGAACTTATCATCGAGTGGCTTACAAGGCCAAATTCCTAGTTCGATTGGTAACCTGACAGCTCTTACAATGTTGTAAGTATTTGCTTGTGAATGAGAACATATAATCAAACCCTTTCTCCATATTTATATAACATACTTGACATATAAGTCCTAAAGAAGCTATAAATAATCGTATCAATTTGTCTTTCTTTGTTCACTAGTCATGTAAGGTAAATTGTAAAAATTAATGAAACTTACCCACTTTCAGAGATTTGTCAGATAACAATTTGACAGGACCGATACCTGATATTTTTGGAGAGTTATCATCTCTTCGATTCATGTAAGTTTTATCCTCAACCTTATCCAGTAATTGATAACCACTTTGGCTTCTCTTAGAAAAAAGGTCTATTTGATCTTGTAGAAATTTGTCTGGAAGTGAAGCCCTTGGTGTCATTCCTCAAAACCTTTGTAAAAAGATATCTAAAGGTGCTCTTTCCTTAAGGTTAGTAAAATCACCAGCCAATGAAGTTCATTGCGATTAACTTCTAGTAGCTTAATATACAAAACTAGTAAATAATGAAGTATAATTATTGTCTTTTTATTTTTACAAGTATTGTCTATGATAAAAATGTCATATAGGTCATGTAAAATGAACATGATGACTGGAGATTCTAATGACATAAAAGTGAAAATATTATAATACATTCTAACCTCTCAGTAAAAATATTATAACACTATGGCTATTTTAGGTTTCATGGAATTAAGCTTGACAATTAAGGTTATTACCAATATGATTTCTTCAAGAATTCTTCTTTCACTAACAATCCTTTTGAATAGCAGTATCACTGGTGGGTTAAAGCAATGTGAGAATTCCAATACCAACAATAGTAAGAAGATTATTATTCCTATAACAATAGCAGCATCAGTAGTCATTGGAATGTTGTTTGTTGTGTCATTGTGGATAGTCAAAAGGAAGAGAAAAACACAATCTTCTAAAGGTATGTTGAAATCTATTTTTCTTTTGGCATGTAAATGGTTAATAAAAGATCTGATTATTTTAAGTATTTACATTATTTTAGGTGTCTCAGATAAACAAAACAAAAGTGGAAGTACAATAGAAGGCAATGTTCAGAAAAGAGAAGGTGTACAATTTACATATGCAGAGATTACACAAATTACACACAACTTTCAACATGAGATTGGTAAGGGAGGATTCGGGATTGTCTATCTTGGTAGCTTGAAGGACGGAACTATGGTTGCAGTAAAGGTTCTTTCCTCCTCATCATCACAAGGATCTAAGGAATTTGAAGCAGAGGTAATGAATGGCAATGAACTATTTAGCATATTTATATTATGTAGTACATTATTATATGGTCACAAAATATAGCATCAATATTATATAATATACACATGTCTGATAATGAGCTTATCATGTTCTAGGTTCTATTGCTGGCAAGAGTGCACCACAAAAACTTGGTCAACTTATTAGGGTATTGTGATGACATGCAACATTTGTCACTTGTATATGAATATATGGATAACGGAACCCTTCGAGATCACCTATCAGGTCTTGCTATTCAAAACTTTTGCATCCTCAATTTAGTGAAATAAATTTTCAACCTTTCATAACATGATTATTTCATCATTTATGCATTTGATGCACCATTAAGATATAAGACAATTCAAATAGCTTTCATTTGTCTTTTAGGTAAAATTCTAAATGGTGACATTTTAAATTGGAACCAAAGAGTGAATATAGCTCTTCAAGCTGCACAAGGTACTTTCACCCTTACAAACTTGACTCTACTTTTCAATGAAGACACAAATGAATTCTTACTTTTGTAGTTGAAAAAATATTATAGGGTTGGATTATCTACATAGTGGATGTACACCACCTATTGTTCATAGAGATATAAAGAGCAACAATATCCTTTTGAATAGAGAGCTTGTTGCAAAGATATCCGATTTTGGACTGTCAAGATCATTCAACAATGATTATGCTACACATATATCGACTAGGCTAGCTGGTACTCCAGGATATCTTGATCCTGAGTAAGTACTCTTCTCTATTGTTACTTGTATCTTTTTTGTCAATTTAATACACTTATTTTTTAAATATTGATAAAAATAGTAAGATGTATGAAGAATAAATTTTCCTTTATTTGTGCAGGTATTACAAAAATTATAGACTAAATGAGAAAAGTGATGTATATAGTTTTGGAATTGTTCTTTTGGAGATTATGACTGGTCAACCACCACATCAAAATACCATAGAGAAGACACATATTGTGAGATGGGTTCATTCATTAGTTCAGAGTGGTGACATCATCAATATTATTGACTCTAGGTTACAAGGATATTTCGACATCAATAGGGCATGGAAAATAATAGAAGTAGCAATGTCATGCACATCAACAACTTCAGAGGAAAGGATGACAATGAGTGAAGTTGTAATGGAGTTGAAGCAATGTTTGAACATAAATGAGCTGCAAATTGAGTTTGAAGACACCAAGTCCTCCATTCAATATTCGAGTGGCACAATTACTTCTGGGTTAAGTACTTCCAGAGCTCCACTAGCTAGGTAGCTCCTTACAGCTCATGGGTGGGTACTGAACAAGATTTGTGAGACCATGAATGATCAAAATTGAACAAATGGTGTAAAGATTGTATCAGACTTTAATTTTAATGTGATATGGATCGTAATCATCTGGAAAACTCTTCCAAAAACATATATTTCTAGACCCAAATGATTTGCAAACATAGCCCATTTCCCTTGTTTTGCTTTACTTTCATAATTAAAGTAAGTTTTTCATAAATTAGTGAGTGGATAACATAGTAAGATATTTATCAAGAAAGAAAATTTCTTTTTTGTATATGTATTGAAAATTATAGAATAAACTAGAAAAGTGATGTATATTACTTTGGAATCATTAGTTTTGAGATTATATCTAGTCAACCATCACATCAAAGGCTCATATAGATGACATATGTTGTTTGATAGATTCACTAAAATGTTTAACATTCTATTATCATCAATATTATTGACCCTAGGTTGAAAATAAAATTTATTTAAATTAATATTACATGAAAAGTATTAGTAGTAACAATGTCATGCACAACAATATCTTAATAAGAAAGGATGACAATGAATAATGTCATTATGTGGCTAAAATGATGCTTGGACATGAATGAATTGCACTACAAGTTTAAAGACGTTAAGTACCCCATAAAAAGTATTAAAATGATATTTCTTTTAAGATCAAGTACTTGGTCAGATTCATTAGTTATGTAACTCTTTGTAGGTTATGATTTTCGATCTAGATTGGAGAGCTTATAAAAAGAAGATAATTGAGTGAAAAAGTTGAAGATTGTATCATATATTCATTTAAATTTATTGTTGATCAGAATTTTCAATTTTTTTTTCAAAACATATTTTTGTAGACACCAATTAAGTGTGATTAATTAAATAAAATCAATACTGTAGGTACATATTTAATCCAATTTTCATCACCATTGGTCCTCTTTTGAAATCTGATAGCCATAATGGTCTATTAGGAGACTTTAGTCTTTGAACATTATTTGCTTTTTCTTCGAAAGATGACAATCATTACCAATGCCTGTGCTTCCTTATGTACATTAATGATGATGTTTATGTTTTTTGTTTATTTGCAAGTGTATATGATTTCAGATAGCGTGACAAAGGGAGATGAGTTATTCAAATTAGTTGTGTAGACTAAAGAATTAGAGTAAATCCAGAATAGGGTGTTCTTGGTAAAGTGTAGACATGGGACCGAATCACTAAAAATATTATAATGTCCTCAAGATCTAGACAAAGTAGATCAATAGAATTTATGACCAGAAGTGAAGATCAAAAACTATTGTAATAGTTTTGGTGAGTATTTTTTGTTGAGATTTAATACCCTGTGCTAATAAATTTTACAACTAAAACTTAAATTAATTTTTAATTAATGGTGAGTTCTAGGGTGAACACAAATAGATGGAATAATCTGTCATGAGAATTTATCTTAATTTTAGCTTAAAGAAATTTTAGAATTTTCTTACTAATTTAAGGAAAGAAGAATTATTAAAAGTTTGAAACAACTTGATAAGATGAGAGAAAGATGGTTAAGAGAAGAATAAAGGGAAAATAATGAGAGATATAGAAGTGGGACTAAAGGGGAATTTGAGAAGTATATGAGGGAAAGAAGAGAATTAGGAAAAATAATGAGGAGAGAGAAATGTCAGTCAACCCATTTTACAATGATTTATTATCACTTGTACTCACTTGTAAATCAAACTAATGCACACTCCAAAAAGTTCGCACAAAAGATGTAAGATCATGGGTGAATGTCTCTCAACCTATTTTACAACTGTTTTGAAAGATTAATTGCCAAATAATCAGCTTTTAATCTTACTACTATGTATTAAAATAATAGAAATATCTCAATTATTTTGATTGAGTTTGCAGAATGCCTCCAAGATGATTTTTCTAAAATGAACAGTGAAAACTAATGAAATACCGGTTGAAAAATGTCTCCTATGATTATCTTAGAAGAGTTATAGAGGATTAGAAATGCCACATCCTTATCAAATGACACATCATCCATATGGTTGACATGTCATTGCCACATCAATGTGTCATTTGATGAATCGATGCCTAATAACTCTCATTAATTACATTATAAAATGTTTAATATTTTATAATTTATTATTTACTTTTATAGAAATATTTGTAAATTCCTTTAATATAGAAAAAATGATATTACACTTATTTCTATGGTTATATTTAATTTCTAGAAATTACATGATGAAATTGACTATGAAATATTTTGATAGGTTTTCCCAATGATTAATATTATTATCAAATCTATGTTAACTGCATTTATTTCTGAATTTTTCCTGATTTTTTTAATTTTTCCTAAGCTTATTACAATATAATAATAATAATATAAAATTAAATATGATACTAATTTCTTTTTTTAGATTTTCCACATCAACGATGGATGTAACGAATACAGAGAGAAGTTTAACAGATGATTCAACGAAAATGATGGAATCAACACACAAGATGGACAAACACTAGAGGAGGAAGAAGAGAGCATCTTCAATCAATCTATCATGCTCCACAACTATTTTCTCTCTCCTCTGATGGCGACAAACACCCAATTCACCCAAATCATCCAATCTGATACAAATGATAGATTTCTTCTCGACTTCTCCTTGATTCAGCTGCTATAGAAGCTGAACTTCATCAATGAACTCGTTCCATTTTTCACCCAATACAAACGGTGAAGAATTTCTTCTGAGGATCCTTCTCCAAACATTGTGGCATGCTTAGAGTCGAACCACCGCCGTCAACCGGTTCCAGCAAGTGATAGTTGTTGGGATCGTCATTCATCGACTAGAGATTGTGTAAGAATCCATTTGGTGCCCCACTCATGCACAAATCGATTGAATTCAGGTAGAAATTCAACCATCGACCATTCCATCCATTCTTTTATAAAACATGAATCTTTGCATGATTGTACTTTTTTTATTTATTTATAAAAAGTTCCATTCGGTTCTACATTGCGTTACGAGTAATTTCGTTTTAAAATCAAAGTTTATTTCTAAGTATTTTGACTTTATTTTTAAGAAATACGAGTCAACATATTTCTGGCAACTCAAATTTGGGGGTGTTTTTTGCAAGCTGATGTAAGTTGACGTCATAACCCCTAATTTCTTATTTTAAAATTATTTTTATTATTTTTCGAAAATATTTTTTTTAACAATTACTCTATCAATTGAATATTATAAATATAATTAAATAATTTTTTATCTTCCTTGTGTTCAACTTGGAAAAACCCTATAAAATTAAATTATTCTAAATTGGCTTATTTTCTAACATTTATAAATTAGAAATTTGCTGAATTTTCTTTACAACAACAGAAAATGTTCAGTCAATGCTTCATTTCATTATCAATAAATATCCTTGTAATGATGATTAGAAAAAAGGAGAAAAAGATTAAGAGCTTGTTTGGTTAAAATTAACTAAATTCACCCTTTTTAGGGTTTGGTCGTGGGGCCCATTGTTGCCCCCTATCAATGGGATGGTTGGGAGGACCACTATGTGACCCCCTAGTTAAGGGGTCGATCGAGAGAACCTCGTGCTCTTGGTCAGAGCTTGCAACTTGACATCCATTTGTTGCACATCATCCAAGTGCACCACCCTTTTTGTCTTCTACTTTACCCTTGATGAGTTGTTGTCTTCTTCAGAGTCATTGACGTGACTTAGTCATTGTATAATTAAATCATGTAAATTTATAATTTATAAGATTAAAAAATACTAATTTTTGGATTTTTTTAGAAATATTTTAGAATAAATAAATCAATTATAATTTGAGAAAAGGTTCCAAAAATAGTAGAGAAGTTCATGTTGATCATAGGGCCATAAGATAATATTGGGTAGTATTTTAGAATTTTCCTAAAAATATGATTTTTTATGAGTTTTAGGTTAAATGATGATTATAAAATATATTTAAAAATTCACAAAAAAGGAAAATAAGGGTGCATACATCAAGATGACATCAGCGCCTTGAGGATCATGATTTAAGTTGAAATAAAGTTTTATTTGATGATTCTTATGTAAGTGATTACAAATAATTTAATAGGTCAAATAAAGATTTATAAAAATCAAAAGAATGGTAATTGAATGAAGAACGTTTTAGAAACTTAAAATTATGCAAAGTATAACTAAATAAAGTGAAAATTACATTGAAAGTAATGAGTTGGTAACACATGTATAAATACATTCTCTATCTATTAATTGACATCTATTTATAAGATATTAATGCATAGATACAACTACTAATTTATAATTATCACTTAGAGATAGACTAACTTTGGATAATGATACTTCTATTTATTTATTTTTTACATATTTTTAATATTTATTTATATTTAATGATAAGTTATTTTTATTTTATGCAATTATAATGAGTATAACTAATTCAAAACTTGATAAATAATCTTTATCCTTCTTCTAAATCATTTGAAACTCATCTGAGATCAAGCTAAATTATTTCTAACTTGTTCTCTATTAATTTTCACAATCAAATCTCAACGTGTTCATGTTCTCGATGTTCTGTAAATAATAAGTATCTTTCTATTTTTGAATGTGAAATTAGCGAGATTAAAGGCTGATTAATGAACGGTGAACTGTTAAAACAAGGTGGAGACAATCGCGGTTGACCTCATGTCATGAGTATAAATTCTTGAGCACACATTCATTTGAGAATCATGGTCTCTATGAAAATGGCTCGACTATATTTCTCTTTTTCTTAATTATCATCTTATTTCTCTCTCCCCCTCTCTCATGAGACATATTCTTCTCTCTTCATCTCTCGTGATATCTCTCTTTCTCTCTTTCTCAATCAATTGATATTCCTCTCTTTTTCTTTGACGATTGATTTCACTCTCTCTCCCTCCATCTCATGTGAGATTTCTCTCTCTTTGTCTCACGAGAAATTTCTCTCCTTACACCTCTTTCTCTCTCTCTTTCTCTTGATTTCCCTCCCTCTCGATCAATCTCCCTCTCTCATGAGGCATTTCTCTCTCTCCATTTCACGTGAGATTTCTCTTGTTCTCTCCCTTTTGTGAGATCTCTCTCTTCTCTCCTTCCTTTCTCTACTTTCCTTCATTTCACCTCACCATCCTATTTTATTATTTTCATTGAATATTAATAAAATATTAAAAACACTCTATATGTAAAATTAAAATTAGTTTTTTACAATGAATTAATCAATCTTTCTATGTTTGACTTGAGACTTACATCTATACTAATATTTTATTAAATCTTCATTATAAATATTATTAGATAATGTACATTTAAGCATATGACAAGTGCACATCAGTCACTAAATAGTACATGTGATCAAGAGAGTTATGCTTAAGTGATAGGCCAGATATAATTTAAATGATATTGCCATTAGTAAGTGCAAAAAATATCACTCTTTCAAATGGATGTGGAATGTGATTTCTTTGATGGCATCATTAGAGATAAAGTATATGTTCAAATTATGTGTTTAAGTTGAGCAAGGGTCCTTATGGCCTTAAACAGACTCTTGGAGGTTAGTATGGCAAATTGAGCTCACTTTTAAATTGTGCTTGCTATAAAAAGATCATACTTATTGGTTCACTTTTAAATTGAGCTCACATTCATGAATTGAATTTGGATGAACATGAAAAATAAGTAGACCATAAAAAATTACAAAATTATTGGTTCATTGTTGGATCTAATATAAACTAAACCAAACATCTTACTTAGTGTCTTATATATATTTTTTTTCAATTTAACCCAAAAGGATCACATTCAAACGCAGTCAAATCAATTTTAAATATATATGTCATACTGATTGTTTTAGAAATAAAGTTCATCAAAAGAGCAAACATTTTCATGTATCATTCTTAGAGAATGATTAATATCACATTATTGAAAGAACAAAAAATTGATTGCATATCCCCATTTGAAGCTGAATATATTGTAGTTGGACTATACTATGAACAAATTTTATGATTGAAATCAAAATTAAAATTTTTTTAGGCAATAACATGGAGAAAATGCAAACTCTTTGTCACAATATTATTGTAACAGGTCTTTCAAGGATCTAATGATTGACTTCAAGAAATATCACATAAATGCATCATTATTTAGTTAGAGACTATTTTATTGGAAGTATGAATCTGCTAACTCACATTTTTAGTAAGGCTCTAATAGAAAAAATTTCCAACTATATTAGCATAGAATTTGGAACGTAGTGCTGCTGAGTTATTAAGTTCCAATTTTAATTATAACACCAAAATTAATTCAAATGGGTATGTAAAATCAATGGAGAGTTTTTCAAGTGGTAAATTTTGAAATATTTGAAATGCCAAAAATTGTTGAACTATGAATCCTAGACATTGTTTTGAGATAATTTTTTGGTAAGTAGATGGAGTTTACTCAACACACCAAGCCGCAATCTAAATCAGATCCCTTAAATAATCTTTCATCTAATCTATCTCAAGCTTCTAACCCATTGAGTTGGTTCTCTCCCATTTTTCCATTCACATTTCTATGTCACATCACTCAAAGCCTTTGAAGGGGTATGTACAATTAATAGAGTTCTGTTCAAGTGGTAAATTTTGAAATATTTATGATACAAAAAATTGTCGAACTATGAATCCTAGTTATTTTTTTGAGATAATATTTTGGTAAGCATACAGTTTACTCACTCGACACACCAAGGACAATTGAAATCAAATCCCTTAAATCATCTTTCAACTAATCTATCTCAAGCTTCTGACCTTTTGAGTTGGATCTATCTCAGTCTTTCATTCACACTTCTATGCCACATCACTCAAAGCCTTTAAAAGGTATGTACAATCAGTAGAGGTTTGTTCAAGTGGTAAATTTTGAAATTTAATGATATCAGAATGTTGAACTGTAAATCCTAGTTCTTTTTTTTAGATAATTTGTTGGTGAGCGAACAGAGTTTACTCACTCAACACACCAAGTGACGACTCAAATCAAATCCCTTAAATCCTTTTTAATCTAATCTATCTCAAGCTTCTAATCCATTGAGTTGGCTCTCTCTCATTGTTTCATTCACACTTCTATGTACATCACTGAGTGCCTTTAAAATTCAGTTGTTTTCCTTGTTGTTTTTCACTTTATGTGTCGTCCTTGTCCTATGTTGCAACAACCCTCTACTATTCTGCAGTAGTAAGCGTAATAGGTGATTCAATCCATTCTATTTGGTTCCAAGATCAAGTGATCTCATTTATTCTAACTTTCTTGTGTATTTTTCAGTGCAAAAGTCGGTTTTTATGTTTGATTCTTTTGTCTGAACAGCAGTAGACGAAATTGACTCAGTTTCTCTAATGTATCTTGTTTGGAATTGAATCCATGGAAATATTTTTGAGTCGTCATTCTTGTAGAAACGATTAACTGATCGAAAAATCTCATTCCTTGTCTTGCGGCAAGCTGGAATGTTTGATACGTACCATGACGATTATTCCTCTTAAGTCCAGTTCATTCTACTCCAACACCGCCTATGTATAAAAGGAAAGTTGAACTCTCAATTATTAAACCTATTTCTAGTAGATAACACAATAAAACTCACGTGTATGAAATTCTAGAACAAAATTCTAGTGACTCAACAGAACCATGTTCCGTCAGGCTGCACACACCGTAAGAACTGATGGATGGATATGTATGGGTATATTACATATAAATAAACATCTGTGTAGTGAGAGAGCGAGAGAGCGAGAGAGAGAGAGAGAGAGAGAGAGGAGGTTTCGGGGTGAGTCCTGTACTCAACTCTCGGGTCAGTGAGGTTCATGGATTTAGAAGTAGAAAAGATTTCTCGAGGAGAACCAAAGGAAGAGGGTGTAACGTAGACTGTCATATTCACTTTAGAGAAATGAGCAAGTTATATCGTAAAAGATTCCACCTAACTGAGTCTCTCCCCAATCTCTGGAGATTTCACAGAGAATTATTCCTGTATATTATTTATCAATCGTTGGATATTATTTATTTTCTCACATAAATCGGTCTATGTTTCATCTTTTGCGTACCCTTTGTTGTACTCATCGATAATATTACCTCTCCTCCAAGCAATACGGTGGCATAAGCGTATATTATTTTACGCATAAATATTTCTTCCTTCGAAAGCGCAATATCATTCGATAAATGAAAGGCGGAAGGGTGGAAGGGAAGAAAGCACTTGGGTGTGAGCACCTCTAGGCGAGGGCACCTACGCGACGTGACGTTAAGAGGGAAAGAAAAGCACCAGTTATTTCAAAGTCTACCGACCTTATTTATTCTTCTTCCTCTTGTTCTTCGTCTTCTCCAATGAGAACCTCAGTTGCCAGAAGCGAGCTGAGTGCGGAGGAGCTTGGCAGCGGCGACCATGTTCCCGAGGGTGGGGATGACCTCGACGTACTTGCGGGTCTTGAGACCGCAGTCGGGGTTGACCAGAGGACGTTGGTCTCGAGCACCGTTATCATCTTGTTGATCCGCTCGGCGATCTCCTCCGTGGAGGGGATCCTTGGGGAGTGGATGTCGTAGACTCCCGGGCCGATGCCGGCCTCATACCTCACCCCATCGCGGAATACCGTAAGTAGCTTCTCGTCGGAGCGCGAGTTCTCGATTGTGATCACGTCAGCGTCCATGTCGATGATCGAGTGGATGATGTCGTTGAAGTTGGAGTAGCACATGTGGGTGTGGATCTGCAGTCAGTACCAGTTAGCTCCCCGCGTGGATCTATCTCAGAGGACGAGGAAGAAGAAGAAGAAACATAGGAAGAAGAGGAAAATGGTGACCTGCTGTCCTTGACGCCGCAGTTGGTGATGCGGAAGGAGTGGACGGCCCAGTCGAGGTAGAAGGCTTGCTCGGATTTCCGGAGAGGGAGGCCCTCTCTGAGAGCCGCTTCATCGACTTGAATGATCTGGAATGAATCCATGGGAAAAGATGGAATTAAAACCGTCTGAGGAAGAAGAAAAACTGCGAGAAGAGGAACACCAACCTTGATCCCACTGGCTTCGAGATCCTCGACCTCTTTCTGCATTGCGAGAGCAATCTGGTAGCACGTCTCGTATCTGGAAACAGGGACCAGTCAATTAATCTAATACCTATCGGGGGAGAGACAGATGCAAACTACTGGTTGGAGATGGTCACAAGGGCGAGAGGGGTTCCGGGTCTCTCTCACCTGGGTTGATCGTTCCTGACGAAGGACCAGTTGAGGATGGTGACGGGGCCGGTGAGCATGCCCTTCATGGGGCCCCGGGTCATGCTCTGGGCCATGGTGGACCAGAAGACCGTCATAGGCTTGGGGCGGCTCACGTCGCCGTAAATGATTGGCGGCTTCACACAGCGGGAATCGTACGACTGCACCCACCCGTTGGCGGAGAACGCGAAACCCGACAGTTGTTCCCCAAAGTACTCCACCATGTCGTTCCTCTGCAGGTCACATCAACTGAATCAAGGTTCTCTCTCTCTCTCTCTCTCTCTCTCTCTCTCTCGCTCTCTCTCTCTCTCTCTCTATCTATCTATCTCTTTCTTCCCTTATATGTATCTGTATGTTCATGGGGATGGTATGAATGATCACCTCGGGTTCTCCATGAACAAGAACGTCGATGTTGAGCTCTTCCTGAAGTTTAATGACCTTTCTAATCTCCTCCTTCATCACACTAATATACTCCTGCTCGGTGATCCTAGAGATGAGTAATGGATTCATGAGTTTTGAGCTAATATCACATGGACAAGGATGACTGATCACTTGAGATTCGCTTACTTGTTTGCCTTGTACTCACGACGGGCTCGCCGGAGCTCCATTGTCTGGGGGAATGAACCAATAGTAGTGGTGGGGAGGATCGGAAGGTTGAACTTCATTTGCTGTGCATCCAATCTCGCGGTGACATTTGTCCCCCTACGGTGCTCAGAACCCTTCACCGCAGCTACCTCTAAGGTAAACACAGTAGGAGAAGATTTTTCAGTAGGCTAGGATCTCCATAAGTAATATCAGGAAAACAATAATCGACAATGACTTACAGCTTTCTGAACCTCCTCCTCAGTCACCCTGGGGGAGGACCTCCTCGAAGCTAGGGCAGCAGCATTGGCTGAGAAGTATGCCTTTATCATCAAAGAAGTAAAACATTAAAGTTGGGAAACTAAGGGTAGGTAACCCCATTCTTCATCAGGGTTTCTAAGAAAAGACTAACGCATACAAAGAATGTGTGTAGGTACCTCATTCTTTTGACTACCCAACGCCTTGGCCAAACCATCGACCTCTACAATCTTCTGTGCAGCGAAAGCCAACCATGACTTGATTTCATGGTCCAACTTAGTCTCATTAATCAAGTCAACGGCGGTTTGCATGAGCGAGCATGAGGTAGAAACAACAAGCTTCTCTGTCAAAAACAACCTCCAGAATCAGCACAGGTCACGAATTTCTCTGGGAAGCAACTCTTGGAATGGAAGAAATTGTATCCATGCATACCTTTGCCTACAATGGCCTCAAGAGATCCAAGAATGCCGAGGGAAGCAGCGAGATCATTAGCCCAAATGTTCCTTCCGTCAACCACTCCCGCGAAAAGGTATTTGTTGGCAGGGTAGTCACTCTTAATCAAGTCCAGCGTTTTGGTTCCACGGGCAAGATCAAACCCAAATCCAGAAACCCCACTCAAGCTCGTCAGAGTCCTGCGAGAAAACGAGATGGAGGAAGATTGGTTGGAAACACGATCCAGGACGATCGGTCAAGTCTTCTAGGAGGGCGACAAATACAAGGGGAGAATCAACTGACTTGTATGCCGGGGGAGGAACATCTGCAAAGTAGGTCTCAATACGAACGTTCAAGCCAGAGAAGGATAAAGTCAACTCTGCGTAAGCTTGTGTGAAAGCCTCTAATTGCTGGGTTGTCAGATCCAGCACAAGCGTAGGTTCATCAAACTGAATCCCACGAAGCACCTGCTTCCTTTAGTTCCGCAATTACTTCCCTATTAATATCTTCCGAGTTAGTACTGGAGTTGAGGATAAATCACATAAACACGAAGAAGCATCTGAATGAATGATACTTGTAGACAGGGAGAACATTTGGCAGTAGAGGAAGAAGGGAGAAGGATTTCTCAACACCCTTCGCAGGCTTTGAGAGCAACAAGTAGGTCACGGGTCCAATGAGCACTGGAACGGTGTCGATCCCGAGCTGCAACAGATCAGTCCAGCTGTGAGTACTTGACCACGGCAGAGGGTTAAAAAATATAGTAAATAAATAACATTCAGGATCCGCCGTCAGCCCAGTTCTGCAACCCCCCCCCCCACGGGGAATTCTCCCAGTTCCGACAGGGCCCGTTTTTTAGTAGACCCACCCTAAGCCCAAAGCCCATTTTTCTGATCTTTCTTCCGGGCCCGGTCGAACGTACTCTATGGGACCCAGCCCACTCGGCCAAGCAAGTTGACTGTGCCTAGTCGTTCATTATTTAAATTCCACGGGCACCGCAGGTTTAAAAGCTTTCGGCTCGTACCGCCTTGGCCTCCTTGTACTCAGACACGGCCTTGTGGGAGCCGTAGGAGAACGTCGTACTTGGCCCGAGCTCGGGGACGATGTAATGGCTGGAGAAAAACAGAAATGAACTCAGCTATCCACATCGTTGGAGATCATCATATCATCATCATCATTAAATCTCAGAACCAGAGGAGAGAGATCTCCACTTACTAGTTGGTGTCGAACCACTTGGTCATCTCCATGGCAGGGAGAGTGGCGTTCCCTCTGGCCATGGAGAACTAGATGTCGTGCCCGATCTCTCCGCCGGCGTAGCTGTACCGCTCGGGAACGGCACCGAGCATCGTCGTGGCGTCGAGCACTTGGTCGTAGTACGAGAAGGTGTTGCTGGGGACGAACTTGATCCCAGCGTCGGACATCTGCTTCCATATAGAGGATCTCTGATCGGCGGCGACTTTCTGCAGATCCTCGGCGGTACTCTTCCCGTCCCAGAAGGACTCCAGCGCGAACTTGAGCTCCCTCTTGGGCCCCATCCGAGGGTATCCGACAATGTGGGACGCCATATTTCTGCTCGTTGGCAAAATTAACGGCTGAATCAGCCCACATTTTGTAACTTACGCAAGATTTAGGTATCATGGTGGAAACAGTGGAACTCGGAGGACGTAGAGGAGAAGATCGGGATTCAACAAGCAGTAAAAAAATAGAGCTCAAGTTTAAAACCGTGGCTTTAGAGCCACGGCTTGATCTACGAGTTTAAAACCAGCGACTACGACGCACGGAGATGGAGCCCTGAGAACTGGATCTACAGACGTCTAACCGCTTTTCTCTCAGATAGACTAATCCTAACGTTCCAAACTCGGGAAAAGAACGTGATTACCGACGACAGTGGAAGTATCACAGGTATGCAAAATAAAGAGAGAGATAGGAACGAGACAATAGCGACTGTCTGAATCCTCGAGCGCCAAGACAAGCATGTGAGGGAACCGGGAAAACTTCGAACCAGAAGAAAACGAGATGAACGATCTGGAGCAGCGGAGGTTTCAAACGGATCGGCCGAGGAAAGATCTGAAGAGGCGGAGAAAACGGTAGAGCATTAACGAGGTGGGGAGGGATAGAGAAGAAAGGCAGAGATGAGATACCTACCAGCTGTGGGGAGTAGCTCCCGTCTGGTTATCGAGGTAGCGGAGAGCGTTTGGAGTGGAAGAGCACGGGTGGCAACTGAAGGCCTTCCGGGTATTTATAGACAGGGATGGAGAGAGATTTAAGAGAGAGAGGGAGACGTCGGTGGATGGGTTCTGAGCTTGACAGGGAAAACCGATTGCGAAATTGTGAGCTAAAACTTCACTTTTTACGTTATTTTCATTCAATAATAGTCCCAAGATCGTAACTATGCAAGGATATATGTTTTCTTCGTAAGCTTTTGGATGTGCAAGGGAGTTAATATGCGAGAATCCCGTGGGCCCACATGAACCACGCTCCTCAAGGGTATAATTTTCGTGAGATATTTTTAGGAGGGGAAAAAATGAAAAAGCCTATTTCTGCAGGAATCTTTCTTAATTAAGTTAATACCTGCTGGCCATGGATTGAAGGGCGTACGGCAGTCACATAAGGTTGTAGGTTTAATTATCATTATTAAATAGGAGATTGAGATTTTCACGATTTTGCTCCTCTTGGGTCTAAACATTTTTCATTCGATTATATATTTGTTTAGAATCCATCAATCTGGGGTTTAGTCCTCATAGGATCCGATGGAGGACACGTAGCGCATTCTGGGGCCAACTGGCTATCCGTCACAATGTCAACAGATCTCGTAAATTGACAACATATAGTCGACATGGTGTCACCAGTACGGCGCTCCCTCGTGACGCCGCATCAGCAGCTCTCCACTCTCCCGTCCCACTTGCTCTGTCAGAGTTATTAAAAAAAACCAGCTTTTTTGGTCCCTGGATTCAACTAATGGGCTTCGTCCACCTGCCCCGCCGCCGTTCTTCGGGCCGGTGTTCCAAAATCTGGCCCGGAACAAACCCGCCTCGGCGACCTCTCTCTCTCTCTCTCTCTCTCTCTCTCTCTCTCTCTCAAAATGGGGTAAAATTTATACCAGGCCAGAACGAGATGAGATACAGTAGTCAAATGTATGGGCTAATATTGATTGGTGTCTCAAATCGAACATTATGTATTAATTGGCCAAATTATCGGTGTGTAGCTGGGCCAAATTGGACAGTAAATGTGTGTGGTCTGAATGGGCTGATATGTTAAATGGACCAAATGACCCGATGTGTACTTAGAGAGACCAAATATGCTAGTATCTGTTACCGGACCAAATGGCTCGATATGCTTAGATGGACCAAAATTAGGCAATATATGTTAGCCGGCCAAATGGGCGAATAGGTATCGCTTGATAAAACGGCCCAAAGTGGATAGCATCAGTAATGAATATCACCTTCGTCCAAGAATCATCTCTATGGCCTTAAACTGAGATGACTTCATGATTTGGGTACGAATCCGTTGAGACTCTCTTTGTACCATTTACTTTGAGTTCATGACTTTTTAAGGTTTTATTCATTAATAATTTCTTAGTCATTAATAACTTCATAATCATGTCAATCCTCTTTCTTTGGTTGTAATATTTATTAAACAGTGAAAGCCCAATATTGATGAATTAATGACTAGGTAAAAATGTTTTGTCTATGGGTGAATGTCTACCCTTAGAGGGTTCATGTTTGATAACAAAATATCTATTATTAGGAAACTTTGTTGATATTTTTCATGAGCTTTAGGGAATTAAATAATTATTTCCCAATATAGAGATGACAAACAATAAGATATGTAATACTCTCCCAAAGTTATGTTACCCTATTTCAATACTATGTCAACCTAGTAAGATATGTACGATCAATTCTTCTTTCAAGTGTCAACTTTGAAATGTTGTGTTCTCACTTTTAAGCAAAATTAAAAACAAGAAGCAAAGTTCCTCCACAAATAAGTGCCAAGACTTGGGCTCAAACAGTACTCAAGAAATTAGGGGGTTAATTTAGACAACACTAGTAACAAAACTTGGCTGTCAATGTCATAAAAAGTATTGACATATTTGAGCTTATGGCAAGATTAGATCAAAATTATTGACCCTAATGTGGAGAAGAAAGGAAATAAATTCAAGCATCAACTCCTAATAGAGGGTTGATCAAAACTGATAGTAAAAACTCCACAAGTCAACCCATTTTCTAGTTGTTAGAGGAGAAGGCTTTTTCCACAGCTAGTAGACTTGTAACTTTAAAAGACCATGAACTTGGCTAGTTTCTTGAGCTTCCAAGATCCAGAACTTATAAAATGTATAAGCTTTTCTTTCAAGATATACTAAGTTCATTTAATATATGTAAACCCCACATGCTTTGGAATCACCATGAACATCCCAAAAAGGTGGTGTTAAATTTTCATTTATAGAATTTTTATTGAGCAAGGTTCAAAAGTCTACATAATACCATGAGAAATCTAACGCACTGCAAAGATCTTATTGATACTATAGGAAAGCTAAAGTATAAAAAACTTGGGAGAATCTTACTAGGATACATAAGAGGAGGCTTAGGGAGAGGGCAAAGTCTTTTGATGAATTCACTTTAGTTGAGAAAACTTCAGATAGATAATGGACACTCTGAAAGCTTGAACGAAGTTGATTTTCATGCTCTTCATGTGCTCAAAGATGAATCTCAAAAGCTTAGATTCCTTAGAGAAAGAAGGTTAGTGTGAAAACACTCTATTTTTCCATTATATTTTCATATGAACCTAAATATAGGCTGAAACACCCCTTTTATACTCAACATAATGAATCACCAAACAATCATTGCAACAAAGATAACAATCTACACTTGGAATTTAAATGTTATACATGTTCATTAATCTTATAAAAGTCATAAAAATTAGAAATATTTGAATTTTGATGATAATTAGCCTTACCATGGTTATCTTCAAATTATCCTTCTAATGAGAAAACTTGCATCTAAAATTCGTTTTAATCATGTATGGAACAAATATGAACCTATTATCCTTTGATAAATTTTCACATGGTTTGATTATCTTATTTATAGCAATTCACACTTTGAGGGTAAGACAATTATCATCTAGACATACTAGATTACCTTTTGTCAACATCAAAACAATTAACCCTCACAAAACCACTTTCATTGTGAGTTAGTTTTTACAAGTCAAAAATTCACGAAGGACTTGCACCAATTCTATTGGTTTAAATCTATAGTTCATATTCAAATGCTAATATTTTAAATTGTTGACTATGATCAGTTCACACAAATGAAATAACTAGAAATGTATATTTAAAATTATATCATAAATAAAAAATAAAATTCTAAAGCAACAAACTCATGTTATTTTTTACAACCATTTACTTCAAGTAGGATAAAAAGGATTCATATAAAAAACATGAATAAGTCTAGTGGTAGAGAGAATTTTTAATTGTGAAATTTAACTTTAGGATTAAAATTTACTATGTCATATATAAGAAATTAATCAAAACACTAGTACTAGTTTGGATTAGAATTTTGTATTGTTGAATGAAAAGCTAGTGATCATTATTGGGGAAAAATGGTCATTGAAATCATTCTAATGAACCACATAGGCATTTTCATTTAGGTTGGTATGAAATATGTCTTCATTACATGTAGGATCAATAATTAAACTTGTTTAAAAAATAGACTTGTTTGCAAAATTATCCATTATTAATGTTGATGATTTATTTAGCATTTAAAAAAGATATTACATCAACAATTATATAAACCCTCTAAAAATAATAAATAACAATCAACATGCAATATATTGTTGATAGTGCTTGTTTTGAATCATATCAAACAATTTTTTGAGGCTATGTTTAGACATTGTCTCTTTCACTCTTATTTTTATGTGAGGTGAAATCTCATTTTTATAATTGAGTCTTGGGCCATTTATGGTTATTTAAAATGGCTGAAAAGCAAGCCTTGTATTGTCTCATCAATAAATTATTTGAATTTTTTGTTGCACCGTGTTTGCCTTTAAAATATCTTTCATTGAAAGTTGTTAATTTCTTGATAATACAACATGCTATATATTGTTGATAGTGCTTGTTTTGAATCATATAAAACAATTTCTTGATCCTTGAGTAGAATCTCTTTAAATTCTTCATTGGTTTTTTAGTTTGGATGTAATGCTCCCTTGATCAATTTGCAATCCCAACTTGAGCTTTTAAGTTTTTCTAGTTATTCTTCATTGAATGCTGGAAATTTTTAGAAAGAAAGTCACAAGAGAATTAACAATCAAGAGTTGTCTCAAATGGATGAGGAAAACTTCACTGTATAGCTGTAATTTTGATATGGTCTTTCTACCTTTTTTTCCTCCCCATCATTCTCCTTCTAAACTTAGAAAATATATGAAGCTTCCTTTGCATTTAAATCAATAGCAAAACCTTGAAGTTGGAACATATATATTAGGAAATAATAGGACCAATAAGCCCAAAACTAGATCTGATGACATAATGGTAGTTCATGAATTTTCATATAAATAAAGTAAAGATTTATAATATAAATGAACTCCAAATCATTTCAAACAGAACATGAGAAGAAATATCACAATTGAGGTTCCAAGTCAGCTTTTTAAGTCACTTATTTGTAATTTCTTCGAACTCTCAATCATTACTTCAAATTTGGTATCAAGAATAATATATGCTGAAAGTTAAGAATGTTTCACATAAAAGTTCAACATATATCTTCTTTCTAAAGACTCAAGATATGATACTATATATTTATCTCAACACTTTAAGTTACATATATGAGTATTTTTTCGTAAAAATTATTCTTACCAAATCAAGGGTATCATCTATATTTTCTTATTAGAGATCTATCATCAAGATAAAAGATTAATTTTAAGCAGATTTTAAAATCATTTTACCAATCTCAAATCATCATCATTTTACACTATTTACACTATCATATGGGCAGTTTGAACACTACAATGATATTTTCATCATTTTCATAATAATTACTTTGCATATGAGTGTACAAATGCATTCTCAAGTTGTGTTTATTCAATAATAATAATTTGATTACACAAGTAGATCGGTCATCATCAAAATATTTCAAGGGAATCAAGGCTCTTTGGGCCAACATACTATTGGAATCCTAATGAGATGTTAAAATTGTTGGTTTAAGTATTTTATTTTAATGAATAATCATAAAAGATAGAAAAAATATTTGTAACATGTTACACTTGAACTAATGCTGGGATAAAGCTATAAATTATTAGATCTTATCCAAAACAAATTAGTATGTTTTTCATACACAAAAATAATTGGAATTAGATACAAAAGAAGAAAGTTAGATTTGGAACAAAAAAGAAGAATTCAAAAATAAAAATTGACAAAAATTGTGTAGGTTACCCCATGGGTCAACACAACAAAGTCAACTTTGCGAGTCCACACACCAACTTTTGAGTCAAAAACATAAGAGAGAGAAGTGTGTGGACATATGCATAACCCCATCTGCATGAAAATAAAAAAATGTCAAAGGGAGAAAGTGTGTCTACCCATTTGCTGACCCAATTATAAGAGAATAAAATCTCAAGAGAGAAAAAATAAGATTTTCTTTGAGATATTTAGAATGTTAGATATCCCAAAGAAAAAATCAATGTGCTAGAAATCTTTGATTAACTATGGCATTTCCAAGATGTTATAAGATCAAGAAAAAAATCACATAATCTCATTCTAACACATATACAAAGTGATCTTGTCAAAGGGCAGTGAAATAAATAGTCTCAACCCACAGTCTACTCTTCAATAAGAAGTCTTAATGCTCATAGTTACTAAGATACCATTTGGTACATCAAGTCTTAACACAGTAAGACACAACACAAAGGTATAATAATACGGCTTCTTATTTTTACATTACAAATATACTTGTCTATTTCTGTGACCTATGTCTTGACAACTCCTTATTTTAACTGTAATAGAGACTAACTATTTGAGCTTTGTAAAGATGAGAATTGGAAACTATTTTTTGAATATTACAAGCTCAAAACTTAAGAACATTATAACATCATTAAAAAATTAACCCCCCCAACATTTTAGAAGAGAACCACTACCATGACTACACATTTAATGAAGTGTGTACAACTTTAGGCCCATGCATCAATAGTCAAGAAAGCTATCCACCAAAATTGTTAGAACATTTGGTCTTTAATAGTTTATTTAAATATTTCAGGAACTTGGACCAATCTAGAGCCATTAATCTGGAAAATAATAACTAGGTGCTAACTTGACCTCCTAGAGCAAAGCATCTAGAAGAGATTAGTTGGGTTGTAATTTTATTTGGCTCATTAGAGTTTGCAAATGTAGAATGAGTATTTTTGGAAAATACTTGAGCTGATTATAGTTGTTAAATCTAGCAGAAGCTACCTAAAGCTTTGAGCCAAATAATACTTAAAATGTGTTTTGTATTAACATGAGATAGTAGAAGCTAAGGGCATAATACTTGGAGAGTGGAGTAGGCCTAGTATGTTAAACCAACTTAAAATTTCCTTCCCTCTGATTTATAAAATTATAAATTAATTATAACTCTAAAAAAGACTGATTTTACCCCCTTTCTCTTCCCCCTTTTTTTTGGTTACTCTCATAACCTCCTAAAACCTATAATATCATCATCACAAGAGTAATTTTAGATTCATATGGAAATTTTAGTGCTTTGAAATAATGGGCTTTTCCTTCCCATTCTTGCTTTTCGCTTCATCCATTTCTTTCATCAAAGCTCCATTAAAAGTTTGCCAGTAATTTTATTAAAGTGCTTAGCTTCTTCAAATATTATAAAATCTGGATCCATTTTTTGCCATGAAAACCAATCTTAAAGTAGCAACATCCTTCATGATTTAACAAACGCCTTTAGCATAGATGAATTCCAACTTCCATCTGAAGTCTTATTAGGTCTCCAACACTCTAAGATTGTGTTGAGTTTATTCTTTTATCAAGTACAACATTGAGTCCTAATGGCTTTGCAATTTGAGGACATAATATTCCATCAAGTTCAGTGGAAGAGGTTGCATCTGTCGCAAGGTTGAGTAGAACAATAGAACAAGTTTAGTTTAATGGTGAAGACATCGGCAGATATTATTATTATTTTCAAGTACGATCCTTGGCCTCTCTCTCTCTCTCGTTCACTCACTCGCTCTCACTCGCTCTCTCACACAAACTGAATACATATCGTATAAAAGACCCGAAGGATAGTTGGATACGGGTCATTTTCTATAGAAATAATTATAATGCTTCCTACCAGAGATCTAAACGCAAAGAAATGCTGTCAAAATCCTGAAACGGCAAATAGAAAGAAGGGTATGGTCCTACACCGCGGGTGAGACCCACCTGACCAACAGAGTCGAGAGGGGACCAGAAAAAGGGCGGGTGAAGACTCGTTATTATTCTAGGCCAAGGGGGTGAGGGTACTGCACCTCTTCGTCGCTCTTTTGCCTCTTCATCGAGGAAGGTGGTGGTCTCAGTTGGGGGAGGCGAGCTGGGCGCGGAGGAGCTTGGCTGCGGAAACCATGGCGGTGAGGGCGGGAGTGACCTCGGGGTACTTGCGAGTCTTGAGGCCGCAGTCCGGGTTGACCCAGAGGATGTTGGTCTCGAGCACCGCCAGCATCTTCTTCACCCGGTCGGCGATCTCCTCCGTGGAGGGGATCCTCGGGGAGTGGATGTCGTAGACCCCCGGGCCGATGCCGGCCCCGTACTTGACGCCCTCCCGGAACACCGACAGCAGCTTCTCGTCGGAGCGTGAGTTCTCGATGGTGATCACGTCGGCGTCCATGTCGATGATCGAGTGGATGATGTCGTTGAAGTTGGAGTAGCACATGTGGGTGTGGATCTGCAGTCGGTCAGCCCCAGTTAGCTCCCCGCATTGACTGAGATTCTATCTCAGAGGGAGAAGAAGAAGAGGAACCAGAAGGGTGACCTGGGTGGTGTCCTTGACGCTGCAGTTGGTGATGCGGAAGGAGTGGACGGCCCAGTCGAGGTAAAAGGCCTGCTCGGATTTCCGTAGAGGGAGGCCTTCCCTTAGAGCTGCTTCGTCGATTTGGATGACCTGCAGATAGAGAATCCACGGTCAGAACCTCCTCTGAGGAAGGTGGAAGAAGAAGAAGAAGAAGAAGAAAGAGAGCTCGAGGAGAAGGGTACGGACAGTGATCCCACTGGCTTCGAGATCCTCAACCTCCCTCTGGATGGCGAGAGCAATCTGGTAGCACGTCTCGAACCTGGAAACAGGGACCAGTCGGTTAACCTAATCAGTAGACCCTCGACTGGTTGGAGCTGGTAGTGAGGATGAGCGGGGTTTGGGGTCTCTCTCACCTGGGTTGGTCGTTCCTGACGAAGGACCAGTTGAGAATGGTGACGGGGCCAGTGAGCATGCCCTTCATGGGGCGCTGGGTCATGCTCTGGGCCATGGTGGACCAGAAGACCGTCATGGGCTTGGGGCGGCTCACATCACCGTAGATGATCGGCGGCTTCACGCACCGTGACCCATACGACTGCACCCACCCGTTGGCGGAGAAAGCGAAGCCTGACAGTTGCTCCCCAAAGTACTCCACCATGTCGTTCCTCTGCAGGTTACATCAATTCAATTCAATCAAGGGGTTCTCTCTCTCTCTCTCTCTCTCTCTCTCTCTCTCTCTCTCTCTCCTTTCTTCCCTTGTTTGGATATGCAAGTCTATGGGGATGTTACGAATGGTCACCTCGGGTTCGCCATGAACAAGGACGTCTATATCGAGCTCCTCCTGCAGCTTAACGACCTTGCTGATCTCCTCCCTGATGGCCCTGACATAATCTTCCTCGGAGATCCTGTGAAATCAACGCGGTAAAAGCCGAACAGATGAGTAATCAGTTCAGAAGATTCCGTCTGCCACCATGCAGATGAACAATTCGTTGGCTGAGATTTGCTCACTTGTTTGCCTTGTACTCACGACGGACCCGTCGAAGCTCAATTGTCTGGGGGAATGAACCAATGGTGGTAGTGGGAAGGATCGGGAGGTTGAGCTTCTTCTGCTGTGCATCCAATCTGGCACTAACATTTGTTGCCCTGCGGTGATCGGATCCCTTTAGACCAGCCGCCTGTAAACAGAGCGGCCGAAAACTCTGTCATTAGAAAGAGAAACTTCATCCTGAATCAACGTAAGAAAGCAGAGAATGATCCACAAAGACTCACAGCTTTCTGAACCTCCTCGTTAGTCACCCTGGGGGAGGTCCTCCTGGAAGCTTGGGCAGCAGCATTGGCTGAGAAGTATGCCTTTATCATGCAAGAAGTAGAACATTAAAGCCGGGAAACTAAGAGTGAATAACCCTATTCTTCATTAAGGTCTCTGAAAGAGGCTTGAAACATATGAATGTATGTGCGTACCTCATTCTTTTGACCACCCAATGCCTTGGCCAAACCATCGACCTCCACAATCTTCTGTGCAGCGAAAGCCAACCATGACTTGATTTCATGGTCCAACTTAGTCTCATTAATCAAGTCCACGGCAGTATGCAGGAGCGAACATGAGGTAGAAACAACAAGCTTGTCTGTTCAAAACAAGCTCCAGAGTCAACACAGGTCACCAATTTCTCTGGGAAGCAACTCTTGGAAAGGAAGAAATTGTATCTATGCACACCTTTGCCTACAATGGCCTCAAGAGATCCAAGAATGCTGAGGGAAGCAGCGAGATCATTAGCCCAAATGTTCCTTCCGTCAACAACTCCTGCGAAAAGGTATTTGTTGGCAGGGAAGTCGCTCTTAATCAAGTCCAGCGTTTTGGCTCCACGGACAAGATCAAACCCAAATCCAGAGACACCACTCAAGCTCGTCAGAGTCCTGTCAGAAAGCAAAATGAGGGAAGATTGGCTTAAACCAAGATGGACAGCATGTTGAGGCTTCTACAAGGCCAACAAGAAGGAGGAATCAACTGACTTGTATGCTGCAGCAGGAACATCAGCAAAGTAGGTCTCAATAAGAACATTCAAGCCAGAGAAGGAAGATTCTAACTCTCCATAAGCTAGGGTGAAAGCTTCCAATTTTTGGGCATCCAGATCCAACACGAGTGTCGGCTCATCAAACTGGATCCAAGAGGCACCTGCTTCCTTAAGCTCAGCAATGACTTCCCTGCACAGGGCCAATAATCAGTAATATGCTGGAAACGATTCACTTAAAAGATGCAAAGACTTCTGAACTCCACAAATAAATTCCTGCAAAGGAGAATCGTACTTGTAGACAGGGAGAACATTTGGCAGCAAAGAAAGAGGGGAGAAGGATTTCTGAACTCCTTTTGCTGGTTTTGAGAGCAATAGGTAAGTCACAGGTCCAATGAGCACTGGAACAGTATCCACCCCCAGCTACATCATGAAACAAAGTTTTAGAGGACTGTGATCAAGTGGGAATAGTAGCTAACATGTAAAAGGCTGAAAAAAATCAAAAATAAAAATGATAAAGAGCTACATGGCATCTCGAAACCCATTGAATGACTCAATCAGTTTATTTCACTCAAAATCATGTGCACAAACAATAAAGCTTCCTACGTCAAATGGTAGATAGGTTGAGGCTTCAACACAAGTTTTAGAGGCTTTATGCACATAGACATGATCTACAGGTCAGTAAATTTCAATTATTTACGCTATCAAGCAGTCAAACAAATAATGATGACAGAAAACATAAACATTTATGTTTTACTTCAAAATATTTATGTGAAACAAAAGAAATTTAATTCCACGGACATGAAATCATCATAGAGAAAATCACGAAAGGGTTCTCCAGGCAGGTTTAATAGTTTTGGCACATACCGCCTTGGCATCTTTATACTCAGACACAGCCTTGTGGGAGCCGTAGGAGAACTTTGTGTTTGGCCCAAGTTCAGGGACGATGAAATGGCTGGAGAAACAAAAAAGGAATCCAAATGTTCACATTTTTATGAGAAAGCCTGAAACTTAAATCAGAAGAGACAAGCGAGAGAAAAACTTGAAAGATATGACCATATTAATCACTTACTAGTTAGTGTCGAACCACTTGGTCATCTCCATAGCAGGCAGAGTGGCATTACCCCTAGCCATGGAAAAGTAGATTTCATGTCCAATCTCTCCACCAGTGTAGCCATATCTGTCAGGAACGGCCCCAAGCATTGCCGTGGTGTCAAGCACCTGGTCGTAGAATGAGAAGGTGTTGCTGGGGATGTACTTGATCCCAGCATCAGACATCTGCTTCCAGATGGAGGACCTCAGATCAGCAGCAACTTTCTGCAGATCCTCAGCGGTACTCTTCCCATCCCAGAAAGACTCCAAGGCAAACTTGAGCTCTCTCTTGGGCCCCATCCGAGGGTATCCAACAATGTGGGACGCCATATTTCTGGTGATAAATACCATAAATGACTGGATTAAACCCCAACTTTGGATACTAAAACAGTATTAGACCACAAATCGTAAACATCAGGGTGCATGAAGAGGATCGCATTTTCACATATACATTGGCACGCCCATAGTTGGTTGGAATAATGAACGAGATTTATTTGTAGATACATAAATAGTAAAGAAGAAGATATGAGATCCAGAGTGAGATAATGAACTCATCATCAAGATTAGAGAACAAGAATTTTCTTGAGATGGATAAAGAGCATAAATATAGGAGGAACGAATGTACAATAATTAATTCCCCAAAATATTCAAATAGTAGGATCGAACACAGGAAAGGCGAAGAAAGAAAGACCTCGGATCTACGAGAAGAAAATAAAGATAGATCACAAAGATAGATCGAAACAGATAACGAGATTATCGTAGCTATGGCGAGATGTACGAGTCAAAACTAGGGCCTCGGCAGAGAACGGATCTAATCCGCATAGTGGGTTGCAACAGAGTAGCAACACAGGTTAAACTAGATCCCCATACAGAAGATAGAAAAATAAGAACAATATATCGGGCCATTAAACTGATTCCCTCCCCCTATCTACTTCTGGAATCAGATCTGAAACGACGCGAGTCTGCAGTAAGCAGATGCCACGACAATAGGATCCTGCACTCGTAACACTATTGAGATGGCAGAAAAATCTAATCAACTAACCCCAACAGTAAAAGTTTTAAGGAGAAAACAGAGCACCACCTACGAAAGACATCAAAAACCAAAAAAAGGAAAAGATGATAAGCAGGAAAGAGAAAGCAACCAGAAGGAAGGAATCAGATATGAATCCCCACAATGAAGGAGAAGCAGTGCGGTAATAATCACCCTCAGACCTCACCGGATGAGAAGGAGAAGAATGATTCCACAGATGATCTGTTGATTCAACAAAAGCTACCAAACAGAGAAGAAGGCGAGATCTGAAGAAGCAGAAGGTGGGAGGAGGGGATTGAAGACGCGCAGCCGCGGGGCGCGGGGGGGAGGGAGAGCGAGCGAGCGAGAGAGAGAGAGAGAGAGAGGAGCGCTACCTTTGAGGAGAAGCGGTAGAGTAGCTCCTGAATGGTCCTCGTGGCGGCAGAGTCTGTGAATGAGAAAGGGCACAGGCTATAATAGCAGGGATTTACGGTATTTATAGGAGTGAGAGAGAAAGAGAGAGAGACAGAGAGAGACGGAGAGAGAGACAGGGATTCTAGTGGGTAGCTGAGCTGGACAGGAGAAAGACAAATGTCACAGTATCCTGGTTGAGTAAAATTAATTTACTTTTCTAAAAAATCATTTTTAAGACTTTAATTACTTCTATCATGTAATTATCTAATATGATAATGCATCTTATATTTGTATCATAATATTTACATAGATCTCAGTTGCTGAAATATTCTGAGAATATTCCAATCAAAAAGCAAGGGCTTCCCGAACTCTTCTGGGGCATGTTATTCGAATTTATATTTATAAGGGTTTTTTCATAATCGGGTTCAAATTCTCTCGTCTCCCCCTCGGCAGGTTTAATTCGATGACGACCTCCGTATTTACATATTAATATTTGTTTTGTTTATGTATTTTTTATTTATTTTCTTACTCCGAGTTTGAATAGAGCGGGCGGGCGGTGGACCCCACCTGCAGTTGGTGAACGAAGTAGGTGGGCTGGGGCTTGGATACGAGGTGAGAGGTAGGTATGCTTGCGGGGTCCACGTGTCCACCGCATCTTATCAACTCCCACAGACAGAGATCCTCTGGCGGACATTTGAGTCGCAACTTCGTAGTCGCAGGGAGCTAAAAAAGTACATGTTACCTTCTACGCGGAGTTTTTTAAAATTATGCCCCACGGCCGCCTCTTTTGAAATGTGTTTTTTTCTCTTAAATGGGGTGGGCGTACGGTCGTCGTCGCACCCACTCGTGTTAGTTGGTGAAAAGGAGAAGGCGGCTGAAAAAAGCAATATATTTAAAAAGTCCACATTCACTTTTATTAATTGCGTATATGCCACATAAGGGCAGTATTGAAACGAAGATTGTATTTTAAAAATACTTCGTTGAGTCATCTGGGGCACCTATGGATCTTAGAATCCTCAAATCTGGCTCGAATTGAGTATCTACGATCTCGACCGTCCGATCTGATCTCCACATCTTTCGCGTGCTTTTATGAAAAAAATCTACTCTGATATTTTGACGATTTAATAATTGTATGCAAGTATTATATTTTTTCAGTTGTCTCAAGGTAAATGTATGGCAGGAAGCAAAAAAAATTAATGTATGGTTTAATAAAAAATCGAATTTTCTTAATTTTAAATTAACAACAATCTCCACTCTAAAATCCTGGCCATAAATTCCCACCGAAGTGGTGGGTCGCTGGCCGGCTTTGGAGTCCGAGTAGGAAGCTGCCACGTGCATGGATTCGAGGATGACATGTCCTCCCGTTTCCCGAGGTCTCTGACGATTCGATAAGAGGCAAGGTTCTGCCCATTGGTGCCACGTCATCCATCTCGCGCGATTAGCCTTTTCCTCCAACTTGCCCTGTCGGAGGAAGTTAAAATAATAGCTATCTTTCTCATCTCCCTATATTTTAATCTGAAGACACGCAAATCGACCCGCAGTTCTGGAATATTGTGTATAAAGTGCCCACATTCAGGGTGGATCGAGGGTCAGTCGGCTTATGTGGCCTTTCTTCTGGGTTTTACTATGGCCCAGCTTGGAGAAAACAAGTAAATGGCCCAGGATTTTAGGGCCCAGCCCAATTCTGTCAAGTTACTACAGAGAATAAAAAATGATTTATTTTCCTTTTAAAATTTAAAGTAAATAACGTGATTTAAATGACCTAGTAAAGTTCCCCTCTTCCGAGACGTGCACTGTGGTGGCGAAAGGTCTGGTCGAGGACGGAGATCTCTGGGGAGGATGGATGCGGTGGACTCGGCTGTGGATCCTCTGAGGGAGTTCGCCAAGGACAGCGTCCGGCTCGTCAAGCGTTGCCACAAGCCCGACCGCAAAGGTGATCGACCTGCGCCATTGCGCTCTTCCGTTTCGGTTCGATCTCACGCATTCCCGATCGGATTTCCTATGTAAAGTCATATGATGGTGTTGATTTTGAGCCTTCGAGTTTTATGGATTCTTTTGTAGAGTTTACGAAGGTGGCCTTCAGGACGGCGATCGGGTTCGTGGTAATGGGATTCGTTGGCTTCTTCGTGAAGCTCATCTTCATACCAATTAACAATATCATCGTCGGCTCAGGCTAGGGTTGGCGTCAGATGGTTCGCCCGCTCTCTCTATCTCTGTCTTTTCCTTTCGACTGTTTCTCTGCCCGCTCCCCTCTCTTTTTTATCAGTATTGCTTAAAATTTAAGATAGCGATTTCTGATCCGGTTGCATCAATGATCTATGCTTGAGAAGGAGATGGGGATTCCCTGTTCCTTCTGTTTGGGTTCCTGAGCTTTCTTCCCCCAACAGGTTTCACGTCCTTCAACATGACAACTGGATTATATAGTCCATTATCTACCTTTCCTCCATGTTTCAGAGATGTCATAGCAGACAACAGCGCTGTCATGAATTCCTCTTCCACCAAGCCCACCAGATCTCCTCCTTAAGTACACTTAGTCTGATGTAGTATCCATGCATCACAAGGCTCCGTTCTAATTGTCGTAAGTTAATCCGTCGAAGAACGTGTTGCCACTAATCTTGAAAACCAATGCCGCCCTAATTGATATTCGACGATTCATCCGATATTAATTTCCCCTCATGAACAGGAAGGGAGAACCCCACTCATCATCCAGCCCCCATGTTGCCGCTTGCCTCCCGTTGCCGTGGTTCCACAGCAATGTTCCTTTCCAGAAACCTCTCTTCCCCTTCTTTTCTTCGAGCAAAACCAAAACAATGCAGGTGGAAGCTCTTTAGGGTCATTGCCTCTCGATCTCTCCCCGTGCATCCATTGCAACTCTCCATTGTCATCACATTGTTTCTATTGCTCATTCAGATTCCGCCTCCCTTCTCTGTTCTTCCTATTGTCGGGGAAAAAATTCAAAACTCTTCGAAAGCTGGATCTTACTATGATTTTCACTAATCTCCGTTATATGCATCAATGAGAAGCCAAACTATGAGAGATGAACGTGAATCTTCCTGAAAGTTCAATCTGTCACCAGTCTCACTCTGTTCCCTCACCAGAAGCTTATCTGAAGGGGGTCCTTCTAGCTTTCCCCTGTAGTCTCACCAGCTTCTCTTCCCTTGGTCTACCGAAAACTCAAATTATATAATTTGATAGGATAATAAAGTGCGCATGAGAGAGTGTCCTGCTGAATTTTTTTGAACTCAATTTAGGCAGTATTATGTATAGATAAGAACTTATGTGCATTCTGTGTCACAGGTCTTGTCTATATAGGAGACTGCAGAGCGCAGAAGATGGCGTTCAGAATAGTTGACCCCCAGTAAAGGGGTCGCTGACTTTTGTATCGACTCTTCAAAAGAATTTTCCTTCAGTTGTTTCCGTCGAGAGATCATTGCTGTATCTCCAAGTCAACTACTCATAAGATCTGTAGATGTTGACGTCTTGGAGCTCCTTGTTGCTATCATATTACCACCACTAGTGATTAAGAGTGGTGTTTTGTACTCAGCCAATGATTTGGGTATGTTCTTAGACTTCCTCACGATCACCTGCTTTTTGAGTAGCCCTCAGTTCCATTATTTGAAGCGCACCATTCAACTCTGGTGATTGAACTTTCATCCTTCTCTCTCTCTCTCTCTCTCTCTCTCTCTCTCTCTCTCTCTCTCTCTCTCTCTCTCTCTCGCTCTCTCTCTCTTTCTCCCTCTCCCTCTCTCTTTCTACTACTCTCTACTGCCCTCTCTCTCTCCCTCTCTCTCTCTACTACTCTCTACTGCCCTCTCTCTCTCTCTCTCTTTCTCCCTCTCCCTCTACCTTTCTACTACTCTCTACTGCCCTCTCTCTCTCTACTACTCTCTACTGCCCTCTCTTTCTCTCTCTCTCTCTACTACTCTCTACTGCCCTCTCTTTCTCTCTCTCTCTCTACTACTCTCTACTGCCCTCTCTTTCTCTCTCTCTCTACCAATCTCTACTTCTCTGTCTTTCTCCCTCTCCCTCTCTCTCTCCCCCTCCGTCTACCCCTCTCTCTCTCTTTACAATCCCATCATATAAAAATGCTGCATTAGTTTACGAACCTTGTTTGAAATTATTGTCAAAGGTTTCTGCGTAGATTTTGTGGATTAATTAGCACACTCTTGGGTCATAAAAAGATTCAAGTTTGTGAAGCAGAGGAGCATTAGTTGTGTATTCGATGATTCGAGATCCTTGTCTTCAGAACAACACACTCATGTGGAGATCAGGACCAGGCAGGCACTGAATTATTTCAGACATCTTTGTGTTCATTAATTATTGAAATAGTATAAAATACTGATGATACCATTTTTAAAAAGGTCTTATCCATCCGGATTTCTTGGAAACAGACACAAGATGAAAAACACGTGAATCAGTTATTAAACGTTGCATGAATATTATGTCTCTTCCGAAGGAAGGAATCCCCGGCAATCAGGACTCCCACAGAAGCAGGGCCGGCCAGTGTGCTGACCCTCGGCCTCCCCGTAACTAAAGGTGAGCTCCTCCCCAACCTGAATATCTCTGGACGCAAAGAAGCACAGGCGCGGGAGCAGCAGACCGGAGTTCCTCACCAGCACGCCGCCCAGGTTACCGCCGTCGCACGAGTGGTTGATGAAGCGAGCGGCGTTCCCCACCGCCGTCGCGTCGATATTCACCCGCAGGCAGGCCCTCCCCGACGGCAGGTGCTCCCGCAGGACCAGCAGCGCCGCCGAGACACGCCCGCCGCCACCGCCACCGCCACCGCTGGCCGCCTCGTCGTAGCCCCTCTGCCGCCTCCGAGCCTCCGCCGTGGTCAGAAACTCTCCTGGACAGACAGAACCCCCCATTCATTCACCGCTGCAAACTCAGAGGTATAGAGAGAAAAAGGTCGGTAGGGGAAGATCCGCGCACCGGCGTACTCGCAGACGAAGCGGCCCTTCTGAATGGCCTCGGCGGCATGGAGGCCCCAACCCTTCCGCTCGCTCCACACGATCTCCACCGCCACCGACGTGCCGCCCTGTGTGCGGCGGTTCCGGCACCGTGGCGGCCCGCACCGGCACGCCGGCCCGCACTCCGTCGCCACTTCCGCAGCGAGGAACCCGCACGGGCAGTTTGCCGCCGGGTGGCAGCAGCCGTCGGCCTCCTCCTCGCAGTCGCACCCGCCGTGGCCCGCATACGCCGCGAGGACGGCGAAGGCGGAGGGCGGCGCAGGCGAGGGCTCATCGGGCCTTCTCCCGCCCCAAGGGTGGGAGAAGGCGCCGGGCGGGGAGGGGCTGCCGACGACGGGGAAGGGGGTGTAGAGGAAGGAGGCGTAGGGAGGAGAGGAAGCGGGGGACGGGGTGCGGAAGGGGATGGGGAGGCTCTCCAGGCCACGGGAGGCGTCGGCCGCCCTGCGGGCGGTTACGGCGGCGGACAGCCGGCGTAGGGAGCGGCAGGTGGCGGAGACGGAGGCGAGGTCCCGTGGCGGCAGCCACGGCAGCACGGGCTTCCACTGTCGGCCGTCTTCTTCCTCCTCCCGACGGCGGCGGCTCTGCATTTCTCCCCGGCCGTCCAACCCCCCCTCATGGTCAAACTTTTTTCCTTAATAGAGACATCCGTGGAATGTGGGTGCTCTTCGGATCGTCAAAATGGGCTTCAGATATGTATCCCATTACGTCGACAGACACCTGCACTCAAATAGCTACTCTCCATCTCTCTCTCTCTCTCTCTCTCTCGCTCTAAGAATGTATAAAAGAAAACAACAAGGCAAGTACACATGAAGGAATTATTATTAACCAGTTTTGATCAGTAAATATTATATGAATTAACGAATTTATTTCATTCATCAATAAAGAGACCCATTCCCGTTCATATTGTAGGGCTCCCTCTCTAAACCTGATCTCCTTACATTTATGAGGCAACAAACTCACCCAGATCGCAGGCTTCTCCCTCTTGTGGTTTCTTTAAAACCAACGCAATTGTGACCCATATTCTCTCCCTAGTTGCCCAAGGTACAACCCATTAATAATTCAGAGCACATCCAATCACTCAGGCGAAACATGAACAATTAGAGCTCCACCACAATTTTTCTGTGATTCGTATTAGAGCACACACAATTTATTCACACAAAAAAAATTGCTCAGGGCTGAGGATTTAAGATGTCTGATCACAAGAATTGCAATGGAGAAAATGCCAGTTTAAAGCGAATGGATTAAAAATGATGTTGCTGCAAGGATCATGAATAGAATTTCCATCTATTAAAAATCATTCAAGTACTCGACAAAGTTCACAATATTTTACTCTTAAATTATCCGCAAATGTACATGTAACAATCCAAGATGGGATCTGGTCCACAGGCCCAAATCAAGATGGATAGATGGCAAAAAGGAACTGAAGCTTATTATTTCCAGAATCCAGGGAGTACATCAGATGGGGATGAATGGATTGTCAATCTGTGGTGAGTTATAACATGGAGGGGGAACAGAAAGAAAGTATCCAAGTCAGAGAACTGTGATCACAAGGCATCGCTAATAAATGTGGGTTGAAGAAGGTCCAAGAGGAAATAATCGAAATTCTCGCCTCTCATACCTTCTGGAAACTAATTTGTGCCAAATACATTGGGATCAATCAGGCTTCGGCCACCTTCTCTGTCTCTGTCTCTCTCCCTCTGTCCGCTTCTTTACAAGCTTTCCCAATCTCCTATATTCCCTGCCCATATGTGTTCTCAAGGACAGGGACGCCAGGGCCATAAATCCTACGGCAGCGGTCGGTGAATGAACCGACAAGCCGGGAGACCACCTCCTTGAAGAACATCGACGCCACCTGGCACCAGAGAGCAAGCACAACCCCACTCGTTATGATCCCATTTCGCAACTCATGGATGGTGGATCCCAAGGAAACTGAAAGTTGTGAGAAATCGGCTGAGCTAAATGTGAGCTTCTCAGACAGATATCAGTTGCAAACAATTAAAATCCGCGACTCGAAGGAGCAATACCAGTTGATGGAATAGCAATTAATATGGAAACAGCTCAAGATTATTGATACATGTGAACGGGCACTACCTGTCGATAGAATGGCGATTGGAACTTGAAATCGACCAGGAAGTAGAGATCGCAGGTTCCGGGAACCGAGCCAGGATTGAATTCCCACACATTAATCAAGTACTCAAAGAGCCCGCTTTCAGAGACTGCAGTCTGGGCAAAACAAACAGTTCAAAGAGTAAGATCATCGGGATGATGAACTGCAGTGTTGTACGCAAATTTAACTCAAAATGGGACAAAGTTCATAACATAGACTAGGAAATCCTGCAGGCTCAGTAGCTGTCAAAATCCTGAATGGCACTTACGACTGTGATCTAAGAGAGGATAGAGAAGAACCCTAACAATTCCTCTGTCACTAGAATTTTGAGAGTGAGGCTTCATTACGGTCATGATACCGTCCTATGTGCTTCATTATCGTTGACAATGGAAGAACACAAGACCCTGAAAAAGTCAAAAGACTATATGGCCCTCATTACGGATACAACTATATGCCTGTGCCGTAAATGATGAAGATAAAGGCAGCCTATTTAATAGCTCTTTAGTATGTGAAGTCTCAAAACAAATGAAAATCACTCCTATGATACTCACATATGCTCTCCAACCGTTCCATGTAATTAATTACCCACCTTTAGGACTCTACATACCCCTATAAATAAATAAATACGCCATGGAAGCCAGATGGCTCATCTTTGACCCTTATGGACAATGAGGTCCCAAGATGACACCACCGATGGTGTCCAAGATTGAGTTCGCAGCATGGCGCTTGGAAGTCAAAACGGGGGAATTTCATCAAAGAATACATCATTTGGAAGTCAAGAGTTGACCCTATGTTGCTTATGTTAAATGAGACTGGCGTCTGAGAGGGGGCATTGCAAATCTTGGGAAGAAATATCACCGGAAGGTAAATTAAAAAAACATTCTAAAATATCTCAGCATGCGAAACCTCTGCAGATGGAATCAAAAATCATGGTTGAAGGCATTCTAAAACATGTGAAAGAGATTCTCAAGAAAACCCCTGGCATAGCGAGAGGAAGTTCCTCTATTCTGTATAGTTTCCATTAAGTTAAAAAGCACAAATATTTTGAAAATATTATTAAATAAACAACTTTCAAAAAAATGCTCCCCTCTCCTGATTTGTGATCAATAAAGAATCCAATCCATGCACACATGAAACCAATCTCAAGCTCAGCGTCAAAGGATATTACCTTTAAATACTTTGGTTTTTTCACTTCTATATGAGAGATATAGCTTTCAACCATAAACTTGAAACCAATCTCAAGCTCAGCGTCAAAGGATCCATCATTATTGCGACGAAGAACCTTTGAGCGCTGACACCACGGGACAAAATCTTCATATAAATCAACTGCCTCAACCACAGCAAATAGCTGCTCAGGAGAGTACCTGGGTTATTACAGATTGTGTCAGCATATATTTCAACACGAAATATACATCACAATCCAGAGAAAATAAATGGTAAGAAAAATTACTGGCGACCATGATATCTTTCTATGACCTGAATGGGTCAAGATGAATTTGTGATCGACCCCCACTCCCAGTTCTCCTAGGCATAACTAGGATATTTTGGCAAAATTTTCTTTGTTGTGTGACCATGAAAATAATCATCAGAGAAAGAAAAAAATCTACCACTACACAACGAGAATATCATCATTGGTAAAATCATGTGCTTATCTCTGCAACGTGCTGGAAATAATTGTGTTAAAAACCTTGTTTTCATTAATGATCCGAATGGGCATGTTGACATGTAAATTTTAATAATATCCCAAAATATTTGAACATAAATGCCCTACAATTAATATGGGCATAGCCTTTTGTTTGGCCACGGCATATCATTCACCCTAACCCTGACCAGAAAATAAGACAAAGACATTTTATTATAAGATGACTCAAAACAAGGAAGAAGTATCCTCCGACAGGAAATAACGAAGTTCAGAGCGAATCCCAGTTTCCAAATATCCTATCGTTGGATAAAACACTCACGTAGTAACGAGGATCAATGCTTCATTCTCTCGTTTTATTCTCTTGCCACCCTCAAGGAGAACTCTAGCTTTCATTTTCGAGGAAAAACAGGACTAATGTAGTAAAATACAAACGCCGGACAGATTGATTTCCCAAACTTTTGCCCTGTGTTCCTGGGTCAATCAGCCTATGTCGCTAAGTTGGGGAACTGGCGGGCAAGATATTATATTATTCTACCACACAACTCCCCCGTGTCATCCATCTTCCCCCAAGGACCTCTCAGTGATCGCAGTAGTGATGCCCTTCACTCACACCGACTATCCTGCAAACACTCTTAACTATCCACCCCCTCCCCCCCCCTCCCCCCCCCCCAAACAACAACAATGAGAAATCCTGTGACTAATCTCTGTGGAAAGGAGTACAAATCAGAAGACCAGGATCTTATGGCAAAATCACCTTCTCAGTAACATGATTCTAAGAGTTCTAAGCTCAAATAAAAAGCAAAAGCAATGAGACTCGCGAAGCACCGTCAGCAGCACCAGAATTAGACAAAAACGTGAAGACGAGATAACTGGGGAAGAAATAATATTCTAACGTGGCAACTCTTAGCATCAAACGAATTATGCACAGCAAATGGCAAAGTCTGCAAGATTCCTTTACAATGTAAACTAGGGAAAGGAGAAACAAAGGTTACGATGCCATTTACCCGATCACCCGTCTCTCCTCGTAGGTCTTGGAGAGGACATTGCCCTCCTCCCCATCGCCGCAGCCGAGGAACTGCCTAATCTGGCCGGAATTGCGAAGGTATCCCGGTGTCTGGTTAACCTCCGCGTCAACACTAACCGGCTCGCCGATTGTGGGCGGCCCAACACGAGCCCCGCGGCTCAGACACCTGGCGTGGGCAAAATTACCAATCCTTGTACATCCTCCCTCCCCGCAGCTCCTCAAGCTCTCCAATCCATTCTTAAGGTTCACCGCATGGCGTCGGCTGGACAATAGCCTCCCGGTGGCCTTCGAAGCCGAAAAAAGCGTCTGCATTATCGGAATCAGCCACCTTCAACGTCGAAGCAATGGATTTTACCCGCCGTTCCTTACCACAAGAACCCCTTCCTGTGCCCTAAATAACCCACCTCCCCTCCAACGCCGCAGTGCCAAGATGAGCTAGACACAGATATTCCTCGAAAACTTCTCCCGGTCAGAAATGGACTCTCCCCCTGGAATCCACATCCGTCCCCGCCGGAAGAGAGAATTCAGGCGAGAGAGGGATAAAGGAAAACGAAATTATTGAAGGATGGAGATAGAAACCAGAAGAGGATGGTTTCAGCAGAAAACTCCCACGGGACATCCAACCCAAGGGGCTTCCCCCTAGGGTTTCCCTCCAAGGGAAGAGGGGAGGGAGCAGCCGCCGTGGGAGAGCTCTGACCGTCTCCGATTCCACGCGTTCCGAGGTCGAGGAGTCGGAAGTATTTCTGTCCAGCCTGGTCTCCTCCTCTGTTACGTAGCTATAAGCACGTAAGCCTACGATCAACCAGTCAAAGTATTCAGTGATGTCATCTATCAAATTGCGCGAATAAAATACCTTCTTCCCGTCTCGGTTCTAATTGAGCATGGTTCATAATTTATCTAGCGTTTCCTTGGGATATTCAATACCATTGAAAATAACCAGTCAAAATGTGGAACTCACGGCACATTAATTGGATGTAAAAATTTAAACCCAAAAGTTTATCTTACACATCATTAAATGTAATGAAGAACCCAGTAGACGACTACCAAAAGCTTTTATTAAATTATTGTCAGGCGAAATGTGAAGTGAAATCTCCAAATTCATTGTTTTTATTCATAAAATGGGTTGTTCCTTTTGATCGACTTTAAATGCTTCTAAAAAAATCATTAAATAGGGTGACGAAATTACTTGACAAATTTTCTAATGGCCTTCATTCATATAAGGGGACAACTAAAAAGGTGCCATAAAAGTGGTACTAAGTAGCCCATATTATGTGATTTTAGGTCTTTTCTTTTGTTCCTGCACATGAATTTCGAGTTTTTAATGAACTCATGGCACTTGAGATGTGATACAAAATATCAAAATTTCACAAAATATTAATTATTAGATCATGTGAAAACTTCTCTTTGAATTATGTTAAATACGATCAAGACATCGCTAAATGAATTAGCAAGAAGCTTTTATCAAATTTTTACTATATGAAATATGTCCAAGATTCACGATAAAAGGATCGTGAATCCATCGAGTAAATCATCTCCGATTGATCGACGAACAAGCCGTCGTTGGGAAGAAGACGATCCACCGGGAGATGAGTCGCCACCTCTTGAGAGCGTACTGGATGCAATGAAAAGCCTCCTCTTCCTGCGCTGACCTGAAGATGAAGCTCTCTGACATGCACCCCACCTCCATCCAACTCTTCTCCGTCGGGTGATAGCCGCTAGAGAGCCGCAAAGTCACCGTTTTTCTACTCCGCCGAGTGACAGCTATCGGAGATGATTCGACGACCCATTTCATTGATCTCTAGACTTCGCAAAGAGATCTAGAGATTGCCCACGTCATCCTTGTCCAAGGAGAGCTTTTGAGGCCGTGGACACTGCACGACGATCCTCCCGAATGCTCAGGATTCCGGTGCATCGTCGACGTATTGCCGCCGCGACGCCGGAACTCTATTTTCCTACTTTCAACTTAATTTCCGTTTCATTTAGTGATAATTTGTTGATTTTAAATTTACCAAGATATACTTCATTTCATTATGATTCTTTTGGCTTTTACAGATCTTAATTTGATCAATTAAATCGTTTGTAATAACTTACGTAAGAATCGTTGGGCGGAACTCTATTTCTGTCTGATTCGCGTTCGCCAGGCGCGGACGTCATCTTGACGTCTGCACCCTTATTTCTTTTTTCTGTGAATTTTAAATATATTTCCTTTTCATTTCCTAGTATACAATTCATAGAAAATAGTATTCTTTGCAGAAAATTCTAAATAATTACCAGATACTATATTACATCCCTGTGATTGACCTGGAAAATTACCGTTATTTTTGGAAGTTTTATTAAATTATAATTGATATATTTGTTCAAAAATACTTCTAAATATTCAAAAAATTGTATTTTCTAGTTTTATAAATTTTAAATTTGCGTGATTTAATATATAACGACTAAGTCACGTCAAGTGTTCAAGAAGATTATTGTGCAGTGCCATGATCTCGAAGGCTCCTCTTAGACAAAAATGACATAGGCAATATCTTGATCTTTTTATAAAGTCTAGAGATCAATAAAATAAGTTATTAAATCATTTGCGGTGGCTATCACCTAACGGAGTAGAAAAATGACCACTTTGCAGTTCTTCGACGACTGTCACTTGATAGAGATGACTTGGATGGAGGTGGGGTGCATATTAAGGAGCTTCATTCTCAAGTTGCATAGTAAAAAAATACTCTTCATTGCACCTAGTACACTCTCAAGAGGTGGCGACTAGTCTCCCGATGGATCATTCACTTTCCGACAACGACTTGTTCGTCAATCAATCAGAGATGATTTACTCGATGAATTCATGATTCTTTTATCACAAATCATTTAGCAATTTAATAATGATGCTCCATGAATCGCGTTAATAAGATTTTTGTCAATGATTGAGTGATTCTGATGACTTAATCCTTCAGTGACATTTTGTAGAAAAATTATGATTTAATCAGATAAAAAATATGAGTTTTAACTCTAGTGGCATTTGAACCCGTGCTGGTCACCCACGTGCATGAGAGAGAGGAAATAAGTTCTCAAATATCCTTATATAATGACATGATCATAGTATTTCGTTGTAATAAATAACATGTATTTTTAATATTAAAATCATTGAAAATATTCTAGAGAAGGTATGACTGCTGGTTTAATATTACATTAGTTATATGCCGATGCATATATAGTAATATAAGATTTGAGATTAAATGAGTCTCTTTCTTGCATGTATACTACCACTCCTTGCCCCACGCTCGGCTGGCCACTTGTGACAAGGAAGGGGAGTGACGTACACGTGCCTCCAATCAGTCACCCTTAGCTACTTGATTCCTTACTCACAACTCTACCTAACTGCACTTTTGACCCACTTGTGGGCCTGACTGACTAGTGGGTTCCCCCCTTTTTATATTATATTATAATATTTTTCTTCATTTATCTCAAAAATAAGATTATAAAAATTTGCATAAAACTACATAATTAACTAAAAAATCATATTAATCAACTAAAAACTACTTTTGACAATTTAACACAATCTATTTATCATGAGTTAAGGCTTAAAATATATTATTTATTAATTATTAACTCATAATAATGAAGACTTATTAATACTCTCTTCAACTTCTTAGTCAACATAATATGGTCTTCTTCATCTTCCTCTCCTACAATTTCTATAGGGTCACCCACTACTTCTATTGACTTAAAGTTAATTGATTTCTTAATGAATTTTTGTATTATGACTATCTTTTTCTATACCCATCTATGTGAGATCTTTTGATTCATCAATTGTTGTAACTTTGGACCTCTATTGTGGAGACAATGACATGAAATTATTTATTTTCATGTCTTCTAAGTAGTAGTTTCTTCCTAAGCTTTTTAGAAATTTATAACTTCCATAAATTTGTCAAATATTTCTGAGATAGTCTCATTTTGATTCTTATTGGTGCACCAATGGATATTTGTTTAATTTCTTCACTTGAGTGATGCATACAACTACATCTCAAATTTCACTAGCAGATTTAGATGTCAATAGTTTGTTGAACTCAGCATTAAATCTACTAATCAAAATACTTCTAGTTTTAGTATTTATTGATAGAGTTTTTCCTATGTGTTCCCAAACTCAACTCCTTTATAATTTTACTCATAACTTTCTTTTTAAATTCACAACTCTAAGAGACTGATATTAATAGGGACAACTCTAAGACGTGACAAGTAGAGTATTAAGTACTACATTTATCTCACTAGAAATACTATAGATATCACAATGGATGTTTTCAAATAATGATATTGACTTGAGTTTCATCTACTCTTTCAATGAAGAAGACAAAGATTAAAGCTTGGGTATTGATTTTTTATATTCTCATTAAGATGTTGATTGATGCTAGGGTGAATTGCAGCATGTAGTAGGTCAAAAAAGAATGTATGAGAGCTTAATGATTGACACTCGACATAAGTCCTTCATGAGTTTTGTTAGTTAGTTGAGACCTCTCTCATTCTCATTGGATTTTATATATGGAATTCTCTATTGAAAGCTAAAGTTCATAAGAAAATTAAAGATACTTATACTTTAATGATTATATATTTAAAATATTTGATATTTATAGGTAAATCATATGTGAATATCCTCTTAGGTCTCCATGATCCCACATCATCTATTTTTCTTAGAATAAACTCAAATTCGAATGATGTCTATTAATGAGTTCAGATATTCTTATGAGAAATCAACACTTGGGCTTGTTAACGTAGTATTCATGTCTGATTTCTGTCAATTTAAATTAATTTGATAAAAGATCAAAAAATATGAACATAGAACTAATATTTAAATCACCTCAAGTAAAATGTGATCTTCAACTGAACATATTTAATCATGATTTTGAAATTTATAATCATAATTTCAATAATCTAGAATAGTAAGATTTTTTTATAAAATATATCTATTGATATTCAAAACATCTTACTTGACTAAATAAATGATCTGAATATAATTGATTAAAATTGATATATAAATGATTTTAAATTAATGATCTAATCTCACGAGCACATGTAAATTGAGTAATCTTTCATACTCATATTTTACTTCTCAAAATTTCATTGATTTCTTGTATTACTCATTGATTTCTCACAACATCATATTCTATAAATATTTTATTTTTCACATCAATATGAAATATGATAATTTTATGTAATGAAATCAATCAATTATATTACTTATGTCCTGCTTACTAGAGATACGTTCAATCAATTCTCATCTAAATATCTAACACTTGGATATATAATCACTTTCATATTTGTCCTCATTTTATACATATTTGGAATAAGGTATAATTCAATCTTTAATTGATTTTACAATTTTCCATCATCATCAAGACCACATATACAATGTTCTAAAATATTTTGGTAATACTAAGCATTTACAACTTCTACAATAATCAATGTTTCACATCTCTACATCGTGTATCTCCTGCTCTTAAAAAGTTAATTTCCCCACCTTTGTAAGAACTATATGATTCTATTTTTTTATATTTATATTTAATTTCACATATAGTTGAACCAACCTTAGGATATTGATGTTAAAAATGTTTTAAGAACACTCGGATTAACCTAGAATAGTGAATCTTAAAAAGATGTTTTAAAAACACTTGGGGTAATTAGAGTTGTAAATCTAGTGGATGCTAGTTTAAGCCTTGATGTCCAATAGTTCATACTAACAAGTATCAATAGAATTGAAGATTGTAATATTTATACGCCCATTGTGTCAAGCCATTACCCATCATTGGAGTCTTTTAATAGTTTCAATGATGACAAAATGGATGGAAGGGAAAATGGTAATTTTAAGTTGCCAAGGATATGTTAAGATATTAGTTCTTTTAAAAATATGAAAATATTCTTGATCCTTAAACATGATCTAGTATGTTGCATGTGCACTGATATGATTTATTAATTGAGATAAATAAAATAAAAATAAAATTGAGGGAATTTTACTCTTGTTTTTAGCTTTGTGATCTTGAACATGTTTGATCAATCTTGAAAAAACTTTATTACATTAAAGATGAAATATTAGTATTCATATAGTGAGAATCTAGAAAATACATGAAGTGACTATGTCGTCGTATAATAAATCACATAAATTTAAAATTTATAAAACTAGAAAATATCAATTTTTGAGTATTTAAAAGTATTTTTGAATAAACATATCAATTATAATTCAATATAAGTTCCAAAAATAATGAAAACTTTTCAAGTTGATCACAGGAATGTAATATAGTATAAGATCGTTTTTCAAATTTTTTTTTGAAGAATACGATTTTTTTATGAATTTTTAATTAAAAAATAAAAATAAAATATATTTAAAATTTACAAAAAAGAGAAATAAGAGTGCGGACATTATCCTAACGTCCGCACTTGATGAACGTGAATCAGACAAAAATAAAGTTCTAACTGGTGATTCTTACGTAAGTGATTATAGATGATTTAATTGATTAAATCAATATTTGTAAAAGCTATAAGAATCATAATTAATTGAAGAATAGTTTTGTAAATTTAAATCACATAAATTATCACTAAATGAAGTGAAACTTAAGTTGAAAGTAGGAAAATAGAGTTCCAATGTCACGACGGCGATGCGTGGGCGATGTACTAAAATCCTGAGTATTCAAGAAGATTGTCATATAGTGTTCACGACTTTGAAGGCTCTCTTTGGACAAAGACTACGTAGGTAATTTCTAGATCTTCTTGTGAAGTCCAGAGATCGATAAAATGAGTCGTCAAATCATCTCTGATAATTGTCATCCAACGGAACGAAAAAATGATGACTTTGTGGCTCTCCAGCAGTTGTCACCTCACAGAGAAAAGTTGAATGGAGGTGGGGCGTGTGTTAAGGAGCTTCATCCTCAAGTCTACGTAGTGAGAAGAAGTTCTTCATCGCATCTAGTACGCTCTCAAGAAGTGACAACTCATCTCCCAGTGGATCGTTCTCTTTCCGACAACAATTTGTTCATCAATCAATCGGAGATACTTTACTTGATAGATTCGTGATCCTTTTATCGCGAATCATTCAATAATTTTAGTAACAATGCTCTGCAAATCGCGTAGATGAGATTCAAGGATTATGGTAGCTTAATCCTTCACCAGCGATCTGCAAAAAAGTCATAATTTAATTAAATAAAAATATGAGTTTTGGTTCTAGTAGGATTCGAACTCACACCGATCGCCCACCTATATGAGAGATACTGAAATAAATATTTTAATACCCTTATAAAGTGACGTCATCATGGTATATCTCTGTTATCACTAAAAAATATTTTAAATATTAAAATAAACGAAATCATTTCGAGAAAGATGTGACACAGGTTTAGTCCCACATTAGTTGTACACTGAAGTTTTGGATGAATATATAATAATATCACATTTAGAAGCAATGAGTCCTTTTCTCACATGTATGACCACTCTTTGCCTCACAATCGATTAGCCACTAATGACATGGAAGGAGAGTGACGTACACATGCCCTCATTGGTTCATAGTTGCTTGAGCCTTTGCTCGTGGCTCCCCTCGACTACACTTTCGATCCACTTGTGGGCTCGGCTGACTGGCATGTCCCTTCTTTTTCTATTTTTTTATTTGAATTTTTATTTATTTATTTATCTCAAAAATAGAACTATAAAAATTATATAAATTCATATAAAATCACATAATTAGTCAAATTTTCACATTAATCAACTGGAAACTATTTTTCACAATTTAACATAAATAGAAGTCTATTTATCATAAGTTAAGGCTAAAAAATATATTAATTAATAATTATTAACTCAATACACTCAATGGTAAAATATACATTTAATTCTAAAATATTCAACCATCTTTGAGAACCCTTGAAATTCTTAAGCATCTTGAAATTTCTCTATTATGATTTTAAAGTGTATAATATTTATAGATAATTTTTTCGATATTTATGTTTTTTCTTCTTAAATAAAAAATGAGTCTACCTAATTGTTTGGAGATCTTTTTTGCTTATTACAAATCCAACAAAAAGAGGAAAAATTGGTTGCTATATAAGGAACATTTTCCCAAATCTTGAATAGAGAAAAAAGTCATTCAGTGAAAGAAAAAAGCTCAAGCATTCAAGGTTCTCAACACAAGCTGCCTCTATATCTTTGAGCCAAAGAATCCAAATAACATGAGCCATGTGCTAAATTGTAAGAGTACTATATTTTTGTTGAATCATTCTTGATTTGCAATTGAACCCCTTCTATCCCAAATTGATTACAAATCAAGAACAATTCAAGAGCAAGGTATTGCCCTTGAAATTCAATATTCATTTTTGTCTAGAGAACTTTAATAAATCATACTACCCTTGGAACATAAGAAAGCGTATTTAATGATTGTGAAGATATTTAGGTGTTTTCATATTGTGAAATTACCATTTGACACTTGAAGACATGTCCTCAATTTCATGATTTTCTTATCAATAAAAGATGTATAATCATATCACTATTCTTGCAAGCATATTCAAGGGTTAGGGGAAAAAAATCTGTTAGTTTCTATAATTTCTGAACATAATTTAAATAATATTAAATTACCATGTTACCATTCTACCCATCTTGTCGTCATCAACAACTATTTAGTGGATATAATTCTCTCAAGAAAGTTTTTATGAGAGAGGAGGTTTTTTTTTAAGTAAATAAAAGTGCTTTTTTTCTTCCAATTAGGTCTCAACAATGAGAGGAACAACTTCAACCGAAACCAGAAAAATAAGAAAAATAATTAATCAACTTAATGAGTGAATAATTTTTCTCATGTTGGCCCAAGAAACCTTCAAATTAAGGTCAAAATGACATATCCTCACAGCTATCCCTTAGAGGGTCAACTTTACCAAAATAGGGTGGTCCGTTGACCTGAATTTAGGTTTAAAATGGGGTATTTTCGATATATTTTCCTGAATAGAAAAAGATCCTAAAATTGTTTGTGGACCCGATAATTTCTTCCTAGATTCGTTTGTTGTCGGATCAATATTGGATACTACCATACCAACGAACCGTTAATTATTCGTACCAGGACATGGCATCCGAGAAGTATCCGATTACCAGGATATTCCTCTCCGGGCTCTATCCTCCATTCCTCCTGCTACCCCCCACAGGAGATGAAGCTGATGACGATGATGGTGGTCTTGATGTTTCGGAAGCTGGTGGCGTACCCGGAGTCTCCTCTCGTCCTCCACACTTCTGGCACTCCCGCCGGCCACACGAGGGGAGAGTGAGCAGCGAGCCCCGCGGGATGTTTCGCTGCAGGTGAATATCAGACTATTGGATGCTCATGCGGAGGATAGAAGTCAATAGGGGGAGGATCTTAAGCGGCTTCTAGGGTTTTAGTTAAGATTTTTCGCCAGAGCAGGTGGGTATGGGGACTCTACCGAGCTCCTCCGTTGTTACCTTGAGCGTCAGGTTCCGGGCGTTGCCGGCGGGTGGCCGCGAAGATGGGAGGATTCGGCCGGCGTGGGATCAGTGTAGGAGGATGATGAGTTCGAGGTGGGCTCGTTCTCAGTGGCGGGAGAGGCCCAGGGTAGTTTTGCCGGGGCGCCGTTGGAGTGCCATCACGTGCTGCGCGCTGAACGGAGATGAGGGTGAGGACAAGAATTTGGGTTCCAGTTCTCCGTCGACTTCGGCTTCCACTTCGACCGAGGAACCGGAGAGGAGGAGCGGGGACGACCCGAGATCAGAGCAGACACCAGCCTCGGTTTCCCCAAGGGTATGTTTATCTTCCCCCACACCACCATTGCCACTTTCAGTGATTAGAAGATGAGATTCTACAACCGTTTGCGGCTCCGGAGGCAAATACACTGTTGATGCAATGCCAATCATACGCTTGCATGATCTCCCCTCCGTTCGCTCCCGTCTTCCCGTCTTCTTTCGTGAAATTCTTTCCCTCGGAGTCCATGTAGACTTCAGTAGTTAGCTCCTCAATGACTACCATTCAAATGCTGTGAGAAATCAATTTCAAAGGTCCTAATTGTGATTTTCTGTGACATGGTCGGTTGGCATTTGGCTTTGAAATAACCCACATATTTCCGGATTTCTCAGTGCTGCCCGTTTTCCTTCTGGGCTTGACATTGCAAAGGGGAAATTTGGGCTGAAAGTGTAACGCAACAAAGCTAACTGGAGTTGATATTGATTGTTCTAGTCGCTATGGGGCTCCTGCCTCTCGATTTTGGAGACTGTTCTATATATTTTTAGATACTAATAATTTTCTATTAGCTTTCCAAATTCTTTGCTAATTTTGCTTCGATAGAATCAGACAGCCCATAGATTCTAATAATTTTCCATATTAAGTGACTAAGGTTTTTTTCTTATGTTTGTTGTTTGTAAATAGTAAACTGTGATCCATTTTGAGTATTGACGGTGAACTACCCCTAAAACATTGGCATGAATATCTTGATTTAATCTTTGAACACAATACTCGTGATGAATGTAATGGTTGGTCCACAATATATGATCCTTCCCTATAGCAAAAATATTCACCAAGTGATGCCACATTGAATCGCTCACAGAGTCATGCATGAATATCTTGATTTATACTTTTTTTAATTAATGGAAGTTGACTAATTTGTCGTTAACCTTTTCCAGAACGTTTTCCACCTACTTGGTTTACTAAAATAAAAATAAAAAAGTCAGAATGATATCTCTGACATATAGTTTCTGTTGGTATCATCTGAAAGGCTTCTGGTATATCGCCTGAGGGGCCAATATACAGCAGTTTTCAAATTGACTCCTTCAAACTGATGGAGCTTCTTGGACCCGAGAAGGTAGACCCTTCTGATGTGAAACTGATCAAGGAGAAGCTCTTCGGCTATTCAACCTTCTGGGTGACCAGAGAAGAGCCATTTGGTGACCTTGGGGAAGGTATCCTTTTCCTTGGGAACTTGCGTGGCAAGAGAGAGGAGGTCTTTGCAAAGCTTCAGCGCCAGCTGGCTGAGGCCACCGGCAGCAAGTACAATTTGTTCATGGTAGAAGAGCCCAATTCGGAGGCACCTGACCCACGTGGTGGGCCACGTGTCAGTTTTGGTCTGTTGAGGAAGGAGGTTTCTGAGCCTGGGCCTACTACCCTCTGGCAGTATGTCATTGCACTATTGCTTTTTGTTCTCACCATTGGCTCCTGTGTTGAAGTAGGCATTGCATCCCAGGTATGCGATTTTTTACCGTTTGTCTATTTCTGTTGCTTTTGATTTCAATCATTATGAGCTATTTCTCAGATCAAGTTTGTTTTGTGCTATTTTTTGCAGTTGACTAGTCTCCCACCAGATGTTGTGAAATACTTTACAGATCCAAATGCCACTGAACCACCCGACATGCAATTGCTATTACCATTTGTTGAGTCAGCATTGCCCCTGGCATATGGTGTTCTTGGGATTCATCTATTCCATGTAATCCCCTTATCTGTGTCTCATCTGAGTTTTGCCTGTTTTTCATATAATCCTGTATATTTTCTGGTATATTTTCAGTTTCTTTTTGTCAACAATGTGATAGTAACGGGGTCCAGTCCTGCACCTAAGTACTCAGAACTTACGTTTATTTCCTATTTATTTATCACAAACATGTGTCAATGCGGCCTCTTATTTGACCTCGTGGAGTGATGATTCTTCTTGTTCATTAATGCTTGTCGTCTGTCAATACTGTTTTATCTGTCATTTGAAGAAAGCTACTGATAATTAAATTATGTTTAAATTAACTGTGATTACTTTCGGTTAACTGATGATATAGGTAGGTTTATCACGTGAGTGAACTGTGACCACTGTCCTTCGGTGGTGTGCATGGAAAGCTCTTGTTGTTCTGTAACTAGTGAAACCCAGCCTCTGACTGAAAATTTATCTTCTCTTTACTGATTCTTGTCCATAAGTCATGGTCGCATAGTTCCATGATTCTAACTACCATAAGGAATCTTGCATTGTAGGAGGTTGGCCATTTTTTGGCTGCATTACCAAAGAAGGTGAAGCTGGGTATTCCTTACTTCATCCCAAATATTACCCTTGGCAGTTTCGGTGCAATCACTCAGGTGAGTCCTTGCCATTTGATCTAGATACTTGATATGGTAATTTATTGGTCGGGTTTAAATGTTTGAATGGGCAAGCTGATTAAATATTTTGAACAGAAAAGCTTAACTAGCTTTTCTTCCATGACTGAATTTGTATGATTCTTTTTCTGTGGAAACAGGGGATTATTGTTAGTTTTCTCTTCAAATGCGGCCATAAGTTCGGTTCATAATCTACCATTATAGACTAATTTCAGTTTTCTTACTAATGTAAATTTTATTTGACATCATTCATAATGATTTTTTTAAAAACTTTCTGATTCTTTAGTTATATGTTGTCGGAATGGGTATCTTTATAATCACAGGCTTGGACAATTCTTAATGCACCCCTTCACTAGCCCTTCACAGGCTCAGAGAGTATATAATTGGTGTATACGTTCTACCCATGAAGAACAATCGGTTCTGATGTCATGTTAAAGTTATTGGGCCATCCAACTTCAGATCAATTGACTATGATGGAACTATCCTTGATGCTCTGTTATCAAAATAACCACTCGTGCATGTGCTCTACCATGTTTGCTATGTTCTTCATTTATAAATATCTCAAGTGTTTATATTACTTTCCTTGAATTGAGGCTATTGTTTTCCTCTTATTTTCACCATATATTCTTCCGTGCAGTTCAAATCCATTCTGCCAGATCGGAAGACAAAGGTTGACATCTCGGTCGCTGGTCCCTTGGCCGGTGCTGCTCTCTCATTTTCCATGTTTTTCGTTGGTCTCTTGCTGTCATCGAATCCCGAGCTCGTGGGGGACCTGGTGAAGGTCCCAAGTGTGCTGTTCCAAGGCTCTTTGCTCCTTGGGCTAATCAGCCGGGGGGTCCTTGGCTACTCGTAAGTTCTGGTCCTCCCACCTTGAGGAACTTCTCATGTCCTGCATTATAGATCCGAGAGAAACTGCCAAATATTGTTGATGAATTCTTTCCCGCTTGCATTTAGTAATTCCAAAGCCTGAAATAATCCGAAAGGAATGAATTCAGTCTATCGTATGATTCTCAACCACTGATCTTGCTAATCATGCAGAGCGATGCACGCGGCCACAGTTTCCATCCACCCCCTTGTGATTGCAGGCTGGTGAAGTACAGCTACCATCTTCAACCCTTGTGGTCCTTTAATGTTTATATTCTTATCCCCCCCCCCCTTTTTTTTTTCTGGATCATCTATCAACAGGTGTGGGTTGACGACATCAGCCTTTAATATGCTTCCTGTGGGATGCCTTGATGGTGGAAGAGCAATACAGGTACCTATTTCCTCTCATGGTAGCATGCAGAATGAATGAGCAGTGTTGGGTTCAAGATCGAGATGAGTACAGCCAGTTTCTTTGATTAGAAACTTTTGAAGTCTTCAACAACAGTATTAAGATCTTACCAACCATGAAATCCATTGGGCATAATCAGCTTGAAGATTGGGACATCAAGTGATAATTTGTGTCAGGCTCCATTCAATTCTTTGAATGTGTGATTCTCTTTCCCTCCTCCAAGACGCAGAAGGATACAGCTGGTTGCTTTATATGGAATCCGAAGGGCTTAATCAGCATCTGGCTTCCCATAGGAACGCCTGGAAACTGTGTTGGAGAAGGAATGACATCATCAGAAGTTTAGGATAAACTGAAGTTATGAACACAGATGAATCCATGTCAATTCCAAAAACTAGTTTCAGGAAGTTTGCGTCGCAGAAATAAATTCAGAAATCTAGTGAGGATTACTTACTTTTTTTCAGATTAAATATCCAGATTGAGATAATAGACAAAATTCTTTTGGTTGGTTTTTTTTTTTGCTGCGGGTCTTTTTAATTATAATTTTCCGTGTCATTTCTCCCTCTGTAAACTTTATTGGATATTTGATGAACTCGATATTTTTGCAGGGAGCTTTCGGAAAGAATGCGCTGGTTGCATTTGGGCTCACAACGTATGCATTGCTTGGACTAGGAGTGGTAATTTTTTCCCCCTTGACTACCATGAATTACAAGGAACTCCACGGCAAAACCAGAAAATCTCAGTCTCATAAACCTCAGTCTTAATTACTCCATTCCATCAACCACTGGTCCCCCTCTCTCTCTCTCTCTACTACCCCCACTCTTTCTTCTTTAAATATAATACATGTTGCTTGTGCTTAGCTCGGCGGGCCACTGTCTCTTCCTTGGGGGCTATATGTGCTAATATGCCAGGTGGGCCCATCCAGAAAATTCTCGTGCAAGCTTTTTGATAAGTACATATTTATTCACTCCCTTATTGATAAATCTCTATATATATTCCGACCAGAGGGCACGGGAGAAACCGTGCTTGAATGATGTCACAGAGGTCGGAACCTGGCGGCAGGCAGGCATCATGGTGGCTATCTTCCTCGTCATGCTGACCCTCCTTCCCCTCTGGGATGAGCTCGCGGAGGAGCTGGGCATTGGCCTCGTGACCTCATTTTAAAGTGTTCCAATCAATGTGAAGTTCTCGCAGGCAATTTTGTCTCCCATTTGGCTTGGATGATTGTACACTCTTATCTGACTCCTCAAGCCAATCTCCTCAGAGTTCTATACCTCTTTCTTTACAGCGTCTCTCCTTTATTTTTCCCTCACACTTTAACTCTGGAAAATATTTATTCATGGATTATAATTGAATAAGAAAACAAACTGTTGAATTAGGAGTGTTTATGAGTAGTGTACCTGGGTTGGACCTGAAATGAAAATAGACTCAACATAGTTATGCCGAAGATGTACCTCTTTCTCTCTCTCTCCCTCTCTCCCTCTCTCTCTCTCTCTTCTCATATGTTTTTGGAGTTCCCTACTGTGCTTCTCATTTCGAGGGTTGAGAGTTTCAACGGGGGTATCATTTTCTTAATAGTACCGTAGCATGGTATCTATGGGAGTTGCCTGAGTTTAAATTACATGCTGGCATAATTATCATTGCGTGGCACAATCTTTCGACAGATCAAGAGATTTCTAGATTTTGACAAGATTTCTAGGATCTGAGCGAGCTAGGCATCTGGATTGTTGAAGAAGACGCTATCTTGGAAAGTTAGGAGTTTGGGATGAAGGTACCACCTCATGAGATGTTGAGGGATGGAGAGAGAGAGAGAGAGAGATGTCATATTGGTGATTCAAGTCCAAGCTCTTTAGTGTACTAGGTAGAAAACTAGTTCATCTGAAGCTATAATAATATCATCTTTTTTTATTCATGATTATTCATAACTTCCTCCCAAATTCAGTAGTCTAAAGATATTGCCTTGTCTAGTTTGATCAAATTCCTAATGTTAATAGATTTGATGCATTAAGTGGTAAGTCCAGTGAAGCCCAGCCATGGTTCAGTCCTAAATTTGCACCTATTCAGTATAATTATCCATGAGAAAAAAGACCAGTCAGGGCAAAAAATATGAGACTACGAGGAACATGGTAGCACCAAATCAGTACAACTCTTTGATGGAATAATACCATGGATAAAGACAAAGAGGAGAAGCCCTGCTCTCTACGAAGCTATTCACATCATGACAAGTGGCCAAGGCCCTCAGACAACAGGATCCTCGAGTTTTGCAGAGGCGAGATCATTGATGCGGGGGTAGACGGCCTTCTCATCGAGCTGGTTTTGGGCCCATATTAGCATCTTCAACAAGCTCGGGAGCTTTGGATCTGTGATTTGAGTTGTTCAATACAAAGAAAAAATGATGGGATTGATCAATTGCTCCACATGCGGAGTAAAGGAGATAAATAGAAATCAATGAGAAAAATACTCGGAATTAATGAAAGCCAATATGCAAAGATACGGTAACCAATGGATATACCATGAAATCACATTGGTCAGTTTTTTTATTCCGATTTCCATTGGTTTCTTTGGAGAGTGGTAAGGCATCAAGGCATTAGACTCAAGATGACAGGTTCTTATTTAGAGGAGGTGGCTAAATATCCAAATGCTATATCTCACTGCAAGTGTGTTGTCCGTCATTCGTTTAACCCCACGTCTTCAATGAGGGAGAGGTTGGATCAAGAAGGTTTCGAAAGGTTTCACTGCAAGTGAAAGCTGCGCATTGTCTCTGCTGGAGAAGGAGATAGTTGGGTCTCATCACTGGTTTCATGAGAACCCTAATGGGGGCATTGCGAATGAGCCATATTGATACTTGGGAGAGCTAAGGGAAGGTAAGATGCCATCAAACAAGATGAAGTGAAAGAACGGATAGAAATGTGGAATTGGAAAGACCAGCCAATGAAGAACCCAGAATGTATCAAGATCAGTGGACAATTATTTCTCAAGGAATGTGGAGATCTGGTGTGCTTGGGTTTGGTGTGTGCATGAATATAAACGTGCCAAAAAATAAATGAGAAACTAGCATACGCATAGAAAAAATTATCCAGGACAATCTGACCCTTTTCATGACTCTGGCTCGTAAGTATGGCTGCATTCACTTCACTGGCAGTTTTTAGGCGCTGAGACATGTCCAGGAGATCCCCAACTGGACAATTGGAGACGTCTTCAAAGGCAAGAAGTGCAACAGTCTTTTCCAGTTCTTCAAGGAAACTTTGCTGCAAAAAGGAGATGCTCATCATTTTCAAAAGAGTCAAAGTCAAACACAACAAAAAACGATATGCGCACCATCAAAGAGAAACCAATCCAATTAACATGATTTCTCCCTACTAATACATCAAGGGCAGAGACCAGTTTCAGGTTAAGGATGAAACAATAAGGTTTGTCAGAGGCTTACATTTTCTTCACCTCGTGGTGCAAGTTCCTCCTGAGCAAACTCCAAAGCTTCCTCTAGTCTACCATTGCGTATAAGTTCTATCATCCTTTGTTGTTGAAGATGGAAGAACAGCTCTGGATTTGTATCCAATATCTGTGGAAAAAAAAGACTCTACCTCAGCAACGATAAATATTCATTCTGAGGAACACATTCGTCTTTATAATACAAGGATAAATTTACTATAGTTAAATGACTTCCTGTTCTACCATCTGGGAAAACTAAGTGGAAGTGAGAAAATTGATGCCACATGGCGTTAATGACGAGTCTGAGCATAATAGCTTAGGTGTGGAAAATTTCTCCAGACATAAATTGATAAAATTTCAAGCAAGCAAATGCATCACATGATTCAGACATAAAATCGTCAAATAATTATTTCCAGGGATATTAACTAACTTTGGTCAAGGAACTAAAGAAACATAAAATCCATCAGCTCCACATGACAGTTTTTGACCTGCATTCAAACATTCATTACCAGGGAACCTAGGTTCGGAAATGTTGATCAATGGGAAGGTCAGTACAGGCTTTTAATGAAATAAAAGCAAGCATAATTTTATAACATGAAGTGTGTATGATTATAGTACGTTAAGGATTTATAAACCATACTCTAATAGATTGGGAAACCTGTACTAATATGTTTGGGAGAACCACCTCCTGGTGCCCAAAAGATTTCTAGGCTTAGGCAAAGGGCTGTCAAAAGATTTAGCTAGAGATCGGAATCCCAACCCCACCCCCAAAGCAAGTAAACTTGGGCTCTTTTCTCCCAAAGCAACCCTCTACACTTTTCTCCAATAATCCTACCTATATGACCAGAAAGCGACTGCTCAGGTGATGCGTCAAGCAGGAGTCTGCATATTCATTTTATAGAATTCCTGGGCTAAAAGCATACTTTCAATCGCAATATTACATCATGCGCCAGTAAAACATACAGAAACTTTGGCATCCTACGATTAAGAGGAGTTAGTTTAACATACACAGTGAGACAATTAGTGTATTTTTCCACAAAAAAAGCACAATCACGCACTCGAGTAATGAGGAACGGTTAGATGTAAACATGCATTGACAGTAACAATTTCCTAGCCAAGGATCTTTAAAATATAGCATTCTGATGGAATGATAAGATGACAGGAACCATTCATGCTGGCCTCCTAAAATGGACATTGGTAACTAAAAAAGGATGGCACAAGATAACCCTTAACGAAAAATGCAAAAACCATCATTTGATGACGCATAACAGATCGGTCAATTGCATCTACTGGCTAAGTATCGCTAATTAACTCGTTCAACCAGTACATAATGCTACTGAGTAAACCAATCCAACTTCTTTACCATGTTGATGTTTCTTAAATCAAGGAAGCTGAAAATGCCACTAAACGCAATCTTTTAAATATTGGAACTACGAAAAACTGCTGGAATGATGCAGCTTTACTCATTCACGAGGGAAAAGAAATGAAAGAGTTCTATGAACGTCAGGAACATAGAGCCATATTCTTATAAAAGCAAAGGAGAATCAGGGGGATGCTCTGCTCTTACGAAAGTAAACGCTTCCAGCCTTGTCTAACGTGAAAAGAAGTACCATGACAAGACTGTCTCATACTTTGGGATTAACGGGCTGATCATTGAAGAAATTATTTTGTGATGTACAGGAGAAAAAAAGAACGAAAAAAATAGAAACAAATCAACAGAGTGCCGGTAGACAGGTAAAAGAATGGATGCAAGTACAGAATGAGTTTCAACCAAGAAGAAAGGAAAGTATAACTAGATAGTTTTAACAGAAACATAAACGATAAAACGCAAGTATATTTTCTCTATTCATTTTATGCAGTGTAAAGATGGTTGAAGGTCACATGGCGGTACCTCTGGATTCAAATCATTCACTTTCTCAATAGCGTCCTCCACATTTCCAGACTGCACAGCCTTTTTGACAGCCATGCGATCCGTTATTGTCGCAAGATCGATGTCTGCTATGTAACAATAAGGATGATCCACCGTTTTACCTCAAGAACTTGGCCATGAGACAAAGAAACGGAGAGCGGGAGGCACGGGTGTTGTTGACTACAATCGAATAACCGACGGAGCTAAGATAACGAGAGGAGTACATTCACATTAGTCTCCGTCTACAAGGATACGTTCGGTGCCAGACTCAACCCGGAACTTCTCCGCCGCCTCCACGTAACCTTCCGTCACAAGGAAGTTCATCACCAGCTTATTCATGTCCTCCTTCCTGATCTTGACATCATTGAGTTTCTTCTCCCACTCCTCCTTCGTGATAACCTTCTTCGACGATGCCTGCACGACGGAAAAAGACGACTAAGCTCACTCAAACAGCTATCCCCGAGATCTGCAAGACGTTCTACACAATCCTTCCCCAATTCAGCAGCCACGATCCTAGTTCAGTGAACGAATCGCCAAAAGGGCACGGAATGAGGAGAGCAACACTCTGGGAGAAGATCACTGTCCAGGGGACATCAGGATAATGAAATCATAAATTTTAGCTGACAGGCAGGAGAGATCACCATGGTTTCGATCAGATCAGAGAACTGTACGAGGGCGAACCCAAGCACTGACATCAGCGCCTCTCGCGGCGGCCCATTCGAGACCCTGTAGAAGGCAGGCAGAGGCTACGTTTGTTCCCTCTCACCGAACGAGAAAACAAGAGAGCGCAGCGCCGGCGAGCAGAGGAGGAGAGAGAGGCCCCGGATGAGGCAGGCGAACGGCGACGGGGGTACTCAAGAGGTGGGGTGAAGAGAGTGGGATTACAAGGTGAGGGGCCCTGAAAATGCAAATATTCCAAAGTAGAGGGTAAAAAAATAATGTAGGGTGTTTTTTTTCGCAGTTGAGTCTTCGTTCGGGTTATAATTGTCTTATGGGACCGGGCCCAAAAACCACGGAAATGGGCTCAGGCCCGGGCGCTCGGAGACGGATACTTTTTCAAGAGCCCCCCCCCCCACAAGCCAACTCCATGAAAACCCCAATGCGGAGGAGCCTTAGGACGATCTATCTACTTAACATTTTCATTAAACGACTTGATTTCAAAGCTTAAGAAACAAATACTTGCGAGTTATTATTTCCTATATTGTGATTAATTCGAACCATTTTATGAGATTCTCATCATCAAGTGTTAAAGCTTTAGTTGCATATTTTATTAAGGTCCAAGCAAAATTTAACCCACTAATAAATTAGGATTTAATCATTATTATTTTCAATGGTGTGATTACTTCAAGCCATTCTTAGAAACTCTCGATGGTCAGGATCAAAGTTCTCAAATAGTTTCAAGGCATTTGAATCACTATCAGAAATTCTATATAGTTGCTATGGAATCCTAGCTTGGGGTTTCGTTAGAAACCAAGGAATGATAGTTTTACATTGAAAGTATAGTTTAAAAACCAATAGCTCGGTGTTTTCTTAAATTTTAGATATTGTGATCATCTGTATGAAAAATTATGAGCTCTTATCAACAGCTTTGACAAATCTGTAATTTGGTATTTTCCTAAAATGCAAGGAATAGCATACAACAAACTAGAATCGTAGTCAAAATAACAAATAGTTTGAATTTATTTTTTTCTATAATATGGCTTGTTTGAAACACAAGGCAATTCTTAGTACCCACTATCTAAGCTTTGGTGAGGATAATCAGTAGAGATTGAGAAATGAAATATATGAAACACAAGGCAATGTTAACTCCAGATTTATAAAATATTAGATGTTATATTTTTTGTAAATATTCTAGTGTATGTAAGCCATTATGATAACATCAAAGTTCTATTCAGATTTTTTATTAAAAAAAAATCATTGTCATTGATTGGACTATGTTTTTAACAAGCTATTCTTTGGGCAGTTTCAACAATTAAAAGATCATAATCATTCACCCTTTGAAAATAGTCATAGAAATATGAAGGCTAGTCAGAAAGGGACTAACACATTGGAGGTGCAAAAAACCTATAAATTTGAGTTGGACAGATTTTGTGGAAAATAGAATTTTGTTCTATTATAGTAATTATTAAAGTCTTCAGTCAACTCTGATGTTCTAGAATAACTACACTCAAATATCAAAGCTGCCTAGAAGCACGGAGTGTAGGTCTTGAAATTCAAAGGCTATGAACAAAATACAATGTTCAACAAAATATAATGTTCTAGAATACTTCATTCAATATAATGTTCAATTGTAATGACAATTCGAATATCAAAATAAGATCGTCTATATTGGTCAAGGAATTAAATGATTTAATAATTTAACTGGTTTGTTGAATTCAATTTTAATGTTGATCCTATAAATTTATCTATTTTAATGTTTTGTGTACAACACATTAATTGGAATGTTGATTTTCATCTTGAATTCAAATATCTTTTTCAATCCAAGTATTAAATTTTTAGCCATTGAACCTAGTGTGTTCAATTTAAGTATGATGTTTAAATTTCAAACATTTATTCAATTTATATGTTATTTCAAGTATTACAAAATGTGGCTCAATCTTTCATAACTTATAATGTTCTATTCTACTTGGCTCAATTCACACTATCTAAGAACCATGTCCTTGTGGTCCACTAATTTTTAACATTTACACTAAATTACACATGATATTGTTATCTTCACTAGTTTTAATAGCTCCAACCAACTCAAAAATTATTTCATAAAAACTTAGTTTAGATTCACAATTCTTTGAAGCAAATTAGAAAAGCACTTAATTTTTCCTCTTTTAGATTCTCGATTCTAAGAGACTAAATTGGAGAATCACCAACTTCTCTCTTCTAGATTCATAGTTTTATAAAAATAGAAGAATAAGTATCAAACATATATTATATTGACTAAGGCTCTTTATGAGCCTGGATACTAAATATATACACATATAAAAAATGAACATGTTATTATTCTAAACATGATTGATACAAGCTTGTAGATCTAGGATTCTTTTGATTTCTCATTGTGGAAGGTGTCTTGTTAAAGAATCTACCTTTTATCCATAGAATGATCTTTGTTGTTGTGCCTTCAATCAACTTTTCATTTCTTAAAACTTGAGGAGAGCTTCCCTTTCATAGTGCTTGATTTTTCTTGATTTTATAATATTTTCCAATAACCATTCAATAGTCCAAAAATAAGTCTTTGCTCAAGTATGAGAGCTAGCTTCTATTTGTCATTTTGCATTGTGCTCATTAGTTTCTCTCCTCTCAATTAAGAGATGTCAACAACTATATAAAGAGGTCACAAAGTCTTATGGATAAAATTGCTTCAACTTTTTTAATAAATACTATAAATAATAGTAGTGCACCTTTATCCTACTTGGCATGTTCAAACTCATGTTTATACTTATGATGTAAAATGACTATTTTCCCTTGAGTTTACATCTATAGTTTGAAGGGTTTTCTCAAAAACAATAATTTATATCATGTAGCCATAAAGTTCTACAATTCTAGATTTACCAATTTACACTTCTATATGCATTGTCATTACAAAATTATGTTGATTCCCAATGGCAACATATTTTATTGGCCATTGGTTAAATTAGTTATTAATTTAGCGTAAAACTTAGAAACTTTAATTGTCAAAATTCAGAAGTGCTAGTTTAATTGTGCACATCATATTATTTTAAAAAATATATATATCAGTTATAAGATCAAACTTATGTGTTTAGAGATTGTGGATTGTAGATTGTAATCACCATAATTATTTGTTAAATTTAATTAGAATGTTGAATTGTGAATTGAGTATTGTGAAAGTAGATCTAAAATAAATTTCATAATATTTTTATTGATTGTGTCTCAAATATTTAATCATCAAATTATATTTTTGAATTAAATTATAATATTTACTTGGTGGACCATAGAAATATTAACTTACTATGTAGAATACACTAGTTAAAATGTCGTTTCTAATCTTAAAATCAGAATGTATGCATCAATCAAGAAATTAGATGTTTTAATCATTGAACAGTTTTTTTGAAATTAATTAGAATGTTATTTTGCCTAACATTATAAAGTTAAATTAAATCTACATAATATTTACAACATAACACAAAGTGCACTAATAATTATAAATTAGTAGTTACATCTATGTATTAATATCTTATGTATAGATGTTAATTAATGAGTAAAGAATACAACTATACATATATTACTAACTTATTATGGCATTCATAATATTTTATTATTTAAATATTAATATATAGTATTTTATTTATTTTATTTTTATTATGAGATTAACCCCACTTAACTTTTATGAAGTCAAGTGGTGATTCTCTCATATTTCTTGATAATTATTTGATTGCAAAGATTTAAGTGAGCTTTTATTATGAGTTGAAATTAATGAAAGAAGTCCAAATCTTCAGCCCAAAAAAAAATTCAAGTCTTATGAAGAAGCCCGGCCTAATATATTTATGGGCCTAAAAAAAGGCGTCACCTTAGAAGACTATTAAGATATAAGATCTAAGTCACTCATCTTAGGACACCTTAAAATAAGATTAAGAGAATGATTAGAGTGATGTGCTCATTGAAGAATCTAAGTTGTCTATCAAGAGAGTTGGATACTAATCATAACTATCTATTGGAGGGGTCTAATTTTTTAAATGATTAAGGCATTTCATCCCCCTCTTGGAGGACATTTTTTGACTCTCTTTAGTAGTGGCTAGTCGAAGAAAAAAGAAAAGAAATCAGGATTGAGTCAACGGCATTCTCGTGCCCAATATCATCATAGAGAAGAGACTACTTAGAACACATCAAGATCATCACAAGTCAAACACCACTTAGCCTAAGACTAACGCACAATGAGATTTGTGCAAGATCTAGATTTGAGATATCCTTGTAATCTTCTCTATAGATAGATTAACTCTTAGTTCGAATTAGTTTTATCATTTATTATATCATTTCATTGTGTTAGATTCATTCTCTCTCATTTGTCATACTTTCCATTTCTCTTATCTTTACTCTTGTTAGATTAATTTTGTCCTTCACAATCTCAAGTGTGTATATATATATATAGATAAGAAATAAGATAAGTAAAATTCTTACGTTCATTACCCACGCTTTCTGAAGATTAACCCTTACTTATCTTAAAATGAAGAGTGAAGTTTTATAAATATTATTTGTATGGACTTAATTACATCATGGTGACATATTTAACCTCTAAAATGAGTTAATCATATACACATTCTCATCAGTCCATTGCAACCAAAGTTTTGAATTTACCAAAGTAACCTATCAAGATATTGTTATGACTAACTTCTATTAGATTTAAAGATTTTGATGCTTATGATTAATCATATAAAAATGAAAATAAAAAATATTTCAAAACACATATCAATATACTAACTTAGTCTACCCCAACAAACCAAGAGCAATAAGTTCACCCCAACAAAGCCATGGAAGGTCCTTGGGTATGAGGATCATATAAGAATCAAGATCTAAATTATTACATTTTCTTTCATTTGCTGTGTAAATATTTTTCTCAAACATTATATGAAGAAAATAGATGTCAACACATAGATATACATCAAGATATTGTATACTACATCACTAATAATTGGCTCCAGCAATATTTACTATAGTGCAATTGCAAAATATTGTAGCACTGGTCCATGATATCAAATTGCAAGTATTTTTTATTTTCTTGAAAATAATAAAAAATACAATAACCATAACATGTCCAGATGATATCAATTTTCTTTGAACCTTTGAGATGTGAATAAATCTTATAATTACAATGCTCTAAAGCCATAATAAAGTAAATAATAGTGTGAAATGACATTTTTACTCTTATATACCTTTAGGAACTTTAAATGTCCAAGGCCTCCATGCCCAACCAAAGACAATTTTATAGTGGGGCATATGATCCGTTTGCCAGAACCAAGGGATCTTTATGTGGAAACCTTCACAAGAGCCGAATGAGAATGAATACCACACAAAAGAGTAAAGACTGGGCTCCCTAATGGAATGTTTAACCGATCCATTCCCGATCGATTGGTGTTTAACTTATTTGCAAGGATGCGAAGCTCCCAGTTGATAGGCATAGTTTTATTCTCTCTTTGTTTCTCTCTCAGAGGTTGACATGATTTTTCTACCTCTAATTTTCAAGTCCAAGTTGTCATAATATTGATTATTTCATTATTTTTCGTTATCTATGCACCGCCAAACACATTTAATCACTCATTAGAGGTTGAAAGAATCTTAATCTTTTATTTCCCTATACCTTTTAAACAGTTGTGAGAAAAGCCCAAATCATCTGATCTATCGAACGAGTTGGTCACAGAGAGAGAGAGAGAGAGAGAGAGAGAGAGAGAGAGAGAACGGGGACGAGAGACAGAAAGAGAGGATAAATGGCAGTCAGTGATCTTGAGTCGGGACCACCATGGACAGCAACGACAGGTAAGGAGTGAATTGATTCCAAAGATATAGAGTCAACGCTTCGAGCCCATTGGGATTGGAGCGCAGATCTTTCGGCTGACGCCTATCATCTGTCTAGACAGAATGGGTTTCCTGCATCAGGAAAGGACCCTACTGTCCTCCAATATTAGTGAGTCCTGCCCACGGAAATCCCAGAACAAGAAGAGAAGAAGACAATGGCTCTCCGACACCAGATTATCCCCGCCTTTGTTTTTCTGCTCTGCTTCTGTTACAGAGGTTCTCCCTATCCCCCTCTCCCTCTCCCTCTCCCTCTCCCTCTCCCTCTCTCTCTCGTTTCGAACGATCTGTTTTTCTCTTATTTCGAGGTGAATGAAAATCACGAACGCGCCGGTGCAGGTGAGTCCCAGCCGTGCACCACAGCGAGTATCAAGGTGACCCAGACGAAGACGGCGGCAAGGGCCAGCGGCTGCCCTATCTACAAGGTTGTGATTACCAACTGCTGTATCTGCTCTCAGACGGCGGTGCTGCTGAGCTGCCCGGGCTTCGCTACCACCCTCTCCGTCGACCCCACCGTGTTCCGCCCGCTTCCCCCCGAAGAGGCCAGCGGCGCCACCGGCCTCTGCGTCGTCAACGACTTCCTCCCGGTGTTCAGCGGATACCCCGTCAAGTTCCTGTACTCGAAGGCCTCCCCTGTGCCTCTAAGCGTTCACAGCTCCCAAGTCAATTGCTCCTAGATCGCAGCCTGTTTTTCGGATAAGTTCCAAATAAAATATCTAATTTTCAACTACCCCCGTGAGGAGTCGAATAATCTTCTCGTTTTTCATTAAAAAAGTACTGTCGGTCGAAGTTGACAAAAGAGCAAAAAAGCAGACTTCTGAAGATAGAATCTACGATTTAAATGAGTATTACATACAGATGCAATGTAACTGAGGGGATAGTATTTAAATAAACTAAATTATAGGATTATTTGATATCAGCGCCCGAAAACTAATTAAATTATAGACGCCGCCCTCTATTCTTCACTTCATTGCCTCTCAAGGCAATCATAATCTTACATTTCGGTCACTCGATCTAATAAAATATTTAACCTCTAATTTTATAGTCAAAAGACATTAATGATCATATCTATCTTTTACCTCAGCTGGGTGGAAGTAATTGTTGAAGTATGATGGCCCACCTTTTTCCATGGTGGTAGACAAACCTGAGAGCGGCCTCTTTCTCTGCACACCCCCTCCATTAGGTCACTAGAGGGAGGAAGTGGAGAGAGACATGGCCATTATATTCTCCCCCACCCCAACTAGATGGCTTCACACCTTCCTCTCTGAAATCGACCTGATAGAGAGAGAGAGAGAGAGAGAGAGAGAGAGAGAGATTAGTTAAAAAATGATTTTTTACTTTTTTGCATGATAATCGATATTAAATATGTTAACTGTAGTTAATTAGACCAAGCACCTAAAACAGCAAGTGTGATGGATTGGAGTGACTTGAAAACCAACAAATCATGGGGCTTATCTATATTTAAATCGGTTTTCAACACTAAAACCAAATAACCATAAAATATTATGATTTTCTACTTGTGTCCCCAAAATCTTGACCTGAGCCTACATATTCTTCTGATGTTTTTAATCTTTCCCTCATGGCACCTTAACTAAAATTGTGCTTCCTAAAAACTTGATATCAGTTATAAATTATAAGACTTGAAATAACCCAATACTCTTCTCTTCAGACATATTCTCTCCCTCTCTCTCTATATCTATGTAAAAAATATGTATTACATGTATATGTAGAGAGAGAGAGAGAGAGTTATAGTTTATCTTTAGTGAACATTATGTTAATGATGACAAAAAAAAATGTTGTGTTCTAGTGTTGACTAGCTTGAAGTGTTTACATGAAGACAAGATTAAGTTGGAAATTAACGAATTATATTTTCAGATTATGTGAATTATGTGAATTGCCAAAATTGAAATCAAAAAAAATCCATTGAAGGATATAATAATAAATATTTATGAGTGATCTTGAAGGGGAAGCTTTTTACATAAAAAATGATGTCATAAACATAAGATTGTGAACACTCATTGGAAAGATAATTCAATATATGAACACAATACAATAATCAGTACATCAAAATGCAAAGATATTTACTTACTATGACTATTAAAACATTATTGAATTTAGAGTTTTCCTCAAGGGTCTGGTCTAGATTTCAAACTTCCCATATCAATAAAAATGACTTTTAGCTACAAGATTGTGTCAAAAATATGAGCCTTTGAGCATTCATTGAAAAGCTTACACAAATAGTCATTTGAGCACTCATTCAAATAATTTGAATGGTTATGAATTTCACAAAGTTAGCATATGCATTTTTTAATGATTTTTCAGATACTCGTGCAGTCTATTAAGATCTGCTCAAATAGCCTCAAATAATCATTGGCCAGATATAGGGACTATATGAAGAAGGCTTTTACCCAAATTAGGGCAAGGAGAAAAAAAGAAAAAGGATAACAAGAGAAATCAAGAGAAATGCTCACAACATCCATCCTCCTCTTCTGAGAGAATTTGAGCAATCTTTCTTCACCCCTCCAAGAAGTCTAGCTATATTTCATGCCTCCAACTACCTACAACATCTGAAAATCATGGACTACTTGGTGTTTCAAAAAACTTTAACCGACATCTTATTTAATAATAAGATTTATCATTCTTCAAGAAGATGGTGCTAATATCATGTTGATTGTTCTAGTGTTTGAATGTGTGAAGGGACTCCTAGAGTGCCTGTCACATGGTTGAAAGGCTTGCTGGAGCCTTGATATCAAGTGTGGATATATAGACTCACAAACTCTAACAAGAAATTTGGTTGGTAGACTCATGAAATATGTTGTACAAAGGGTTTGCTGATCTGGTGAAATCAATTATATTCCCAAGAAGAAAATATTAAAACTATGATAGTGTGCTCAAATGTGTAGACCAAAGGTGGGCCAAATTATTGTAAAAATCTGTATCCTTGTTTCTCTCTTTCATATATCATTAAATCAATCTAAGGAAAAGAATTAGAAGCTAAAAAAATAAGAAAGAATAATTATTCACCTCCTCCTCTCCCCTCTTGATTTACTTGGATAGCCTACTAAGGACTCAACAAAGTGATTAGATTTACAATACAATAGTGGTACTACTAGTGCCTACAATAGTGGTTCATCAATAATTTATAGGTATTTTTTACTATCCAAAGGGACCTTCAAAAGATATGCTATTGCTCATTCACACCACATGTGGTAATTCAGAAGTAGCATATTTGTAAACGATTAACTGCCCCCCCCCCCCCCCAATCCACGCGGAGGACCATGCACAACAGCATCTGGCCCAAAAAGCACCATTTAAGACATGCAAACTTCCTTGACCCACTGCCTCCTTGAGTTACATCAGCCATATCGATTAATCATCAGGAGGGCTCAAATCATGTTAGAAATAGTGTAAAATCACACTATGTAATTTTCTGTTAGGTATCATGTTAAAGCTATTTTATGACACTATATAAAAGCAAATGAGGATTTATGTATAATATATCTTCTTAAAATGAGGATGTAATTTTCCCAATGACTACATGTTTATATGCATGATTTATACGCATTTATTTTTTTATTTCAATCTACATGAATATGTACACAATCAGGATCTTGTTATTTAATTCATTAAATCCATTAGTCATTTTGAATTGAGTTTAAGGAACCCTGGTGTTCGTCGAGAATGCTCAGCTCCAGCACCAAAAGTAAGGCTGAAGAAAGAGAAGTGCAACGAGGAGGGGAGATGTGAGTTTCAGAAAGAAGGCGAACTCTATTTATAGCTCTCGCCTCCCGGCTTACCATAGGTGTAGTCATTTAGAGTTATGGAAACGGAGGAGAACGGTTTTCCCTCGAGAGAAAAAGGTTGGGGGATGGAGGGAGGCGGCCCCTTTCTGCAGAAAGGATGATAGAGTGGCTCTATACAGCAAGGGAAGAGAGGAAGGCAGTGTTTCTGGAGAGAGAGAGAGAGAGAGAGAGAGAGAGAGAGATTTGACCATTTTCCCCCGTGGCGTTAAAATTCTCTTGAAAGGAAAGTCAAGCTCACACATGATTCCGAAGGAGAAGGGAAAGAAGAGATTCTTGGCAGCCAAAACTCCAAGGAAATCTGCGTATTGATTGTCTTGCCCTATTCCGCCGCGAGCCCACGAGGATTGAAGAAGAAAAGGCTAGGCCTCCGACGAGTCTGAAGGGGCGAAACCAGCACTTCGAACCCATCGGGGCTGGAGGAGGAAAGTATCCCGTCGGCCAGCTATCATCTGGCTGGAGACAAATTTCTTATCGTTGACGAGCGATTAATGAGTTCTGTAAATTTCACATCTGCTCTATAAATCTCTGATTTGCTCTTGGAGAATTCCGAGAACGATGAGACTGGCCGAAAGGAAGAGGACAATGGCGACCCGTTGCGAGCTTTTCTACGCCCTGGTTCTTCTCTCCATTTTTCGTGGAGGTAAGATCTCTCTCTCCCTCTCTCTCTCTCTCTCTCTCTGTACCCCCACCCCCATTCCCTCCCTCCCTCCCTCCCTCTTTCTCCCTCTCTCTCTCTCCCTCCTCTCTTTCTCCCTCTCCCTCTCTCTGTCTCCCTCCCCTCCCCTCCCCCCCCCCCTCGGCGCTGAGGAAAAGCGTGAACATGGCGGAACAGGTCAGTCGCAGCCGTGCACAACAGCCAACATCAAGGTGACGCAGAGGACTACGGCGGAATGGGCTCACGGCAACCCTGTGTACGAGGTCGAGGTCTCCAATGGCTGCATCTGCTCCCAGTCAATGGTCTTACTTCGCTGCCGCGGCTTCGACACCACCCTCTCCGTTGACCCTTCCGTCTTCCGCCAGCTACGCCCCTCCGAGGCCGGCGGCGTCCACGGTCTCTGCGTGGTCAATGGCTTCCAGCCGATCTTCCAGGGATCTCCTGTCAAGTTCCGGTACGCGCGAGGATCTCCTATTGGTCTGACTGCGGACAGCTCCGAGGTCAACTGTTCGTAGAAATGCAGTTCTTTTCCTCATAGCCTCCTGGCGAGTCACACAATTTTCAGAGTCTTCCGCGATGATTATTACGAATAAAACGGCACACTGTTAGAGAGAGTTCCTACATAAAAACAACCCTCTAGGAGCCCCCTCTCGCATGCACAGGGGACGTAAGATATAGTTTTTAAATAATCTTAAATATACATACACTTAATTTTAATTAAATTGTGGAGTCATCAACAAAACACGCCATCACTAATATTGAAACGAATTTTTTTTTTAAAAAAAGTAGAGATATCTTTCAAAATGTATTCATATTATGCCTAATTTTCTGCTCTTTAATATAGAGGATCCCCTGCGAAATAAAAGTTTTTTCATTTCCATTGATGTGATGTCATTATTTGTAACCAACAATGTTGGCATCAACCCTCTCTCATGCCCATGATAAAAAGAAATGATGTGATCAGGGTCACCTTTTGGACTAGCCTAATTTGTACTATAATCCTTAAGCTTTAGGAATCATGGCTGAATATATTGAATGAGCTTCAAGTTCAAATGTGGGATCATAGTAATGCTTACAATGTAAGTTTAATGTAAAATTTTGGCAAGTAAATATTAGGATGTTTTCTTACAAGCCATAGCACAATAGAGATATATTATCATTTTGTGATATACTAAGGTTGATTATGCAAGTTGCACAATGTTAACATAAAATATATTCACAAGTTGAAAAACTCAACCAAAAATACCTTCATGATAGTCATCAACAAACTTCGCCATTGGTCAGAAGGTTATGATAATTTAATGATCACATAGTAGAACTTGTGAAACATTGAATGAAATATAGTTATAATTTCAATGTCTTAAACACGTGCAACCTTCACTAGGATGACACTTCGAGCTGATCATCAAGAAGCTTCTCATTGGCAAATATATGTGCAATATATTGTTTAATTATGGACAACCTCACAAATCATCAAATCCATTTTCTCAAAGAACTGTTAATTTCGCTCTTTCCTTAAATAATTTTTTAAATACAAAATTTCAAAGTTTTGAAATAATTTTATCCATTTATGGGGTACTAAAATAAGAAATTATAATTTACCCTAGTATGCAGAAAAATTATAGATGAAGTGAAACCTATGTGCCAAAAGAGGTCAAGATTAATTGACGTCTCTAAGTAATAAATAGGAGTATTTTCACATTACATTTTCTTCCCACATTTTCATGGTGCATGCCTATTTTTGAAAAATATAAAATATTTCTAAGTCATGACCTGAAGATCATTAACACTAAGTGATTAAAGTAGGCAGCCTTCAAATCAAATACATACCTACATTTCTTATAATGCTGAGTTATAAGTTGGATGAGAAATATTGTATCTAAGACATGAATAAGTTCACCAAGTAAAGAGTATTTTAAATTCTATGCTCATTACTACTAGGTCTGTGATGGTGCTGAGTGAGGGCACCACTATGCCCCACTGCTCTATAGCAACTCATCTTTGCTCTTCTCACAACTATTCTTTTCACACCTCCAGATATGCTCAGATGATGTGGTAAGTGTAATAGAGTTATCACTAATGAATACTTATATAAATGAATATTATAAAAACATTCATCAATTTAATAACTTTGATTCTTACCTATAGTGAGTATTCAATAAGAGATTTTCTTTACAATTATGTTGCAAAACCTAAGGTTATTGCTATTAGTTGTAGTGAGGCAAGAGTGAGTGTGAATTAGTCTCTTTTGTTCTACTATTTAGTTGTTAATTATCACTTTAATTTAATCACCATAGAGAGTATAGTGGTTTGATCCACCTAATGTATTCCACTCTCTAAGACCACATCCTTAGGTTACACCAATTCTTTAGTGAAATATATTAAATACAACAGGCCTCAATTAGCCTCCACTGAATATCAAGGCTTCGATAAGTTTATAATAAATACAATGACCTCAGCTAGCCTCAACTAAGCACAACGGCCTTACCTAACCTCCACTGAACACAACAGCGTCAACTCAACTCTATTATACACAACAGCTTCAACTAGCCTCACTACGCACGACAGCCCTAGCAAACCTCAACTCTATTGTGCACAACAACATCCACTAACCTCCACTAAATACAACGAATTTAGCTAGCCTGCACTAAACACAAAGAACTCAACTAGCCTATGTTGGATTTATTAGTTCCATTGAGCAAGAGTACTAGAGGTACCCAATTATGAATCAAGAACATATTTACGTTCTTACATATTTAGAACATAGCTTCCTTGATGTGAATTATTTTCCCAAAGATGTCAAAGTATCTTTTGAGAGGAAAACTTTGAATGTTTGAGCAGAAATAATATTTCTTCTCTTTCCAATGTTGGGAATATGAGAAGTTTTTTGGAGATTTTTTTTGGGATAATTGATTTAATTTTTTAGAACAATAAACAATAATCATGAAAACCCCAATTACCCTCATATTTATGATGCAAAAATCAAAACCATGGTAGCCTACTTAAAGTAGAGCTTTACCCTATGGCTCAATTATCACCAAAGTAATATCAGCTACTGCCAATATTCGTGTTTCTTCCATGTAAGACACATAATTACTCTTTTATCCTTCAAATAATCATAGTTCTAATGGATTGGAATTTCAATAGAGATGAGTATGGCGTGATACATGTTAGAGAAAATCTTCTCTCTTATTAAGGAAATTTTTGAAATCCATGAGTGGCATGATCCATCCCTGATCATCTAGATTCTCAAAGGGCTTCATATATTAGAAAGTTTTATAGATGAAGATCCGCATGGCCGTTAGTGCAATGCCACCATATGTGAAGTAGATGGTAAGAGAAAACCAAGAGGATAAGGAAGTTGGATTATGCTTCATCTAAAAGGGTGCTTAGTAAAATTATCCTAGATTATCAGGATAACCTTGGAGAGGGAGGAGATCAAGGGCACATGATCCTATTAACTAAGAAGAATGACAAAATTAGTTAACGATGCCATGGATGTAGAGTTCTCTTGAACAGAGTAGTCCTATACACAATGGGGAGCGGCGAGACATCGTTTCTACGATAGAGGGCGAGACACAAATACAGACGGAGAGGGAGACGACACCTCGCTCCCATGGCACTCGCATCACCCTTAATGGGTATTCAAAGCTTTTGGATGTGAAGAAAAGGAAAGGAGAGATTCTTCGCAACTAGTAGTCTAAAGGAAATCCGCGCCTTGAATGACTTCCCCCATTCCAACCCAAGCCCTGGATGGTACAAGAAGGAAAGGTGACGCCTCCTGAAAGTCTCAAGAGGAGAGACCAGTGCCACGTACCCGTCCGGCGCTGAGAGGAAGGAACCCCGTCGGCCGGCAATTATATTACCGGAGATAAACTTCTAATATTTGACGACTGATCAATGGGTCATATCAATCTCTGATCTCCTTCTCCTGTATAAATCTGTGCTTCACTCTCGGAGAAACACCCAGAACAATGAGAACGCCCCAGAGGATGAAGACGATGCCGGCCTGTCGCGACTTATTCATCGTCCTGGTTCTTCTCCTCAGCACCTTTGGTCAAGGTACTCTGTCTCTCTCTTTCTCTCTGTCTCTGTCTCTCTCTCCCTCTCTCTCTCTCTCCTCCCTCTGATGGAAAGCGTGAACACGGCGGAGCAGGTCGGTCGCAGCCGTGCACGAGGGACAGCATAAAGGTGGCGCAGAGAGCGACGGGGGAAAGATCCCACGGGGTGCCCGTGTACGAGGTCGAGATCTCCAATGGTTGCATCTGCCCCCAGTCAACGGTTTTACTTCGCTGCCGCGGCTTCTCCACCGCCCTCACCGTTGACGCCGCCGTCTTCCTCCCGCTACCCCCCGCCGAGACCGGCGGAGTCCACGGCCTCTGCGTGGTCAACGGCTTCCGGCCGATCTTTCCGGGATTACCCATCAAATTCCAGTACGCTCGAGCGTCTCCTGTCGATCTGACTGTCGACAGCTGCAAGGTCAACTGCTCGTAGAATCCATACATTTCTCTGTGTCCCATCATAATTCATACAAATAAAGAAATCCTCTAAAAGAGAGATTTTTACATCGAACTCTTGCGGTTTCTCTCTCACGCATTCCATCGAACAAGGACATGAGATACGGTTGCTGCATACCATTAAACTCCATTAAAATAAGAGATATATATACATATGAAAAAATCGCAAATAATTTGAATCAGAGGAGGGAGTAATCTACAGTAACCAATGTTTTTGTCCTCTATTTCCCTCACATTTCCTACCTTCCATCGTATAAACTCCAGATTTCCCTCTCAGTTCTTACGACCAATGTTAGAGTTGTGGAGAATGATCTATTACTGGGCCTTAGTGGGGTTTAGTAGACTCTTCGGCGGGCAAAAAATGTGATTTTGGAGTCTAATCTTCTTTGCATTTATCCATAATCTTCTGATAAGAGGATGAAAAGCTTCCAACTCCCTGGCGTGTTGATGATGATGACGAGTTTCCATGAACACTGAAGCATTTTCCACCTCCCTGGCGTGTCTCTCTTCCCTTTCTATGTTTAGGGAAGGGAACGAGGACATCGTCTTCTCCAGCACATCAGAAGATGATCTCTTATAATTAGCAATAATTACGTGATCTTCCTGTTATCATGTCGTCATTGTTTTGGTCAACAACGGATCACAAACCTACCTTAATGGAGGGGAGTTTCTTGATTCTTCAATCTGGGTTTATATTATAAGTCTTTGGATTCTCTGCGAAGGAGGGCCCGCTATGGTACCCGACAAGATCGGAGAGGGAAGAAAACCCTCGCCCCCTGCCATCCAGTTCAGAGAACGGAGGACCCTTACCCATAGCCGCCGCCGCCTTCTCGGAGATGGCTGACCCTGCCGCCGCCGCCGCCGCCGCCGCTCCACCATCGGAGCTGCTCCCCCTGACGGGCCGCGTGGCCATCGTCACCGGTGGCTCACGCGGCATCGGCGCCGCCATCGCCGCCCATCTCGCCGCCCTCGGCGCGAAGCTCGTGGTCAACTACACCTCGAGCTCCGGCGCCGCCCACTCCCTCACCGCCACCCTCAACGCGTCCTCCGCCGACCCCCGCGCCGTCGCCGTCCAAGCCGACGTGTCCGACCCCGCCGCCGTCAAGGCCCTCTTTGACCGTGCCGAAGAGGCCTTCGGCAGCGAAGCCCACATCCTCGTCTGCTGTGCCGGCGTTCTCGTCTCCAGCTACCCGTCCCTCGCCGCCACCACTGAGGACTCTTTTGACCACATGTTCAGGGTCAACACCCGGGGGGCCTTCCTCTGCTGCCGGGAGGCGGCGAACCGCCTGCCACGTGGAGGCGGCGGGCGGATAATCGCCGTCAGCTCCTCGATGGTGGCGCAGCGGAAGCCCGGGTTTGCGGCGTACGCCGGGTCCAAAGCGGCGGTGGAGGCGATGGTGACTGTGCTGGCGAAGGAGCTCGCCGGCACGGGCATCACCGCCAATTGCGTGGCGCCGGGGCCCACCGAAACGGACATGTTCTACGCGGTGAGGCAGAACGAGGCGGAGGTGGCGCGGGTGGCGGCGGAGTGCCCTATGGGTCGAATCGGGAGGCCACATGACATCGCCAACGTGGTGGGTTTCCTCGCTTCCGCCAGCGGGGAGTGGGTCAACGGACAGGTGGTCCATGTCAACGGCGGCGTCGCCTAACGCAGCTGCCGCCGTTCTATTCCCTATGTAATAACCTCTTTGAGGAATTCCATCGAGCAGATGGCGGGTACCATTTTCTCAAAAAGTTGCAGACAGCTGGGCTCAGTCTGAAGGCAACATGATTGGCCTCGAAGACTGTGCCAGATTATTTCCGTCCCAGCCCAATATAAGGCCTAATAATGGCCCATTAGGGTATTCAAATGCGGTCTCTCCCTTCCTTCGCCCCCGCCGAGGAGAAATCGGTTGGAAAGGGGAGATATTTCTGGTGCAGGCCACTGCAGGGAACATGTGGCGCACAGGATCTCTCCGGGTCCCTGTTGACCCCGGAGACGAAGGAGCTGCCGTGGGTTGCTTCTTCGGCCAGCCAGCAGTTCAGGGGGAAGGGGCAGGTGGGGAGAGAGAGAGAGAGAGTGAAGGGAGGGCTTTCTGGGAGAACCGGAGGAAGTGAAGGGGGCCTCTCATGGCGAAATTCGCAGCCAATGGGTGCTTCAGGCTGCACATCGGCGGGCGCAGGGACTGCGATCCCGGAGACCACGCGCTCCAGCGGGCAATTGGCGTTGGCGGTGGGGTTTGGGCTCCCAGGAACCCGCTTGCTTTTGCGCTCCATGACGGAAGGGGCGATGGCTGTGAGAAGAGGCTGGGGAGGTTGTACGCCGGGGTCTCTTCCTTGGACAGGAACAGGAGCGCCTTCAGTGAGGAGCAGGGCTCGAAGGATGCCGTTGGCCACGATGATCACCATGAGGAGTATGAGAGGGATGAACTCTCCTGCTTCAGAGGCCTGGTCTTGGACATCTCTTACAGGTTACTTGTCTCGTGCTCACCGATTCGTGTAGTTCTTCGATTGCTACATCCGATCATTGCCATTCGAGCAATGGATCATCATGAATTGCTTATTTTCTGGATATTTATTAAATTCAGATGGAGTGTTCAATTAAATCAATGAAGAGCTCCCATAAAATAAGCTAAATCCCTCTGTACAATGTTCCTAGATTACACAAATCGTATTACGAGAACCTGGTGAGCTCACGTTCTCAATCTAGAGCATATCCAAACAGCTACTTCTGTCTAAACATCTAGGCTCGTCAGAGGGGTTTTGATTGCTTCGTGTGGATATCATGATCTTATCTACAACGTTGTGGTAAACATCTCTTGCATTGCCCAGAGCTCGCTTTAAACATAAGTGCTCTTGATTTTTGACGGGGTGGATTATTTACCTTCTGGAAGTCGCAATAATTCAGTCAATGCCTGCGAGGGTTGCCATGAAATAGATGAGATCTTCACCCCTACGGGAACCCAGATAAAAACAAGGGAGGCGAGATTAGGGGGCTGTAGCCAAAGTTGATGACGACTCTCCCCCATCTCGACCTTCTATCTTTGTTCTTGATTGCTGTCCCACACCCTATGCTGAATGCGAGCAGCATAAATCGGGCTAGTCTCCTGTGTTCTTGTGAAGATGAAATACTTGAATTGCATCATCCATGTAATATACAGATTGTAATATTGTGGAACAGATTTTGGGCAGTAGCTTGTTTGACAATGGAACTTCTCAATCTCTCTGAGGTTTAATCTCTGTCCCCCTCCAGCATGAATGGTGTGTTTTGATTCCACTTTTGGAAAATCTTTTCAGGCCTATCAATGTGATTTGTTGGCGGCGAGCTATTTGTTTGGAATTCATGGAGAAGGTGGGGGGCCATTTTCATTCTATCTTTTTTGCTTATATTTGGTTAGAAGACCCCATTGCAACATTTTCCGGCTAATTATGTTTAATTAGACAGTCATATGGTTGACGGTGAAATAAAGCTTGGGGTTTTGCATGACTCTCTTCTTGGCATCATTTCCCAGGCTGATGTTCTAGAATACTATGATCGAACAGTGTCATCACCCCGAGGTTCCTTCTACATCCCAGCAGTTCTGAGGGTGAGCCAACGATCCTGAAGATTACTAACTCTAGCTCATTTAATCATCTTTCCTGCCGAATATTCACATGATGGGATTACCAGAGTTTATTTTCCCCATATTAATGGGATATCTCCACTGCTTTCAGGTGCCCCATTTGCTACATGTTGTTAAGAGGCGAAGGCGCAGAAACAGCCTCAGCCGTAAAGCTGTGCTCCATCGAGATTCATACACTTGCCAGTAAGCTCTTACTCATACTGACTGGTCATGTTTATATGCCCGTCTCCAGATCCGAAACCTCAAACCATAGGCCCTAAATGTGTCATTACTCCCTAGTTTTATGCCCTTTTCGTGGGAGAAATTGGAATCTATAATCAAATCTCCCCTTCAGCTGAGGAACTCGAGATATAAAATAGCAATACTCTAACATGCGATGAATTATAAGAAGATACCAATAGATTGGCAGCTCTTGGAAAACCTAATGCGTTCCAAGATTGTCGTCTTAATGTTCACATTCATGGCCTTAGTCGTGATGAGTTTTATAGCCCTATGACGTGTAGAGTGACTCTACGATGATGATGATGCCATATCTGATATTAATGCTAATTTCCCATATTCTGACGTACGCCTGTCTAGGATTTAATTTGGCTCAAGAAGAAATCAACTTTTCTCCATCTAAATTTGTATTTTATTATATTATTGTTATAGCATATTCCTGCATAATTGAGCGTCTATGTTGTTCTTACTATAAATTTGCTCGATTTAATTATTTTTAGTTATTTAGGATATTTTCATCTAAGCAAGAACATTGTCATCGATTGGGCTTCACATGTTCACATTAGAAGGGTTATGCTAGTTTTTTTTTTTTCTTACAACAGGTACTGTGCTTCGCACGAGGACTTGACTATTGACCATATTGTGCCAGTTTCTCAGGGTGGTGAATGGAAATGGGAGAATCTGGTAGCCCAACTTTTCCTGCCCTATTTCAAGTTGCTCATTTTTTTAATAATTAAAAATTTCATTTATTTAGTTGCTGCACTTTCATAATTCAGCAAAAATACGCGTTACATTTGTATCCGCATTATAATAGTATGGATAAACTTCTACATCTGATGATGATATTAATAAATAATGCATGTATGTCTCTGTTTCTCATCATACTCTTACTAGCTCACTCATTACAGCACATCTTCACTGATTCAAGCTAATATGTGTGAGTTGGTCCTAGAATGAGAGGATCGCCATGTGAATCATCCCTTGTATATGCTCACCATGATCCGCATGAGATAATAATAGCACCGAAAAAAAAAAAATCTGAAGCGACAAACCCTAGACCCGAAACCTTAAGCCTGGCTTCTTGGAAACACTTTGACAACTAGCCTTCTCGCAGGTGGCGGCCTGTCTAAAATGCAACTCGAGGAAGGGAAACAAGACGCTAGAGCAAGCGAACATGAAGCTGATCAAGATCCCGAAGGTCTGAATTCAATCAAAAAAAAAAAAAAGAGATCGAAGTCCTTGTGGGCGTTGACCCAGATGATGAGCCTTCCTCCTCTTTGCTGCCTGGCGCAGGCACCCAAGGACTATGACGTCCTCGCCATCCCCTTGACAACGGCGGCAGTGAAGATGATGAAGTCGAGGAAAGGCGTCCCTGCCGAGTGGCTGCAGTACTTATCCACACCAGGCCCGTGAGGAGGATCCCCTCACATGCCACCGATCATCAGCTCAGATCCGATTCATGGGTTTGACCTCGTACGTATGAAACTGGCCCGCGTTCATTGTATAGATCCCAACTTGTCTGCATATTATTGCAAGGAAACATTTGTAAACAAGCATCCACGAAGCAAAGTTGTGCTGGATTTCTCCCATCAACTTGTGAATTAACATAACCCACGTGTTTCAGGCACTAGCACCCAACTTGTCTGGCTCTCTCTCTACAAAAGTCAGCGGTCACAACAGATAAGGTGGGGGTGAGATGGGTAGAATGGAAGGGTAGAGCCTGTCAGGAGCCCCATGCCAGCCGCAAAATACATTGACTTTTATATCAGCACCAGGCTACACAGCATACCCAACAAATTGGGAAAGAAAAGCCCAAAAAAGGAAAGAGCCATGGCAAGAAGGGAGAAGAAGGGAGAATCCGAAACAAGCACAACGGAAGAACAAAGATGCAACTGGTTCTCTTTTTTCTTTTTTTTTTCTTTCTTTTTTCACAAAGCGGAAGAAGATGATTTTGATGAAGCGGAAGAAGGAGAAGGCACACCATGACCCCCTGCTTGCCTGACTTGAATGAGAGATGGGGCCGGCACCAAAGCCAGAAAAGAAGCCAAGAGAGGAGGAACAAAGAAAGGAAGAACAAAAGAAAAGCAACATACTCGTTACTAAATCTAAACCAAGCCCCACCCCCCGATTTCCACAGCCCCAGCCCAACCCCAATTCGTCATCAAAATAAGCTAGCAGCCGTTGGCAGCCACAGCCACTCTTTTCTCTGTCAGCCCGGCGGCGACCCCGTTCTCTTCCACTGGCTTCAGCTCTCCAAGAGCCACCTGGGTAGCCTCCTTGCTCATGACCGGCGAGTCCAAGGGCTTCTGTAACCTCAGCTTCCCGTTCGCGTTGGCAACGCCGTCCACTTCATCGACAACGGTGGTGCCAGCCGCCTTCCCATCCCAGACCTGAAGTAAAACCGGGGCAAAATGATCAGACAGATGAAGTGAGAAATATATCATCTGGGAGACGCCGAGGCTGAAATTGCTAATTTCGAGCATTGCCTGTTTCTGAAACTGTTGCTGCTTGGCCCTTCTCTCCTGCATGGTCTTCTGGCGGACCTCGTAGAACAGAAAATCGTCCAAAATAGAAGTCTTGCTGACGTGCTCCTTGAAGAGCTTGAGCATCTGGAGACCCTGGTCGAGCTTCACCTGACAGAAAACGGCAGAAGCAGAACGTCAATGGCGCTGCTGGGTGGGTCTTTTATAGCAGACACTGCTGTGGAAGGTATCAATTTATCTATCTATCTATCTATAAAAGTTCACCTCCTGGGTGTCCCTGCTGTTGGTGACGGGCTTGTTCTCGTTGTTCTCCAGGGTTATATGCTTCAGGATTCTGTTGGGCACGTCCTTGACAATGTGCCACTTGACAGGGAAGCAACCGGTCCACTTGTCCTGCTGCCAATACTCTACTGTCTTGTTGAAGTCAACAGGGCCCACCATTTCTGCAATGCCGACAAACTGCCCGCTTGTGTTCACCTGAAAAATAAAGTTTCTAAGTACCTACTGATCACCCTACCCACCCACCCACTCTCTGAGGCGGATAGTAGCAATTAACCATTACATGCTAAGGTTAGATGAGATACTTACAGAGAAAAAAAGGAAAACAGGGCACGCACTGTCCTTCGCCTTGGACTCCTGGTAGGCAGCATCAAGCTTCTTGTTCCCGCTGGCAGTGCTGGCCCAGACATTGTATTTGATGCTCTTGTGGACATCATCCTCGCTGTACGACTTAATGACAAAGAATTTTGCGTCAGAGTAGTGCTCAGGAAAGTCGACCTTGTTGTAAAGATCCTTGTTTGGGACAACACTGGAAACTTCTTTATTCCCTTCCGAGGGAAGAGTCTGCCCCTTGACTGCGATCGTCACATTGGAACCAGGCCCCTTCTGGATTTTAAAGCGGCCAGATCTGGGCCCTCTGTTCAACTCGCCCATGCCGTCCATGTTCTCATTGCCGTAACTGAAAAACCCATTGCCCCTCCCCCTGGGCTTGTATTTGGAATCAATAGGCAACCAACCATGGCCATCTGTTCTGGAATCATAACCATTTGACACAAATCCTAAACCTGTTCTGAATGCATTTCCACATTGCCCGTACATTCTGGCATTCGGATACAAGTTGTTCATGAGCCCAGTACCACCCGGTCCCATTCCAGAATTTGGCCTAGGTGAGTGTAAGCCCTGAAATTATTTTTGAGAAAAACAAGGAATCACTGACGCAGCATCCAGAAATTTAGCAACTTAAAACAATTTTCTCAGAGGTAATTTTGAAAAATAGAGTAATTGGCATCGCTAGCTCCTAAATCACAATAAAAGTAGAATTAATGAAAAATCTATGCAATAAAGCCAAACAATCAATCTTATGACGAGTAACTGTATCCACGTGAACAGGCGAAATAGAATTTCGTGAGAACTGAAACATCTACTCCTGCCCCTTCGGAGGTAAAGGAAAAAAGAAACAAAAAATTTAAGTAACTGCGGCAACAATACATACCATCATATGTGGGAAAGGACGCAGGTTATGATTCCTTGTTGATGAATTGTTTCCTGCATGGAAAACTGGGGACGAGACAGAGCTCGTTGTGGGCACTCTGTGCTGCCCGTCCAGAAAAGTGGGGCAGTCAAGCCAGGGAACAGGTGAACGAACTCCATCGTATGAATATCTGGAATCAGGATAACCAGAGGGGAGGCTACCCTGTATAGGACCCCTCCCATATGACCCATTTGAAGTGGTAGACGAATTTTGTGGGCTAGGCTTCAACGGCAATGTCCAATTGTTTCCATTAGAATTACCATTGGAAATTCCATTAGAGTTTGACTTTGTAGCATCTACTGAAACAGTTGTCTGGTCAGAACTTACAGGGGCAGAGACTTCTGCCTGAGATGAAGGTGGTGGGTTATTAGGAGTAAAAGTGGAATTCGTTGGTGTGGCCGGTGGGTAATAGGGACCTGGGTACTGATAGTGCTGAGGCCCGTACAGTTGACCATCATGTCCTATTGTTGGAACCGGAGAACCAGGAGGAGCATACGCTCCATAAGGTGCATAACCATACCCATGGTGATAGACGTCCCCATAAACTCCCTGCAAAAGATTAAAAAAAGGGCATTACAAAAATTCTAAATGTTGTTAAATTTTTAAATAATAAGGAAGCCCAAATCACAAATGATGATGTTATTCTAGTATGAAGAGAGCATAAAAATGTGAAATTAAATCAGAATAAAGCTAAAATCTACAAAAGTTCACTTAAATGATTAGCAAAGAGAAGACTTACTGAAGGTGGCATCTCATCGGGGTTTAGATACCTAGAGTATTCCTCCCAATCAGTAACAGAACCGTCATAAGCTGAAAACAAGAATCGAAAAAGCGAAACATTTAGGATGGCAACATAGTAAACAGACAAGAAACCGAACATGAAATAAAGCATAATACTATGATCAGTCATGAAACGCCAAAAATAAAACGACAAAGGCATTAATACTAATCACGTACTGAAACAATAAACCCGGCAAATAACACAGGCTAAACAGATTTTTCAAACCTCCATAATAATATGCAGGTGAGGCATATCCATTCGGAAGATAACACATGCTCGGATCCATGAATTCCTGCAGCAGTGGCGTCATCGACCGTTCACTCGACGGAACTGGTGCACTGGTTCTGTCTCCTCCATCCGCAGACCCGTAAGCCTGTTTAGCAGGCTTAGCGGCCGAATTAAGTTAGTAGAGTTCACTACCCACAAAACATGAGTAAAATTAAAAGTAAAATAGCGGTTCACTGAAAAAAATAAGAAAATGGATCTCACCTTCTTCGTGACCTCCGAAGCGCCGTTGGTCTTTGTCTGCGAATCCAGCGATAACTTCTGCAACAAATCCGTGGCTTCTGTAACAAGAAAGCCGGTGTTAAGAGAAGAATTTCAGAGAGAAAACTCGCAACGTAAGAGAGCATGCATGGAAATTGATCATAGAAAAACACATTAAAAACCGAACAAAAAATTGATCCTTCCTTCAAAGAATAAAATTAGATCTCACAGGAATCGATCACTCTGCTAAACCCTTGCAATTCGAAGGCAATCCTAAGCCGATGTAGTCAATCAACTCATATAGAAAACGAAGAGAGAAAATTTATGAAGCATGCCGAACATGAAAAATCAGTCATCATGCCCCAACAAAGCGACATCGACCGAGCGCATTAGAAGAAAAACTTCCCCTAGCAAAGTGGGGAATCAACCGACACAACTCAAAGAAACACATGAAAAACGCACGTACATCCCAGGGATCACACAGATCTACGCATAAAACGTACAAAGCACCGGTACAGGCAGTGATAAACGAGCGGAGGAAGCAACCCAATCTACAAAAAACAAAGTTTAGAAAGCCACGCGGCAGACGACCCAAGGACCCGCAAAATCGAAAACGAACAAAGAGAGGCACAGAGATGATCAAAGACAAGGGACAGATCGCCTGGACGCGTACGGTCAGCTACAGGAGCGACGGCCGCCATGGTTCCGCAGATCTGTGGAGAGGTGCCGCAGATACTTCCCCTGTGCGATATCGCCCTCGGCCCCGCCCTGACCCTGGTGAAGGTGCAGAGACGGCGAACAGAGCACCCCGGGGAGGGTAGGGCAGCGAGGGGCGGAGGAGAGAGAAAAACCCTAGAGAGAAGGGACGAGCACGAGAGCCGCCACAGGAGAGAGAAAGAGGGTTTTGTTAGTCGAAAAGAAGTGATTCAAATAGCTCCACCACGCCGCCTCCAGCCGCGCGCGACCTGATTTTTATACAATTTACACATGCCTCCCCTTCTTTTCCTAAAATATCATAAAAAGCCTATCCTTACATATATCGTATAACTAGCCTTACTCCTTGTTAAGTAAGAAAAATTCGTATACAAGATTTAAATCTAATTGCAATCATACACCTCTTCTCCCCCAGACACGGCTGGACCTTCTTCAATTCAATTTACATATTAAACCTCATAAATTTATCCAATTTCATCATCGCGATATTTTCAAAAGAAATGCAAGCTCCAACATTACCCCCCTCAGATGCATATCCTATAGGGCTTGGGGTACATAAGCAAATATAAATAGTAAAATGGTAAATATGAATCGTGACTATAAATATATTTATATTTCAGTTTTATTCTTCTTCACAATATTTTAACTTTATCCTCTCTCTCTCTCTCTCGCTAAATATCTTCTTCGGTCACTATCCGGGCGGGATGATTTTTCTTCTGAAATGTGGGGAACCTGCGGGTCCCACCAACGGCTGAAGGAGGGGGCAGGGAGACCCGTTGCTCTTAATGGGCCGTTAGTATTGGGCCCACATTATGCGAGAGACGGGGAAACTGAAATATAAGTTCCAATAAATGGGAATAAGATTGCACTGTTCAGCGATAAATGAAACGTTAGAATTGGGGATATGGTTTTGGCCCACAATTAATATGGATCTCGAGTGAAGAAGGTCCTCTCTCCTATTGGACCTCGTACTTGGCCCATAATTTGTCAAGTGGAGGGCTGGCCCATTTTCTCCCATTGGACGAGGGGGTTTGGGCCCACTAGCCCAGACTGTAAGAAGAGGAGAGATTTGACCTTGAGGACTTAATGACTGACCCGATTTATGTGAGAGGAGAGATTAAAAGACTGGTCTGAAATAATGGGCAACAAATGTCTAATATTCAATAATACAGTGATTATGGGCCCATAATGGACGAATACTCAGGGGCCCACATATGATGGCACTTAACTCGGAAAGAAAGAAACATGGTTGATAACCTTATTGGAAGAGAAAAATGTGTGTCGATATTGGGCCCATATCTCCAATTGGGCTCGTAGGGAATGTCCGAAATACAAGATTCCAAAATCATCATATGAATGTGACAGAGATTAAGATTGATCTTATTATCATTATTCTGGAGAGAGACGTGAGCAATTGGTATAAACTGGAGATTCAACAGGCCAGGCCAGGCCCAATGTTCTGCAGTAATAGCTCCATTCCGTCCAACAGTTGCATAGTTATGTGCTGATGTGATTGCATTAATTCCAAAGATTAAAAATGGGGTCTGCATCTAGAGCTGGTAGTGAATCCTGCTGCCCCCACAAAAACAGCATAGCAGGAAGAAGAAGAAGAAGAAGAAGAAGAAGAAGACCCATGGAGAGAGATCCGAAAAGCCCAGCGTCTTCAGCCAGAAGAACAGCAGCAGCAACAACACCGTAGATTCAAAAATGAAGTAGAAGGTTCAACTCACTGTTCAACATTGAGCTGGTGAAGCTTTGATTCCAGCTCCCCCTCATCGCCTCCTTCTTCAGCCTCCTCTTCCTCGCCCTCCCCTTCGGCATCGTTCTCGTCCAGTGGCCCGAGCACAGACACAGAGTTCTTACCAGATTTCAGGATCTCCCTCACTTCGTCGATCCCTTCCTCGGATATGGCGTTCCCGTTTATGTTCAACAGGGAGAACTCCAGCTTGTTGCTGGCCGCCACCGCCCGTGCCAGGCACCTAGCGCCAGCCCGCCCGATGGAGTTGCTGCTCATGTCAAGCTCTCTCAGCTGGGGATGCCCTGACTCCAGTGCCTTCCCAATAAGGACCGCACCGCCATCCTTGATTTCGTTCTCTGAGAGGTTAAGCTTCACAATTGACTGCTTTGAAGAGATGCAGGAGCAGAGCACTGGGACGGCCGCCGCAGTGATGTCGTTCCCAGCCATCTCCAGCACCGTAAGAGGCAGGTTAGAGCCCTCTAGGGCCTTGCAGACGGCCACAGCCCCCTCATCTTCCAGATTCAGATAGCTGAGGTACAGCTCTGTGATGGCGGGGAGCTTCTCAAGGGTTTGGCTGAGGGCTTTACCAGCATCAACACCAAACATATTGTCCCGGAGATCGAATTTCCTCAGACGGGTGCAGGTCTCCAGTGCCTCTGCCAGGGCAATCCCACCCTCGGAGTCTACCCTTGTGGAGGAGCAGCGGAAGTCCTCCAAGACAGGGCTCCGGCGGAGGATTTCAGAGATGGCCACAGCGCCCTCATCACCAGTCATGTTGTTGTGAAAGTGGAGAACCTTCAGCTTCTCAGTGGAGGGCACAAGCTCTGCCACAGCCCTGGCAGCCTCCTCGGAGATCCCGTCGTTCATCAGGTAGAGCTCCTCCAACTCGCCCTGTGAACTCAAAAGGGAAGCAAAAGCCCGGACACCTTTCTCACCCAATGCATTGTCGGAGAGGTTCAGGTATCTGAGGGCGGTACCCTCCAAGGCGGCAGAAAAGACCCTCATCACATCCAGGGCCTCCTCTTCTGGCCTGCCTGCCACAAAGTCCGAGAGGTCCACCTCAGTCAACTGACCCTTCAGTGACTCTAGGACGGGCCCTGCCACATGGGCGGCATCAAGGCCAAAGCTCCGGTTGCTGAAGCAGATTCTTGTGTAGGCGTTTCCCTCCTCTGCGAGGGGCTTGAGGAGCTCCTCCGCCTCCTGGGCATCAAGGAAGGCCCGCTTGCCCCCAGATATATCAAAAACCTTTTGCAGAGGGATCGCGGGCTCTTCACCAACAACTGCCTTCTTGGGTTTGGGGCCCCTCTTGAGGATTTGCAGCATTAGCTTGCTGGTTTCCTTGGCGTACAATTGCACGGCCGAGCTCCCATCACCATCAGGTTCCCGCTCATAATGCTCGTTGGCAGCAGCAAAACCTGCTTCCTCTATTTCCTTTGCATCTAGGGTGGCTTCTTCTTTAGTGAGAAGGCCATACTTTCGAGAGAAAATGGACTCAGTTGATAGGTTCTTGGCAATCCGTTCGACGAGCATAACCCTTGTTGCTTGGCTTGGCGGCCACAGCTTGATTGAGAATGTTCGGGGCTGAAACGATTGCGTTGTAGCGGTCTCCATGGCTCAAAGGCTCTGAAGAGGACTGATATGCTTCAGATACCAATAAGAAGATGAACATATTATATGGATGAGGGGATGGACCTAAAATAATACACGACCTAAACGTGGAAACGAGTAGGTAATTCATGACATGTAAGAACAAATACTCTAATTTTGTGATATATATATCCCTTGCGCACTTCGATACGATTATTATTGAATACTGTAAATCATTTCCATCACTTCAAAACATTGAATTTTGTATTATTTACTAGAGTCAACCGTGATAAAGCATTAAAGGACATCATTTCCATCACTTCAGGAGACCAAAGGCTCCAATTCGGCAGCAATATCCCATCAAAGAATATAGACTAAGAAGGGCAGAATGGGTGACTAAACGACAGAAATTAGACACAGAAGATCAATCTCTTAAATCCCTGCTCTACTCATCAAACAGCAGGTTGAATGAGCCAGAATAAGAAGGAAATCAACACGGCAGGCATGAGCAAGGCTCCATGTATCCTTTTGGCTGAAAATAATCCTTAAGGGAATGAGGAGAGCTGCAAGGATGAACAGGAAGACTATATTCTGATCAAATCATCGTTTGTAAAATTCTGATTTAAATTAATGGCTCGTATTTAACCATAGATTGAGCATATATGGCAGGAAATTACATAATAACTTTACTTGCGATAGTCCTATCCTTAACAGTGGCTGTGACTGGTGACCATTGCTAAATTGGGTTTTTCGTGAAGTATACACATGGTGTAATGTAAGTAATTTCACAGAAGAATTCATCCTGTCAAAGGTTTAATATTATCGAAACGTAAAAACGATCTGTACAATAAAGTAATGAAATATCAAATGAAAAGACTAGAAGTAGTACAAAAAATGTAGGCAGCATAACATCACAGAGCGAAGAAATTTTAAATCCTTAAACTGGTGAAACTTAGACTGCGTCAATATTTACACTAACCTTGGAGAGGAACGGAAAATTTGGGAGAAATTTTCAATTTACAACTCAAAATTTGTAGACAAGAAAAAATATTGACCTAGTTGACAACTAGGGTAGATATTAAACGAAATGAAGTCTTATCAAAGACGGATATGTAAGAATAATTTTAGTCGAGTGCAACTAAGCATTGGTACACCAGCACAGAAAATAAGAAGAAGCAAAGTGGAGACAGTAGCGAAAAGAAAATAAAATATAAAAAAACTGTCCAAAAAGACTAAATAGTGTGTTATTAATCACATGGAGTAAATTAGAGAGCACACGAAGTTAGATTGATGTGCTATTTATTCCAAAAAGAGAAAGGAGGATCTCTCGCCTTTGAGGTAGAATCTAATGATACCATCGCCATGACCAACCATGATAGAAAAAGTTATATATTTCACTAGGTTATTTTTAGGAAGAGGATATCACAGATCAGGGTTCTACACAAATAAGAGGAAAGAGAAAATAAAGTTCATAGCTTGGCAAAATGAGATAGAATCTGCAGATGTCAAATGCCCAAGGGAAAATCTGTCTACAAGAATAGCATTGAAGAATCAATTTAATCTTATCCAAGAAAACCAATTGTTGAGATTTTTTTCCTGAAGTAAATATCACACAACCTTCAATGAACTGAATGCATATATTATTCAATAACTTTGGAGACAGCGTATGATAGCAATGATGAAGGAATATTATAAAAAAGGATCGATTTTCGAAAAGTATAAAAGGTATGAAGAATGGGTAGGAAAGAGCAATGATCAGCGTAATGAGTACTCGTGGAAAAAATAATTTACGGACCAAAAAATTACATAAAAGATTATGTATAGCTTCCATATATTTCGATCATTTTTTATTCGACACTGGCACTAACTAATTGAAATATATATGCGGTAAAGCTGTGCAAAGACTGGGCAACAATTTCACATGGAATAACTGATAACTCACATAAGATCACATCCCCACCTCCAACTCTCAATTTGTGAGAGAACAAAAAATACTTACAATTACACGTCGACGAAAACCACAACGTAAGGCCAGCTCAAGTTCTCGACATACAAAAAAAGAGGAAAGGACCAAGGACAATAGAAAAACGAGTCGAAATGCTTATGCTGATTAATGAAACAATAATCCTGGAAGGTCCACAGGGAAGACGATCCCCGAGTGAAGAAAATATAGAAATTTCCGCGCCGAAAATATCGACAAGGCTTATAATACAAAAGAAAAATGAATTCTCCCCGAACCAAGCGAGCATGCCCTCCTGTGTCTGGCATCACCCATTCCAGTAGTAAGATATCCTGGGCTCCTCCACGCAGGAGATACTGATAAACGATACCTAATTGAGACAGGCCCACATCCTACTGAAAATCAGGCTCCCAAAAAAACCCGGCAACTGGACACTGATAATGCGTCCCTCCGATCACGCAAGACGAATGGAAGGGGTGACGGGAAGAAACGGATAGCGGGATCCATCTATAACAGACGATCTACCAATCGGAGGAGATTTCTGAGAAGGAGATCATACCGTGGACAAAACCCTAGCCCTGCGGCGTCGCCGGGAGGTGGTGGAGGAGAGGAGGGAGCAGCAGGAAGGCGAGAAGAGCAACCACCGGAGCCGTCGGCGACGTCGCAGGCGCAGAGGATATTTCTCCTTCGTGCGATGGGAGACGGACTTCAGACCCGACTGTCAAATCCGGTTATGGGACGACCCTGGGTCCGGCTGCTCAATATTCGAATTTTAACGGCTGACCGGCATGCGCGCGCTCCACTTTCACCGTCGCCCACACCATATCAGATCTTTAACGGTTCCATATCGGATCAGCGGGCTCTCTCCCAATCTGCACCGAACCGATATCAATATCTTTGAACCATCAGCTCAAATGGGCGGAGTAGGACCGGCCCAAAAGCAGTGACCTCGGTCCCTCTCTCTCTCTCTTTAGTCAAAGACCCGAGCGAGCTAAAGAGCATCCCGATTTTCAGGTCAGAGTCTATAAAAAATAAAATTTTCAAGTTTTTATAGCCCTAAAGTGCTAGAAATCATCATATAAAGACCCAATTTGACCGCATTAATTTCAGTTATTTACATGTAGCAGAAAAAACAGAGGTGGTGGGCTGTTGACAAAATCTCCAGGGTGACAGAGGATGAACTTAGGGATGCGCCTCGATGAATTTCACTATTTATTATCCATAAAAAATAGGTAATTACAGAAACTTTGCATTAGCTCCATCTAGCGTCATTTAATTAATAAAAATTATTATTTTCGTTGTGGCTTGTCCAGGTGTCAACACCCACATGCCCCCTGAGTGCCACCAGGTGCCTACACCTTGGGTTGACACCAAAGTCAAAGTCGGCACTTAGGACTTGGGTGTCAACACCTATCATGCACCGGCATTGACACGCCAACAAAGTCAACACCTTGACACTTGCTTCCTGCCACAAGAAATTTCATTGCACTTGGTGAGATATAAGTTTGTTAAATACTTTTGGGCTCGTCAACATATGTATAGAGGGCGAGCCCAGGCTTTGCCAACCCACCCCATTTTTCGGGCTTTCCTCGAGCCCGGTCCTCAACCAGGCCGGCTCACGGGCCGGCCCGTTAGACAATTACCCACAGTTTCCAGCAAAAAATTAATCTACTTTTCCAATGAAAAAATTAAAAAGATAGACTGAGAACCAATACGCCAATGACCGCAGAATCACCGTATATATTATTAAATCAATCCAGGGGGGGCATAGAGCCCTTTCCGGGCTTTCCACATAATCAATCCTCCAAAAGGAGGGAATGAGTGCCGGGCCAGGCTTAATGAGGACCGGGCCCAGCCCGTTGACGCCCACTAAAAAACAGACTTTGAAGATCAGCAATTGCGCACTCACAAGGATGACAGCCGGGTCGGAGGAGGATAGCGGGCCCACCCACTCTAGGTGGAGAGATTCACCTCCCTCAAGAGCTTCGCAGCGTCTTCTGGGAAGACGGGGTTTATGTAGCAGCCGCTGCCGAGCTCAAACCCTCCAACACCTGACAACTGAGGAATGATCTGCAGAAACCAGTGGGCATAGGGCAAGGAGGTGGCAGCCAGGCCGAGGGGAGACGTGTGGATCATGAAGTTGAATGGGGGATCGTTCAGCTGTTGTGATAACCTCCTCAGCATCTCGGTAAGGATGCCTCCGAAGTCAACGGCCTGCATGGGAAAGCATAAAAGAAAATAAGGCAAATTTTCTTCATGGTTTGAAAGGGCAAAATGATCTATTCTTTGATGAATCGTATCCAAACAGCCTGCATCTGAGACGGGAACATCATCAACAGGTTACAGTGACTGACCTACATATACGTACATGTATAATAAAGATAAATATTCATGATCCAATGGAGCATATTTCTGTAGACAAAATATTCGTGTTCAACTCAGAGAGTAGTCATAATCTGGGTGTTGCAAGCAACAAGAATCCTTAAGAATCCAGTTGATCTTTCACTCTAAATCTGATTCCTACTGTGTATATGTAGTGGAGAAAACATGATTAATGTAATCTTTATACATTATAATGGAGCATATACATATGCTGACAAATTAATGTTCAAGAGCTAACTTTCATTACAATAATCTGGGTATTCCATTCTCTTTTGCTACCGGAAAGTAGAACCCTTGGCGAACCTGGTCAACCCTTTCACTAACTTAACTGATTCCCAATACGGATGTTGTCCCTTCGGGGACATCCGATAAAATTGGAACGATACAGAGAAGATTAGCATGGCCCCTGCGCAAGGATGACACGCACAAATCGAGAAATGGTCCAATACGGACGTTTCAACTGTTCCAAGAAAAACACTGTTTGTCATGACATTTATACCCGTATATGACTTAACCTGAGTAGCACTATGCAAGATTTTCACACTGTATATTTCTTTTCGCCTACACCTGAGTCAATTGACTTTCCATTTCCAGTAGTTTTCGCATCATCACGTGAGAAATTATTTCAAGATTAATGATAGTCTATAAACTAATAAAATAATAACAGTCAACGCTTGAAAAACATCAGAAGCCACAAGAAGGCTGTCAGAAGTCCTATAACATCCTACCCTAAAATGGCCAGTCAGAACGTTCACTGATGTGACCTACCATATGGTCAAACCACTTTGAGCTTAGAATCACAGTGATGACTTCTGGAATTATAATTTTCAATGAGAACATAAAATTGATCCAACCGAGGATCCGTGGCCAAAAAGAAATGGGTAACGGGGCTTAGGTCACAGGTGCTTTCATAACTGAACAGAGAACAACAATATTACAGCAACTCCTGATACACGTTTCAAAGCCATTCTCGGTGACAATGAACCAATACAACGGGGTATAATCCAAACTCTCTATCACCATAGTCAATGCCAGCATAAATGCAAACGGTTTTCACATTGCAGGCAAATTACATCACCAATTTTTTTTATCAAACTGGAGGGGAAGATTGAATAAGCTTGAATATGCATAAATCTTACTAACTGGCAAATAAGGGTGGGGGTGGGAGGCTAGGGGGAGAGAGAGAGAGAGAGAGATCCAACCGTGTGATTTTAGTGAGGTATAATCACCCCACAGAAGACAGATAACGAGAAAAATAACCCCTCACACAGTTACTTTAATATCTTCTTGGTGCATACCTAGTTCTTACTGTGACAAACAGGTGATAGCGCAATTCTTCACCAGTGGTGGAATTCAATAAAGAACCAATATCCTGGGAAAGCCCGCGTCCACAATCAAATTAAAAGATCCTTTATAAACATTCTTCATTCAGAACTACGACTGCTGTTTTGGAACTACAGGTCCATAATTTATGAAGGCTACAAAATGTGGCTAGATATTCAGTAACCATAAGATTAAAATTAAAGTGTAGAATTATTTAAATTGGTTCACATCTCTTCTACGCCTCTCTCTCATAGGTTGTAAATGTAGATAAGGGGTGCTTCTGGTGATGATGCTCAGTCACCTATATTTATAACCTGAAGTTTCAAGAGACTTTATAATTGCAATACATTTTTTAAGTAACATATAATACAACAGAAGCGCACAGAAATGCAAGTAATCGTCTCTTTCAAGCTACCGTTACAATGCTTCTTACAGAGTAACAATTCAAGCAAAATGGCAAAAAAGAAAGATGATTCGCCAAGAGTTTTAACATGTATATTTCTCCATTGACCTACTTCACAAACATCAAAAAGAGTTTGGAAATCTATGGTCATCTCAAATTCAATGCAGATAGTTCAAGCTAAGGTGATTAGCAGATTATCATCAAAATTACCTGAATTCAATCAAGGTGAAAATAGTTGATTATATAATCAAGTGAAAACAAGTGAAAGCAATCGACTCCAATTACCTTTTCTCTATCTATCTCATGGAAGTGAGACAAGTGATCCCGAGGAACTACCCAGATCTCAAAAGGATATGAAGCTGCCACCGGAGCAATAGAAGAAAAATACTGTGACTGATGAATGATAATATCCTCAGACCATGCCTCACAGAGGCCACATTTTCCTGTCCCACCATAAGACTCCATCATGCTCCTAAGCCTGGAGGAGACTGTGGGAGGAACAACAGGAAGGCCAATGATCTGACTGTGCGAATGGCTCATTGACGCTCCCGCAGATGCACCATGATTCTTAAACACCTGTATAACATAAAAAACTCAGATAAAAAAAGATAACATTAACTTCATAAACAACAAGCAACAGATTTTAAATTCTTCCCAAGATGACATGGCAGGGAGTTTTAGTTCAATGAAGAGAATAGAAGCCACTTGGTCAAAGGGGGATGTGGTCATGTTGCATAGATATCAAGGCCAAGTAGTTCTAGGCTTAACTTATTGTGGGTGGTGAGGAAACACTGACGTCCTGTAGTTTTCAGAACTCGGATTAATTTGAATCTGGGGAGGAATGAAACTCTAAAAGGGTTCTGAATCCTCCACAGATGAAACAGAAATGTATGAGGCTTGAAATAGTAAGAGTTCAGTAAATCCAGGATTATTTGAAGGTGGGGTTCCACAGGCACTTTGCACTGATTTCTGAAACCCGATTCAGCTGAATGTGGAAAAATACTTACATCCTGCATAGGCTTGTACTCGTCATCAGACAAAAGCAAAGTTAAAATGAGATAAGAAAATTGAAATTCCATAACTCTAGATTTATTTGGATATGGAGAGAACTGACATTTCTGTATAGATAAAAATTCGTTCTCAGATGTTAGGAAAGTTGAAGTGGGAATAAAATGGAAAATAACCCCATATTTATCTGAATATGGGGAGAACATGGCATTTTGCATCCAGATTTGTTTGAATGTAGGGAATACGAACATTCTGAATAGATTTAAATGTGTGCCCAGACAAAAGAGAAGTTTAAGACCAGAATTAGATTTTGGACCTCAACAAGATTAAAACTCGTCCTCTAATGAAAGGGAAATAAAGAAGCTGGACATGAGGACCGGAGTGCAACATCTCTGAATCTGACCCCGATAAATCCGAGGTTATTTGAACGCAAAAGATTCAGCATACAGTTATTTGAATATGGTTGATCAGCTGACCAACCTGGATGTATTTGATATTACCGAGGGCGGCGAGCTGCAGGAACCTCTCCTTGTAAGCGAGCAGAATTTCAGCGGTCTCCGTAGAGGAGAGGTCCGACAGGTGAACATCATGGTACGGCGTCTCGATGACCACATCATGGAAACCATAACCTTGTATAAACCTCTTCTCCCCTCCACCTCTCCCCTCATCTTCGGGATCCGACGCGGGGGGCTCCTCCTCCCTGCGCAGAGCGGGGTAAAGGTTCTCGATGACGCGCAATCTCCACTCAGAGGCGCCCGCTGGGAACCGGAATATCTCCGGAGCGCAGTCGTGCTCCCGGCCGATACAGAACGGGCAGGAAGGCGGAGGATGAGCGGTAGACCCCCCCCCGTTGGACGCGTTCCTAGTGTTGGGACTCGTGGTGGTGACGGGGGCCGATGACTTGAAATCGGAGGGCCGTCGTGCTCGCGCTGGCGAGAATATTACCCACCGCCCAAAGACGGCATCCTTACGCAGCTCACACCTCCTTCCACTGCCGCCGCCGCCGCCGCCGGCGGCGGCTGTGGCGCTACTCGGCGGCGACATTGCTGATACGCTGCTCCTTGCTCCTTTCTCTCTCTCTCTCTCCCCCCCCTACTCGGCTCAAGCCGAGTCGGTGCAACCGCAGCCGTTTCGTCCGGATCGGCGCAGCCGCCTCCCCCCCTTAACCGGCGCGGAGAGTGAGAAAACCCGGCACGGTAGGGTGAGGGGGGTTAAAGCGGTTAACCGACCGCTTCCGTGTTCGGCCCAAATGGCCTCACGCCCTCCACAGGCCCAATGGCCCATACGGTTTCCGTTCAAAACGGAACCGCCTGCCCTAGGTCGGTTTCCCGAACGAGATCCGCCTTCCTCCGTCTCCAGCACTGTCGTCCTCCACCGCCTCTTCTCCGTCCGGTATCATATCCGCTTCCAGCGTTCAGTACTGCCTTCCGGCATCTGAAACTGCCGTCCGCCATCCTCCCTCCTTCCGTGCATCGACGAGAGAGGGGAGGAAGAGGTGAGTCCTCCTTTGATCCCATGATTTCCCGACATAAATCATTCCTTCACAGGTCAGGAGAGAGAGAGAGAGAGAGAGAGAGGTGCGCGGAAACCACACTCCCTTTCCTTCGCAGGGAACAGAAGAAGAGTGAACGGCCTAGGAGTCCGTTTGCTCAGCCTGAACAGCCCAGGAGTCCGTTTACGGTAACCTAAAACAAAATGGCATGCCACAAGGAACTTCTGTGCGATCCATAGCCTATAACGATGCTTGAATTCACCTTAAACCTAATGGTGGTGTTCATTGGACCCAATCTATGATTCACTCTCATTCTTAAACATCATATACGATGTCAAGAAACAGAAATAATATGCATGGCATATCATTCTCCAAGAACTCTGCACATCAAGCTCTGGTACCACTTGATAGGGGAGAAATTCAAACAATAGGGTCTAGTGCTAAGTCCAAGAGAACAATATTATGAACAAGAGTGAACAGAAAATCATATCTGAGTTCATTTCTATCCAAATCTGAAACTTGGGGTTTTGGTCTTTTAGGATCAGCACACTGGAGTCGTCGAAACCCTATGACTTTCCTTCTGGAGAGATGCAATACTTCATAACTCTGGCTTAGTGTGTGATCCAATGGCCTGATCCCTACTTATAGCCTCGAGTTGGTTAGCCTCTCGATGTCAATTTTCAATTTTTCCCATCATAAAATTTGAAATGACCTGGTCTCTTCATATTTAATTCCATACTTCCAATAGATGCCTTAATCCTTCACTAGACCTTAATGAATCACTTTAGTAAGGATTAACTTAATGATAGTCCCACAATATACAATTCATATATATGTACCCACATTGAGATCAAAATCCAACAGTGTACCGATTGGGAGGGGATTTCGGGGAGATGGAGGCTGGTTTGCCCAACATCAAGAGATGGATCGTGGTCTACCCAGTATATATTAATTCCAAGAAAACGCTGGCCGAGGGACGCCGAATTGGTGTTTCTCAGGCCTGTGAGAACCCCACCTGTATTGAGATCGGTGATTGCTGCGGCTATCTCAAACTTCCGTTCGTCATTGAGGTATTGTTTCTATAATTCGTCTTTCTGAATCGGTAGATTGTATGTGGGTTCCATCATTTTTCCTGAAATAATTGTATGTTGCCTATGCAGATTGACAAGGCCTATCCGAGGGACTTCATGCAGAGGGGTAGAGTGAGGGTGTTGCTGAAGAAGGAAGACGGGTCCCTGATTAATCCTGACATTAATTCAAGTGAGATTCACATAGATTATATCTTATTTCCTATTTACGTTGTGTGGTACGTAGGAAGTTAATGTTTTCAGTTTCCACTTTGTTCACTGATGTTCTCTTGGCTACTGTTATATGTCTGACGATTCAGTGGCACATTACATCTATTTGCTTACTTCATGGAAAACAATTCTGATTTTGTGTAGGACTCTACAAGTTTATATTGGCCGTGTTGTGTGTGGATTTTAGGTGTCTCGGTACCGGTTGATATGATCTTGAACTTAGTATATCTGTTATGAAAATTTCAAGAACACAAAAATCGCCTGTATATTAGAGACTAGTAAGATGTCAATTTTTTTTTCGGATTCAATATCGAATTCTCTTTTGGTCGAATTTCAAATTAATTATTTATTTCATCATGTCATAATTTCTAATAATAATGCATTGGACATTAATTGCTTGCCATACGCATGACATCCTTACCTGTCCTGAAGTTTCGGGGAAAAAAATAGAAATAACCAATCACTAGTTCTAAGTGTTAATTTGTGCAATTCTTCTTCAAATGTTTACTTTTAGATGGGCAACTATTTTCCATCCTTTAATTCATCTGGACTCTTCCTTGTAAAGGATCTCACCCCTTCACTCTTCCTTCTAGATAGGGTTTGTGCGCAGTTATCAAGAAACATTGTTTATCTTTGCTGAATAGCTTTTCAATCTGTACTGTAGATGGGTGAATATTGATGCTTGATGGATGCAACAGTTCTGTCATGATTCTGTGTTTCCCTGTTTTGTAGATGAGAAAATAGTTGTTGTCTTTTTAGAAGAATTTCGTAAGTTTTTCTACTCGTAAATGTTCTAGGACAATTTTTTTCTGTTATTTGTTCTATTACCATTTATGGACCCACCTTTTGACACGCATTTAGCCTTCGCCTGAAATGGCCTTGGGAACGGTAGAAGCACAAGGAACATGGGAGCTATATTCCCTTTGCTTGTTCTCCCCTTTATCTGCCACATCACCTCCACCTAGGCTCACCTTTGTCAAACATTCTAAAGTTTTATGCTTAATTGTTTCTACTTTTTTATCGTTTTTATTTTTTTAGTTTTGGTCAACCAAGGCTTGTCTGAAATGGTCATAACCTTACTAATCGTTTGTATACTAAACCATCCCTGACAAGTATTCAAAATTATGTATTTTTTCGAACCGACCACTCTCAAGTGTATCTTCATTCTCTCCATTTACATCGTAGGTTCTAGTATGCCTTTGTAGCATGAGTCAATTCTACTTGCTGCTTACAATTCTGGGCATATTCAGATCTAGGTATCTTTGGAAGGTGTTCAAATCAGACCTGAAATAGATCATTAATGCAGTCTTTCATAAATCCTGACCCAGCCTTTGTAGGTACAATTCATAGCTAAGCGGAGCTTAAATATATGAATTCTCTTTAAAGCCTAACATGTTTCACTAAGCCATTATGGAGCCTAATTTGGCCCTTTAGTAAGCTAACATGCGTTGCTGAGTGCTAAGTTAGTGTATACTAATGACTAGGCAAATATTTAACATACTCATCTTATTCCATGTCTCACATAGCAGTGGCTACCTAATTATAGCCTATCTTTGTGGGTTTTATTTTGATTTTTATGCTTTGATCATATTATCGCCTAAATCTGTTGCTTTTTGAATGGAACAAGTTTCAATTAAGCAACTCAATCAGATATCCAGTTGAATTAGACACGAGACAATATACCCTGTTTTGATTCAACCCAAAAATTGAGTGACCTATTTATACCGAAACTTTAATGTTTTGAAAAAAAGCATTACAAGTGTTTGCTAAGTCCAAAGGTATCATTAATCTTCTTAATGGGACTTCTGATTTATAAGAAAATGAAGATGAAAAAAAGGTAACTCGAAAATTATGTTGAACATCATCAAATGATATGCTGAACACGGTTTAGTATAATGACATAATGATCGAGCATTGGTAGAACTCGGGTTTGGAGTACTTTATGTCAGATCGTGGAACTTGATTTTTATGAATAGTGTGACTTGCAGTTTTCGATTGGAAGAGAGAATAAATGCAGGAAAGCATGGTCAATTTCTATGAACCTTGTTTAATTCTTGTCAAGGTTCATGGGAGCTTCCTTGACTGCAAAGGTGAAGAGGAAATTGATTATCAATTTCACACAAAATAAACGATCAATGAGCACAGGAAAATTAGTTTGGTTAAAAATTCAGTGCAATATACAAAACATTCACTAAATGACGTGCCCATCTGGTCAAACTGATAGAAGTAAAAGAAAAACGGAGAGGGCATATTTGAGGGTCATATGGTGATATGATTTTTTCTTCAGACACAAGTAACATCATTCGTCTGACTTGGGAAAATGTCTATGGTCAACAAGTCTTCTTCCAAAGTATGACTTTCGCCACAGAAGCTCCGCATGGAGATTCATCATCAATATGATGTTGTGAATGGTTCCAAAATTTGAGTTTCAGTTGAAGTTGAGGGTACTGGATCCTGGCGGTGTCCAGAAATTTAATCATTCATGGCTCATAGAAGTAGATCCCAAACATGATTTTGATTCTTGGGATTTGTCTGTTGCTTTGCATTTGTGGATTCATGCGTGATACCTAGTAATGAATGCCTGTTGTCATTCCTGTCTTCCATTGGCATGCAGTTTACGTTGGTAGATCCACTATCGTCTAGAGATACTATTGCAACTTCAGGTCACAATCGTGCCCATAGACCGTCTGATGGAAAGTGTGTTTTGGCTGGCTGACGACATTTTCTAAAACAATTAGAGTTGGAACTGCCGTGGAAAGAGAAACTATCCATGGGGTCTCTGCTGGGCTGGCATGGAGATATATTAGAGTGGGAAAGGCAGGCTCGATTCGGAGTAATGATTATTGCAGGTGCCTCCAAAGGGCTAGCCGAATTCAGTCATGCTTGGTTCAACTGAGACGATTCCACCTAACGAACCTAGTTAATATGATCGTCTAATAATTGATTAGCTAGTATTGACCTGGAAACAGCGATGTGGCACCTGAAGCTTTATCTGAAAGAATCAAGTCATAGATAGCTCGTATTTCAAAGGCCATATCCTTCTTGAGAACCAGCTCACACTCCGATAATATGGTGGAATTTATTTCTCTTTTTTGGTTTCTTATACTTTTTCTTTGAGAATCTTCTGAGGGGGAATAGAAAAACAAAGCATCATCCTTTAGGAGTTGACTGCAGAGGATTAATGCATCAGCTGGAGGGCATCCTTGATAATATCCAGGATATGGTCCCGGAAATTAACCTGTTAACCTCTTGGGTTTTCAAAATCAAGAGTTGGATAGAACACTCTTGATTTTGAACTCGGGAGCTTGGAATTGATGAAGTTTTATGGATATTTCACTTGCTTTAGCAATTGGTGAGATTGGAGATGGTAGAAGAAATATCTTCCCATCTAAGCTGGTCAGATCTAATGATGTCCCATGAAATATCTTCCCATTTTAAGTAAATAAAATATCTGATCTCTGAGAGAATCGGCTGTGAGGATTTCATCCTTGTAGAAGAAGAGGGCACCGAATAGAATCTTTCTCCGAAAATCTCTTTATTTTTCACTTATACGTTTGCTGTGACAATTTATGCGCTTAGGTGCAAGTTGAGTGCATCTCATCTCATCTGCTCTGCTGCTGTTCATGTCAGGAAAGCAGCTGATGATTAAGGTCGGTGAATTAGTTCCAAAGCATCCCGGTAGGACCAAGAAGCAAGAGGCGTCAACGAGCTCTACCGCTGCGGCCACAAAATCCAACAAGGGCGGGAAGAAGAAGAAGTAAGCGCGTAGCCATATAATCCCAAGTATTTATGCAGAGAATCCGTTTGATTTCTGCTCGCTGGCTCAGCTTTTTGTCACCTGCAATTTATTATTAACATGAACAATGTGTACATCATTTGCAAAAACTGCACCCAATTCAGAGCCCGTCACCCAGATGAATCAGCCCGTGAAATGTTAACAGATGAATCAGCCCGATCATATCAATCTTGTTCGCGGATCAGAAGGTCCTATTTTTATGTGCGGGTCAATAATTAATGAGCATCTGCGCAATCTTCCTTGTCTTCGGCTGTGATGGCCCAAGATCAGACTAGGCCATCACGCTGTAACCCCCTCATGCTTTAGCAGAGTCTCTCTCTCTCCCTCGTCTCTCTTCCACTCTCTCTCTCTCTCTCTCTCTTCCCTCATCTCGCCTCCACTCTCACTAATTCATTCTCCTCCACTTTTACAATATTTGAATTTTAATATAATTTTCAAATAACGTTGTTTTATTATGATAAAAGGATAAAACAGCCGATAGTCGGGCTTCGGATAATATGACCGCCGTGGAGGACTGAGTCAAGGACTTTTTGGGCTTTCTAGATGAGCCTGAAACCCGAAGAAGTCTACAGACTTCATTAACTAGAGGCCAGATGTCACTTATTCACTTATTTCATACCCCCAATGAGATAACTTCTAGGCTATAAGATAAATTTTGAAATTTTAAGGGTTTAGAAGAAACTTCTCCAACCTTTTTTCCAATATAATATATTAATATTATATATATATATATATGAAGAGAATTGAGATTTTATTATTTGAGACGTTTCATTGTTCCACTTTTTATGTGGAACCTTCTCTTACCTTCTTTCTCTTCTTTGTGGAGATCTCTAGAGGCAAAGAGTTAGAGAGAGAGATGTGGAAACTGGGGTATGGGAAAGGGGAAGACCCAATGATGAAGTGGGGGAGGCATCAGTGCCTCTTTACCCAATGATGATGGTGTCCTGATCTACAATGGGCCTTCATTTGCAAACGTTCATTCCATCATCAGCATTTAACTATTGCCACTCAATCTCTCATTTCTTCATCTCTTTCATAGGGCCCTGCATTCAGATGGAGGGAAAAGGTCAGAGAGGAAGAGACAAGGAGCGAAAAATCTCATTGAGAAGGGAGAATGATTTTTGAAACCATTCTAGGAACTTCTTTCAATCTAGGAACTTCTCAACAATGATCGCTTTGAAGGGATGAGAGAGGAGGGAGAGGAGGAAAAGATCATGAAGAGAGAGAAATAGATCTATTACTAAACTCTTTAATAGAGAAATGAATGATGGTTTATGAAAACTAGACAAAATAAGATTTTAAAACATGAAGATTAGGGGTTGAAAATGAGCTTAGGATTAATTTAACAACATGACATATTAAGAAAATGAATTAAAATATATTAAAAAAAATCAAAACCCCCCCTTTGACAATATGGATGAGGTGGACTAATGAATTCAAAATTTAGGGTAAATCAATCAATTTTTTATACATAATTTAGTTGTAAATGAAAATGAAACCATTCAGGACCTGAAAGCACTAGGAAATAGATAGAAACTAGATTGAAAATCAGAATTTTCCTCCTTCTGACACCAAGGATGGGGGGATGAAGAAATTTGAGAGAAATAACAAATAAAAATCTCAGAAAAATGCATCTACTTGCAACCTAAATGAATCATGATAATGAATTTGAAACAAACAAAAGTAATTTTTTTTATCAAAAAAGAGAAAGAAGCTCCATGAAGAACTAGATAAACAATGTTGGCTAGCACCTAGTGAAAGGAAGAAGAAAGGAGCCATTTTTTGTCCTAAATTAAATGTTCCTATAATTGAATTTGATCTAGAATCAATTACAAGCAATTATATATTAAAATACTTAGAAATCGGTTGATTTTAAACAAGAATTATATTCTATTTCTCTACCAATTTCTCCCAACATTTCTCCCTCCTCCAGTCATTTTCATATAATTAATTAAATCATCCCATTAGGCCTCTAATTAGGCTTCCTTAATGGGTTTCAAACTACCCCTAGAAATCATTACATATTTTAAATATATTATGAAACTTTTACAAAATTTAAAAAATATTTTTTGAATAAAATAATGAACTACATCTATTAAATTATGATTTTCACTCTAATTATGACATATTTAAGGGTAAAAAAGTCCAATAAAGCATAGTAATGTATGATCAAAGAATATTAAAAATATAAACATACTACAAAAGTATGGAAAAGTCATACATAGGTATGTATTTTTGATCAATTAATCTAGAATATACTTTACTTGATTTCCTTTTAAATGTGTCCTTAGTATGAATTAATGCAGCAAAATATGAAAATTATGCACTACTCAACGCATAGAAATTATGCATTATCATTGCTTAATAAGCCATCCATATTTCCAACAGGTTTATAGTAAATAGGAAAGATTAGTGATAAATCTTAAAGAAGATGAGTGACCTAGAAATAGAAAGATAAATTGTCTGATTGATGACATGCCATAGAAAGGGTCATTCTTGGGTTCATCACCTTCAGCTCCGCCCAAATCACTTCTCTAGGTGGGCTCCATCCCTTCCATCGTTGACTGGCACGCCGGTGAGGGGGAATGTTCCTGTGCATTCTTTCAATGGATTCTTGATTTGCTTTGACAAGCTTGGATGGTTCCCTCCCGTCGAGGAAACATGGGACTCAGATGATCGGTTGGCTATGATGGTACAGATGATGCGATTGCTGAAGAACGCCATGGCTTTCCCTTTTCTTCTCTTCTTTATTTCTTTTCTTGTGATTAACTTTGCCGCTTCCCGTTGACTCGATCTGAAGTTGCGAATGGGTAGTGGGGATCTTTCTGCCCACTTTGGATTTCCTTCTGCTGTAGGGAGAAGAGATTATTCAACAAGTCATATTGCATATATTTCTTTCGTGCATAGGTCTTTTTTTCCCCTCAGCATAAAAGAGAAGGGGAGAAACAAGCCTATGGCTAGCTCCCAACCGGCTGTCCCCCTGGTTTTTCTAGTTGTTCCCCTTCTGAAGGAAGATCATGAAATCCACACTGAGTTAGGTTATGAACCATGACTAATGCATATAGCCCTCCTTTATGGAAATTTATTGCACTAAAAACAAGTAGTGTGGTTCTCATAATATTTGATATCAGTAGAAGCAAAGCAGAGTGTTCTAATATTTGATAAGTTCTCACTATCATCGTGTACCTTCTTTTTTTTTTCTGATGGTTCTAAATGGTTAAATATCTTTAATCATGCATGATCACTAGTCATCTACATCATCATTATTATGTCATGTTCTGATGGTTATCCTTGCACGAATGCTGGGGACTTTTTTTCCCTTTCTGAGAGCGCATCATATCCTGATGAAAAAGGTCCCTTTAAAAATTCACATGAGCCAGTGGGAAATTTTCTCCGCATACAAGGTAGAGAGGAAGCCGAGAATGGAAGGTTTTGGGCATCTCTACGTTGGATGAATGGTGGCTAGTGGAACTGAGTGCAGAGGACCTGATGTCTTCGAGGTTTAATCTGAATCTCCCAATGCCCGTGCTCTAAATGGTATCTATAAAGACAAGTGTTCACGATGTATCCTTTATTTTTCTACGATGGGTGTAGGTGGCATTGAAGTCTGAGCACAGAAAGAAACAACAAAGGATGCAAATTCGGCCCCCCATATAATGGCAGATCTATATGTGAGTAAGAAGCCACTCGTTGTTGCTGCAAGTTGTCTCATGTTTTCCTAACCTAAAATTGTTTCCAAACCTAAAATTGTGTTCTTCATTTGACTTGGTGTGTTTCTAGCCATCTCAATAGATGCTATGGACTGTCGAGGTTTCACTACAAGAGTCGTCAGGGAGATGATTTCATCTTGGTGCGGATGAATTTTGTCATTTTATTAAAGTTGTATATTTTAATTTTTTATTGAATTTTCATTACGATATTTCTGATGATGATTGCCTCAGGTCATGGATCTCATTGGAACAAGTCTTCTAGATCTGTGGATTTCCATTGGCTAAGCGTAAGAAAATATTCTTGACTCCATATTCAAAAAAAAAAAAAAAAGAAGTGGAAATTTGTGCTTGTGGGCTTGACCTACTCCTTGAACAGAATGTGGTCAAATATGGTGACTTGTATCGTGATGGAGGCAATATAGATTCTTGGGAAGGTACACTTAAAGGGCATGCATGGCTTTGTGGTAGTGGTCTCTTCTCAGTTATAATTTGCTGAAGTCATAGTAATTTATTCATTTATTATTAGTGCCTCTCACCCAGAAATAAAAAATCATCAGGTTTGTATGAGGAGACATCAAGCCAAAGAATTTCGTGTTGGATGAAAAGAAACTTTTTATGATTGATCTTGGGCCGGTACATTCCTATTGATCCAATCACTTTTTCTACTGACCTTTTCCAACCATGCAGTCTCAGAGTAGGAGTCTATAAACGAATTCCTCTCGATTGGGAGAAGTCTATTTGTAGCAACTTTACATGATTTATGTGCACTTGTCAAGGTCTTTCCGCATGAGTTTCAATTTGCCATCACAATCTCATGTGTAGCGCTACCATGTGCTAATTTATCTATCAGCTTCAAAGAGGAGGAACACTTTGTCGGGTCAGAATGTTGAATGTGACCAACTTTCAGACATTTTTCAGGTTTCGTTGAAAAAACGTTTTATTTTCCCCAGATTTTTAGTTTAGGAGGGCCATAATACGGCATGCAAGTGTCCATGCACATTTAGTTTAGGGCACACATGGAGCAGAAGAGACGATCTTGAGTCATTGCCCTACACTCGGATTTTTCTCATGAGAGGGAGGCTGCTATGGCAAGGCTATCTAGTCTGCTTTCCCTCTATTAGTACCTCTTTGATTGATCGCTTGCTCATTCTCATACCCATTGTGCAGGGGGACAACAATAGCTTTCTGGTTTGTAAGAAAAAGATGGCTCCTTCTCTGGAAATGCTTTGTTGTTGTTGTCCTCCTATTTTCAAATAATTCCTTGAAACAGTGACAAAGCTGAAATTCGTTGAACAGCCAAACTACTCAAAGTTTTTTTCCCTTTTTGAAATCTTGATCTGCCTCTATAACTTATTCAGGACTATCACATTTGACGGAATTTTTAAGGTCATTACGGATGTAGCGACATAAAAATCGCCACTCATATGTTAGTTTACTTTAAGTGATTTTGTTCTCCTATGTTTGTAGAATTTTTTCATTTACATGGCTCTCTCATTTGTTACTTAATAAGTTGACCATGTTTCCAACAGGTTTGCCAAAAATGGGGAAGATTACTAGTAAATCTTGAAGAAGATGAGCAGCTTACAAAGAAACAGATCAAATGTCTGATTGATGGCAGAGTATGATTGTATACCTATAACAAGAATACAAATAAAATGCATAAAATACCAATTGAGTCCACATCCCAGATGCATACAAATAAGTTAAAGCAGTTGACTTCGACAACCTTTTCTCCATCTATCTAATGGAAGTGAGACGAGTGGAGCCCGAGGAATTATCCAGATCTCAAAGGGATAGGAAGTGGGAATTAAATAGAGAGTAACACCATATTTATCTGAATGCATAGAGAACCCAGAATTTTGCATGCGTATTTATCTTAATGCGAGGAATGCGGACATTACATATATTTAAATTCGTTTCCAGACAACGTGGAAGTTGATGAACTGAATTAGATTTAGAACACTCACAATTAGACCTTGGACCTCGACATGATTAAAACTCGTCCTCCGAAGAAAGGGAAGTAGAATTAGGGCATGATAATTTGAGTGCAACATCTCAGACTCTGAGCTCCACAAGTTCGACGTTATTTGAACGCAAGGGAATACTGCCATTCTATGTGAAGTTATTCGAATATGGTGGATCAGCTGACCCACCTGGATGTATTTGATGCTACCCAGAGCGGCGAGCTGCACGAACCACTCCATGTATGCAAGCAGAATCTCAGTGGCCTCGATGGAGGAGAGCTCCGACAGGTGAACATCACTGTACGGCGTCTCGATGACCAGCACATCATGGAAACCGTAACCTTGTATAAACCTCTTCTTCCCTCCACCTCTCCCCTCGTCATCGGAACATCACCGGAAGGCAGTTTCCACTCAGAGGCACCGGCTGGGAATCGGAATATCAATGGAGCGCAGTCGTGTTCCCGGCCGATACAGAATGGGCAGGAAGGCGGAGGACGAGCGGCAGACACCCCCTTGGACTCGTTTTCCTAGGGTTGGGACTCGCCGTGGTGGTGGCGGGGGCCGATGACTAGAAATCAGAGGGCCGCCGTGCCCGCGCAGGCGAGAACATAACTCACCGCCCAAATACGGCATCCTTGTGCAGCTCGCACTTCCTTCCACCGCCAGCGCCCCTCGGCGGCTTCCTGGTACCGCTCCTTCCTCTTTCTCCCCCGCCTCCCCCCCCTCCCCCGTTTCTATGTTTTTGGTCCGTAGGGGGGGGGGGGGGGATATGAAGGCATTTCCGTACTGATTAGCGGGTTCGGGTGGTATCTACATCCGAAATGCCTCATTTTACGGGCGAAATTAGCAATGGGATGGTCAAAGTGTCCGACAGTAAACAAATCACAACTAAAACTCGGTCAACTCCAACACGCGTCAACGCTTAACAAAGATTTGATCACGCTACCCACTTGGTTGCGATTCCAGGCAAAAACCCATTAATTTGTCACGTTGACTAAAGTAAAATTAAGCTAAATGACGACCCCATGTTATGGCCCATTTTTTCTGCCATTGAGGTGGCTCATACCGAAGTCAACTCTGTGGAGCATGGTGGGCCCAGCAAGCCCCCTTCTAACTCAAATTTAATGATCAATGGTCCTCCAAATTGAGCCCAAAAAGGGAATAGGCTGGTCCCCATTGCCTACACCTAAGCATTAAATATAAAATAAATTTTATGTACTTATTTATAAATATATATATTGGACTTTAGCTTGATTTATTGGGTTGGGATTTTTTTTTTCTTTTTCTTCATTTCGAGGCCAAGGTTGAAATAAATCAGTCTGCCAATTAGTTCATATAATGATTGGTTATATTGCGTGGTCAATGATTAATTATTTTTCACATAAAAATGATAGCTTAGAGAATATAAATTCCATTTAAATAATCAGTAATGGTACTGCTATTATTGAATTTATTATGTACTTACGTTCAATAAATTTTAGATAAAGGACGGGGAATTAGGGAGCCAATCGCAAACGTGGAGAAATTCAAAAAAGACCCCTGGAAAGTTGAGAACTGGAGGATGGGACGGCAGATAATTTCCTATGAGTTCCATTCGGAGTATATAAGCTAAATGGATAAAGTCCCCGGTTAGATATATAAATATAAATTGGGGACTATACGGGAGACTTGTCAAAGTAAAGTTTATACACAAATAAACTTCTAGGAGCGTGAAATGTGTAGTTTAGAAAATATCGGGGAAGGAAAAGAAGGCGATTTGGGCCAGTGAATAATTTATGAAAGATCCCTGAGAGAATAGGTAATTGGAAAGCAGTAACTGTTGGCAGGACATAGAAGACGAGCGGCTGATGAAGGAGGCCGTCATTCGTCTCTCTCTCCTTCTCTCTCTGTGCATGCGTCGTCGCTCTACGAAGCACGGAGGATTTCGGACAGGCGGCCGCCTTCTTCTCCGCTCTCCATCGAGTTCTTCTGGGTCCATTTCTCCGGCGAGAATCCGGAGGAGGAGTGGGTGGCCGCATCGGGGGATGTCCCTCTTCTAGCTGCCCGGCATTTGGTGGAGGAGGAGGACGCCGCCGCCGCCGCAGAAGCCCAGGGGCATCCGGGACACTCCGAGGTCGCGGTCGGCGCGGCCTCTTGGAGAGTGCCGATCGGGGGATCCCCGTCGCTGTCTCCCCTGAATCGCTGCTCTGGGAAGTTCCATCTCTCCCATCCTCGATCGTCCCGCCGGTGAGGGGGTATGTTCTTGTGGGGTCTTTCGATGGATTCTTGATTTTCTTTGACTCGGATGGTTCCCACCCGACGAGGATGCGGGATTCGGATGATCGGTTGCCTGCGATGGTGCGGATGATGCGAGATTGCTGAAGAAAGCCCCGGCTTTCTTTTTTCCTCTTTTTTTTTTTTTTTTCTTCCGATTGGTCTTGCCGCTTCCCTGGTGATTCGATTTGAAGTTGCGCGTGGGTAGGGGGATCTATCTGTTTCTGTAGATTTCTTTCAGATTGCTCCTTGCGAACGGATGAGCTTTGGTGTGGGGAGAATAGATTATTTCATCAAGTTTTATCGATTCACAGTGACGGATGATCGCGCTGAATCTGGGGGACTCCGTCGATTTTCAGATTCCAGGGCAATCGATCGTTTTCTGGAGAAGAACCCAGTGATTATTCCCGCAGGGAACTACACCATCTGTAGCCGCCCCTCCTTTCCCTCCCTTCTGGCGTTATTTTCCCCCGAGAAAAGGCGTCCTCTTTCGCGTTTTCCGCCGCAAAAAAGCAAATGTTTCTGCGCTATAAAACAGATCCCCCTCCAGAGATCTCTCGTTTCTTTCGATCCCTTCTCTTGCTGCCTCTCGCTTATGTCGCCGCCTCCTTCGTCAGACTGGCGGCCACTAACGAGCCTTCTCTCTTTGTGTGGAGTTGTTCTTGGAGCTTGGCATCTGCTGGGCGCTTAATCTGACTTTTTTCTTTTTTTTCTCTTGCGCAACCCTCAGAATTTCGCATTGAATCGCCGCGGGCTTATGGAAATCTAATGGGTACGTAACTTGTATGGGGATGCCAGAGCTGCGGAGTGGGCCCCGGCAAGGTCGGCTGAAGTCCCGAAAGCTTGATGATATCCCGACATCGTCTCAGCCATTTGAAGAACCGGCAGACTGTACTCCTGCTGAGAACAGGTCAGGGAGGCGTGGGGGGGCGGGGAGAGGGAGAGGGAATGGTGCAGTAGCCAGAGGTCGTTCCATAGCGCAGGGCAGGCCAGCGGCTGGTGGCAGAGGGAGAGGTGTGAGGGTGATTGATCTAGACCCCGAGCCCTGCAAGGTCCAGAATCAAACTCTTGTAGGCGGTGCTCAGGATCCAGCTCTGAACCAGGCGGCGGGTTGTCCTGTTGACAAACCAGCAGGAATGGAAGGGGGGAGTGTCGAAAAAGTTGTGGGGGCAGAAGAGGAAGCGACGACGTCTCCCATCCCTGATCGGGTATGGTTCGACACTCTTCATTCCCTCCCTGGTTTATCTTTTTGTGATTAAGGTTCTGTTTTTCGTCAAACCCAGGGGCATTAGACTTTTGGTTGCCATATTTTGCAGGATATGATGTGTTTGTCTCCTTCAACTCAGAGGAAGACTAATGGCTATTATCATCATCATTCTTGTTATTATTATGATTATTGTTATTCATCTTATTTTTCTCTCCCTGTTCATGTATCTCAATCGCATGCAGTGCCAAATGGAATATTTTAGCCGAGTAGTATCTCATTTTTGGTGGTTTGTATTCATTAATGGGTAACTGTGTGCACTTTCGGATTCTCTTGACTCTGCAGATGGGATGAATTGTATGTGGTCGCTTTTGTTCTATGCCTTATAGCTATATTTAATATATTTCCCTGATGGCGACAAGACTCTCTCTTTTTCCGCCAAGGGAAAAGGGAAGGGGAACGAGCCTATGACTAGACTCAACCAGCTGCCCCCTAGTTTTTCTAGCTGTTCCCCTTCTGGAGGAAGATCATGAAATCCACAGAATTTGGTTGTGAGTCGTGAAGAATGCAGATAATCCTCTATGGAAATTTAGCGCACTGAAACCAAGTAGTGTGGTTCTCATGTTCCTGCCTCGTTGCAAAATAGCAGAGTAATCTAAAGTTGGATAAGTTCTCACTTTCATCAGGTACTTGTTCTGGAACGTATTCCTCCATGTTTTGTGCTGACAGGTCTAAATGGGTTCATATGTTTAATCACGTACGACCAATATCCATCGTCATCATTATTATTATGTCATGTTCTTCATCTTGGAGTTCTCTTGGGGTCGTCGTTTAACTTAATTTGCATAATGGATCTCACTCATGATGGAAAGCTCAGCATGATTGATTTCTGGTTAATCTTTTTTCGACATGTTCTAATGGTAATCCTTGCACGAATATTGGGAACACTTTCTTCTTTCCCTGTATCAGAGCAAATCATATCCTGATGAAAAAGCTCTGTTTAAAAATTTAAAGGTGCAAGTGGGAAATTCTCCAGTCTACAAGGTAGAGAGGAAGCTGGGAAAGGGAGGTTTTGGGCAGGTGTATGTTGGACGAAGGGTGACTGGTGGATCTGAGCGCACAGGGCCCGATGCCTTTGAGGTTTAATTTTGAATCTCCATCACTTGTGCTCTAAAGGTATCTGTGAAGATTGGTGCTCATCGTGTATCCTTCATTTTCCTGTGGTGGATGCAGGTGGCATTGAAGTTCGAGCATAGAAATAGCAAGGGTTGCAATTTTGGGCCCCCATATGAATGGCAGGTCTACAAGTAAGAAGCCACCGCCCCCTGCTGCTGTAATTTGTCTTACGTCTTCTTGATCTAAAACTGTGTTCTTCATCTGACTTGATGAATATGTTTATAGCCACCTCAATGGATGCTATGGACTGCCGTGGGTTCACTACAAGGGCCGTCAGGGAGATTATTTTATTTTGGTGGGGATGGACTCTACCATTTATTGGTCTCATAAATTTATAATCTTTATTGAATTTTACTTACAATATAGTTTATGATGATTGTCTCAGGTCATGGACATCCTTGGACCAAGTCTTTGGGATGTGTGGAATTCCATTGGTCAAGCGTAAGAAACTATTCTTGACTTCATATTCAAAATATTTTGTGAAAAATTGTGCCAGTGGTTTGATTCGCTCCTTGAACAGAATGTCACCAACTATGGTGGCTTGTATTGCTGTGGAGGCAATATCGATTCTTGAGAAGCTACACCAGAAAGGGTATGGCTGTGTGGTGGTGGTGGTCTCTTAGTTATGATTCTCAAAAGTTACTGTAATTAATTAATAAATTTGTTCATTGTGCATCCCCCCCCAAAAAAATATATTTTCAGGTTCGTACATGGAGACGTCAAGCCAGAGAATTTCCTGTTGGGTCAACCCGGAAGCCCAGATGAGAAGAAGCTTTTCCTTATTGATCTCGGACTGGGTATGTTGCTGTTGCTTCAATCGTTTCTTATGTTGACCTTTTTTCCCCACTGTTTACTCGTAGAGTAGGGGCACTTCTAAAGTGTCTAAACGAATTCTTCTCGATTGAGACGCTTCTACAGCAACATTTGCACAATTTCTGTTCGCTTTTCAAGGCCTTTCGGTGTGATTTTCTGTTGGGTATCACAATCTCATGTGTGGTGCTAACATATGCTAATTTATCAGCTTCAAAGTGGAGGGACACTTCGTCAGGTCAGCACGTCGATTATGACCAAAGGCCAGACATTTTTAGGTTTGTGGAAAAACATTTCATTTTTTCCCCAGTTTTTTTGCTTAGAAGAGGATTAATTTCTCAGCCCACTTTAATATCTCCTTTTCGTCAGGGGCACAATACGATATGCAAGTGTCCATGCGCATTTAGGCCGCACAGGGAGCAGAAGAGACGATCTTGAGTCATTGGCCTACACTCTGATTTTTCTCATGAGAGGGAGGCTGCCGTGGCAAGGCTATCAGGTTGCTTTCCCCCCCTCTGTTAGTACCTGATTTCTCACCCCTTTGATTGATCTCTTGCTCATTATTATGCCCACTGTGCAGGGGGACAACAAGAGCTTCCTGGTTTGTAAGAAAAAGATGGCTACTTCTCCGGAAATGCTATGTTGTTTCTGTCCTCCTCCTTTTAAGGAATTCCTTGAGACAGTGACAAACATGAAGTTCGATGAGGAGCCGAACTACTCAAAGCTTATTTCCCTTTTTGATAGCTTGATCGACACCTGCACTTCACTAAGGCCTATCAGAATTGATGGGGCGTTGAAGGTCGTCATTGACATGGCATCATCAAAATCGTCACTTACATTTTATATATTATTTTTATTTGGTTTTGTTTTACTTTGCTTGGAGCATGTCATCTGTTGTTCATGGCTCTGTTATCTGTTGCTTAATAAGACGATCATGTTTCCAACAGGTTGGCCAGAAACGGGGAAGATTACTGGTGAATCTTGAAGAAGATGAGCAACCTAGAAAGAAAGTCAGGATGGGAAGCCCAGCGACCCAGTGGATTTCAGTATACAATGCACGGCGTCCAATGAAACAGAGGTAAGTGAATCACTTTTGACCACACCACTGTGTTTTCCTTCATTGTATTTGTGGTGGAACCTAACTACTGATCATGAAACTCGCCTATTTGGATAAAAGGAACACAATTTGCAGGGAGTGTGTTACGTATTAGTCTTACCATTACTGTTTTTCTTTTATCCTAATATTATTCACGGTTGTAGGGGTGGGAAGACCATTTAGTTATCGTGGTCTATGTAGATTATCCTAAAGTCGATTAGGCTGCACGATTTGATGGCTAGATAAGTTGAGTGAAACGGATTTTAAGGTTTCGCCTTTTTATGGGTGTGCTGTTTATTTTCATATAATCATAATGTCTTTTGGAGTGTTGTAATGGGAATTTGCCAGCTTCTTTAAATATCATGGGCAAGAATGCTTCCACTCGTGTTGAATGCATGCTCTTAAAGGAGGCATCTTCTTTTCAGACATGGCACAATTTTTTCGGCTTAGTTTCATGTTTATGTCACTGATCAGGCGTCATTTATTCTGATTATCTTCCTCTTGCTCGTTTTATTTTCAGCAGCATATATGGTCGAACATTTGGGAGTGCTTCAATACGTGTTCAGACCTGCTTTTTATATCTGAATTACGGATTTTGTTTTCTATTTGGTTTGCCAGATACCATTATAATGTAATAGACGCAAGGCTTCACCAGCACATTGAAAAGGCTGTTGAAGATGGTTTGTATCTCAGTTGCGTGGCCTCTGCCTCAAATCTCTGGGCTCTTATCATGGATGCTGGAACTGGTTTCTCCGACCAAGTTTATGACTTGTCTTCTGCGTTCCTACACAAGGTGTGCTCATGCTGGCAGGAATCTCTTGCCCAGATTTTGCCTGATTATTTTCTTTCACGATCTCATGTTACCCTTGCATGCCCCTGATCGCCACTTTGGTGACTGTAAATGGTTTTAAAAAATAATCTGTCACAGGAGTGGATTATGGAGCAGTGGGAAAAGAACTACTACATTAGCTCGATTGCTGGTGCAAACAACGGCAGCGCCTTGGTCGTGATGTCTAAAGGTGCTCTTACAATAATAGCTCTCTCTACCTGACAACGCTTCTCTCTCCTTTGAACTCCAAAGGTTTTCCAGTTGATTATCACTTTTGTTACTTCACATCATTACCGCTCCGAAATCTGCATGCTAAGATAATTGATTTTTTCTCGGAGGCAAGTACGCACATAAATCATGCCTTTCGTATTTTTCTTGTTCTTATGTTCGTAATTGTCATGGTGGAAGGTTGGAGATCATGAAAAAGGAATCAAACATAACACTTTTTGCGATTTATGCATTTTCTTCTTTTGGGGTGAGAAGAATGAAATATCATGCCTTTTTATGATTGAAAGTTGGATATTATGAGAAAGGATGTATGAAAAGTTGGATATTATGCGTGCTTTCTGGAATGCAGTCGGCCTAAAATATTATGCTCTTATGTTTCTTTATTTATGCCTTTTTTTATTTTTATGATTGAAAATTAGAGGCTACAACGAAGAAATGCAGACGCGAGCCAATTTCTTTTGTCTTTTTTTTTTCCGTTGTGTAGAACGGTCTAATTCGCTTTGATGGTTTTGAGCTTGAAACTGTCTCTTGCTAAAAATGAGGACAAGATACAGGGAAAAAAAAGAAGAAGGAATAGAGTGGTGTTGAAGGGGGTAAGCGTCGAAATTTTATTTATTTATTTATTTTAAAAAATCAATTTAACGATCTCCAGCTGCTGTTTTCCGTAGTTTGCTGCAGATTTTTTTTAAAAAAAAATAATCATCTGTGCGGGTCGTTTTCTGTGCATCGTTTAAGGGTCTCAAAATGGCAGAAAACTCTTCAGGTGCCATGCTGCTGATCGTCCGGGGGGTGGTGGTGGGTGATCTTCATATGTGGCCTCGCAAAATTCATCAGTGACTAATTTTTTTGTTTTGGCCTGAAAAATCTGCATGCATGGCCGCCGTGCTGCGCTCTCCACTGATCTTCATATTCTTCTCCTCTGGAAATGGTGTTGACCCCGTGTTTCTTCTCTTGTAGGGACTCCGTACACCCAGCAGTCATACAAAGTGAGCGAATCCTTCCCATTCAAGTGGATAAACAAGAAGTGGAAGGAGGGCTTCCATGTGACCTCCATGACCACCGCCGGGAACCGCTGGGGAGTCGTCATGTCCAGGAACGCCGGCTATTCCGACCAGGTAGGCAGATCATCGCCACCTTTTCTCCCTTCCCCAAGTGGAAATATCTCCGCCTGTCGGCCTGAGATCATCTTCGGAAGTCAACCAGAGAGAGACCTGTGATTGTAATAATAGTATGGATATAGTTGACTTTTGGGGGGGAAGGAGAGATGATGATGATGATGGGGATGCTCATGGTGTGTGTGGTCAGGTGGTGGAGCTGGATTTTCTGTACCCGAGCGAAGGGATCCACCGGCGGTGGGAGAGCGGGTACCGGATCACGTCAAGCGCCGCCACCCAGGACCAGGCGGCATTCATACTGAGCATCCCGAAGAGGAAGCTGATGGATGAGACCCAGGAGACCCTGCGCACCTCTGCCTTCCCCAGCAACCATGTCAAGGTATGTTGGTGCATTCCCAGTGGTCGAATAACACACACACACACAAACACACACACACACATATATCTACATATGTATTTCTTATTTTTTTCGCTAAAATATTTTTACTTGGCATAGTTTGCTTTTAATCTGATCATTGAGGAATAGAAGGCACACTGTGTTAGTACTTTCCGTGCTCGTAGAATCAACAAAAAAATGATTTTTTTATATAAAATATCACCTAATTTTCATTCTATAATATTTGGCGGAGTCAAGAAAATGAGGAGAAAGAGGAGAAGAGATTGTGGTTTTTTTTCTCTCTTGTATTTCTTTTTGTAACGTTTTTAAGTAAAGAAGAGGTTCTCTCTCTCTCTCTCTCTAAAATACATTCCAATAATCATTAATATCGGGGTCTTTGCAGGAGAAATGGGCGAAGAATCTCTACATAGCGTCGATCTGCTACGGCCGGACGGTGTGTTGAGCTGCCCGGCTCTGTGAATACTCGGCAAGGAGTCTTGATGGTGGTCAGAGGACGCCCTCCCCCATTGATGGCCTTCGAAAGAGTGAAAGAGTGAGAGAGGTAAGAGAGTTAAAGAAGTGATCATCACCCTACATCTCTTCATCTGTGTAAATTCGGCCGGAAATTCTTCTTCCAGCCCTCTTCAGATGAATAGAAGATGGGCAATTAATCATACGGGCCTCCGTCCCTCCTCTCTCTCCTCCTCTCCTCTCTTTCTTCCTCTCTCTTTCTCTCCCTCTCTCTGGTTCAACCTCTGTTAATTTATTTTGGGAAAAATCTTGAGGGAAATATACGTATAACGCTCTCTCTCTCTCTCTCTCTCTCCCCCTCCCCTCTCTCTGTCTCCCTCTCCCCCTCCCCTCTCTGTCTTCCTCTCTCTCTCCCTCTCTCCCTCTCTCTCTCTCTCTTGTCTACAGCTTTGTATGGGCGGAGGCCGTCGGATTCCTCAACAAAAATAAAAATGACCTCTTGCTGCTGCTAATTGCTCTCCCTTATCCTCCCACACCTCCCCATTTCATGAATGAGGCTGCCAGAGAGAGAGAGATGATGGGTTAGAGAGAGAGAGAGAGAACTAAAATTTGAAGCCCAAGCGCAGTGAAATCTGGGTCTTCCCCCGTTGAAGCCCCGACCTTTTGTTAAAGTGGGGGGGTGATGCCACAAATCCATGGACTACAAAAAATAAAATTAGAAGAATATAAAATGAGCCCACGATATATACTTCTTTTATCGTTCCATAAAAATAATAAATAAATATGTTTTTGCGCGTGAGAAAATGCAAATAAAATTCCATCCCCAAAATGCGAGAATTCTCATAAAAATCCCAAAATTAAATTCATGAAAAACTCTGAAAATCTTTGGGTATTTTACAATTCAATTAAATAAAATCCCCCCCCCCCCCCTCCCAAAAAAAAATCAATTACAATTATACCACAGGAACAGAAGAAAGAAAAATCGTGGGCGCTTTACACTCCTAATTACAGCCCGGTTTTATTAATCCCTGAGAATATCCAGGCGACTGACTGGACCGACTTTCTACCAGCGATCGCCGCAGGAGCAGCTCCCGCCACGGAAATGGTGGAAGCCGGTGGGATCCCTGAGGAGGACCTCCCGGCCGGTCGCCGCCGAGAAGGTCTTCAGAAAGGAGTGGCAGTCGCCGCAGAGGCGCACGTTCTTCACCACCCGCAGCGCCCTCCCCGGCGGCGCCGCCAGGTGCCCGAACGCCGCCGCTAGCTTCGCGCTGTGGTAGAACAGGAAGTCCCTCTTCTGGAACTCCTCCGCCTCCTGCAACACGAAGCTCGTGTCCGGCTCGTACCCTTCCTTCATGCACTCCGCGATCAGCAGCTCCAGCCCTGCGTAGATGTCCTTCGTCCTCGGATGGGACCTGTCGCGGGCGTAGAACCAGTGGACGGCGGCGCCGCTGCCCTCGCCGCCGCCGTCGTCGACGAGCCAGCTCCTCGCGGGCCGCTTGCGCAGACCCTTCTCCCTCATCTCCTTCCTTACCTCCTCTGCGCAGCGCCATCGCCCCGAGGCGGCGTAGAGGTTGGAAACGAGGATGTACGCCGCCGGGTCTTCCCGCCCTGACCGGAGCATCTCCAGCGCTGCCTCCCGCCGTGGACGGTGGTCGCAGTGGCGGAGCAGGGCCCGCCATACGCGGCTGTCCGGCGGCATGGGCATGCTTCTGATCACCTCCTCCGCCTCCTCGAGGTGGCCCCAGAAGCTCATGGCGTCCACCGCCGCCGCGTAGTGCTCAGGCGAGGGGGTCGCCTCGATGGAACACAGCAGGCGCCGGCACTCGTCGGCGGAGTCCGCTCCGGTGAATTTGCAGGCGGAGAGGACCGAGCTGAAGGTGGCGGCATCAGGAGCCACCCCCGCCGCCTCCATCGACCTCCACACGGCGATGGCTTCGTCCCCGCGGCGGCGCAGCAGGTGGGCCTTGATCAGCGCGTTCCAAGAGGCGACGTCCTTCTCCGGCAGGCGGCGGAAGAACTCCACGGCGGCTTCCAGGTCGCCACACTTGGCGTACATGGAGAGCACGGCGTTGCAGAGCTGCCGGTCAGTGAAGCCGGCGGACTTGCAGAGGAACCCATGGAGCTGCCGCCCCATGGCGGCGGCGCCCAGCTGCCCGCACAACCTCAGGGCGGCGGTCAGCGTGACCCTGTCCATCGCCGGGAGGCCCCTCTCCCTCTGCATGAGGTTGAAGAGACCCAGAGCTTCGTCGAGCCGCCCCTCCCCGGCGTACCCGCAGATGATCGCCGTCCAGGCGATGTCCCTGCTCTCCTGCTCCTCATCGTCGTCCTCCTCCCACCGTCGGAAGATCTTCTCCGCTGCCTCCAACCGGCCGCACTTGGCGTACATGTCCAGCAGGGCGGCCCCGATCCAGTTGTGATCGTCGGAGCTGGTGCAGCCGGCCTTGGTGGAGAAGCCGTGGATCTGCTCGCCGGCGGCGGGTTCCCGGAGCATGGCGCAGGCGGCGACGGCGCCGCTGAGGGTGAAGGCGGAGACCTCGAGCCCTCCCTCCACCATCTCCCTGAACAGGTTCAAGGCCCGGCGGCCATGGCCGTTCTGGCGGAACCCGGCGAGGAGGGTGTTGAAGGAGACGCCGTTCCTCTCCGGGCTCCGGCGGAACGCCTCCGCCGCCCTCTCCACCGAGTCGAAAGCCATGAATCCCCTCACGAGCCCGTTCCAGGAGATCACGTCCCTCTCCGGCATCCTCCGGAACACGCCGGCGACGTCCTCCTCGGAGCCGAATCTGGTGTAGAAGGCCATGAGGGAGTTCCCCACGCTCAGCTCCAGCTCCAGCCCCATCTTCACCGCGTGGGCGTGGACCCCCTCGCCGGCGCGGGCGACGGCGAAGCCTTCCACGGCGGCGGCGGCGGCTGCGGCGGTGAGGACCCCTGAGACGGTGAAGGAGTCCCCCCGGAGCCCTCCCCTCCTCATCTCCCGGAACAGCTGCAGCGCCTTGCGGTGCCTCCCCTGCTTCACCATGCCGGAGATGACGGTGCTCCATGACACCGCGTCCCTCTCCGCCATCCCTGTGAACACGCCCACCGCCTCCTCCACGCGCCCGACCGCGACGTAGGCCGCCATGAGAGCGTTCCCGACGTGAAGGTCGGAGCCCTCGCCGGAGCAGTGCAGCTTGACGGCGGCGGCGTGCAGCTGAGAGCCCAGCAGGGGATCGGGCCGGCGGATGCAGGAGGTCAAGATGGCGACCAGGCTGTAGGCGTTCGGGCGGATTCCGACGAGCTGCATCTGCAGGAAGAGCTCCAGCGCTTCACCTGCTTGCCCGGACTTGGCGTAGGCGGATATCAGGCAGGTGTAGGAGACGACGTCCCTGTGACGCATTTCCCCGAACAGCTGCCGGGCATCCCCTGTCTCTCCCAGCTTCACATAAGCGGACATGAGAGAATTCATCAGTAGCAGGCTCTCGCCATCTTCTTCTTCTTCTTCTTTTTCTTCTTCTTCTCCTCCTCCTCCTCCTCCTCGTTGGGGTTTGTGGGGGTTCTTCTTCGCCACGGCGGCGTGCACGGCCCGCGCGAGCTCCAGGTCGCCGTGCCGGACGGCGAGGCGAAGATGGCCGTGCCACCTGAAACAAAGCGGAGCATCCTCCTCCTTCTCCCCCTCCCCTTCCCCCTCAGTCAGGAGCTCGGAAAGCTCTCTGGTGGCGTTCCTCTTCCGGAGAGAGATGGAGCGCCGCAGTCTTAGCGACGACGGGGCGTCGGCGGCGACGGAGAGAGAAAGATGTGAGTTGCTTGGCGATCTGGGCACCACCGTTGACTTGAGATTCCTCCGACGGGGTAAGCAGGCGGCGGAGGAGAGGGCGGCCGCGGCGGCCATTCGTCACACCGCGGCGGCGGATGAAGCGAACCCGATAAAATAAATATTAGACTTTACTATTCATGTAATATTTATCAGACCAACCGTATTTTTTTTATTTTTTTTAAGAATGTTCCAGATGCCCAAAAAAAATAGAAACCCACCCTGCTTCTAGAGGAAGGTCTCGGCTTGCATGTCCATGGGAGAATCAAGGGGTTCTTCCTCATCGAGCCCGGCGGAGGAACCGCGGCGGGGAGGAGGACGAGCTCCTCTCTGCGACGCCGCCTGTGCGGCGGCTCCGGCGGGGCTTGACCCTAGCGTCAGGGCCTGCTTCGCTCCGGGCGGCGGCGGCAGTGGATGAGGAGCCTGCGGACCTCCAGGGGCGTGGCCGAGCTCGTTCTGGTCACAGAACAGAGGCAGGTCAACGCAAAACGACCGGATATTCTTAGAACCCGCGGAAGAAAAATCCCGTAGGGGTTTCCCGTTCCTAGCGTTGACTTCGTGTCAACTTCTGTCCCGGGGTTGACTTGACTCAAGGGCTTGGCCTTGATCATTAATTTTCTCAAAATAATTAAGGCCCACATGATTCCACAAAACTGCGATTAGATGCAAGGAGGAAGGGATGGGATGAAAACCTGAAGATAACTGAGGATATCCGCCGGCGTTATCCTTTGACCTTCAGCTTGTATAGCTAAGATCCAACTCTGCAGCTTCTCCTGGACGATTTTTTAGGGATTTTTTTTAAAAATCTACATTAAGCAAACACAGAAGAATGACAGCGCACAAATATAGCAAAATAGATGCTCTAGAGGTAGACAAAAAAAGAAATATACATATATATAGATACATAAATAGGAATGGTAACATCATCACTGGTGGAAAGGAGCAACAACAGCTGAAGGAGAAAAATGCAGGGGCTCGTCGATCATTCAAGGTTTTGCGCAAGAACTGATAGAAAACAATCCCAAGAAAAAAATAAAAACCATAAGCTCTTCTCTTTTCAGGTGGCAGATATTTTCAAAAATATGAATATTAAAACCAGAGCGGTATACAAAATGAAGCGAAAACGAAGAATCAGATGTGAATCGGATTGCTCATCCAGTTCTCATAAAAACATGGCGAGATCGAATTAACAATAAAAGAAATGCCATTCCGAAATATTTAATTTTATTTTCTTTAAAGTAATAGAAGGTTAATTTTATTTTGTATCAATTTGAAATTTTCATTACTAGAAAAGAAGAGAGGCTCTGAGAATTATTGTCAGTCGATCACAGTCATAAGAAGTTGATCTTCATCGGTTCGCAGGACAGCAAATCTTCATTAGAAGATAAATGCGAAATCAATAAATCTTTGCTCCAGCAGGGACCTGTAATATATTCTTCCTATTTTGAATAGGGCACTTTTTTCATCCCCAAATGTTTCGATCCCAGTCCGAATTTGAGAATAGTCTCGCAATGTGCTTGATTTTGATTCATTTCATTACCATAATGGAGAAAGAACAGGAAGGAAATCGTGCAACTCGGCCGCAGGTTAAGCCAGATATGGGAGGACGGGAGGCGAAAAAAGATCATCAGACGAGTGAAGAAGGCAGAAAAGTCGAAGAAATAATCTCTTCAAGATCAGCGAAGATCACCCGATAGATTTCTTGGAGGTGAGAAGCAAGAAACAGTGAGGATATCGAGGATGATTGAAGCAAGCACATCAACCACGAAGAAGATGGAAGCACTGAGGTTTTCATCCTCGTTGTCAGATCTGCAGGCCGCCATCGATAAGTTTTCGTCTCTAGAAACCCCGAGCAATCGATGAATCTCAGCAGAAATGAGAGAAAAATAAATAAATAAATAAAATCCGCCGATCCATCTCTGCTCCGGCTGAAGGATTCTCACCATGCTGTGTTGTTCTCCGGCGCGGAAGGTCATCTTCTGGTGAGCTTCGACGGAGGCATACAGCTGGGAGATGGAGTTGGCCGCGGCTGTGAAGTTTTGGAAGACCGTCCTCTCGAGCTCCTCCAATGCTGCCTCCTCTTGTTTACTCCTCTTCGCCATTCTCTCTCTCTCTCCCTCACTCACTCCCTCACTCTCAGAGAACTCTTCCTTCCCAAAACCCCGATCTCTGTACACGCTTCTCACCCTCTCCTCTCCCCTCTCCCTTTTTCTTGAGTGAGTGAGAGAGAGAGAGAGAGAGAGAGAGAGAGAGAGAGAGAGAGAGAGAGAGAGAGAGAGAGAGAGAGAGAACAGGAGGGTAAAGCAGAATCACTGCTGAATCTGGTGTTCTTCCTGGTTCGGAGATGCATACGGAAGCCCCCACATCCTCTGAGATCGTCTCTCCGCGCCCAGAAACCAGATGAATCTGGAGATCAGCTACCGCCGGGAATGGCCGCGCTGAGAATTTAAGGGTTTCCTCTCAGATTCTCGAAGATTCCGAACGGAGAACCGGAATCCTCGCCAAACCTCTCGCCCCCCACCGGGATTTTCGTTGACTTCGGCAGCCGAATCAACCCCGGGAACAGAAATCAGCCCTGGCCAGTCAACGTCTACGCCACAAGCAGCTTAGGAAATGAATTGAAAGCAAGCTTCTTGCGGCGAACAGGGCGATCGATCGTTGACCTACGGCTTACATTTAATTATAATGGATGAATTCACAAATTAAATATTATCATAATTGGATGAAGAAAATATTACTATTATAATAATATTACATAAATATTTAATTATTAATTTATGACGTCATAGTACCGACCGTCAACTGTCTATCATCAGACTTAATGTTCACCGCATGGAGATCTAACGGCTGATATTCGTCGTGAACGATGAATCGCAAAAGCCCAAGTGAAAGCGTCTCCCACGTGGCAAGTGGGGCCCAGGTCGACGTAGAAATAACACGCAATATTCTGCGTAAAAGGATATCCTCAAGTTTAAAGGCGGGTGAATCGGGTATCCGTTATTATTATCGGCAAGTGAGTCACGGAAGGAGAGAGATAAACCCTAAACCCTCGAAGACAGGTTTCCTCCTCCAGAGCTCCCTGAGAGACCGCCCGGCAACAGGGACAGCAGAAGGAGAGGGAGAGGGAGAGGAAGATTAAGGCGAGATGCGGCCTCCGAGGGGTGGTGGCAGTTTCAGGGGGAGGGACGGCAGCCGAGGCGGCAGAGGGGGCGGGCGCTTCGGCGGACGATTCGGAGGCCGAGGAGGCGGCGGCGGCGGCGGTTTCTTCCGCGACGAGGGCCCTCCGGCGGAGGTCGTAGGTCAGGGCTCCCTGCTCGACTTGTTACACTCTTTCTCAGTCGATTTTCGTGCTCCATTTTACATGTTTGTCGTTTTTTTTTTGATCGACGGGACTGATTTTTGTTTTGGGAGGGCAGAGATATCGTCGTTCCTTCATGCCTGTGAAGGGGACGCCGTCACGAAGCTCACGAATGAGAAGATACCCTACTTCAACGCTCCTATCTACCTTGAGAACAAGACTCAGATCGGGAAAGTCGATGAGATATTCGGTCCCATCAATGAATCTGTGAGAACGATTTGCCACCCTTGATGATGCGCCTCCAGTTTGGAGGCGCCGCGCCGCGCCCTATTTTTCTCTGTCAACTTAGTGTTTGTGATTTTTGAACTGGGTTGCAGTACTTTTCCGTCAAGATGATGGAGGGCATCGTCGCCACCTCGTACGCGGAGGGCGATAAGTTCTACATCGACCCGGCTAAGCTGCTGCCCCTCTCGAGATTTCTTCCTCAACCAAAGTAAGGCCATTCTTATTCTTTCTCTCTGACTGTCTAGAAGTCGTGTTTTATCGACGACACCTTAAGATTTCTTGACTAGAGTGTTTTCTTCAGCTGAACGAACGAGAATCATTTCTCAATTCTAGTCTCCAAATTGTGCTGGATATCTTGCTGATTGTGGGTTGTCCGCTCGTTAGTGTGTCATCCCCATACCAGTTCTTTGCATGCCATTCTGGGAATCATAAGCTTAATAAAAAAAATAAAAAATCGGGTTCAAGGTTTCTCATGAGTTTCGATGTCTTATCCATTTTCGTTCAAGCATTATGGTTTAATCCCTTCACGAGTATTAGTTAAAGTTATTTTAAGTTATCTCTCAATTACATAATAACTTTCACAGCTTTGAAGTTCAAACAATTAGTCGGTACCCTGTGCATGACGTATTTGTCAAAAGATGACGAATACATGTGTGGTTTGGATACAACTGGGCAATGTTCTTCACTTTTAATCGCAGCCCAGAAGCTGGTGATTGAGACGACAATAGAAACTTTCATTTGGGTCCATGACTGATAAGCAGGTGACTCTTGCCTGGGCTGACGAAGCTGACGAATTATTATTTTGCTCATGTGCGCTGGGCAAATTGTTCTATTCTGGCTTATATTTTCCTACTGATTGTTTTTCTTCTTGATTCTATTTCTTAAATTAGATCATCAACCTTTGGTACTTATTGCATGTTTAACTCGCATCATTAGTGACCGATTAATAACAGCAAGAACTTATCACCTCCATAAGGCAAACGTGTCATGTAAAGGGAGGATTGGCATCAATCTGGCAGATCTGGCTGCATACATTTTAGCTGGTGAAATCTTATTTATGCTCATGTGCGCTGGGCTGAGTGAAGTCATTTCATAAACATAACATTGCCATCATAGTGAATATTTCGTTTTGGGCGTGCAATTATTTTATGCCGTCGTTTTGGTTTTTCTATTTATATGTGATTTAAATTTACAAGGATTGATTATGCTTCACGCTTTTCTCCAGGGGCCAGGCACAATCTGGTACCAGAGGTGGTGGGCGTGGAGGTAGAGGTGGTGGTCGGGGAGGAGCGCGTGGTGGTGGCGGCTTCCGTGGGAGAGGAGGGCCTAGAGGTGGAAGAGGGGGGCCTCCGAGAGGCGGTGGTCGTGGTTTTGGTGGGCGTGGTGGCGGTGGTTTTAGGGGACGAGGAAGATCATAAACAACATAATGTAACCTTGTTTATGGTTTCCTTGATGTTGAGTTCAAAGGGCATTTGCTTTCTGCTGACGCCGGGTATCCTCCTATCTTAGCCTCTTGATTTAGTAGAAGAAACCATTTGAAGGGAACTTTCATCTGACTGAAACCTTTATATGGTATTACGACTCCACACACTCTCTCTTCTCTTTCTCTGTTTTCGGTTGAAACCTGAATGTTCTGGGCTGTGATTCTTCTATCCTACGTTAGATCTCTGTTTCCATCTTTCTGTGAAATCCTACCGAAGGTGTTAAGTTTTAATCTAATCCACTGGTTTAATCTGGGGGCCCTTTTTTGATCAATATCCGTTAATCATGATTGTTCAACAGGTTTTTTCTGCATCCATGGCCGACTTTTGCAGGGTGTTGTCCCCATCACAAACACTTCATATCCACACTCCCAATTGGCTTATGAAAGAATTGTGGGTAATTTTTATTTTTATTAATTTTTCAGGGGGTGGGTGAGGTTGGACGAGAGTTCCTCTGTGGAGGGTCTGGGCGATTATAGGGATTTAAATATAGTAGTACCCTTTTTAGGAAACTTAGCTGAATCGCAGTGTTACAAGAATCTCTGCCAAGAGTGTCACACGTCTGTCTTGTTACCTATTGGGTGCTTCTGTGGCGCTCTGTTTTTTTCTTTTTTTATTTTTAAATTCTAGATTTTTACCAGCAGTAGAAGCATGGAAAATTAATATTTAACAAAAGAGCAAGTATTTTGATATAGGAATATAATTTAAATTCGAAAATTTCACATCTGGGGTGCATTTCAAGTAAGCTCATATTTGGGAAACTAAGCCATAAGGTTTCTCAGCTGTTGAAACTTTTCAATAGAAACTATGCTTGATTGGTTTGAAATTCATGGTAGGGCGAAGAGTTGGTATCCAGATAAATAACCAATATAGTATTCGATTAACGTGTGAATGGACTGTGCTTTGATTTGAGTATTTCCCGATCTCAATGGGGGTTCTACTCAAAGATATTACCTTAATTCAGTTCAATAATCCGAGTAGGCTGTGCTGAAACATATACGTATGGCATCTTCTTATTGATTTCTGCCTATGGTCGTTTATATATTTCTTTGAGACTAATGAGGAATCTCTCTCTCTCTCTCTCTCTCTCTGAGGGATTCAAAGTCTGCCTACTCGCTTTTCCTCCACCGTATAAGGCCAGGTCCGTTGACACAACTTACCATCCTGAAAAGGTATGACACGGCAATTCCTTAGAATTTTGTCTGTGGAACATGAGAGAGAGAGAGAGAAAGTCAAATGACAGCGGAACTAACCATGAAGAGGATCACACAGATACAGAGCATCTTGCGCCAGGCAAGGACTAGACAAAAGAATTGGCCTCATCATCTCCACTGTCACAAGGCATCACAGAGGAAAGGGGGGGGGGGATGATCGGGGGAGAGAAACAAACAATTGCACTACACCCAAGGGCTCAAAAGAATTTCTCTCTCCTCTCTCTCTCCTCTGGAGCGCCTCCTTCTTTAGCTCCCCCTCTCACCAAGGCCAAAGAGGGGCCCACGATGCATATCCTCAATCAAGCGGGCCAGGCCTGGTCCCAGTCCTAGTTCAGGTTGCAGTTCTTCAAGTAGGGATGGTCATACTTCACGTACTTGGTCCAGTAGGACCTGTACCTCGTAATGGCGATCTCCAACCACGGCTTCATGTTCCCGTTGTAGTGGACAACAGCCGCCGAGTCTATCTCCGTGCGGCTGATGCTGGGGTTGTAGCCCAGCCCGAGCACATGCCACGACTTGTCCAGCGGATGCGTCAGCTTGTAGAAAGTCAGCAGGCCCGGCGGCAATGTTCCGAGCTTCCACAGCACCCTGTCTTCATTCTGCGCAGACGGCCATGAAATCAATGATGTGGGCACATATGAACACATTTGTATGAATATGCAGAGGTTGAAATTCTGGAGGAGGAGGGGCAGGGAGGACGCACCATGCTTTGCCATTTGTGGTAGATGCCAGTGATGTCCTTCTCTTTCCACTCCTTGAGATCGAAGATGTTCATACCGTAGGCCCAGCCGCAAGCGTTTGGATTGAAGTTCCGGGCGATGTGAGGGTTGGAGAAGTTCAGGTACTTGTCGAAGCGATGGAAGCTCTCCCCGCAGGTCTCCACCGCGCCGTTGACCTTGCCCTTGAGGTCAACCGCCCACAGCCCGGTCAGATCCTTCTGGACGACGATGTCGTCGTCAAGGAACAGGATCTTGTCCAGCTTCGGGTAGACTTGCGGGAGATAGAACCGCAGATGGTTCAGCATCGACAAATATTTTGGGTTACGGTACTTGAGGTTGGAAGCCCCGGCTGAGATGGTGGTAGGGTGGTCGGCCTTGAAGTAGTACTCTTTCATGGCGGCTGACTCCAGCTGCCGCAGCACCGGGCAGTAGGACGAGTTCAGCCACTTGAAGTCGTCCACATTTTCCACGTGGATGGTCGCCTTCCCCGGTGGGTTCTGCAGGAACCACATTTTCATGGCCCCAAAGTTCAGTTTATCAGTGACGAGGTGGAAGACGTGCTTCTCCGGCTCCTGCACCATCACCCAACCGAATGAAGTCCATCAGTTTTAAGTAGAAAAAGAATGAAAGTTAGAGAGAGATAGAGAGAGAGAGAGAGATAGAGAGAGATAGAGATAAAGAGAGAGAGAGAGAGAGAGAGAGGATGAGCAGCGCCGTTCACCTTGGCATTTAAAACAGCCGAGTTGACCACCACCGAGGTGGCCAATACATTGTCGGAGAAGAGAGCATAGTGGTAGAGATTTGGGTTTTCCAGGTTTTCACTCCTGGGGAACTTTCTCTTCTCTGGCGGCAGGCGGTGGTAGTCGATGGTCAGGCGCAGAGACAAGCAGTGGATGCCGTTGGGGATGGTCTTCGCGGCCAACTGGCTTAAAAAGGCGCTCTGCTTCTTCAGGCCCCTAACCTGCTCATCCGCTGACTGAAGCATCACCCTCAGCTTCTGAGCCACCGCCTTGCAGTCGTAAAGTTGTTCTCTAGCTTTGGAAAGGAGTTGACCCATAGCTTTGATTCTCTGGGGGACGCTGAGGTATCACCACATGGGAACAAGAGGCTTTGGATTGACTTGAAAGGCCGAAATGGATATAAAAATGTGGAAGCATGCAAGTAAAGGGAGTGACAAGAACAGCAGGACACCTGTGGTGCAGATCGACATCAGAGCTTGTGTCTCCCAATGCACGTTGACTTTCCTTGAGGCGTGCCATCAGCTCCTGGAACAAGTCGAGCTTATTCCTTGACTTTGCAAGGATGGCGTATACCCTGGCCATGATCATTTGATCTCTCATCAGGTGTACGGTTGTATCGGAATTCTCATTCTCGTTGTCTCGCCGCCAGATACTGTACTTTCCCAAAACCGCAGAGTCAACAGATTTTGAGCGTTCAATGGCTGCATTTTCAAGTTTAACAGTTGCTGCGACATCCGATTGGACCAAATCCATCGCCCTCTTTCCACGCTTTTTCTCTCTCAGTTGCTGGAAGTAACAAGTGGACAGTTGATTCAAGATTATTTTCAGAATGTAGAAACACTGCACAAACACACACACACACACTGACTGCTGTGTGTGTGTTTTTCAACAAATCTACACTAGAATGAGAAAATAATACGCATCTCCACAGAAAGTAGAGCATTTTGAGTTTCACCAATTTCGCTGTTTCTTTGCATGATTGTCAATTCCAGATAAAACACAAATTGGAAACTATTTGCAAATCAGGTCCAGAGGAAGAATCCTTCAGGACCAAAAGTGCCAATGATGATCATAAAATATTGCTCAGTATACTAGTCAAGATGCTGACTGAAGTTATTGAATTCATCAGACAGTTTCCGATTGATTCCAGGGATACTGTCTATTTTCCAAAAATAATGCTATGATTCTTTGTTACTTGAGAAATATTTTATAGATATACTCTTATGAAACAATAAAGTCACCTCAAAGACCTGGAAAGAACTAACTGCTCACTCTACCATGCAGACGAAGTTGATTCTTCAATTTTGAACTCGGAATAAATAAGAATGAATAAATTTAACTAAGAACACGGGAAGAAATGTAACACATGAAAAAAATTTACCCGCCGCATCATTTTTGCCTGAGAATCAAGCAGGGAACTTCCTGCAACATTGCGAAAATGGAAAGAAAAAAAATCTGAATAATGAGAAGCTTCATCTGAATAAAGTTGAAGGTAAAGAGCAAATGAGTACTCGATGATCACCAGTGTCATCTTTATTTTCTTTGCTCCGTTTCATCAAATTATTAGCTGTAGCCACATTGGACTGTTTGGCATGAGGGATCTCATCTTGTTCAGCGACTGAACCTGTCTGTTTTGGCTCCTACGAATAAATGACGCATACGACAAAGTCAATGCATGTAATTTTCTTCCCAGACCTTGGCATGAACTTATAAATGAGCAAGAAAAAAAACATAATTACCTCTGGCACGGAACTATTAATTTCGCTGGGATGGTTTAGACCTTCAATTATCCACGAAGATGACAGATAGTTTTTTCTTAAGTAATCAAGACTCCACGGACCAAGGTCATCTTTAGCCTTGTTGATAGCATCTACTACCTGGCAAGGGAAATCCCAAGAAACGGATAACATCTCAAGTTTAATAATTGACTATTCATGCATAGGTGACTCAAAAGCATTCACCATAAGATGCAAATTATTGAGACACATGCACTCACCTCTTTGGTAAGATAAGACTTCATGTGTTGCATAGCTAACTGCTCTCTCCAATCAATCTGCCAAAAAAAAAAAAGAGTCAGAAAGAAACGCAAAGAAACTACTGGAACTGTTGTAAGCAGAAAGGAAGAAATATGTTCTCTTAATTTGGTACCTGTCTTACAGATAAATCTAAGCCATCTGTTTCACCTACAAAAAGATAAATCTACTATTAAACAAACTTGAACGAGCTCGCCCCTATTGAGCAGAAACTATCAACTTTGCAAATATAATGTATACTTGAGAGTAGATAGGAAGAAAAAAAGGTAGAACAACAATATCACCTTTTTTAAGTTTCAAGACTGTAAAGTGTTCATCCTTAGTTCATAGAAGATGAGGGTTAAAAGTGATGCTTCAGGTTTAAAGGGTAACAGCAATAGAAAGAGAACTAACGAGAAAAATTAAGTCCAGTTTCTAGGAGGGTTAAGTGTTCAGAAGTAAAATTCCTAGCAATGTTAGAATTAAGATCCATCAAGACCAGTCTCCTGTTGTCCTCTTCTTGTTTAACAGCGATCCAAACTCAAGCTCGACTAGTAGTTATTTCCTCCTACGGTTCAAGCTTAATAATCGTATATGATGTTCTTGAAAAAGATAGTTTCAGGTTCCTAGTTGGAATTTCAGGAGAGGAAACGGACTGTTCCCAAAAACAAGGGTAGTAGCACTTCATTCATTAAGCCCACTTGTGTCAATTATATGTTCAAGTTATTGTGGGATCACAGAAGGTCAAGGACGATGCCTTGGCAGAGTTTAACCAGTTTGTATCAAAAGTCTTCATAGTATGACGATTATCTCAGAAGTCTTCGCAATGCAAGGATTGTGTTGGTAAAGTGTTTACCATCAAACCGAAAATTACCCTTTTGTTGCTATTAATCTCTTTTTCTTTATGAATACCTAAATTTCCCGTTAGATATCAAATGCAGTAGCTTCTACCTTCCTAACGAATTCCTGCATCAACTAGATGTCAAACTTTTAATGGATAGATGCCAGTATAAAAACCTATTAAATAAGAAACACTGCACCAAACATATGCAAGCATTTCTCACCTTTATAAAACGAGACGAAACCCCAAAAGGCTATAAAGCTTACAAAAAAGACCATACAATATGAATCTCCAGAAAAGCCTTCAAAGTATCCATGATACAATCTCACCACCAAAAATATCTTCCTGAGTAGTGCTCAAGTCTCTGGATCTTCTTATGTCAATTTTTCACCTCTCAGATCCGCAGGGTCACATGGATCATTATCTACCACACCATTTATTGCAGCCTATTACAACAGCTGTTGTAACATACAAGCAATTTTTTAGTTCTGACTGTATGTGCACACATCTTTTAAGAGGAATACTTACATCTCACCCACACCTGCTTGAAGAAGCAGGATCGAGTAGGAGCTCATACAGAGCATCCTTCTGTCATCCATCATATGTCACAAAATACTCAAGTAAGTAAGCAACTTCAATCATCATTGTGTTTATGCATGATATGCAGGTTAACTTCTGCCATCTCTCCCAAAGCTACTCAGAATCAGATGCCCAATGAACTCCGCTTATTTACATGGGTAGCATGTAATCCTCAAGTCTAAATCAACCAAAGAAACCTATGACACTAAAAAAAAAAGGAATTCAGATTAAATTCCTTGCCCCAATAACAACAGCTCTGTCCGTTTCAGTATCAACAAGTGATTGCATGTCACTAGCTGTAGTTTACATTGATAGTCCCAACCTTTGGAACAAAGAAAGGAATTATCTTGCGAGACCTCAAGTTAAGGTGAGAAATTGAGCAACGGCAATTAAAAAAGAAGTGAGACATAAGAAGGCACGAGCATCATGAGGAAATCTAAAATATAATTTAAGAATTAAAGGTGATAAATTGAGAAAAATTAGAGGGTTTCTTCACCACTCAAACAAGAAAAAACGTGGAGATCGGAAGCAAATGCTGGAGTATGCCATTCTCTAATGCATTAATTCACAAGAAACAAAAGAAGGTGGAAACGTGACGTCATCCAAGATCAGTCTTCAAATTGGAAATCAGATGCAAGCCCTAGATATTTATGTTCGACAAGTTATGTCTCCAAAAGACATAATTTGCATCGGACAGATCAACTTGGGATACAAAGCTGCTGGTTTTCCTATAACTGTTTCTAATAGGGCCATAAAAAATCTTCATTTTTTTTATACATTTACACCATTATTGGATAACTAGGAATTCCACATGGTTCAAAGGCAGCCATTCCCTAGAGGCTAACCAGAGTAAAAAGGTTTCATCGTAGGAGGTTAGCGTTAGATGGAAAGCCATCTGACAAAAGCCAAGCAAAGTCAAGTAATTTCGTTTTACTTGTCCTATGCCGTCCTATTGCTGATACAAGAGTGGTGATGTGAATGAGGTATATAACATGCGGGTGCATAGATGTTACTGAAAACTGAACAACGTAAATTGCTTGCTAAATATTCTGCATATTAAGGATTTTTATAAATAAAAGCCCGGGAGACTTTTTATGACACAAACAAGAATACCGTAAACAAAATCATATATCATCATTGCAAAAATAAAAAACTGTGAAATAATTATGACTATTGAGCCTCTGGTTATCATACAATTCCTAGCATGGAAGTGCAAGTGTATAAACACTTAGAAGTTGTTCAAGCTGTTAGAAAAATAACTGACCATTTATCGTTGGGGTATGGATCATCCGTGATGCAAGGAAAAGCAAAGGTGTGAGGGCACATATGAAGAGAAAAAGGGCAATGGGGGAGCGGAAGCCACTACTGCCTCCATTCCTTTGAAGACCAGCGCTGGTGTTGATGATAGAACTCCGCTTTGAAGGCATGATCCTTCAGTTACAAATTCTGGGTTAAGAACCATGAGCAAAACGTCAGATAGCAAAGTATAAGGTCATGCAGAAGATGCAAAGAAACACTAGTTTCTATCCACTGCCAGAGGGGAAAGAAATACTGTTATTGTATTTTAAATTTGCAAAAATATGTAGCCAGACTCCTTTCCCTCAATAAAGTCACACATTATCTAAACTCTATTCATCCCTGAATGTTTCTTTTTGTTCGATATGTTGAATAGTTTAATATCATTCTGGCTTTTGGTCTCCATAGAAAAATCACATCAGGCTTTACCATTCATGTTGAATTTATGGAGTAACCTCATGTTTAAAATCCATCACACAGCAACCAAGGTGATTAACCAAACAAACATCTTCAGACAGGATTCTTTAAGGGGTAAAAGCTCACACAAATGCAACTGCTCTGGATTAATTTTATAACTTTACCGTTAGGGAATTTTTTTTAAAGAAGAAGATACCTTTTAGAGATTCCCTGTTTCATAAAATAAAGGTGTAGTCCTCACAATTATTCTCATCTTGTCCATAAAAAAATATTTTTCGATGGAAAGTTTACGAGATCTTCAACATCTTTCGAGCAGTATTATCTATCAGACAACTTTCGAATTTATCCTTCCGTTCAGAAGTGGCCGCCCAGAAGCTTGCACATGTCGTCATATTTTATAGGTTCCATGTCTTTATTCAGTCATACTATTGGTCGTAATAAACAATCCCCGGGAAAGAAGAAATGCGAAAGAAATGTGACAGGGAACATTCAATCAGCACATGACCAAGGGGAAACAAGGAAATCCGCATATGATGTCCCTTACTAGACCATAGAGTTTCTTCAGGCTTAAACGTGGCCTACGATCATCACAGGTTATTTGCTGTTCTTGCCACTTATTTGATTTACATATAGTAGCTATAATGACTCGAATTTGAAAACATATGCCGTAGTATCTCCAAGGTACTAGAGAACACAAATATCACTATCAATTACATGAGATCTCTCAGAACTAACCTTAGAGCTCATAATAGTGAATACTTCACCAAATCCCTTGATGAACTCGTAAAAAGTTCAAGATTTCCTAATCCAAGTTCATATTGTGTTCGTTAAAATATTATATGGTCTTTTGATCGTAAGTGATCACATTACCTTTTTCATCTCAAGGATAAGTTAAAGCCTGTTACCGTTGATGTCTTCTTTTTTTATGTACGTTCCAAGCTAATAAGGTACTTTAAGGACGAATAAACAAATAGGAGTACCTAAATGTTTTGTTTCATTGAATAATAACCATATGGTTAAGGACAGCAACAGGGCAGCCCAGAAAAACAAGCTCGCTCAGTCATTCAAATGCCTTTAGACCTGCTTGCTCAGTGATTCAAATATTTTTTCCCTCTATAGTGCCTAGAAAAACATGGATTTAGGACTCTAAAACTGTGACACCAGGTCCCTCGGTTGGCTAAAACGCTGCTTCTGTCATGTCAAAATTTGGCAACGGTATCCTAGAGTGTGAGGGATCTAGAAGTTGACAGCATAGTGTTCTCACAGAAAATTTCTCCTTAATTTGGAAAGAGTAGTACCACGAGAAAGAACTAGAAAACAGGAAAGCGAGAATCATAGTTGCTCTTCTTTGAAATTATAGCCAATCGTCCACGAAGAGAAACCCAGGTTTCTCTTAAGAACGACAACCGTCCACGTGCGTGCTTCTCAAAGCCAAAATGTCCAGAGCCTGGGCAAAACCGGCACGGGGCAGAAACCCACTGGCGAACAAAATGGCGTAGAAATCTACACCCCCCGGGCAGATAACATGGTATCAGGACCCCCTCGTCCACCGAATAAGTAGATCTCCGCCACGCCCTCTTCTAGGCCAATCGCTGGATCTGGACCACCCGACTCGGAGAAATCCCCCGAACAAAGAAGAAAGCCCCCAATCTCCCCACCAAAGCTACCGCCAAAAATCCCCCCTCCCCCACTCTTTTCCCGCAAACAATTCCAACGCCAACAAGTATACCCCCCTCGTAGCCATTCCCCATGGAAACAAAACAAAGAAAGAAGAACCAAAGCAGCAGCCGCGACAGAGATGAGACGGGGACAATTACCGAGAAGGCGAAGCCGCCACAGCCAACGGCGAGCCCCGGAGCACAGATCACACTCGATCCGAGAGCTCCTCGGACATCGACACACCTCACTCGTTTACCACCGGCGAGAATATTTCCTTGCGCTTCCGCCGGCGGTGAATCTCCGCCGACTCAGTCCTATAGTACATCAGCAGGATCCGAACCGTTAAGACCGATATAATATCGGGTAATACGCCAGTCGGATCCTGACGGTGGGGGCGGGCGGCGGAAATTACACTTTAATCACATAAGAAATTAAAAAAGAAGCCCTCTGAGCCCCGGTTTTGTCTGAAAAGTTTAAATTAATGTTAAGCACGTGGAAACTTGAGAATAGCAAAATGGATGCCAAAAAATTTATAATTTTATTTATAGCTTGAAACTAGGTAGAATTATTAATTGGAACGGTCAATGGAGTCGTTGTATCGGTTGGGCCCAAATTTTCGAAATTGGGCCTTGAAAATCGTCTTGTATTGAAAAATTGGCCCAATAACGTACCGGCCAAAAGTCAAACCTGTCATTTTTTTGTCCATATACCAGTACCACGCTAGCTACACGACAGCCTCTCTCTCTCTCTCTCTCTCTCTCTCTCTCTCTCTCTACTTGGAGAAGGGGCTTGGGACTTGTAAGCCTTTATAGAGCCCGGGCCCTGGACCAACCCTGTTCACAACCTTCGAGTATATATAATCCATAGCATCAGGCTAATGATGGATTTTCAAGAATTTATTACCACGAAAGGGAAGAACAAGGAACAGGTGCTCTTCCTCCATGCTCAGATCAGTCTTAGAATCAGGAAGAGGAGACTTATTAATGGGAAGACAGGGAAGAAAGAGGAGAGAGAGAGAGAGAGAGAAGGTATTTCATGCCTCCCAGCCACGGAGGATGGTGGCACGGGCGACCCGGTTGACGCCGAGGGTGAAGGCCCCCATGCGAAGATCGCAGGCGTGGGTCCCGCACATCTCCTTGAGGTCTCTGAACCCCTTGGTCATGTAGGACTGCAGCTCGGCGTTGACCTTCTCCTCCTCCCACATGAAGCCCTGGATGTTCTGGCACAAGCAGAAAGCAGGGAAGAAGAAGCACGATGAATCCACGACACGTGGGCATTGATAGAGTTAAATGGACCCGAAAGATAGCCCATTTTCTTGCCACGTGGACCTTCCACTGTCACTCCACGTCGCCTCTCTCTCTCTCTCTCTCTCTCTCTCTCTCTCTCTCTCTCTTAGCTAGCATGGAGAGTCAGATTGGGCATGCTATTTCACTGTCCATGAGTATATTTTCTGGCACAAAGGAGCAACCATATAAATCACAGTGCTGGATGTACAAGAACAGCCTTTAATAAGCCATTTTTGGAGCATTAATAATCAGGATCCCATCATCCTCTGACAATGAACACATTTTTTTCCCATAAATAACGAAAAGATGACTTTAGAGCACTAAGATTGTGCCTCATATTATTTCATATTTATGGACATATCTTAGGTGGTCAGTAGATCAGAACAGTCTTCAATATTTACAACTTTACCTTGTTTAGTAATGAATGCCACTTTATTGTTTCCTATTCACGAAGATATTTTGCCATAAAAAGAAAAGGAGCAAGGAATTCACCTGAACCCACTCAAAATAACTCACAGTGACTCCCCCACTGTTTGCAAAAATGTCGGGCAGGATGAGAACGCCCTTCTTTGACAGAATCTACAGGCAGAAGAGATATAAAAAAATTATTAATTAATTAAAAAAATAACAATGTCCTCATGTTTGTAGATATAAATTGAACCAGATGCCCACCTCATCTGCTTCTGGGTCGGTTGGGTGGTTTGCTGCCTCAATGATGTATTTGGCCCTTATCTCATTGGCATTTTCCCTGAAAATATGAAATAATTTTCTTTCCTAATAACTCAATATTATGCCCTTAATAGCATAATTAAAGGCATTTTCCATCAAAACATGAAAGAAAGAAAAATAATCTGAGTTTTTTAAAGTGGGAATTGACGGAATCAGTTTTAAATTGGAAAAAATAATAACTTAAAATGGAAGACATGAACCTGTTTATCACACCACCAAGAGCAGCAGGAATCAGAACATCGCAGTCCTCCGTCAGTAGAGACTTTGGATCGATGGCATCTCCACCGTCAAATCCTTTGATCCCGCGATTCTCCCTGGAATATTTGAGCAGGCTCGGTATATCAAGGCCCTTGCTGTTCTTTATAGCCCCAGTGACGTCGCTGATTGCAACAATTTTGCCACCAGCTTCACTGATGAGTTGGGCAGCCCAAGATCCCACATTGCCAAACCCCTGGATTTTCAGATGGGCGCATGTCAAAAAAGGAAAAAAAAAAGGCTAAAAAAGATTAAATGGGTTGGTTCCAGGCACGGTCATGCTTTCCATATCATTAATCTTTGGTTACTTTTTTTTTATTTAATTACATCGATTGAAGAAAGTGTGGCATCTCCCATTTCTTGAAGAACTTTAGTCGTTTTTCTTTCCTGTATTTATGATTTCTTTAAGGGAATAATATTACATGAGACGGGTTGAAGGCTAAAACTCAAAATCACCGGCAGAGACATGCATAAACAGACATAAAATATTATATTTTTACTAAAATGCTGAAGAAAGGCTCACATCAGAGATATTGTGTAATAAAAACTAGAGATGACAAATCCCGCTCAGAATCTGAATAACCTGAATGACAAATCTCTGGCCGGAGACGCTTTTCCCATGCTCTTGTAGCAATGCTTGCGTGGCAAATAGAACCCCTCTTCCTGTCGCGGCATCCCTACCCAGAGAGCCCCCAAGGTCCTGATCCAAGAAAGAAACAAAAAAAACAATAAATAAAAAATTGATGGACAATTAAATAGTGCTTAATTAATTATGAGATAAAAAAAATTAAGAGATTCTTAAACGGGAATAGCCTATTAAATCAGAGAGCAGAACCCATTGAAGAAACTGTCACAACAACAAGCACAATAGCTCTTCATTAGTCGTCCTCTTCTTGTTAGTACCCACAAAATAATATGGACGGGAAATTATCACAAATAAATTATCTAATATTTTTTCCATTTTTTATTTTCCATCATCTTCTTAATACACCAGAATGGAATTGTATTGACATGAAATTGTCACCGCAAAGTAATCTGATTTTTTTCATTTTTCGTTATCTTCTTAATACCACAACGTGTATATAGAAACAGTATTGATTATGAAATTATCTCCATCAGATATCCTGACAAATTAATTTTATTCATATTTTAAAAAAACACAGGATGTATAAAGAAACAATGCTGGCCATGAAATTATCACAAGAAAGGTAATTTGAAGTCCTTCATTTTTCATTTTTCTTCGTATTCCAAATATCCAGAACATGTATAAAAGTAATTTGGCTATGAAACTACCAAAAAAAATATCTGACAAGTTCTGCATATATAGGGTAATCTGGCCATAACATTATAAAAAAAAAGAGTCTGAAACATTTCATTTTACTTTTCATAATCTGTTAAATAACCAGAATTTATATGGAAATTGTATCACCACAAAAAGAATCTGCAGAACTCACAACAGGTTTTCCAGTGACCACTGCTGGTGAATAGCCGTGAAACTTTGAATATTCGTCCAGTATCCAAGCCATTGTCTGGAATAAATCCCAAGAAGGGCAGATTGGACATCAGAAGAACCCCAACCATATGATCAACTTACTTAAAAAAATAAGGAAAGAATCACCACCATGCCAAAAAAATTATGAATCAAGGTAGAATGAACATCAGAAGAAGCCTAACTATCTTAAGAAAATAGAAAAAAAAATCCTCTATCCCTCAGAAGAAAATTTAAGAGCCAAAGATATGACCAAATTGTTTTCAAATCCCCACCTTCATAAAAAAAACTACGGCATGATCTAAAACTAGAGAAAACAATTGTGAACAGAGACCTGAGGATTAGTGCCCATATCAGGTGCCGGGACATCAGTGTGAATGCCGATCAGATCATGGATCTTCTGCGTGAACACTCGAGTGAGTCGCTCAAGCTCAGACCTGCTCAGCTCCCCTGGGTCGCAGCCTATTCCTCCTTTGGCACCTCCATAAGGGATGTTAGCGACAGCTGTCTTCCATGTCATCAGCTGCGCTAAGGCATTGACCTCATCTGGGTCAACCTATAACCACCAAAAACACACCTCCATCATCAACTAGTGCACAGAAAGATCTAGTCTTCTTTCATAGCGGAACAAAAGAAAAAATAAGTGGAATCAACTCAAATATGTATGCACATGGCTTAACTAATACAAATACTTTTCATTCTATATTACTATGAACCCAAATTAGGAAAAAGAGCCCCTCGAATCACAAGAAAAATTAAATCTACAGTGATAACTGACAGCATTGAGATGCCCCATCGACCGAATGAATCTTGAGTGGCAGCGGCATTGCAGAATAAGAATTAATGTGAAGAAATATAACAGATAAAAAATAATCAAAACCGACCTCTGGATGGTATCTAATCCCTCCTTTCATAGGACCCCGGGCATTGTCATGCTGAATCCTGAATCCCACAAAAGAAGCCAGCGTGCCGTCATCCTTGGGGATCGTGCATTCAACCTGCAGTCCATCCAAAGCCGCTGAGCTACAAGAAGAGCAAGAGAGCATCGCCATGGCAACGCCTGAAGATCCCACCTTCTTTAAACGCAAAAACTTCCAGAAGATGAAAAACATGTAGAGATGTTTTCAAGAAGAAGACGACGACGACGAAGAAGAAGATGAAGAGGAAGGATAATAAGTCGAAGACGAAGAAGAAGATGAAGAAGAAGACAAAGAAGAAGATAGGTGGCATTACGGGTGAGAGCTGGCAAACGCGCTAAGCAATATGAAGAACAGGAGAGCAATCCATGGAAGAGCCAGAGAATACCGCTGTCGCAGAACCCGAATAGCCTAAAAAGAGGAGATCTTCGAGAGAGGAACAAGTTTTATCGAACTCAAAAACTTCCAAAAGAGGAGGGAGGAATGAAGACATCTTCAAGAGGAAGAAGAAGAAGATGATGATGATGATGATGATGATAGTGAAGAAGAAGCTGGAGAGCTTTTCTGGCAGATCATAAAAATGAAGAGGAAAAAGGAGCGCCCTGGCCTCTCCTACCTTGATCTCTCTGAATGGGATCAACAAGCTCTTCTCCAACTTGGAGTCCAGCCCCAGAAGCGTGGCTGCCCTCTTGAAGTTCCTACTTGTGGCCGCGAGCGCATTCATGGCTTCTCACAATCCGCACGTCGAAACCTTCTGAGAAGGGCAGAAGAAACACCGCAAATCGAGAATCACAGAGAGAGGAAGGAAGAAGACATCATCAGGAAGAAGACGAAGGACGATCCCCCTCCCCTACCCCCAACCCCCGAACCGGAGCCCAGAGGACCTGCCGACGCGGAGATTCGACGACGCAGAAGGAGAGATCTCAAAGGAAGCCGTCACTTGTCCCCCGTCCTCCTCACGGAGGGTCGCCCCTCTTGAAATAGCAAGCTCCAATGGCTGCCATGTCACATCCAAGTCAGAGGATCGCATTGGATCCGAACCCCACGTGGGGAAAAGACTAGGGCATCCACGGCCGATGATAAGCTTGGCTCGAGGTCAATGTCAACGATCTGCCAGCCTACTTTGACCCTTCTAAGTTCGCAGAAAATAGGAGCGGCGAATTCGGAGACGGCCCTTTAGGATAAGCTCAAATTTTCTAAGAATTTCCCGCCCAAATCTCGATGATCGACGGAGGACGAAGATGGGGGATTCTTGTGGACGTACCGGCGGTCAGGGAATGACTCCTCCAATCTCTGGGCGATCCCGGAGCGCAGATCTGGCAAATGAACAGCCAACGTTAGGATTCATGGCGGGGGCTCTATCGGAGGAGGAAAGGAAGAGAGTTGGCACCTCCACCGACGGCCGCAGCAGCGGAGGAAGAAGAAGATGTTGGAGATGAAGAAGAGGAACTCAGCTTCTCTCCTGTCCAATGGGAAGAACTCGGCTACCCTCTTGCAGAGTGCAGAGTGTCAGGGAGTATCGTATAAATGGGCCATCTCGAAGAGAGAGAGTGTGTGTGTGTGTGAGAGAGAGAGAGAGATTCTTTCTTGCCTTTTACAGTAGACGGTGTGTTCTCTCTCTCTCCCCCCACATCTCGGTTGGCTAGGCAGAGAACCCTCGTCGAATCAGGGTAGGGACATAAAAGAAGCAAGCTGAGGGAGCTCCCAAGACTGTTACAGAAGGGAGAGAAACACAGAGAGAGAGAGGGAGAGAGAGAGGATCAATCACTTCTCCATGACAAATCGCATGATTCTGTCATTTCCCAGGATGCCCAGTCGTCAGGAATCCAAACGTCACCGACTCCACGGCGGAGAGATCACGCACATCTTCATCTTTTCTCAAGCGTGTATTGATGGGTCCGACGGAACCTTTGCCCCAACACAGAGAGAGAGAGAGAGAGAGAGAGAGAGAGAACCCGACCTAACTGAGGATTCCATGGAGGATCTTCAAACCTTTCCAGTAGAGAAAGAGAGAGAGAGAGAGAGAGAGAGAGAGAGAAAGAGAGAGAGAGAGAGAGAGAGAGAATGGGGTTCTCGTCGTCCCCACGATTCTCCAAGGTGGCAGCGTAGGATTCCACCCGCAGAAGCGGGAGGAATCGGGTGCCTGCGATTCCCCGAGGTAGGGGACGACAGACAGCGGAATCCTTTTCCCGCATGGATCATGAGTGAGCATCCATCTTCACTCGTTGCAGTTGGATCGTGTGTGGGCATCCATTGATGAACCCTAAAACCACTTTAGAATGATCTTCTTCCTCCCACCTCGACCCAATCGGCAGGACGCTCCGTGAAGGGTGACGACGCCGCCGCCGCCGAATCAGGAACCTCATTCTCTCATCTACCTATTACAATAACCTTCCCCCCCCTTCCTCCATTCTCCGGGTTTGCACGATTCTAGCCCAGATTCTTGCAGAGGAAACGATCTACAACCATACAGGCCTAACAGGCCCCAAATGGCTCGACCCATCTTCAGTGTCTAGCTATCTAGGCTAGGGAGAGAAGAGAAAAAGAGAGAGAGAGAGGCATGGGGCATGAAGATAGTGATGAAAGCGGCCTTCTTTTTCTTTTTCCGTGCTTGATTCTGGCGCCCAAAATCGGAAAGAATGAAGACCTTGAACATGCCGATGATTTATTGAGATATTATTTTTAATTGAATTATATAACATAATGCACAAGAAAAAGACACGAAAATTTGAGTTATCTACCTTATCGTCGGCATCCCGGCCATGGATTCCCGCCGGTTAACGGTTCTCTGACACGTGGCAGCCGCCATGGGCCTCCAAGGCGGGTTTGGCGACGATGGGCGCTCCCTGGTCTTCACTGCGACGAGGCTTGGCGAGAGTAGGGGGAACCCTTCCTGCTGCAAAAGGGTACTCTTTCTCTCTCTCTCTCATCAACCTGTCCACACTGGGCATTGATTTACTGCCACCGAATGATTTTCTTCACAGTTTCTGATCTGGAATGAGATGCAGGTGGATCGTTTGCGGGGAATGAGGGAAGTTCCCTGTGATAATTCCTAGGGATTGAGCCCTCATCGTCAGCGAGATGGAAAGCCTCATCTTCAGCGGGATCTCCGGATCCTCACTCGACCTGGATCGTCAATTAGGGGAGATTACCGCCGATAGAGATTAACGTCGAGGAAATAGGTTTGTAAGCCCGAGAGGTGGGGTTCGTGTGAAGATATGTGGTGCCTGGAATTTGTTCGATGGAATGCTCAAAACGATATTTCTTCTGTGGCCTCTGCAGGTTGACCTGCATTTAGGGCTCCCCAGGTCGTCTTCCTGCCGAGAAGATATCTTGCTTCCGAGGCACATTGACAAGATGGCTTCTACATTCTCCCTGATCCAGAACTCCTGCTTCTGTTCCCTGGAGCTGACGAAAACATTCCCGAAGAGACTCCCTCCTCGAAAGTAATCTGGCCTTGATCCTCCCTGCTTAAGGTTTCTCTAGTCAGTCCTGCCGATCTTTCATGGCGACAACTCTCCTGCAACAGAGAAGACGATCTCCGGGCAGGGAGGCCCCGGCTAGCCATGTACAGCAGGAGGAGCATCATCCTCCGTGGAGGAGTCTCTCTGATAGCCATCTTCGCCGGTGGAAGCAGCTTGACGCCATTGCCGGTGAAGGCCGAGGGAGAGAATTCAAAGGTTGAAGACGACGAGGGTGCCAACAATGCAGATGCAAGCGTAGTTGACGCCATTAAATCCTTGTTTGATCCCAATGAGAGGTCGAAATCTGGGAAGGTGCTGCCGAAAGCCTACCTGAAGTCAGCCAGGGAGGTTGTGAAGACCCTCAGGGAGTCGTTGGGGGAGGACGGCAAGGATGTTGCGAAGTTTAGGAGGAGCGCTGACGCTGCAAAGGAGTCGATCAGGGAGTATCTGAGCACCTGGAGGGGACAACAGGCAGTGGCAGCTGAGGTCTCCGGCTCCTCGTCTGATTGCTTTCTTCTCATGAGCTTGTCTGATTAGCCTCTAGATTTCATCCATTGGTTTTTTTTTCTTGGCGAAGAAATTCTCGGATTTGTCTTTAGATTTCATCTATTTGGTTTCTTTTTTTTTATGAAGAAAATCCCTGGTAATTCATCTTTTTTTTTTTCTATTTTCGTCAAGAACTTCTCTGATTAGTTCATTTATTTTGTGATTATTCTGTGATGCCTAACTATAGTAATCATCTGTACAGCCGATTCTCCATTCACTGATAATTTCTCCGGGTTTGCAGGAATCATATATGGCACTTGAGAAGGCTATCAGATCACTGGCTGGTTTCTATTCGAAGGCAGGGCCGTTTGCATCATTGCCAGATGATATCAAAGCCAGCATCTTAGAAGACCTGAACGCTGCGGAGGTCTCTCTGTAGAGAACCTGCGTTGTAAGATCCTCCCACCATTTTTTATCTGAAAACTCTATTTTTTTTTATCTTTATGGGGCTTCATGAAAATTCCCTGTTTGTTTTTCCAAAAATAAACAACGGAAGAAAAAGCAAGAAATTCTCCTGTCTTTAGATATTTTCTACTATTTTGCATTTGATTGGGTTAATAGGAAGGTAACCTAAAACCTACCACAAAAACCCCCCCACTTTTTCCTTTTTTTTTCTTTTTCTGGTATCGAATCTTGAAGCTGAACCCAAACATGGAAATAGTTATGATGGGTGAATGCGTACTTGGGTCAATGCTAGAGTTAAGATTCAAAAGACCCATGATTCACTTAATTATCCAATTTTAATTTATAAGATGTCATAGTAATCTAGGCATAAGTTTCAAAGTGGCTTCAATCATTAGAATAAATGATCGTTTGTGGCAATTTGTTTTAGATTCATACAAGCTAATGGAATGATATGTATGGATATGTGGTAACTAAGTCTAGAAGTAGACAATAATGTTGTTCTTGTCCTTAAGTTGCATGACTTGTACAAAAAGGGAAAAAAAATGCAGAAAACTTTATCATGTTAAGTTGTTAATTTCTTGATAAATCTAGGGTTTATAGTAAATAAAACTAAAGCTAAGGTTTCAAAAGGTTGAAATGCCAAAAATCACAGACAAAGCTCTTGTATCTCTTATGAATTGTTTATTAACTAATAAATTTACCAATTGCTAAGGTTTTAGAATATAAACAAATATTTATAATATGCAACTTTTTTATAAAATAAGCCTTTTATAATTGTGCTTAAATTATTTTAAATTATATGATAAGATAAAATTAATCCATGCTACAATATAATGCAGATTATTATTTTTTAAAATGAAATGATGATACTAAAAAACCAAAGTATGATGTATTATAATAAAAATGTAAATGTTTCATAAATATTTTACATTAACATAATCGTTTCTATCATTTTTAATAACTTCATTAATGAGAAAAATATTAAATAAGATGCAAATTATTCATTTCAGGGCGTAATGGGTTCACTATGCCTAAAGCGTAGCCTAAATATTGAGTCAATCTGGTTTATCTAATTTCATCAGGTGGAGAAATTTGTACGATCAAACCAAATACTAGGGGAAGTGTGACCAGCATGAGCCTAGGTTTGACAAGGTCTAACATATGATTCTAGGCCATGCTAATAAAAGGAAAAATTGAACAAATGTGTTGACACCCTGACATCTAATTTGTTAACATGATTGGGAATTATCAGTTTTTTCCCTTAAATAAAAATTAAATTATTGATAGCCCTTTGTTTGTACTACTTTGGTCCAAGAAAAACGCTCATAGTCTTAGTATTGAGTGCATTACTCTAATTTAATTTATTCAATATCTAATTTGACAAAAAAAAATTAATCACTCTCCTCATCTTCTCCCTCCTTCCCTCCCCCCTCCACTACAACACCAAGTGATAATGGTGGAGACGAAATGGGGACAATGATAGCTTATTGGTCCAAATGTCAAGCGAAGAGAGATAGAGATAGACAAAGATGGAGCTGAGAGGGAAAGAGAGAGAGAGAGTTAATGAGGGTAATTTTGCAAAAGTTGGATTGTAAGTATACCCAATTTGATTGACGGATCTGGTCTCAAGATGCTATGAGTTATTGAGGAGCTACAATTCCAAGTGAATAAATAGTTAAATGAATATTTTTTGCGGTTTATGGAGGACTAAAACGAATTCAGTCTTAAAATATTATTACTTTGAGGTAAACATCGAATAATATTTTTAAAATTATATTATATTTTTTATGTTTAATAAATACTTGTTACAAAATTTTGGGCTCATTTGAGTGAATTAATATTTTAAAAAATAGATTTAATTAAAAGATGATGTAAGAGAAAAAAAAAAGTTCGGGCCGAACGGTCATGGGCTTCTGAGCCCGGCTCGTTGAGGGTCCGTACGTGCGCGGAGAGTCTTCGATTTGTCTGGGTGTCGTGGCTAGTTACTTCCCGCCACTATCAAAACCCTAACCCCAGGCTCTCTCTCTCTCTGCCTCTCTTTGTGCCGCAGCTCTACCGCCGCCACCGTCAGCCCCGATGGAGGATTCCGTGGGGTTGGAGAAGAGGAAGAAGAGGAGGAAGAGTAAAGAGGGGAAAACTCTAAATGGACGCCAGAAAGTTGAAGAGGAAGAAGAGGAACGGGGGGAATGCGTGGTGGGGGATGCTGATGACGCCGGTGCGGCTGCTGGTTCCGACGATGGAGCTGAAGCCGGTCGGATTGATGGAGAATCCGGAGCGGAGGAAGGAGCAGAAAACGACGCTGCCGCTGCTGCTGGAGAGGACGCAGGCCCACCGGCGAAGAAGCAGAAGTCGTGGAAGGGCTCAAAGGGAATCATGAGCTCGGAACCTTTCTCTCAGCTTCCTATATCGGAACCCACCATGAAAGCAATCAATGATATGGGTTTCGAGAACATGACTCAGGTGAATAAATAATGAAGCGAGATAAAATGTGCGAGATAATTCGCTTAAGTTCTGCTTCCTGTTAATTTTTTTTCTTTGGGTCGAAATTGTAATTGCAGATCCAAGCAGGAGCCATACCACGTTTGTTGGTGGGGAAAGATGTTGTTGGAGCGGCCAGGACTGGTTCGGGGAAGACGCTGGCCTTCCTGGTGCCAGCTATTGAACTTTTGTATAGGATAAGCTTTTCCCCACGGAATGGAACCGGAGTCATTGTTATTTGTCCAACGAGGGAGCTTGCGATACAAGTACGCCTCTTATACATTTTTCTTCCATACAGTAATGATTATTCCATTTTAAGTGTTTACAAAGTCTTGTTTGGTATTTGATGTTGTCTGCCTTGAGTTACATTTATGGCCAATATTCAGCAGATCCCATCATTTCACCAGAGCATTTGGTCAACGTGTTACGTCAGATTTTATTTTTTATCAGACAAAAAAGCAAAACTGATGGATGTCACCTTATTCCTGTAAAACTTAATGGGGATAACCTTAGTACCCCTAACATCGAATTTCTAGTAAAGCCTGGCCAGTTTCCCATTGTGTACACCATCTACTGGGGCCAATGGGATGGACTTAGGATGACATATTCCGCTATGGTTCATGTTCGTCGGTCAGTAAGATTGCCACCTAATGGCAAGGTACCGAGGGTTGTACTTTGATTCACATTGTAGAAGACAGGTCTCAGCGGCAAACTGTTCTTTTTGCTGTGGCTCATAGGGTCTCTGTTGATTAGGGTGGTGACCTCTTTGTTGTTGGCGTACGACATTTTCTCCGCTACTGTTGCTATTGATATTTTGCAAAATGATGTCCCCATTGTCTTTTGATTTTTAAGTCATCGGCGTCCTTTGTCCTTCATATTCACCTAGGCATCAACGTAATGAAAAAAAATGTATTTTTTCCGTTAGTTCACGTCGTGCTGCTGCATTAGCATATCTAGTATTATCGAGCTACATCAGGGTGTAGCTTTTAATACGTTACTCTGTTATCATCTTTGGGTCCTATCCTCTATGTCGCATACAGTTGTGGCAATCTTGATTAAATATCATGTGATTTAATTCAAGATTCATAATGGATGCGGACATGTCTATTCTTAGTCCGAATAAACTTTGGTAGTTTATGTCCCTTAGGTATTCAAAATATTTCGGACAATTACTTAAAGGAATGAGTCAATTCATAATGCATTAATTACAGCGCTCATGCCCTGATGTTTTAAATGACCTTTTGCTGTTTACTTTTATGCAGACACATGCTGTGGCTGTGGATCTCCTCAAGTACCATACACAAACTGTTGGCTATGTTATTGGTGGCAATGCACGAAGAGGAGAAGCAGAGCGTCTTGTAAAGGGAGTAAACCTGTTAGTTGCTACTCCTGGCAGACTTCTGGATCACCTTCAATCTACCAGAGGTTTCATATTTAAAAATCTAAAGGTGTTGTCTTATTCCTTATGTATGTTAGTAATGTCTTCCCAGACTTGTCAGACAGTTTCTCAGAGTTAGGTTACATTATTGTCGATGATTGATTTCAGCTTAATTTGAGAATTTTGAATTTCAAACCTGTGGTTAATAGTAGTGTAATGTGACGATCATGAGGTTCCCCAGGAGGACATTTTTTTTTATCTTCAATCTCTATAAGGTTTGTTGGTCATCTGAAGCTTTTGAATCTGATGATTATTACTGTCTCTGTGCATATCAGTATGATCTGCATTTTTAGAGATCTCCAGATAAAAGATCCGTTACTTTATGAGGAAGCCAAAGAAGTCCTTGCACTTGGACTGTATGTTTGAGGCCTGCACTGAATCTGGCATTCTGCCAGAGGATGTGTTGACTTGTTTAGGAATTTAGCATGTGCAGCATGCACATTCGATGGCACAAGTTAAACAAAGCTGAGCAAGTGCATGCAGAAGGAAGTAGAATACGACTAAGTCAGTCGTACCATGGTAGGGAAAGAGTTTCACATGGTAGATATCAATGTCGGAAAGTAAGCTTCATAATCCGGAAAGTTTAGGAAAACCTTGCATTTTGATGGTTGAATGTACGACACCTTCATTGATTATTAAAAGGTAGGAAAGGGATGGGCAAGAATGTATACGTACGTTCTTGCAAAAATATATACATGCACATGAATGCTTGCGTACATCTACTTAACCGATGGAAGTATAGATTAGTTCGAGAGATTCATTAATACAGGAGTATAATCTATGGGAATGGTGAAATATGTTTCGTAGCTGGTTTTTATTTGTTATCGTTATTATTATTACTTATGACTTTTGGTTCTCTGAGCTATTGTTGTGAACTAACTTTGCTTGCAAGTATACTTGTACCTTTTCACTTTATCTGGTATGTGTCTAGCCAGTTTCTTAATTTTCTTGATGTTACTCAAGGGTTGGTTTTGGTCTTCGAACATGAACTGAAAGGAACTTTGATAAATTCATGTGGTGTTTAAATTGAGTCAGATGTCGTTATCCATCTAGTTTCAATTGGGCCATGGCAGGATTGAATCTCTGTCAACCATGTCTTGATGATTGGAAAAAAATTGTCTTTCATGTTTACTGGGAAGGAAAAATCATGATAGTTACCTTTCCCGATTAAGATAATGTCTCATCTGGCCTGTTCTGGATCATCCCATCCGGTTTCAAACTCTTAGCCATGATATGATCTCATTCTGGACTATGTTTCCTTTTTCATAATACCTTATCCATGATATAGCGCAAAGTTGGATACCCTTTGCATGCCATGAATTTATTGCTTGTTTGTTACGATCTTAATGATGTTAATCATGCCGGCATCATCTGGAAATGCAGGAGCCTGAGTGTTTGAATTATATCTTATAATAATATATTCCCCTTAAAAGCCTTTTGATGTGTTATTCTGTTCATTATAATGCCTGTTTAGGATGAGTTTTCGAAAATCCGAAAGATTACCCGTTCTTGATGATTACTGTGCATTAACTTGCTTTATGTTATTTTTTTCGGTTTGGTTTGGAGGCCTCATGATATCTGACGAATGTCCTTTAGGAGATCGATGTTAACAATGTCTTCTTTATTATGCAGTGTCTGATAATCGATGAAGCTGATAGAATATTAGAGGAGAACTTTGAAGATGACATGAAGCAAATTATTAAACTTCTGCCAAAGGTTGTTTTTTATTTCATCTGACTTTGAAAAAGTTATGTTGGCTGACTGTATGGATTGAGTTATACTTTGTAAAACTGAGTTACAGTTTCATGAATGCTAATTTGACGAATGAATAGATAAATGTAATTCTCTGCATGATATGGTAGCCTAGTTGGTCTATTAGCAAGCTTCTGTCCACTGGTCTAGGTTTTTATCTTTAGAGTTATAAAGTGTCCGTATTTTACTTTATTAATCAAATAAAACTGAAATAGTTAATGTGAATGCTACAGGGGAACTTCTCTCTCTTAATGTGTTTCGTCCGATAATTGTGGCTCATGTAAATTTCTTGTCCATTTCAGGAGAGACAGACTGCACTGTTTTCTGCGACCCAGACCCAGAAGGTTCACAATTTTCTCACAACTGACCTCCCTTCCCACATTTGATGGTAGGTAGTGAGTTTTTCTTGTCTAACTGTTTCTTTAAAAAATCAATGCCTTCTGCAGGTTGCAGACCTGGTACGCTTGTCATTTCAGACGAAGCCTGACTATGTTGGAGTTGATGATGGGAGAGCTAAGGTAAACAGGATTAGATAATCACTCTAACCCTGATATATTACCATGTGATGGAAGGGTTGAAGTAAATGCTAAATGGCTATTAAATTGCAGGTTACTAATGAAGGCCTGCAGCAGGGCTACTGTGTGGTGTCATCAGCGAAGAGATTTATCCTTCTTTATTCGTTTTTGAAGAGGAATATGTCGAAGAAAGTGATGGTTTTCTTCTCTTCTTGCAACTCCGTTAAGTACCACGCTGATCTTCTCAGATTTATCAAGGTTGACTGCTGTGATATCCACGGGAAACAAAAGCAGCAGAAGCGGACCACCACATTTTTTGACTTCTGCAAAGCAGAGAAGGGCATCTTATTGTGCACAGATGTGGCCGCTCGCGGGCTTGACATCCATGCTGTGGTTCGTTCTCACTGTCTTTAACTGTGATGTTCACGGGTAATGAACTTTGGGATGTCTGTGATTTATTTTTCGTCAATTTCTAGGACTGGATCGTGCAATACGACCCTCCGGATGAACCCAAGGTGCCCACTTTTCTTTTACGATTTTTCTTCGACACATATTTTCATCATCATTTATTTTCACCGTTTCATATGCAGAATATTTGTTAATTGTGTTAAATCGATTATTTCAGGAGTACATCCACAGGGTTGGACGGACAGCCAGAGGGGAAGGCGGTAGAGGGCATGCATTGCTCTTCCTGATCCCCGAGGAGATGCAGTTTCTGAGCTATCTCAAGGTCTTTTCCTGCAGTCGGAGGATTCCTTGGTCTACTTAGCTTCAAAAGCTCCAATCCCTGATGATCTTTATGTTGATGGGCAGGCTGCGAAGGTGCCCGTCAAGGAGTACGAGTTCGAAGAGAAGAAGCTCGCCAATGTGCAATCACACCTGGTATTCATCGATCTCGAGCCTGTAACCTCGTGAGTTAATAATAGACTGGTAGCTGGGTTTCTGTTATTGAAGTGAGGATGAATTCGCGCAGGAGAAATTGGTGGAGACAAACTACCATCTCAACCAGTCCGCCAAAGATGCCTACAGGTCTTACATGCTGGCGTACAATTCACATTCAATGAAGGATGTCTTCAACGTGCATCGCCTTGATGTAAAGGTGTGTGTGCAGACTCCTCTTGCCCCTTCGCTTTTCTTCAATGAAGATTTACACTACGGCATACTCTCTCTCTATATCTTTTTTTAATAAAATCCGATCGCTAGGGAACCTTGAATCTGTGTTCTTTCTTGGTGAATCTGCGGGATAAAGATTATGGCCTTGATTTTTGTAACTAAAACAAGGGGGATCTATCTCTGTTCAGACCAGTGAATCCATCTCTTCATCATCGTCAATTTCTACATCTAGGGAACAAAGAGGAAAAAGGAAAGAAAGCTGCAAGTTTCCTGAGTTAATCTTGTGAAAACATGAACAGGCTGTCGCCGCCTCCTTTGGCTTCAGTTCGCCGCCAAAGGTGAATCTCAACATCGACAGCAATGCGTCCAAGTTCCGAAAGAAGCAGCGCAAAGTAGAGGGGACTCGTGGCCGGATGAGCTGGAGCAACCCTTATGGCAGGCTCAAGGGTGAAGATGGAAGACAGTTTTCCAGAATCTAAGGTGCATCTAAGAATCTAGAGCTTCCTCTTAAATGATGAAGCCCACCAAGATGTTACCGACTGCTTCAGTCTCCTCTCTCCCCTGGCATTTCCTATACAGAAATTTTGGAAGATATAATCTTATTAAATTGTTATAGATGCGGAACGACTTTCTTTCTAGATCTTAGGATTTCTGTATTTAAATGAGAAGAGGGGGGGGGGTTTGTTTTTCTTTCTTCCAATGGTGGTCTCAGCATTTTTGTTCTCATTGTTTTTTGTTTTGAATATGGGTCACCGAGTTGATTTCAATATTATTGTGAACACAACAAATATGGTACTAATTATCATTTTTTTTGTTGCGTAACGGTGCAATGTTAGATACCTATGATCGACCTATTCCTGATGAATCGATCTGTTCTTTCTGATCACTAAATCAAAGGGAAGCGATTTTCAGTTACAAATCGTTCTTTAATTGTTTCCATGTTAATATAATTTGCCTCTGCTGCTACCAAATTGTACTGCTGTTGATTGGGAGATTGAGTGGTAGTTCTCGAATTCAAGCCCGGATGAAATGGGTGCGGGGCGATTATCTGGAAAATTGAATCCAAATAAAAACTTCTTGCCACGAACGATGACGATTGACCAGCAGGCCGTGCTCATCATAGTTAGATAGCTTAGCAGGATCTATAGAGGAAGCCGATGATTTTAATTTTTTTCATAAATTAAAACATTTAATGAGAAAGTTTTCACGAGGTTTGGATAGCTATTGGTAATCGGAAATTTAAACAAGACCTATAGATAAACCCATGATATTATTTCCCATAAATCTGAAAATAATTTTGAAGCACATGATATTTCGAATGATTTGTGGATTTATGAAGCTCACGAATTGAAAATATTTTCACAAATTGAAACATTAATCAGACGATTGGCAGGCTCATTGTGTTGATTTCTCAGAAATGGAACTGTTCAATTCAGGCGAGACAACAAGATTTATAAAGCTTATGGAATTTCTGAGAAAAAGGAAGCATTCAATCATAGAATATGACAAGATTTTTATAGAGCTCACGGTGTTTCTTTCTCATAAATTGAAGCATTCAATCATACAATTTGACAAGCTAGCTTTATGCCAACGCCATGGGAAGATTTTCCTAGATCCACGCTAAATTCTCTGATGCAAAATTGGAGGTAAAAATATAAAAAAAAAGAAGAGAAAAGAGAAACCCACCCTGTTGAAAGGATCACCCACCACGTGATACAACATATGCTAGCTCAGAGAGATGAGAGTCGGTCATCTCCGCATCTTCTTCTTCTGCTGCTTTGCTTCCTCCCTGTACCTCCCGCGGCGCTCCTCCCTCTGCCGCTTCTTCGCAATCTGCTCCTCCTTCGCCTTCTGCGCGTCGTTGACCTTCTTCTTCTCCTGGTCTTTCAGCTTCTGCTTTCTCGACTGCACCATCGGAACCCCACGCCAAGAAAAACACCCCCGAAATCATATCAAAAGCAGCACTACCACAGAAAAAGGGCATAGAAAGAGACCCTACCAATCTTTTTTGGGTTTAGAGGTAAATAGTAGCGCAGGAAACTCTCCTATCAGAAAGGGCATTTTTTTAAAAAATTATTTAATTATAATGATGATGGGGATTGAATGAAGAAGGCCACCATGAATCTACAAGAGAAGTGAAACAAAATGGGTTTTCAGCAGCAGCGCCAGCCACTAGGAAGGGGGCGTAGAAACAGAGTAACCAGTTTGTCGTTGGCGCTTCTCCTCCTCGAGCGATGGGACGTATCAAGGGGGGGGGAAGGAAGCCGCTTATCAAAAAAATGATGAATCGTTCGATGCGGATTACCTTTTGGTTCCTGATCAGCTGAAGGTGCTGGACAAGGGCATGGACTTTCCGCTCCTGAGGCTCCATGACCACGGCTCGCCGGTTGTCCAGATGCGGCCGGCTCCTGCTGGGCTTGTCCTTGGGCTTTGAGGCAAATGGAAGGGCTGCTTGCAACGTCTTCGGAATCACCAGGGGGTTGAATTTCTTCAGTTTCCGCTCGATAGGCTGCAGAAAAACGAGAAGAAATAAGGTCATGGGCTATGGAAATCCAATGAAACATAAATACTACATGCCCACGACGCAGAGCATCATGTTTCGGGGTCGGCGACAAAACCTTGTAGACTGAATCCTTGTTGTAGGGGATTGGAAGGTTGTTCTCCCTCCTGAGCTCAGCGACCGTCCTCATTCCGCTCCAGACCTGGTTGCGTGGCTGCAGAGCAGTTGCGACCGGTTTGAAGAAGCGGGGGACGTCTACGGCTCCCCATGCACGGAGGAAGACGATGTCGCTCATCAGGATCCTGTCTTCAAATGTGCACCTGACAATCCCTTCCTTGACCCCCTCCAGCTCCGGGTGTTTCCCTTTGTTGCCAAGCTCTGCCTTTGCAGCCTACGAACAAGAAAGAAAAGCCAGCTAGATCACCATATTATGGTGCATAAAATACTAATAATAGTATGACTCTGAGATATTTTAGTTACCTTCTTAATCTCACCCCGGATGCCACTCACAGTCCGGACGGCCGCACCTTCGAACTTGGCGATCTCGAGATCAGAATTAAACATGCCCTTGATAAACGCCGTCTTCTTGAAGATCTTGCACGGGGTACCAACGAACTTGATTTTTTTCATAATGCGCGCGGCGTGGTTGAACTCCAGCACGACTGCAGTAGCAGTAATCCGAAATGCGGCCTGCGCGCATCAACAGAATGCCAGACAAAGACATCATCATATGATGAAAGCAACCAAGAAACGAAAATAATCTGATTGGTTTCCCCACCAAGACGTAAACACAGATTGCACAAAATAACAGCTACCGGGAATCAATACAAGGTAATACTGCTGCACCAAGCACCACAGAAAAATTATATGGCCACAAATTGTCACCTGTGCTGGTTTTACAAATCATACAATTTTTTTAATTAACTATGATTTCAGGTCAATAATAAATATCCTTCGGGGTCGTCATACAGAAATTAGATTCGAGAAGAAGGTAAATGTTTTTAGTGGGTTACAGAATCAACCACTACCTGCACGGTAAACAGTAAGTCAGAGACTCACACACCATTGTTTCAAATGAAAGGTAATTGCTTCTTTTTTTTTTACAAGGTTTTTACTGAAATGAGTACCAAACCATGAACACATCGTAGTAATGGAAAATTGAGTGGTGATAACTATGAAAGTAAACATATGTGCAGAGAAAAAACCTGATTGTTTGATACATTCTGGACCGCAACTACTCCAGTTTTAGGCGGTGCAAGAGGACCCCAGAACATAGCGAGACAATGCATATGCTCAGGAGTATACTTGAGCATTCGATGCCTTCCATTTCGATCCTCGATTGCATAAATAGGAATAGTCTGATATCGTCTCCAACCAATAGAGACAATTATTGGATCTCTGGTCTTTAACACTTTCCTATGCCATCTGTGCCTTTTCAACCGAATCTGAACCAAGAAACGAGCACATTATCATCTGCCATTACTCCAAAACAGGGGTGCATTGGATAAAGAAACGGATGGTATTCATAACCATCAAGACAATGAGAACAGAGGAATGGGTAAACTCTTCTGAATATGAATAATTTTCTTCTTTCTTCTTTAATTTTTCACTTTATATTATGGTTTGGCGTTGGGCATAGTAATCAAAAAACTAAATTGTCATATTACAGAAGCTTTCAAAAAAAAATAAATCCAGAAATAGAAGACGTTCGTGCCTATGCCATAAATGTTGACAAGTCGAGCATTTCAATAGACAGTTTTTCCATTATTGAGTAGAAAGTTTCTGCGCCAATGTCAAGCATAAGAAATAATGAGACGTCATCAACTAAATTTGACAGTTTCCAACGGAGTGAAAGGTCAGTCCACAATTATCAGGTCATATCAGCCAATAACATTAACAAGCTATACTCAGCATCAGCGGAGAAAAGGGAATGAAGGCCATCAGGATAACGGTTTTGGAATGGCCATTGGATGGTTTAGGATACAAAAGCCTCAGTGGTCTCATTGACACGTGAAATTGCGCGAAGCTGAACCAAAAGGAACCTGGCGCCTTGATTTTGATCCGCAAGTTGTAGCACAGACAGTGTTTGACTAGTCTCCGGTGCAAACTATCTACACCAGCAGTACCAACCAACATGTAACCAGAAGGCAGAAACACAATCCTAACTGGTCCATAAGCCTCCATTCAACAGACTTTCCCACATTTCATATAATCTTTGATAAGCAAAAATAAGAGTAGGAAGAGACAAATTGCACAGAGACAAGTACCCAAATTCGATTTTCAGCATTGTGCGTTTTCCTGTCACATCAGGCTACAGCTGTATCCTTACTTATTTGATTGAAAGAAAATGCACGGGACATGGATATATAAAGAGAAGTATGGGTATAAAAATGAAAAAAATGGTAACTAAACGATCTAGTTAATGCGTATTGGGTTTGAATCCTGGTTATTGGATTTGCACACCCCACAACCAGATCCCATTGTCACATGGTGGTCACACCCATCTCTTCAATAAGGCCCTTTGCTATTCTTTCGTCCTTTCTTAAAAAGAGAACTCCAAATGCTTTTCATTTTCCTAAACACCATTTAAGACATGATAAAGATAGAAAGACAGCAGGTAACTGACATCGTTAGTAGTCTGTCAATCCTATTCCTGACAAAGTTGTTGATGCCTTCATCCTAGACTCGCATTCTAAATAATCAGTTTGATAGAGTAGAAAATCGAAATGTTATGAGAATTTTGACCCCTCTCTAGCCCGAGACCTCTACACTACAGTCCCTTTTCTCTTTATATCCCATGTACTACTTCATATAGCAAATTCTTGATTTTGAAAGTCAAAATCGCTCCACTCTAGATAAGGCTAATTTTATAAACTTCGCCCAAGAAGAAGGGGACTACGAATTACAGATGGCGATGTTCTGTTGCCCTTCCTCCACTGACCAAAGAAAGTACCCGCACAAGCAGGATAAAAGGAAATGACGAAATAGGAAAAAGCCCAGATGTCACAATAGAAACGAAATAATTACGCAATCACGCGAATAAAAAACTTCGCTGCCATTTGGATCAACCTATCAATTTGTCAATGATTCTGGAACTGAAAATATCTGAAGTGACACCAGTTAATAATGATCAAAATGTTTTAAAATATATATTTTGAGAGTGAAAAAAAAAAATCCTCTAATTTTCAAGTAAGGATCGTCTTATGACCAAAGAAGTCAAGAAGCAAGTTTCAGTCAATACGTTAATTGATACCAGAGAAACAGTTGTCTAACGTCTAAAGCAAGTTGATACCTTGTAATGACTCTCTCGTCTCCTTGTTAAAGACAGAAAATGATAGAGTTGAAGATTTGGATTCAAATCGAGAATTATAATCAAACTCTACAGAAAAGTCATTATATACATAACGACGTAGAACAGCATAAAATGCCAAAGCATATATGTTTGCGGATGCCATTCAAAATTTTAGCATAAAATGTTCTACTCATTTGCTTTCATTGCATTCCTTTGTTTAGATTACTTCAGCACTAAAAACCAAAATTGCCTCCCCCCTCTCAAATCTGAAACATCTATGTGAAGTTATAATGTTTTTAGCAGAAAATAATACAATCATTTCAAGGGCTGTTGAATCCATCTGACATCATTGATCTAAAACCACGGTTAATAATTCTACGTAATGTTTGAAAAGAAGGAAAATAAAAAATGACGATTAACTGTGCACATTCTTTTTGAGTTTCCATCAACCATCAACCCTAAGTCGCATAAGAAAAGGTAATGCTAATACCTGTAACAGTAGATCTTCAACAATCATGCATCATGATACTCTTTTGAAAAAAATGAAAAATGATACCAACTATTTACCTGCATGTATCCTTCATTTTCTTCTCCAATTCCAATTCCTCCAACTAAAATCGGGTGGTAGGGATCAAAATGTTCAACCATCTCATGAGGCACATTGTGGACCTCCAACCGTAAGTAAGTTCCTGTCCTAAAACCTTCGATTTCAATGCGTGTAGCATCATCAAGATCATTGAGCTCTGCTATATTCATCTGTTTGCGAAGCTCGATCTCCTCCTTCAACTGCAAAATCCAGGTTTTCATATAGCATGCTTTTGGCTAAACAAATTCAAACTTCAAATTACCGTGGAATAGCTTACTTTGTCAAAATATCCACCATCAGAAGCATGGTCTCGAGAAGTACTAGCATTCTTTCCGTCACTGGGCTCATCATCTAACTGTTCAGACCCATCATATGTAGGTTATAGTTAAGGTATCATATTAGCTCACAAATAATGAACACAGAAAACATTCAAAAACGGAAAAGTATGATAAGGACATCAACTATCATAAGGCAGAATATTGAAAACATCAAATTATTCAGGTAACATATGTTCAACAAGGACACAAATGCAAAATTTGCTGACACTTATGTTTTAACCTTTTAGCACAACATACACGTTATGACTAGATAAAAACAAACAGGCCAAGAAAGTGCTGATAATGGTAAGAGATCAGAAATTTACCAAGAATCAATTGTTTAGCTATCGATCTCAGACACATTTCAATAGATTTTATGTTTCTAATATTTACGATAGGTGTTTAAGTGCATACATACACACACACACAGACACACAGAGACACACAGAGACACACACACAGAGACACACATATATATGTATATAGCGAGCGAGCGAGAGAGAGAGAGAGAGAGAGAGAGAGGAGACTAGTGTTTGTGCGCGAATTTGCATGTCTGAGCCCTATGCTCTCATGGCTGATGTTCATTTGCAAGCACTCACACCTCTAAATTAATATTAATGTTAAAGATATAGCTTTGAAGGGTGAAGAAATCATGTAATTTTTCTGAATCTCATAAATCATTGAAAAAAGGATATTGAGCGTCGAATTTTGCACGAAGAGCAAGTTTTTTCAACTTTCGCTCCTCAGCTGCAGGGTCAGCACCTTCTTGAGCCACTCCATTTTTATCTTCTGACGTAGCCTGGCTATTAAAAACCTCTCCAGTCTCTAAATCCTCAAAATCACCGTAGTTCGAGTCATCGTCATCTTCAGCACCATCAGCATCATCTGTTGCATGGCCTCTACGTGCAGCTTTGGACCAATCTCCAGTGACAAAGCGATCACGGATGCTTTGAATAAGATCATCATTGGACCAATCCTTTGTGTTTGCATAATTCGAGTACTTGGAGCAATCTTCAGCACTAAAACTATCAGCCCCAATACCTTCATTTGATGTCTACAGCATTCAAGAAACAAAATTACATATGTTTTCAAAAAGACAAACTATACGAAATGGCGAAGTCTAACAATACCTTTTCCCTCTCTCCTTTTGGCTTGAAGAACTCGTCATCCTCACCATCTTCACTCTCGCTCCCGCTCAGTCTTTCCTGAACAGCAGCACCAATCTCGAGTCCAGGTTGCCCATATACAAGTTGCATGAGGTTCTTATTCTGCCTTGAGATGGTTCTGGCAGCCAACGACTCTTTCCACTTGGAGGCATTTCCTAATTCATCTGCAGTTTAACCAGAGAAAGAAAAACAGTTTCACCTGAAGATGTCACTTCAGAAAATAAAACACCATTGTTTCTTTTAAGAATAGCATCTTATTTCCGCTTTGAAGCCAGGCAATAACTGGCAAAACAAATGAAGAGAAGGGAGATGAGGACTAACTGTCCGACCATGGCCAAAGCAACTGAAAATTAGAAAAGTAACAAATCACTAACAGATATTTCCAAGTCTGCAACACTAGAAGGATTACAAATTACTGATTTCTTCTGAAAGAGGTCATGAAATAATTTTTTAAAGTCAACTCCATTTGAGAACCAAGCGGCAGCTACTCACTTACCGTACTATGATCCAAATGTGTAACCAAAATAATGACTCGAGGCCATTTAGAACTTAACTACTCGTTGATTGAAACTTTCCGCCATTAATTTTGAAAACAACATTTCTTACAGCAGATAAACTTAAATGAGAATGAATAAATAACTGCAAGTGCCTTAGAGAAGTTGAGTGAAAAGGATAAAAACCTTCAGTCTGAGAGTCATCACTTTCATTTGATGAGTCTGAAACTGAGTCCAATTGCTCATCAGCACTTAGTTCCTCGGATCCATGTAATTCAGCACCATCTTCTTCAGCATCCTGTTCGACATGCAATGTTAAAAGATGAGAATCATGAGATAATCAAAACCTATAATCGAAAAACAAACATCTAGTGGTAGGAATATCGAAAGTAGACAATAATCAACAGGGAACTAAAATGTTTTATTATCATAGTTGAATGCTAGGGATGTTTTAGCATCAAACAAGTTGCATACTACAGCTTTCTTTATAAAGAATGTGTTGTTAGGAGCCTTCAAACCGTAGCCTATGAGACAAAGGCACATTAGATAACAGGTGTCATCATACTTGCCTATTTCTTTCCAAATGCTCAACATGTTTGTATGTCGATCAGGCTAGTTGAGATTAATGTGATATACAGCTTCCTTGAAAAAAGATAACACCAATATGGTCTGGGGAGGCCTCAAAATCGAGGACTAAAGATCTTGTTAAAAACTCGTAGCCCCATCTCACTCTGGAACATACAGGAGCCATAAGAATGGACAAACTACATCAACGTCCATTCCATAGGGTTGTCCATAAGACCCGAGCCCGCTTCAACCCCAGTTATTTTCCAGACTTGTGCCCCAAAATCAGACAGATCAATTTTTAAACTGAAACAGACGGTATTGCATCAAAGCACTTAAATATAGGAAATACCTTTAAATCAAAAACATCATCGTCTCCTGCAGAAACAGCTTTCCTTCTCATTCTCCCATTATGAAATTCTATCTTTTCTTTCAAATCAGTATCTAAAGGATTCTGATGCTCATCATCGGATGAGGCATCATCTTCTTCCTCAGCAGGATTATCAGCTTCACAAACCTTTCCTTGATCTCTTTCCGTAGTTTCATCACGCTGTAGCAACATCTCTTTGTCCATCTTGTCAATCTTCAGGCTAGGGTTGTCAGGGTTTCCTATATCATTACCACTGCTGTTGCCTCCTTCGGAAACAGAGGGCTTTCTACTGAATAAATTAATGAAACTTTGCTCCAATTTTTCATCCAAGGAGTACTTAGTATTCTGAAGTGTCTTTACCAAGGCTATGCCAACATCATGATCATCTCCTGCATCAGACAACATCAAGAATATGTTAGGAAAAAAAATCCTTATGAAGGAGGGCAGCCTAAAACAAAAACGAATAGCACAAAAATACCACGTGACTATGTTTAATATATTCTCAAGTATGTTTAAACTAGTACCAAAATGACAACAACTAGACAACAAATTCGCTATCCTATATATGAGGAGCATTATATTGGAGGTCTACGGTTCTCAAATCCCCAAGTGGTCAATGAACATTATTTTCAACGAGGAAAACATTACTTATTCAGAGAACATAAAAAAAAAAAGAGCACGCCATATTTTTTAAACATTGCCAAGGCAATTCCAGGAAAACAAGGCAGCCTAAATGTCCAAGACACATGAACGACTAAGCATCAACAGGATCAGTCTAGCATCAGACACAAATGACCGTCCATGAGACATGTTCAACCTGACAACTGAATGTATAAAGATGTTTGGGACGGATACAACAGTTCGTTACTGTCTGAATAATTTATGTTACTATTCTTTCATATTTTAGAGGTGCTCAGACATGCTCTTTATTATTTGCCTAACATTTAATAATATTTTTATTTTTATTTTTTCAATATACTTTAAACCAGGCATTCTATCCTGGTCTCAACACATTGTAATACTCTCAGGGTAAATATGTAGAACAAATACAGACCACACCTCGACCAAGATCAAAAAAATAATTCAAGTGTCTAAAAAACAACTTCATGACTCTTCCTCATTACAAGAAATGACTCACCGCCCCTTCATTACATAGCAAATAAAATCAAACATCTTTTGAGTTCAAAATCTGTTGCATTTCAAAAATATCAGGTTCTTCTAGCTGTAAATGGCCCAAAGGATTGGATTATTCCATTCCTTCCTTAAGGGTCCAATGCTGATTCCTCATTAAACACAAGAAGGCATATGCCCCAAAGGATGATATTGTCACATTCTTTCAAAGTAGAACAGTATGCTTCAGACCTTAGCAATGTCAAAACAAAATCCCAATTGATGATCCACAAGCTTCTATTGATTGCGTCTACATTTTCCTCCCCATTTAGTATCAAGCTATCCTGAATACTTATCACCACTCTCATACCAAACGAAAACACTGCATCAGCAGTTAACATCCTTGTCACTATTTAGAGATCCTTAATAGAGATAAACAGCAGATCAGAAAGCTGAATAGCACGTCCTCACATGGAATTTGCATTAAAAAATTCAAGTAGTCTTCATATTTTTTCCTTTCACAGACTCAAAAACTCATGTAGTAAGTGGTATTTCAATGCAAGGAGGAAATTCTCCACCCTCCCAACCAATACCATGAACTTCTAAGCTCGCTTCTCACCATATTCACCCACTCAACTAGGCTCTTGTTTTAATTCACATAGAGTGTCAATTCGTTTCTTCTACAAATTCCAAAGCCAACCTAGTCACGTAGAATTGTTCTCCAACAGATGGAAGATGATGGTATCATCTGCAGGCTGAAAAATCGCTACCTCTAAACCTTGATGGACGTGGCTTATTAATAGTATAGTTATCTTATATATCGGATGAATGGTTGGGGCAAAAACAGAACACGAACAGGATTTTGCCCTTAAAGGTCACCAACTAGATTGAAAATAATCGCCATGGCTGGCCATGGAGCTTTTTAAATTTACATGATAATGATAGTGATTCTTGTTAGCCCAACAGATTCCCATTAATCACCTATAAAAAAATAAGAGAGCCACGACTTCCAGCCACTTTCAATTCAATTCACCATGATATATTGGGTCCTCTTAGGACAGTATGAAATTTCAAATAAAGCACTCAATATGTAAGTAATTAGCTATTTGAAATAACTAGTCGCATCACTTTAAAAATGATATAAAAAATTTATTCACAAATCAAGCACTAACAGCTGAAAGGTGACAGTTTCTCTGGCACAATGCCTTATGCATTCAAATTCAGCCAAGTTGATGCTCATAAATAGTGCCATTAGCATTTATGAATTCAACATTCCGCACCAAATTTGCATTGCATGATGCATTTATCCACATAAGCATGAATTATGCAAATGTGAATGAGTGACATTGACGTCACTTCAAAATGCCTAGTTGAGGTAAATGCCTTTGGCACGTGTTGCCTAGGTGAAACTCCCTCATATAAACCGGCATCATCTATCAAAGCTTCTTTATGAACTCTCCTAAATTTAGTAATATAGTTTTGCATACTTTTTACAGGAACAGAACAACACTCAGATACTATGGAGTTGAAATATCAAAAACAAGCTGAGCAGGGTACTGATCTGCATCAGCAAAGGGTAAAAATCAAGTGCCTACTTGACAGTTTTTTTTCGCAAGTAAACCTTGGGCTTGGCGAGCCCCAGAAACAAACCACTTATCCTGATTATGGAGGGAAATAAAGACATAAGTCACTAAACTGATTATGACCATAAAGATTCGTATGTCCTAGTTACCACTTAGAGACGGAATTGGTAGTAGCGGAATATACTTCCTCCATGTGGGACCAGATCTCTGATTTGTATTACTCCATCTGAATCGGAGTAAGTTCAACAAAAAAAAAAAAAAAGCAGAAGATTTAAAAATGACAGAAACACTAACTCAGGTTTATCTATCCTCCAACAGGATGACAAACACACCAAAGCATGGTCACTCCCCAAAGAACATTATCATAAAACTAAATTTCCAGCAAATGATTGAAAGGTGCACAAGGCAAAAATAGTCCACATTAAAAAAACCAAGTTAAAGCAGCTAAAAAAAAAGTGAATTTCTGGGATACCTTTTCTCTTTGCTTTGTTACTTCCATCCTCGACATTGGAAAACTGAACAAGATGATCATTAATGTTGATATAAACAGCATCTTTGTCATAAAGCAAGTCCCCAAGACCAGACATAGGTGCATGAAAAAGTTTTTCCTTGTCACGTAAGCCTTTCTTTTTTGCAGCTGATGGTAAGGGACATGGATCAACCAGACCTGTAACTCCAGCAACGTTGCAATCACCCACACCAGCAATATGTACCTGAATTTTCGTGGGTCAGGGGTCAACACACAAGCCTACCAGGGAAGACAGACATGCGAAGCTACTTAGCCATGGGCATTTCATCCATCATGATAATGTGTTGCTGCCATCTACAACTGATTTAGCACAATGACCAGAACTCTAATCATAGAATTTCATCATCTAAATGTAGAGAGCGCGATATCTGACATGATCTGATATGAAAACCTTGATATCTCAACTTCCATTCAAATTTTACCAGTGACAACCAAAAATTATCCCCCAAGTATAAAGGGCATATAATTTACCACTGCTTGATTTCAAAAACCTCTTTTTAAATTTGTACTGAATCTAAAAATAATAAAACTAAATATTTTTATATATACTTTGATAGCAGATATTCTAATAAGATGGCTGAAAATGGATACCAGTACCCATATTCACCCAGGAAGGCTAAAAATGCATACCTTTGTGCCTTTCTTCATATTACAACCACGAAGGTAGCCATAAAGTGTGATATTTCTATCGCACTTTCTATTGGTCTGCACTCTTTCTGGTGGAGTTATGTCTTCAAAACGATCAGCTAAAACATAAGGGTGTGATATTCTCCACGTCAAGGGACGGAATTTCATGACTGAGATAAATCTTGCAAGATTGTGTACTTCACGTTTAGGATATCTGACAGAAAGACAATTGACGAAGACAGTTACATGTGGAGGTCACAATAATCCAACTTGCCATATTCACCAATAAAAATAGAAAAGATAGCAAAGTAAAGACATCTGCAAGTGAAATATTATAGGCGACACATCAGATGCAACAAGCATTACGGATTCAAACCAAAGGGTTAAACCATAATAATCATGATAAATTATTAACACATTCATGGTTAACTTTTATATATGGCTTTAAGGACAGACACGGATAAACTCAACTTACTTCCCATGAATAAGTCCAGAAAGGTAGAAAAGTTTAGCGCCATCATATATTTCAGTCCAGAACCTATGCTTGAGTCGTTGCTTTGTCTTCCTCAATTTCTTTACATCTTTGAATTTGTCAAGATGCGTAAGGACACCCATAACTCTTGGAAACCCATGAACTTGCAAAATATTAAGAAACTCGAAGGTTTCCTGCAAAAGAAAGTATCATTAACAAGATGACTACAAACTTTCCCTCAGAAACACTATATGGGATATTTTCAGTTAAATAATACTCTCTCATTGATTACATGATATGTTCCAAGAGCAATATGATAGGTCATTCTGACAGATAAGCATTAAACACACAATATCAGAGCATACACATCTAATGCAAAGTTGTAACTTAAAAAGAATCCAAGTTTGTCGAAGTGTAAATTCGTCTTGGTTCCATCTGTGATTTTCCAGACCTAGCTTAGTTGATGAAGCTCTTTTAGATCATCCTGTACATTGCTCACTTCTAGTATCGCAAGCTGAGCTTTCTAGTCAGCATAGGTCAACGCAAAAAACCAAAACCGTAGACGACCTAAGGTTAAACCCATCTAGGGTAAAAAATAAGGAAACAGACTGACAGACAGAAGCAGAAGAAGATCAGTAACAATACACATTATAATCACAACAAGATATTATTAGCAGAAGAAAAATTGAAGACAAGTTTTTTCAAACATTCCAAAGATTTAGTCATTTGAATCATTCTCTTCTCAGCAAGAAAACGCAACCAACTCCAAAAGTTATTTGCCAATCTCAAAAAAAAAATGGAATTTTTTGCTTCTGTTGAACATTAATAATAATTCAGCATAAAATTATTTTACCCTGAATCCTTTCAGGAATTAAATCAAAGAGCTCACCATTTCAAACCCGTAACTTCCATCAACTAGCAGTAGTGCAACGTCAGCAACTTTTGCAGCATCAATCATTCCATTAATATCATTTGGGCATTCCACAAACTGTAGTCTTCTCTGCTTACCTGACAAACGGTAATACACATGGAAAATAGTCGGTAAGATGAACTTATTTTGGATCAGATGGCATCACAATTTTATCGATGAAGGAAAAGAATATTGCATTTGGTCGATGAATAACTTTCAAATAAATGTACACGGCAGACATCCTCTTTGATAAGTTGGCCTTAAAAAACAAACTGTAAATTAGAAAAAAGGTTTTAAAGAAAGAGAGTAAACCTGACACGACAGTGATTGGACCTCGAACATCAGGTAAGTTATGCTTTGTATAATGTTTAATAAGAGACTTTATCAACAAAGACTTTCCAACCTGCATAAAAATAATAATGTGAGGATAGGAGCATTCCCACGAGAAGTACTCATCATGTTTCCCACTTAGAGAAAATTACGAGCTATAATATGTTGGATTAATAGCAGTTGGTGGTAGAACTACCTTTGGAGGCCCATGCACCACTATGACATAGGGAGCCGGATCTCCAACTGAGCGGTCAATTACTGGAACGTGAAGCCTACGTTGCTCTTTTTCTGTAGTGCGGGATTGCAAACGTTTGGCCTTCACTGTTGAAGTAAATGCAAAGGCCTAGCATAACAAGAAGACAATTTCCTTTAACAAAAGTAAGAGCTTTGCGCATTTCTTATATCACATAACATAAATGAAACCGTAAACTATGCTGACACTCAGATTACCCTGCGCAACGTTCACATATCGCAGAACAGAACGGAATAATACATGGCACAATAAGCAAACCTTGGGATTTTGATTCGTCTCCTTCTTTTTTTTCTTATCCTTGGAAGATGCTCCACTTTGGCGTGTCCTGTGGGACTTATTAGACTGCTGGTTCTCAACGAAATTCGACCCCATGCTGTTTCAACTGGGAGCTGCATTTATGTGTGGCAACATTATAGCCCAATCGCTAGCGCGAGACATAAAGATATATCTATACCCTCAATCAATTTAAGAGTCTGACTTTCTTCAGGCCTTCTAGAGTTCTTTAATTGGTTTGAGAGGCAGTAAAATTACAAATTAAGGCGAGAACAAAAGAAAAGAGAGGAAAAGAGAGGAAAAAGAGAGTGCGCTGTCCCACTCCGTCGCCATCTTCCACGGAAGAGGAAAAGAAAGCAGAAGAACGGAAGAATAGGGGAACAGAGTGCGGAACCTGGCCCCGTCGCGGCTGCCTTCACACCCACCGTCTGCCGCCGCTGCTGTCGCCAGCGACTGTTCTTCAACTTCCTGTCCCACCGCCACCAAATCGGGAGGGGGAGGGAGGGGTTTTGGAGGGTTTGATTCTGAAGTGAGGTCCTTCTTCTGCATGATATTTACTAGAATGCCCTTCATAAATATGTAATTGAAGAAAAACATCAAATAAAATATATTTTCTTTTAGACCTCTGAATGTGGTACAAGTTTATCAAATTTACCGGAGTGTCATCGCATCCCGTTTAATCAATTTTAGATGAGTTACATCTCACATAAACCTCGAAATATTGCAAATAAAAGGGAGTTAATGCGTCAAGTTAATGGGTTAATAAGCTTACTTGGCATTTGATCTTCCCACACAACATAAAAATAAGGCTCAATATTTTTATTATGGGATGTTGATGATTGATAAAACTTACTTATATCTACGCATCATAATTTTTTTGAATAAGTATTTTAAATTCATAAAATATGCATTAATATCAATATAAAGTAGAACAATTTCAAAAATAATAATAAACCATTATAAATGGGTCACATCAAATGGTTAGATCTGATCATACATCTCATTCTCTAGATGGGTTATAGATTATAATTAGTTATGTCATTAAATAGTTGGTAAATATGGCACCCGCTTTGGAGGAATCAATTCATGTTGTTAATACTATCAAATTTTAATAAAAACTTGTAATATTCCAAATGTCAGCTTAGAATTTGGCAAGCCATTTGGTGTGCAAGAAATCTATTAAAGATTGCAATACGGTTATTGAAATTCCATGGTCTATGATTTTAGACTCAATTGAGAACTCAAATATTAAAAGATTTAAGGTTTTTTAACACCACCATGAACTATCAATTGAGAACTCAGATATCAAAAGATTTATTGAAATTCCATGGCCTATGAATTAAAAGATTTAAATATTTTAATAAAATTTTATCCCAATACCAACAAAGAAAGAGATATTTCTAATGATTGAGAGGGATCCAAAGGAAAATATTTAGGGCGTGAAATATCATATTGTTATTTGGTATTAATCCTTTAGTAGCAATTTGGTAATCCATTAAAAATTGAATGGGTTGAGATATTTGAGATAACCAAGCTATTGTCAATCTTAGAAGGTTGCATGATCCAAGTTTAATGGTAAGAACTTAGCCTAGTTGACTTAAATAACACCTTGTTATGAACCATATGACATAATTTTCATCTTTCATGCGTTTTTATGCACGCACTGATATGAGCAATCATATTTAGTTAGACTTTTAGTGCTGTTTTTCTTGGTCATAAAAATGGTATTAATGGTCAATATTCTATGATATTCAATGAATGTTGACTGCATCTTGTTCTTCACTTTATATTGTCAAATGTTTTTATTTTTAATTAATATATTGGTCAAATATTTAAATCTCAACATGCTTTGTGTTAGGGAATATTGATTGGGTCTTTTCTCCAATCATGTTCCAAATTAATGTGTAGGATCATACTGAGGAATGTAGCACGTTAATTTTAGTTTATTTATTAAGTCAAAATACAATGTCTTTTAGTGATATTTAGTTAAGTAGAGAGATGTAGAGGTTGTGGAGAGAAGTATGAGAGCGAGCATCAGACTGGTAATTTTGGCCAGTTTTTTCGAGTCGGATCCGAACCATTACAGAATGCCGTTTGCGGACCTGTCTAGAAGAGTGAGAGATGACTTTGCAGCCCTCCCCAGAGGCGCGCGATCTCCGGAGATGCAGGACCAGTGCTCCGGCAGATCTCTCCTCTTGCTCGGGCACTTACGGCGAGCTCTGATCGCCGCCCGGTGAAGCTCTTCCGCTCGAGCGACCGGAGCACGCCGGAGAATCTCGTGGCGGCGGCGGTGGCCGCCGTCCTCTTCCCCCCATTGTGTGTGGGGCGAAGCGGTGGGTGGTGGGAGAGAAGATGGCCTTCATGGCGGTGCTCGAGTCAGATCTGCGCGCTCTCTCGGCGGAGGCTCGTCGGAGGCACCCGGCTGTGAAGGACGCAGCTGAGCACGCGATCTTGAAGGTGGGTGGCTGGATACCATGGGCTCCATCTATTTTTTTAGATGATGATCTCTCCGGTTCACCTCAGCCGGTTTTTCTGCTGTTGAATCGGGATTATAATTTCCGTGTGCCGGCTTTTTTCTTCGGTGATAGATACTCCCCTAAAGTAGACGACGATGCTCCTCAGGCATCACATAAATGCCAGATGGCTCATTTTAAACCTCCAAAACGTACCGGTGCTTTGACTGTGATGGAAGCTTATCATAAGTCGTTTGTAATGCGTGGGGATGGCTCTGAAGCCTGTTTGGTGGGACTAGTAGGCGGGGCACATGCTTGCAGAAAGAATTCTAGGTGCATTTGTTGCTGCTAAACTAGGAGAAGCTGGTGGGTAGTGGACTGTTGTAAGACAAGAGGGGACATCAATACGGTGGAGAAAACTGCGAATCTTCCTCAAGAGGAGGGCACTAAATGGCTAGTGAGCTTGTTTCTCCTGCAAGAAGCTTCAGGTCAAACGACAATTCAAGGTCATTTGCAAACAAAATGGAACGTATTATGCTAAATCCCTCGTCGATTTGATGAATGCAGAGGAAGTAAGATATCCTTCAGTTTGGGGGCATTTGGAGAATTAAATTAAAGTTAATAGCTGGAATATTCGAGTGGTGGGTCTTCATGACAAGAAGTTGTCAACCATACCTTGTTAATCTGCCAGGTTTGCTAGATGAGGGTTTGCCGTTCTCATGGTCACTTTTGGGCTGTATGAGTGGCCAGTATATCTTCCTTACAACCTTTGAATAAAAACAATGCCTGATATTAACTAGCTTCAATGTTGAGGAAAAACAGGCTAATTAGAGGACACAAGTTGGCCTAGTGTAATGCATATATTTATGTCTATATAAATGCTATTTCTTTTAGAATCTGGGGACTGCATTAGTTCTGATTCCTTACCCTGCATCAACTCAAACAGGTCCCTGATTATTAAGTGAAAAATTCATTTGCATAAAGATTAATTACTTGATTACTATTTGGCATGCATTAGATCTTGTTGTCCCTGAATTTTTTGAATTTTTTTCATTTAAAACCTTCATCATTTTGCTGTTATCGGTTGGAGTAAGAGATACTAACGTTATGTGTTGTTTTTGGCTGCAGCTTCGTTCCTCATCCAGTCCCAATGAAATTGCACAGAATGACATAGTACGAATATTTCTTATGGCTTGTGATGTTAAGTCAGTGAAACTTAGTGTGATTGGTCTCTCGTGCATTCAAAAGCTCCTGTCAAACGATGCAGTAATCACTTCGTCACTTAAGGATATAATTTCAACATTGAAGGATGTAAGGATCTTTCCAAACATATAGCCAGTATTTCTTTTTGGTGAAATACGCTTTTTAGTTTAGATAATTTCTGATCATTTTTATTATCTACCATATCATTAGCTTTGCAGTATATGTACAATGATAAAGATAGGATATCAAATCGGCTACCTCATGAAGAGGCTGACATGTGGGGGTTCCTTTGCTTGGGATCTCTTCTTAATTGAATTAGGAGACTTCATACACATGGAGCTAAAAAAATCTTTATGAGGTTCTAAGTTTCCTGTTTCTCTCTTGGAGATATTTGGCAACAGAAATGTAATTGGCTCGGGAAACAAAGTGATGTATATGAACGGATCAAAGTTTCCTAAATCCATCAGAAGCTACTTTCATAGGAGATTTTTTGTGTGGGTCTTTTAAACAATGTCTTTAGCTCTTTTTATCCATCTTATTTTTATAAAGATGCGACTGCCAACCCATTGTTGACTGCATGGAACATCGATTGCTGACATCTCCTGCCTCTCTTGCTCTCACTTGCTCATAGAGGGTTGTCTTGGCTAGATAATGGTTTTTTTAAAGCAATGAAGGAGATGGTCATTGTCTGAAGTGCTTTAGCAATTGTTGTTTACATATTTGAAACTCATTATACACATTTGAAATCTCTGGCAAATAAGTTAAGCATATAACAAAAAAGTAAAATCATGATAATAAATTACTGTGACAAGATTTTAAGGGTGATGAAGAAAGTTATTATCTATTTTGATATGATTCTCATATTGGCACTTGATGTTGTCCTATATATACACATAGGTGGAGCTTATTTTTTGGTTGCCTTGGGTTTTATTTTATGAACACGTTTACATTATATTGTTTAATTGTTTGCTTCTCTGCCCTTGCTCCATTTATGCGGGAAAGTGAGCTACTGTAATGTGTTTTTTATAGTCACTGGAGGTCTATATTTTTTCTCATATGCTCTTAGAGGACCATTGACTGAAAGTAGTTTTCTTTTTATTTGATTGACTAGCTTTGGTATGACCCTGACGTCACAAGTATCATTTCCTTTTCAGCATGCTGAAATAGCAGATGAAGCCGTTCAACTTAAAACCTTACAAACAGTGTTAATCATATTCCAGTCACATTTGCATCCTGAAAATGAGGTATAAATAATCTGGTCCTTGGTTAGTACATACAAGGCTTATTATTCATAGTTCCATGCAATTTTCTGTGTTCAAATGTTTAGTTGTTACAAAAATTCCAGTTGAAATTTTTTGCCTGTTCAATCTGTATGATTTCCTGTTATTATGTGCTAGCAATTAAATACCACTTGTGCAAAACATTACCTTTGTTACACCTGTAAGCACTTAAGTTTCTATTCTTCTGTTGTTATCCTATTTTTTCTTTCCTCCAGGTTACAATTTTATGGGCATATTCGTGAGCAATATAAGATCCAACTTTGAGAAACTAACTGGGGTTGAGTTAGTTCTTATTCAAATTTTGTAAGAAGTGACATGGGAAAAGAGAATAGTGAGCCTACGAACTTGGGTTTAGCTTGGTGGAGTTGGCAATGTTTGAGGCGTCTACCTGCTGAGGATGGGAAGAATATTTCAGGTATAGAGGGTGATACTTTCTACAGAAGAAAATGTGTTAATTGTGGTCATCCCGATCATGAGTGTGGACTCATTCTCTAGTTTCATGCACAATCTTGTGTTTTCATAGAAATACAGAGGAGAGTAATGGGGTTATCTTAGCCTTAAATTCTGAAGTAGAGCTCTCAACAAAATTGCAAAAATAAAACTAAAATATATCCTGAGGAGAGAAGTTGTGTCTTTCTTGTAGCACTTTTTCATCACTATCTACATCAGTGACAACTCTTGATAGAACAAGGTGGGCTGAAACAAAAAAAGTAATTGAAACTCAATATCAGTGATTGCTACTATTGGCATTGGAGATAAATTGACAGGAAGTCTTGGGGTCGCTAGTCTTGGGCAAGTTTAAAGAATCATATGATCGGTGAAGAGAAGCTGAATATTACATTGCCTACTCCACAGCCGAATATTGGCTAGGAAAACCTATAGGATTTCTAAAGGAGATGATTTGCCCTGTCACAGATGTGATCATCATAATGGGCTACTTGGTCAATCAACTAACACTCTAGGCGTCTTGAAAAAATAAATTAATCTCATCGCTGCACATATTAATGAAAGACACGGAAATAAGTATGAGTGAGGCAGGTTGACAATTTCAGTGGCTAAAGATGATTGTTGGATTCATTGTTATGGGTTTATCTGTTGCAACTTTTACTTATTCTATTTTATGATCTCAAAAGTAAGAGATAGATTGATTGGACATAGGATGGATCATGGTTTTCTACACTCTTTTGGGGTTTGCCTCTCAAATGGTGCCAAGGATATTTAAGTGGGAGTACTTGTTCTATGAGGATTTTGGTGAATGTCTAAGGACCAAGTATGGAGGAAATTCCATCAGCATTAGGAAGTGTGGAGAGAAAGGGCATCGTCAACCATGAGAATCAAGATATTGAAAGGTAAAGGGGGAGTATAAGGGTTTATAGTGGCCTTAATGAGCCCTAGTGGGCCAAGTCCATAGTGGGCTGAGGCCACAATCTAACACTCCCCCTTAAGCTAGAGCGTATAGATCAAACATGCCCAGCTTGGTTCCTAGTGAGTCGTAGGAATTGCTATTGAGACTCTTGGTGAAGATGTTGGCCAATTGATTGGCCGATGACATGTGTGGAGTGGTGATGATGCCCTTGAGAACCTTGTCCTGAACAATGTGACAATCAATTTCGATGTGTTTGGTGCAGTTGTGGAAGGTGAGATTTACTACAGTGAAGATTGTAACTAGGTTGTCGTAGTATATAGGCATCAGAAGCGGTGTCAAGACCCCCAATTCTTACAAAAGAGATTGGAGTCATACTAGTGGGAGACAACTCACTACTTCCTACAGTGCCAAGTGACTAGGTTGCCGCCAACATATGTACAATAATTAGTAGTTGAATTGCAATCACCCTTGTCACTAGCAAACCTGATATCAGAGTATACCTCAATCTTGAGATGCTTATGGTGTTGGTAGAGAAACCCTTTTTCAAGCACTCGTTTGATGTATGCAAGAACGTAGAGTGCTCCCTCCACATGTACCTCTTGAGGTTCTTGCATGAATTAGCTAAGAATGTCAACTGCATAAGATATGTCTAGATGAGTGACAATGAGATAAAGTAGTTTGTCGAGTAGATGACGATATCAGTTGACATTCTCTAATTTGGGAGAATTATCCTCCTAGAACTTGGGCCGAGCCTTCATTAACAATGAAGCTGGTTTATATGTCAATAATCCTATCTCTTGAAGGTCCAACGCATATTTCTTTTGGGAAAGAGCAAGTTTATTTTGACGATAGACAAACTCAATCCTTAGGAAATACTGTAGAGTGGATAGATCACAAGTCACAAAGTGCTGATGAATATATGCCTTTGTAGCAGAGATGCCAACATCATCACTATCGGCCAAGAGGATATTAACGACATAGATTGGAAGCACTACACACCTGCCCAAGGTGATTTTGCGCATCACAATGAGATCAGCCATACATGGAGCAAAGCCAAAAGTAGTAATGGACATGTGAACTTCTCAAACTGAGATAGCCTGCTTGAGTAGACATACTTGAGAAGTCTCCTCTTAAGAAACATACCCCAAAGGTTGCTTTATGAATACTTGCTCAGCTAGAGCACTATAAAAGAAGGTGTTAGAAATATCTAGCTGATGGAGAGACCATGCCTAATTGACTACTAGAGAGAGAAGTACAGAGATGAAGTTGAGATGAATCATGGGAGAGAAGATTTTCATGTGATTGATGTTGTAAGCTTGGGTGAAGCCACAAGCAACGAGATGCACTTTGTGATGAGCAATAGAGTCATTAGGGTTGTACTTGAGGGAATACACCCATTTGCAAGTCTCAATGTTGGCATCAATCAACAAGGAACGAGTTGTCATGTGTCGTGCTGAACTAGGGCAGAGTACTTGACATCCATCTCCAACTTCCATTCAGGTATCTAGAGAGCCTCACAATATGTTTCGAGTATCAACTCTGATGAGACAGAGAGAGAAAAGTCTTAGAAGGTAGGGTGAAGGTGAGATCATAAGAAACAAAATGAGAAATAGGATGTTGAGTGTAGGAGCAAATGTCTTTGTGTAAGGCAATAAGAGGGAGATCATCGGGTGGGGAGGTAGAAGAGATAGGGGACCTCGACGAGAGTGGTACCGGATCGGAGGAAGGGGGTGAGGACTCGATAGGTGGGTTAGACTACAAAGACGTATGAGAGTCATGGACCACCAGAATATGTGAGGATGATGATACTAAGAGGTGGTGGGGAGGATGCTACAGAAGGAGTAGTAGAAGAAGAGTAGGGGACATTCTCATGGAAGGTAACATATGTAGATGTGAGTGTCAGAAAGATATACTCGATATCTCTTTTGGGTGCGAGAGTAGCCAACAAAGACACCTTTCAAGGCGTGAGGTGCCAACTCAGAAAGAGGGAGTATGGTCATTGCACAAATATAGTACAACTAAATACTTGGGGAGAGAGGAAAGAGGTTAGTTTGAGGATAAAGTTGATGTAATAGAATTGTGCCACCAACAACGGACGAGGGTTGACGATTAATGAGGAAGGTGGTAGTGAGGAGGACATTAGATTAGAGATAGTGTGGGACATGTAAGACTATGAGGAGTGTGCAAGTAATGTCAAGAAGATGTCGATGCTTTCACTCAACGACATCATTTTGTTGAGACGTGTAGGGGCAAGTAGTTTGATGAATGATGTCACACTCCTTACAAAAGTTCTAAAGGGCATTATAGACAAACTCCAAGGTGTTGTCTGTGTGGAGAATCTTAGGGGTAGTAGAGTATTGTGTGATGATCTCCGTGATGTATTGGTGGACTACATTGCAAACTTGAGAGTGGTCATTGAGAAAATATACCCATATAACGTGAATATAGTCATCAACAAAGACAATGTAGTATTATAATCCTATTAGAGAGGCAACTCGAGGTGACCCCCACATGTCATAGTGAATGAGGTCGAATGGTTTGAAAGTAAGGATAAAATCCCAAGGTGGATATGTAGAGCAGTGATGTTTACTTAGTTGACATGACTTGCACATAAACTTGGAAAGAGTAAGCCATAGAATGAATTTTTGAAGGTTTGATAATCATGGATGTCTCAAACAGCAATGCCACAACAAGCTTATAGACGTCACTACCATTCTCATGGCCGAAACCAATCCTTTGTCTAGTATGCAGGTCCTAGAAGACACAATGATAATGGAAGAAGATGGTGACATAATGTAGTGCACGAGTGATGACACTAATCGACAAAAGATTCTTAGGAAAACTGAGAACATAAAACACGTCCTAGAGTGGGAGATTGGCTGTGGGAGTGGTTGTGCCATACCCTTTGACAAGGCAAGAATGACCATCAGCGACGGAGATAGAAGGAATATAATTGGTGAGTGTAAGAGAACGGAGAAGGGAGGGGGACCTTGTTATATGGGCGGAGGCCTTTGAATTGATCAGCCAAAAAGTACGAGAGGGAAGTAGAGTGTGTGTACCTAAAGTGGGTGTGTCATATGTGAAAGTGGAGGGAAGGCTAGGAGAGGAGCCATGAGAGGAAGCACGAGAGGCCTTCCATTCCGCATACTCTTCAAGAGTCATGATCATCTGGACCATGGGAGTAGATAATGTAGGCGGAGGAGCCATAGAAGGCAGGTTGCTGACAATCATGGCTTGACCCCATGTCAACTTATTAAACTCCTTCCCTTTCCTAGTAGTCTTGGAGCCACGACCTCCACTAGGATTGTAGTAGCAAGGGCAGAGGGATCGAGAGTTGCAAGAGTGGTAGGAGCAAGAGATGTGTTGGTGTGCACATGAAGAGCCGTTAAGAAGATATTTGTCATTGGAGGAACCTAAGTGCTAGAGAGGACTTGGCCATGGATCTGATTAATGAGCTCTAGATGGAGACTGCTGAGAAAGGCCCTTATGTAGAGTTCGTCACGATAATGAGTGAGAGTGGACAGATCCGTAGTCGGTGGTTGATAGACAGATAGCTCGATGACGATATCTTGTAATTCACCATAATATGGCTGGAATGATTGTCTGCCTTGCTTACAAGTGAAGAGTGATTCATAGAGATGGACGATGCGGCTGATGTTAGTCTTGTTTGCATACATCATCTTGAGAGTTTGCCATAATAGGTGAGCTGGCTTTAGGCGACTAAGAGGTCAAATAATGGAAGGCTCAACACTCTAACAAAGTTAGGTGTTGATGGTGGAGTCAAGATGCCCCCAATGAAGATAGTCTAAAGATGTGACATCAGGCGAAAGTGACTGGAGGTGATGTAGAAGTCAATGAGTGTGAAGAAAGTTTTCAAATGCAGATGCTCATGAGCCATAATTGATGCTGCCAAAGATGTAGGTTGGATGAGTCAATGCAACCATGATGGAATGCCGGGGAGGGAACGAGGCAAGAGGTGAGGTGTGAGGGTATTGTCACCAAAGGCAAGGGCAAGTCATGGGAGGATGATCCCGGTGTATTTGTCATCAAAAGAAGAGATAGAACTCACCAAGATGATGAGAGGCACGAGCGGATGGCACACAAGGAGGCAGAAGATGCGCACATAGGCTGATGCACAGGAGGCCCTGGAGATCATGGGCCGGCATAGGAGAGGGCTGGACACCCTGAGGTCAGATCGACACATAGGAGGGCAAATCGACGCACACGAGGTCAGATCGACGCACATGAGGCCTTGAGGTCAGATCTTGCTGTTGACACCAGCCTTAGAGACCACGGGCTGGCGCAGGAGAGGGCTGGACGCCCTGAGATAAGTGCCCAGAGGGCCGGCGTGCCGACGTGGAGGATGAGAGATGTTGGTACCGATGTGCCGGTGTGGAGGGCGAGAGAGGGTTGACATGCGGTGTGGGGCGGGAGAGAGAGCAGCACAGGGCAGGCTATGTGCAAGAGAGAGAGAGAGCACAGAGATGCTGTGCAGGCAGCAGTGCAGAGAAATTGGTGGCTCAGGCCACCAGTGAGGGGCTGGGCACCTTGATGAAGCCGCCATGAATAGAGGCAGTGCCGAAGATACCACCAGAGAAAGGCAACGCGAGTGGTGGAGTGAGGGTGATGGATCAAGCCCCTATTGCTCTGATACCGTGTGGAGAGAAAGGGTGCTGTCAACCCTGAGAATTAAGAGATTGAAAAGGAAAGGGGGATAAGTACAAGGGTTTATAGTGGCTGTAATACCCCTAATGGGCCAGATCCATAGTGGGTGAGGCCACAATCTAACAGGAGGCATTCAGTGAAATCAACTTGATGATTACAATTTGGAAGAACTTTTATGTAACACCAAAGTGGGTCAGTTTTTTAATCTTTCATAAATCTTAATACAACTTCACAACCAATCTTTTTAGAAAGATAAAAGAATGTAAAGATAGTTAAAGATATGGATTTTTGACGGTTCAATCTTATATTATGATTTTTCTGAAGGTGGATAACTTCACATGATTATATTGAAGGACAAAGGAAAATGTGTACAAGTGTGAAAAATGTGAGCTCTCAAGAAGAAAACCCAGGATATTAGGACAGTCTTATACCAGCAAGGCATGTGATAGGAAACTAAGAAAAAATATGTACCTAGCTACCTAAAATAGTATGGACATTTCTTTCCTCGGAAAAATATTACCCGCTCCATTGAACTTCTCGTGAGCCACGACAAGATGGCACATGGTGAGGCACTTTTCCCGTCAAAATGTACGATCTTCTCTGTTTAGAAGGTAGAATTCCTTCTAAACAATGATGTTCCAAGTCAGCCAAAGCGCACTGAAAGTGCTTGGATTCTGCTGTTGAAGACCTGATCAACAAAAGACTCTCCTAAGAAAAAGAACATCCAAAGAAAAAGGAAGCTTCAAATTTTCTTTATTCTTGTTCTCAATTACTACTTGGTATGGCTCATGCCCAAAGAGTCCAAGGAACCACAAGAGGAAAGTCTCCTATGTGAAATCCTTCTTACCTAAGCCTTTACTTTTAATGGAGAAAATGAATCTGAACCTGCTGAGCCACAAGAAGTCTAATGCCTCCATTGGAGCTGATGCGGTATGCTGATTTACCTGTGTAATCACCTCTTTTTCTCTACCTCAGGTCGTACTATACACCTCTCCGCAAGTAGGCATAGCAGGTCTTTGAGTTTCCTCATCCCATAGGTTTCTCCCTGGACTTCCACTCTCATTCTATTTCGTTGTCAAAAGCATATCAGGTATGATGTTAAGGTCATGATGTGCAGGTGAAAGACCAATTGTCGTTTCAGAACCATTTCTCTAATCCATTTCCAATGAAAAACTTTGATCCAGCTGCCGCATATTTAAATCATCTTTCCAATTAGAGATTCTATTTAGGTAAATTAGTACAAAATGCTAAACTCTGTACCTTTTATAAGACTTCTGCTTGAAAACTTCTAGTCTGAGTCTACCATCATTTTTCCTCAATTTCTAGAGCATTTGGAGCTAGTTGAAATCTCTGCTTTTAGGAATGCCAAGGCGTCCATTGGTCTTGCGTTTACTAATCTGTCCCTAATTTACCAATATATGTATTCAATATTAGATCTTGAAGGTGATATGTATTCAATATTAAACTTTTAAAGAATCTTTACTTAGAATGTTTATGAATAATACAGATGAGTATGAATCAATTTTCTTAATAAATAGTCACGTTCAGTTGAACACATTTTCAAACGAAGAACAGGCATGAATGAACATAAACAATTTGTGAATGTCTTTCTATTTTTTTGTGAACAGTGCTTTGGTGGAAGGTGAGCAGCCAACCTTTCAACCATTCACATACAAATCAATGAATGCATGGGATGTTGCACCACTTGTCTACTCAGTGATGCCTTGAAAATTATGTAATCGGCTTAGAGTAGTTTAGCCATAGTGAGTCTACATTAACATTATATATATTAACTCTGAAAGTGCAATTCTTCATCATTTTTCTACTGTAATTAATTGCCCTCTTGAAGGTAGTCAGTCACTGCAGAACCGTTGATATTTAAAGTGACAAATGCCATTTGTGACAACATTGTGTATTTTTCGGTGTCATTGTCAGACAATAACTCTGCTCTTGCTTGTAGGAAAACCTGTCAAAAGCTCTAGGTATTTGTCTTCGGCTCCTGGAAAATAATAGATCTTCTGACAGTGTGCACAAGTAAGATATATTGCCATCTGATTTGCCGTCAAGAGAAATTCATTTGTAGACCGTACTTTGATTCACATTTTTTTAACCAGTACTGCTGCAGCTACTTTTCGGCAAGCCGTTGCTTTGATATTTGATAATGTTGTTTGTGCTGAATCGCTTCCTGCTGGAAAAGTGGGCTTTCAAAATCAAGTTTCTCGTACAAGCTCTGTTACCGATGATGTCAGTCGCAGTATAAATCAATCAACGTATGAATATAAGTTTCTGTTTTCTTGAATGTATAGTTCATGTTCTTCTATATAGATATGTATGGAGATGTGTGACTAGTTCTTCCTTTTACAGGTCATTGGAGGACGATTATTCTCCGGGTTTATCTGGACCATTGCGGGAAAACCTCAGTAAATCAGGAAAACTGGGGGTTCGTTTGCTGGAAGACCTGACAGCTCTTGCTGCAGGTGGATCTGTATGTGTTGTATAGATACTAGTCTTGGATAAACAAGAAATCTCTAGTTACATTCTTCTCAAATCACAAATGAACCAGAATCTCAGTTTCTTTAGCGTTTCCTTTTCTCCTGCCTAGTGCCTGCTAAGCATTTTTGTGTTTTGATATCTTTGTTTTTACTTTGGTGTTACCATCAGGCTGTCTGGTTGCGTGTTCATTCACTTCAGAGAACATTTTCTCTTGATATAGTGGAGTAAGTCTCGTTTCTACTTTTCTACTTTTTCTCAAGCATGGGCCTTCTCTTTTTATGAAGAATGAAGAATTGTGTGCAATTATTTTTATGTGCCAATTATTCTTTTTGAGGTTGTTGCTATTTCTGCTTGTCTTTCTGGTATTTTCGAACGAATCATTTGCCATCTTTTATGCCTCTTTTTTTTTTCCCTTCTCCTGCTAGCTCCATTTATGAGGTCATAAAAATATATAATCAGAAGTGTTGCTTATCTTCTGTGATGAGATAACAACTAAGGTCTTGTCTGTTTAAATTAATAATTTAGAAAGCCTTTGAAATTAAAGTCAGCAATATGGACCAATATCTTCATTTGCATAAATAGATATAAGCAATCATCAATGACTTAAAATTCTGAAACAAGATGAAAGTGTTTTATAGTAGGGTGAGAAAGAAAATGTCACGGTACCCTTATGTTCTTGCTGATTTGTCGTCCAACTTGGGGGTCTGTCTTCTCCGCAATTACTGCCAAATTTAATTTTATATGGAAGAGGTGGCTTCTAGTAGATCATCCTGCATTATATGCTACTTCAAGGATATGAAATGTCTCGGGGTATTGTTACCTGCATCTGTGGCTGGTGACTATGGCGATCCTAATGTCATGTTTGGGAACTACCGATTTTTTTGTTATTTTCTTCTGAAATCAAATGAATGAATTAAAATAGATGACTTATTTAATACATCAAAAATTTGATGCCTCTGTTTTCTCCAAGCTATGGTGCTACCCCAATCTGTCATAATCAATCGACTACTCTTACTTTGCTCTGGATTAGAAGTCATGTTTTCCTTTTTTTGTTTCGAGTTTTCACTTCATCCCCTGACAAAAGCATACTATCTCACTTGCGGTTTTTAATTGACTATCTTTATGGGATAGCGACATTGACCCCTGGTTTTTCTTGACAGTTTCATCTTATCGAATTATGTTGCTGTCTTTCGGACCCTGGCTATGTATGAACAGGTTATTTTTTGTGTTTTTGTTATTTTTCTCTGAATAGGAACATTATGATTTATTTTATTTACTGATTGAGCTTTTTGATAAACATGACAGGTTTTGCGCTATCAAATATGTTCACTTTTGATGACTTCTCTTCGGACCAACGTTGAGGTAAATATACCATGTCCAAAGAATTCCGTTGTCAATTCCTTATCTATTTTAGAATTCAATTTGCCTCCTTATACTTTTAGACTCGTTATTTCACTCTTATCATTTTTCAAAATTAGCTTGAAGGTGAAGCTGGAGAGCCTGCATTCCGTCGTCTGGTGATGAGGACCGTGGCACATGTCATCAGACTATATAGCTCATCCCTTGTAACTGAATGTGAGGTAGGAAGATGAGAATTTTCTGTTGGGTGGAAATTTGTGAGAAGTCTCTTATATTTGCGTGATGAACTTGAGAAAAAATTCTATGGTGATTATACTAGGTCCAGAGACTTTCTGACATTTGAGTTATACTAGAGAAGTGGTTTTACTGGTTTCATTCAGATCAAGGCAGATTGTGCTAATTTTTTCAATGTGTTTTGAGGGTTCCTAAATCATCTGACAATGGTCCACTGTCTCTGTGCTCAGACTTTGGCTTCATAGCTCTACTAAACCTAGTCAAAGTAGCTCTAGTTTCAATACATGGATAGATGGAAGAAATTGGTTTTTAGTTATTGTTCAGGCTTATAGGAGTTGCCAATAATCTCTAGACAGGGCCGTATGAATTCATTTCTTTAAGAGAGTTTTGACGGAAAATTTGGATGCTAAAAGGAAGTAAACTTAATATTTCATTTAGATTAAAGGTAATGCTAAATATTTACCATTACCAGAGAATGACATCTGTAGTTCCCATTTTTATTACCCAGGTATGATTCATTGGCATCTCTGTTTCTTTATGGAGTATTGTCTTGAGGAATAGCAGCACATGTTTAGGAACAAGTGCTGCTATTTGTAGGAATTCTGGAAATCTTCTTGGGCCACAATGACTTCTGTTGACCGTAATATTTTTATGGAAATTAATTGCATGTTTATCAGTCTTTCATGAGAGTTTCTAAGGTGCTTGTTTTTATAGGTCTTCCTCAACATGTTGGTGAAGGCCACTTCCCTAGATTTGCCACTATGGCACCGTATTCTTGTTCTTGAAGTATTGAGGGTACTCTTCTTGATCGATCAGCAAAAGAACACTGCAATTGTTGCTTTATGTAAACTGATGCCAAGTACTTTTCAACTTTCTGGCAGGGGTTTTGCGTGGAAGCATCCACTCTACGTCTTCTTTTTCGGAATTTTGACATGTGAGTACCTTATTATTGTTTACTTCATCCTTATGGTAGTATCTGTTGGCCAGCTTATTTGAAGTCAAAGGTGACATTTGCCACTTTCTCTCTGTCGATGTGCATCTAGGATTTTTTTTTATCTCATATTTTTCTTCATCTTTGCACTTGTCCAGAGAACAGAAGTTCTTCTCACGTAGTGGAGTTGAGATTGCAATATTGTTGATTGATAAGTGAGTGGTGGTACATGTGACTGGATTAGTTGTATGATAAACATGCAGCGTTTGATGTAATTTAAGGTTTGATTGCAATTGATAATCTGGGCTTTGAGTCGGTCATGGTTCATTCAGTTGAACCAATTTCCAGTAGAGAAGCGCAACTCTTCCTTGCCGAAGGTCAATCTGAGTTGTGTCTCCACGTTTAGTTCCTAGAATTTTGACATGAAAGAAGAAAAAGGAGAAATAAAAGGAACTGTTGAGTGCTGCTGGCTTCAGCCAATAGAGGAAGAAGAGGGGGGAAGAAGGCCTCGCAGCAACAGAAAGAAATAAAAAAATAGAAGTTATACTTGGACATTCAGCAAGAAAACTGTCTTTCATTGATAAGCATAAATAGCAGTTGACATTGTCATAAGTATTGCTGTTATTGTTTTTTATGATGGCTTTTCGGGAACAAGTTCATCATTAAGCAAGACTAGAGCTTTTATTTCAAAAAAATGTTTGTTGCTTTGTCGTGATTTCCTGGTCATAATAATTTTATTTTTTTGGTTAATTTTATTTTGTTGTCAGGATAATCAATTCATATCTCCAAAAAACTAAATTCAGCTAGCCAGTGTGATGTGTGGTCTGTGGCATTACTTATGTGTGCTACCTGCTGAAAAGTTCACACATCTCACTTATAAATGACTGTTCTACAGAAGGTTTATCATAATCAAAGTTGGTGGGCTTAGAAAGATCCCTGTCTATGTTTTACTCACTAACATCTTATTTTCTCAGAATGGTTTAATGTTTGACACAGAAGGTAATAGGTTTAGAAGAAAGAAATTGGCTTTATCGTGTCTCAAGCTGAAGTGCTTTCGGTAGCTTTGAGACTCAATTTAATTTTTGACGTTTTCACTGGTTTACATCTTTCAAAACCGTCACATGGGATGGAAAGCCATGACATTCATGCACTGAAAATCAGTTATCATTATGATTCCATAACCTTTTCCCCCAAATTGGCATTGGTCTCCATAATGGAAGGCTGTGCTATGAACATCTGGATGGATTTCTGGGGAGGCTAATCCTGTGCTTTTAGTCTATGATCTGGCTGTTACCATCACCGATATTATTGACAATATTTATAGAAATTTGTCATTCTTTCTACCAGCTTTCAGGAAGCACAGACAATATGGATCTTATCAGGTCTCTTTATTATTATTAGTCTTATTACCAGAATCATGTGTATCATCAGTCAATGCAGTTTATTCTATTCTTTAAGCATACATACATCTTGATGGTTTGGGCATGGAAAATTTGCAAAATCAAGCATAGTGACAGTTTATCTTTGGACGTTAAATAAATAAGTATGCCATTATAGATGGTTGGATTCACATGGATGATCTCTCAGATTTCCTTGGGATATTCACGATGTGCTGCCATCTGTTCTATCTTTTATTTTTATTTTGAATGGAATACAAAGTCCTATGTAAGATGCAGATGTTATAAAAAACTCGTTCATAGAAATGCCTTTTGTATTCAGCAATTTCTTTTGCTAATCTTCATGCAGGGATCCTAAAAACACTAATGTCGTGGAAAATATGGTCAAAGCTTTTGCACGAGTTGTTTCTACTGTTCAGGTGAATAAGTTATTCCTCTTATTATCTCTACATTCTTTTGCCATTTATGATTATTTTGTTAATACCTTTGCTTAAGAATGTTTCAAAGGAATTGGGTTGCTTTGATTTCAATTCCTCTTGGAGTTGGTGGCTGCAAGTAATTATCTGAAATCTTCATGCATTGTGATTATCTTCCATCATTCCCGATGGTTTGTTGTCGGGGACATGAATCCTATTTCACTGTGCCATTATTGGTACCATAAAGATGACGCCTGTCTATTTGGTATTCGGATGTTTCTTGTCCTTTTTTTATGGTTTTTTGCGTGCATATGAAATTCATCTGCACAATCTTTGTATCCCCTGAATCTTTCTACTTGGTGGTGTCAAGTACTTGTACATAATGCCTTTAGTCAAGAGGGATTTTAGAAATGTTTTGCAAAAGTACCAACAGATGCGAAAGTCGCAGGTAATCCTGACACTACCCTGACAAAGCCATATCCTGACAATGACAAGCCATAGTGGTGCAATAAGGTGACACTCGTAGTGTATAGGAATGAGAGAGTTGCAGGTAATCCATATTAAAACAGAATAATGTCTCATTGTACATATTAATTTAGTATAACATAATAGACGATTGTGGCAATAAAGTAAAACAATGATTATTAAGATTGGTTACTTACTGTCGATTGGTTTTGAGTAGGATGATCTGATAATTTTGATGTGAAATCAGAGCCAATGGTTGGTTTTTCTGCATTTTTCACCCAGTTGTATTGTCAATGTTACGAAAGATAAATGTTGATATGCACACGAGGGGTCGTGTAAAAAAAGTTCAGGTATTGGGCATCCACTTTGTTGGATGACCCATTGACTTCGACTGATGAAAAAGTTAATGAATAAAAATCTCCAGTAATATATTAGAGATTCTGAGCTAAACTAAATCATAATCTTAGCAGAATCGCTTAATTTCTTTCTAAGCTTCTGATGACTCTGGAAGTATGAGTCAAAAGAGGCAGTAGACTTATCCTTCCCGGTGAGTAAAGCACATGGAATACGTTTTTTCATATTCTGCACATGTAGACATGATATCAGCTGAAACATTTTGTATCAGAGACATCAAATAGGTCTTTTGCAATTGGCACAAGAATCAGGACGAGCTCTCTTCACTAGGGGTCATAATTAGAGCATGTGTGGAGCACGAACCTATATTGCATTAAATGTTGTTCATTTTTCTTTTTTGTGGGCCTGGCATCTGGCTGTGTTGTAAAAAGACTCTTCTTCTGATAGATCATCGTAGTTACCCATGGTTAGTACAAATGCTTGGTTTGTTTGTGATGGTTCGACAAGACCCCGAGTCTATTTGAATGCTGTCACGAATATGAGTCTGCTGAGTACTGCAATGCCATAGCATGAGTTGCTATATTTTTGGTTGGGAAGGACAATAATTTCTCCTTCTCCCAACGAGAGAAAGAACAAGAATGAATCCCCAAATGGGGATATCGCCAGTTATAATTTTGCTTATCAAACTCGGCAACCAGACTTTGAGCTAAGGTCCCAGTAAAGAAGTATTCAATCACATTGCTTTTACTCAAGTGACTTGTATGAGCCATATTGATTCTGGCAGAGTAACTTGGCCTTTTAAGTTTCCTTTTTGAACTGATCCAAATGCAAATTGATCAACTTTCAAGTGAAGTCTAGGATTGCATTATAATTTAATTGGGTTTAGATGTGTTGGAACAGTTTGGCATTCATGTTAATTATCAATCAGAGACTTGGAGATTGAAAAGAAGGTCAGATACAAATTTTAGTGCAGTTTAGGATCCTCATTATTCAAGATGAACAAGGGATGTTGAAGTTTTTTCCCAAATATCGATTGCAAATCCATTTGGTATTTGCATTTCGGTTTGTTGACCATCAAGTTAGCTTGGTTTTAAACTATGTGATTCCATAGCGACAAGTAAACTAGTTAAAATTCCATTACAGTTACTTATCCTTAATTTTCGTATTTTACTGAGTTCAGTCCAATCATCCACAGGGTTATTGTTAACCAAGTACTTACGATTTTGTGTTCTAACCCTCAGTTTCGGGACTTTTAATGAGAACATTTGGTTGGTGGAACCAAATGTCCCACTAAGCCTACAATCTTTGGATAATCTGTCTAGACCTTGCTTCCCTGTTCTAAAATGCTTGATGTTATGTTGTATCTGCATCTTTTTATTTCGTGGCAAACAATAATGTCCATTATTATTTACTTGGTTTTCTCATTTATCTTAAGTAGTTGAAAAAATAATTAACTGTGGGGTGGGTGGGAAGGGGGCTTATCATTTGGATGGATGACACTTAGATCTGTGATGCTTACTTGGTAGAAATGTTTGATAAATTTTGCTAGGTTCATGATTCTAGTGACGAGAGTCTTGCAGCTGTTGCAGGAATGTTTAATAGCAAGGCTAAAGGTATGCACATATTCATTTTTTAAATCTAAGGTTGTCTTGGTCCTTTCAATCCTCCTTAATTATCCTAGCATCTTTCACATAGGTGTTGGTACATTAGTTTATTCCCTCTAATCGAGATTGCGTTAATTTATTTTATTTCTTGTTGTGTCATTCCGGATACAATTTGGCTTTGATCTGAGAAGTTCATTCACAATATTTATTTATTTATGGAGCAAAGTCTGAAGAGGATAAATTGATTATCTGTGTATGTTATTTGTTAAAGCTCATTTTATCTCCTATTGTGCGTTGGCTGCTTTATTGTGCAAATGGATAGTGGATAATGATGTGCTAGTCGATGCTATTGAGAACATGATTTAACAAAAGCGAACATATTCACCTTTTTCTTTTGTTTACATTTCAGAACAATCAAATCCTCCCTGATTCCTGTACAGCTGTAAAACCCTTTACCTCTTGACCATCTCTAAATTTCAGAAGGAAGTGATGAATACCTTCTTATGGTTATTTTATATTTTCGACATAGTTATGATTTGACTGAGGAAGTTGAAGGAGTCTATTCTTATTTTTTTCACTTCAGAATAAAACTTGTGGGAACATGCGTTGGTAATGACTTCATTTGACTATGAAGTTCTGAAATTTAATACAAAATTTAGAATTTTCTTGTACGTCTGTGTTCCTTTTTTCTTACCCATTGGAGTTTTCTATCATGACTTTAGGAATTGAATGGAGCCTGGAAAATGATGCGTCCAACGCTGCAGTACTTGTTGCCAGTGAAGCTCATGCAATAACATTGGCAATCGAAGGCTTGCTGGGTGTTGTTTTTACCATCGCAACTTTGACTGATGAAGCTGTGGATGTTGGTGAGGTAAGATATGGAATATTGGTTTTCTGGGGTACGATTTGAAATCCTGAAGGGTGAAGTTTTCTGCTGACGGTTATTTACAGCTTGACTCCCCTAAATGTGACACCAATCCACCACCGAAACATACTGGCAAAACAGCTGTTATCTGTTTGTCAATGGTTGACTCTATGTGGTTGACCATTTTGGATGCTTTATCTCTTGTCTTGACAAGGTAAGCATAGAAAGTTCTTTAACAAAACGCAAATATGTTGATTATATATGTTATTCTGAACTGATCTTTTTTGGAAGATCACAAGGTGAAGCCATAATACTGGAGATCCTAAAGGGATATCAAGCATTCACTCAAGTAAGCACTATTAGTGTGATGATTACTTTTCTGTTTTCTTTTACTTAAAAGTCGTATATTCATGACTGCTTCAAGTGTTAGTTCTGTTGTTTCTATGGTTTACTGATTTTTCTTTTCAGGCATGTGGAGTTCTTCGTGCTGTGGAGCCTCTAAATTCTTTTTTAGCTTCTCTCTGCAAATTTACAATCAGTGTCCCAAATGAGACAGAAAAGAAAAGGTAGTTTTCAAGGCAAGTTTAATGATACATGAAATCTTGATAAAAGAGTGAATACTGGAGTAAAACGTCAGAGATAAGATTGCAATAGTATGTTGAGCGAAAATAAGCATATAATAACTGGTCATTATTTCTCTGGTTAAGAACTTGTCACTTATTTAATATTTTGGAAGGTATAGTTTGCTGAATCTGCTTTGTTCTTCTGGTGATCATTCTTTACATACTTATAGAGAAATGTCATAGTGAATGGCTATTTAGTTCCTTCTCATCTTCTCTCTGTATCTTTCTATCCGCCCTGTTAGAGTTTGAACATTTCTAGTGTTTGTGAACTATTAACTTTGCTAGGATGAATTTCATTCTAATTATTAGTTCATGTCTTCTCGTGAAAAACATGCTCTTTTTGTTTGCTTCTGTCTTCTTAACCTCAGGTCTCTATTTCTTTTTGTTACTCCTAAAGGAATAAGAACATTAAATTTACTTGGTTCGGTTAATGATTTTTACCAGTGTGACGTGTTTATCAAGCTTTGGCTTAAGGCCATTATGATGCTTCTTTGCTGTAGCTTTAGATGCCTTCATAGAAAGTAAATAAGAACCTGTCCATAATTTATGTGGAGTGCTGATATGTCTGTCCACAAGGATAGTGAGAAGGACTGGAATTTTTTTTTGAGAATATACATGAAATTATTCAAATGAAAAGAGGAGATGGTGATCAATCATTATTAGATGAGTATAGGGAATGATAGCTCAAGAGATGAGTTGATAATTAACTCTTGGTGGTGGTTTAATATTAATCATTGTTGGTTCTTGAGTTTTTTCATGTGGGTTTCTAGTGATATGGATGATGCACCTTGCTAAATTAGGAGAGGCTTTTTGAAAGATAAGTGGTAATGAGATGAAAGTGGTATTTCTTCTTTTAGACAATACTGAGGGAAGCTATGCCATTGAGTTTAGGTAAAGAAGGCGAGTAGCACTTGTTTGAGGATGCCAAAAGTCCAAATCACATCCTTGAATCTACAAGAAATGTGATTTCGTTGAAGAATCCTTGCCTTGAATCTATGGAACAAAGAAACTTTGACCCTTGAATCTACAAGGGTTTGCTCCTGAGTCCACAAGATCCAAAGGTTTCCCTGAATCCACAAGGGTGCCAGAATCACCAGTAGAGTAAGATAACCTCAAACAAGAAAATCCTCGGGTTAAAAGGGGGCCCCTTAAATAGGCCAAAAGTCAGTTAGGATGCTTTTAATTATGGGGGTTTTTGTTATTGGGTGCCTAAAATTTGAATTTCAGCCTATTCAAATAAATTCGAAATGATTGAAAGGGAGAAACGAAAATAAAAACGAGAAAACTAAATATGGACTCGTTTAAGGCGGGCTTTGTTGTGGGCCGAATTTATTGTTGGGCTAACTTGAGCCAAAAATGAGCCCACCTTCATCTTCATGCTTCCTGAGCCTCTGGGCCACTTGAGTTTGGCTCCAAATGGCTGATTCAGTCTCTCCTACTTCAAAAGAACTCATCCTCGAGTTTTCATAAATTTATGAAATGAATTAGGGATTGAAATGACATCAGATAAATTGGTATACAATATGAGAGTAGTAAAGCTGGTGGACCATAGGAACCATGTCTAAATGGAAAGTATTGCCAATATAGATATGCCATGTCTTAAATGGAGCTCACTCTTGGGAGAGGACTATTATGAAATAGCCCAAGTACTTGAGGGAATACCTCTTTGTTCTTTTCAATATTTTGTTGATTTTGATAGTTCGAATTATATTTGCTACCTATGTCAAGGATTATTGGTTTTTATTTTGCATTTTATGGTAAATGTTTTGGAACGGTGGATGCAGATATCTGTCATCTGACAGAAAATTGACAATGTACCATCTCGAATGTATTATCTGACATTTTTCCGGGTGAATGTTATATAACTTATAAGGGCTATATTCACCTTTCTATCCTTCTATCTCACCTGTATATTTAAAATATTTCTACTTTTATCCTTAAATTTATTTATCTTTACACTATGGATGCCAATGCCAGACAATAGGACTAAGGTAGGATATTGGCTTCCTTTAGAGGTTATTCTTCTCTTCTGGCCATTTGGTATTTCCCAGATTTTTGTCTTAAAGAGGGGGCACTTTCTATTGGGAGGCTATAAAAATTGTTTGTATTCTAGAGATTTGATCAACCAAGTCGTCGTTTAGCAAAAGTTAAAATGAACTGTGAACAATTATTTTCTTGCAGGAATGATATCTCTCGTGTTGCATCCATTAACTGTATGTCATGCATCTCAACCACTCATTGACCTTGACACACTCTCTCTCTCTAGTCTTTATGATATCTTTCTCAATTGTGCTTTCATTCTTTTTGGGAGGGCTGCTATTTGCTACCCTTTGGATGATTTCAAGTGAACAAGCTAGATGGTTCCTTCGTTCTGCAGTCGTAGTGTAGTCTAGAGGCTTACTGTACTATATTGTGGTATTTATCATTTCAACATTTTCTCCTTTTGAAAAATATAATAAATATAAACCTAATTTTACAAGGATCGAAAACCGCATTAGTAGTATTTGTATAGTTGAACACAGAAACTTCTTGTCAAGATTGGGTTCTTCCTAATAGTCTTGTACCCATGGCAGCAAGACCGCACTACTTAATCCACTGAATATCCAAAGTTAAAAGGTGTGAGAATGGGGGGACAGATCAGAATGTTATGGAAAAGGTCATCCAACAGAATGAGGGCAGTGTACAAGGAAAGCAGGTTTGGAAGACAAAATCAGTGATTCTGCTTATAGGTAGAAAACTAGGAAAAAGAAAGATATATAGTTGGTTCACATTAGTGGAAGTAGGAGAGGCTTTTGTCATTCGGTCTTTTCTTTTGTCTCTTGACTGTTAAGAACTTTACTTATAAGATTTTTTTATTAGTATTAGTTAATCTTTCAAAGAGCGGTAGAAAAGATTGATAGCATCAGAAAGCTCACCTTATGTATCTATCTTAGCAAAGTTTATAGTGCATCATGACTTAATGCTGGATAGTAGTATGCTTTTCTGTTCTGTGTTGTAACTTCATCTTGTTTTCTTCTTTATGTTTTAACCTGGTACTCTGTTGTGGTTTTTTAACTTTTACTTACAATTACTGTTCCTTACCTGTTTAAGGTAGTCAGGCTTTGAAGTTTTTGTTATAAAATTTTCAGTACTCAATCTTCACCAGCTTCCAAGAAGTCTGAGGCTTCTGTTGATCAGCGAGAGGGCATTATCCTTACTCCAAAGAATGTGCAGGTGTTAATTTATAGCTTTTTCTTCGGAGATAAGTCGCTCTTTATTTGAAAATGTGTTGGTTTTACGTCATAGCTTTGTTTCTTTGAGGTTTTTCCTCTAATGTAACCCACTTAGACTGATTTCTTATGCTTTGTGCATCTGGTTTGTGATTTTAGGCGTTGAGAACCCTCTTCAATGTCTCCCATCGTTTGCACAATGTCCTTGGACCATCCTGGGTTTTGGTATGCTGACAGTCAAATGTACCCCCTAAAATAGTTTAGTCTCTGGTCGTAAGGACTCACAATGTTTTGCAGGTATTGGAGACCCTTGCAGCTCTAGATCGAGCTATTCATTCACCACATGCTTCTACACAGGTGATACATCAATAAAACACGACTCTTTCTTTATTTTCTTTCCCACTTCATAGAACTGTTTTCAAGTTGTATTGTATATAACTTGAAAATATCTGGTTCTCAAGTTTTTTTTGTATCTTTGTATTTCGTGGGTCACAACACTGTCTGATATTGATGTCAAGGTAGAATGTTTCATCATTCCAATGAGATAGTCTGTGATCTTCCTCGCAATTTATGTTGAAATCTGCATGTTTGCTTATGAGTTTCTCTGTTGACGAGTAGTTTTAATGCGTTTATATTTGTTTAGGAAGTGTCTGCTTCTGTTCCAAGGCTGACAAGGGAAACATCTGGGCAGTATACTGACTTCAGTATCCTCTCTTCTCTGAACTCTCAGGTTAGTGGAAGAGATGCTGCTTTTGCTCCTTTTGTTGAGGTTGATTATTCTGACTTTTTATTCTTGGTATAGTTGTTTGAAAGCTCAGCCTTGATGGACATTGCTGCAGTCAAGTCACTTCTTTCTGCTCTACATCAGTTGTCAAGTCAATGTATTTCTGTAAATTCAAGTAGCTTGGGTCCAAATTTTGTCCAGCAACTTAGCAGTGTTGCATTTTCAGTTGAACGAATGCTATCAATACTAGAAAACAATCTGCACAGTTAAGTGTTCAAACTTTTACAGTGGAATGCTAATGGATTTTATAGACAAATATCTTCGTATTTTTTTTTCAACAGTTAACTGAACCTTATGAATTTTTTCACAAGGATATGATATTTATCTAAGGCCATGGTGCATCGTGCAAGATCTGTGACAGAAAATGCATAATTGTTTTTTGGGACAATACCCATAGATAAAATTGAGTGTTGCACAATATGACAAAGAAATGTGGGGACGAAGAAATCTGTGAGGAGAGCAGTGAACCATACGGTTAAACTGAAATTTCCTTGTTAATCATACAGAGGCATAGTTTGCTTACATATGTAACAGTTAGTACTTTGGCGCACTTCATATGATAATCTGGAACATAATATCGAATCATCTTGGCTTATTGTACATCATTTTTGTTCCTGTTAGATAAAATATGCAACGAATCAACATCTTTTTTGAAACTCTATTCTAATTCTAATTCAATAAACTTCACCATGTACTCATATAGGTATTGAAGACGGACAATTTTCACATGATAACGATTTTTAATATGCTTTTTCTGTCTCATAATTAACTTTCGAGTATTCATTTCGTGCATGTAGCAACCCTGGGTGTAAAATGACTTTGTGGTAATTGTGGTTGAAAGATGTTAAAATGTTTGCATTGATTGCACTGATGTTGGGGCTCTAAGATACCGCATGTTTTTGTCTCAGATTTTGGGGGCTTCTCTCACATCTTCTTGGTGATTTTCAGGGGTAGAATCTTTATGGGACCAAGTTGTTGATCACCTTCTTGAGGTACTCTCGTTGAAAATTTATTTTCAGAATGATTTGTTATGATTTCACTTTCCATTAACATGATGAACATTATCAGCTGAACAATAATCCAAGTCCTCAAGTACGATCTATGGCTCTGGATGTGTTGGATAGATCTATTTGTTCTGTCTTAGGGTCTGACAAGTTTCAGGATGTTGCCCTGCTTCATTGTCAACTTGGAGCCAAGGTGGGACATATCTCTGTTCAATATTTTTTTTTTAAAGTGGTCTAAGTCTTCTGTGGATAATTCACCCTTTTCAGACAGAGGAAGATGATGCAGCATCAAAGTCTTTTGAACGTTCAATTCTGTCACCAATTAGGATTCTTTATATGTCCAGTCAAAATCTTGATGTCCGTGCAGGATGTTTGAAAATTCTTTTGCACGTTTTGGAGGTAACCATGCTAATTTTTTGAGGATTTAGTGGCAAAGCAACTTAAGTTTGTCTTTTCAGTTGAAGAATTTTACCTTTCATTTAATCGTCAATTCAGAGGCATGCAGAAAAACTATACTTCAGTTGGACGGATATTCTTGAAATGTTGAGGTTTGATTAATTTGCATTTCTTTTTTCTTCAAGAGCTATTTTAGTGATGCCTCTTCTCTTTTTTAACTGTGAATGCAATTCTTTACGGTTTTGTCCAGGTCTGTGGCTAATGCGTCAGAAAAAGATCTTGTACCATTGGGTTTCCAGGTTTGATGACTTGCCTTTCTCTGAACTTTCCATTGGGTCTTATGTTATATGCAGTACTGTCGTTATCCCATAAAATTTTCTTTTGAACATTTTTCTGATTTATCTGGGTCTATCAGTTAAACAATTAATTATATTTGGCTATCGGCCTTAATGGTTCAATGATTCCTTGTGACTTGTTTAGACGTGTCTTTTAAGCTGGATGCACTGTTGTCATCAATGTCAGCTGTTTTGGACCCTAGTTATGAGTTGATATATGTGAAAAAGCTTAGGTGAATGAGGCGTAGTAGAGTTCTATGAATGGCATGAGCCATCTGTATACTTCAGCTCCATGAAAACCTTAGTTGGATAAGACCATCAGTTAAATGTCTGGACATATCTTAGACCTTGCATTTCAAAGAGTGATTCCTAGAAACTGACAAGGTAAATCATTTCTTGATATCTTGATAAATGTTAAATCCAATGGATTGTATTAATTTTTATCCCTTTTGCATGACATAAGGGTGACATTTCAAGCATGTCTACTGTAAATAAATACAGTACATATTTGTGTTGGAAGTTCTTGGAGCGGGAAAATTGAGACAGAATTTGAGGTTTAAATGCTTTAAATAAGGCAACAGTTTTTCGGCTAAATAGGTATGCTGTTGAGAGTATGAATGAGTAAAACATCAAGTAAAACGTGTGGCCTGTTATTGTCAGGGACCTGATGTGATCATGGCAAAGTGATGTTACTGTACCTTTTATCACAGCTGTAATTCCATTGCTTTCTTTCTAGTGATCTATTACCTCATAAAAAAGCTCTTGTAATGACTTTTGAATCCAGGAAAGGATCAGATGACATACGGTCAATAACAAGTTTGGTTCTATTTGCAGATTGTACGTGTGATCATGAATGATGAGCTATCAACTATACCTATTCAGTACCTGGACGTGTAAGATTTCATACTGTCATCATTCTTTACTTGTTGTGTGCTTACTTCCATAACCTCCGTACTCTGAAGTCTTTCGTTTCTTGCGTAGTGTTTGACAACATCACTAAACTGTTATCATCCTGAACGTCTTTTTGCTTTTGTGATTTCTTTTTTGTCTAAAGCAGTGGTATTTTCTGATTTTTCTCTTAAAATTTTGAAAGTCCTAGTTCCCACAAATCACAAATAATGAGAAGCAAAAGAGGAAAGAATGTACAAGATTTATAGTGGTGTTCTCTACACAAAGAAGCTGTCCACTTCCTGCTGAAGGATTCCACCTTCAACCGGGTAGAATTAGAATTCATTGTCTCACCAATGGGCCCCCTAGAGATGGTCTTATATTATAGAGATTAGGGTTGACCTTAGCAAGTTAAAAGTGTCAAAGGTGCTCGAGTAGAGTGCATTCACAAAATGAGTGACTTCTGAAAGTGGAGCTTACTTCCCTTTTCCAATCATCATGTAAAAGTCGATTGGTCTGCTAACTTGTGTCAAGGCAAAATTTAGGTTTCACTTTGCTCAATAATTTCCTTTGTTTTTGTTGATATTTTCTCTTGAATGAATGAAAAATGGTTTTTCTAAAAGTATAGGTATTCTTAGGTGGTGATAAACAATTACGCGAGATGAAATATATCAGTAATGATGAGCAATATTGCTAATCATGTCTGTGAAGTAAAATAGGTCGTTTTCTACATAGTCATGGGATAGTCGGTAAACTCTATATCCCCAAAATAACTAGGGTTACCAAAAAACCGTTCAGTTGTGAATTGATTCCTACACTGCTTCCTGGGCTGCTGTAGGGAAGATCATCCCTGTGTGTTGTTGCAACATGGCCTGGATGTGATCTGGAGGTCAGAGGTCTTGACTCTTTTTTTCCTTTTTGCAAAGTTTGGACTTTTCTTGGGCCTACACTGACTGATTCGGAAAATATCCTGAAATTCAGAACAATTTCTGTAATAGATTCATGAAGTGTCCTGCAGAGCACTGTAATAGATTCATGAAATGTCCTAATTTTATGTCACCATCCATTGGTTTGTACGCAATTTCATGCTCGCCCATACAGTTGATTAATATCATTTTGCTAGATTTCAAATCATACTTGAAAATACCTCTCAATTATATAACCAGGAGAAGTAGCATTAGTTTAAAATGTGTAAGCTGTCCAATGATTTTGCAAGGATATTCCCACATGCCAGGAATACCACGATCATGGCAATGGAAACATTATCTTGTAGATAAAGCCATTTTATAGATAAATCCTGATGAAGGAGACAAAGATATGGAGAAAGGCATATAAGTGACGTTTCTCAGTTAAATTCTGTTGAAAATGGAGAACAACCTCTTTGACAGAGGACAGAGGGGAGAACGGCGGAAACTGCCTCCAGATTCATTCACCTCTAACTCCCTTTGTATAGGGAGGAACCCTACACATTTTTTGCAAAACACCCTCTGTCTTTTAGAGATTTTTCTTACTACCTAGAATTCCCAGCAAATTCCTTAGCAGATCAGTGAATGATGATGCAGGGTCTGAATGAAGGATTATGCGCAGAGCAAGGAGAGGCCGATGAGGAAGTCCTCTGAAGGGCTGGGCTAATGCTACAGACATATTGCATAGACCTATTTCCCCCCCATGGTGATAGATGGAATCTTTTAGTACACCCACATGGTGGCAGATGCTCATCTTTTAGTAAGATCTGGCTTTGACACCCTGTCAAGATAGGAAAGAGGTGGAGAGTGGAGACAGATTGGAACTCCCGCTCGTGAGGGATTAAAAATAGGAATTAAGTTGGCCTGTAACTGAAAGACAGAAGAAAATGATTCATTTCCTAAGAAGCTTGTACTGGTCAAAATTCATGCAATGAGTCGCTTTTGTGTTGTTGCTGTATTGCTTGTAGTTTTTGTTACACATGTGTAGAGTAGTACATGTTCGTAATCATGAATTATTTCTTTTTCGTTCATTATTTCTTGCCTTTTCACTGGAGTGTGCCATGTCCATCATCCAAAATATTATGGAATCTGTTGTGGGGCACCAGTTGAAAAGATCACTATTTGCATTATATTGCATGTTCCCTGTAGATCAGATTAATAAGGGGCGGTGAAAGATCAATCAGGGTCAGTTTGTGGGAACGTTTTAAGTATGACTTGCCAATCCAGATTTATTTGATTTAAGTAATATCTTTTTTTGACATTAATTTAGCTGCCCTTTCTTGTATCTTTTTCCTAACTCTATTAGAATTCTTGAACAACAGTTGCATTGATGTTACTGGGGCGTACAGTGAGCAGAAGACAGACTTAAATATTAGTTTAACTGCGATAGGTCTGCTGTGGACTTCATCTGATTTTATTGCCAAGGGACTTACTGAGGAAACTGTTAAAGAAATGGATACTGGTATTCATTTGCTGGTTTCAACTTTCTGTAAATGATTAGCTTCAATCATATGAGCGGTATGTATTATCTTTGTAACATGCTTTTTTCTCTGTGTTCTGCTTTAGGTGCTAGCTTTGGCATGGAATCTAAAAAACAGAATATTGATACGGAAAGTGTTCAGGATGAAACAGAGAATCATCCAACTGCGGGGACTCGTGGGAAAAATTACATGTTGAACCCTGGTGATCGTAATAAGTTGCTGTTTTCTGTCTTCTCCATACTTAGAAAGCTTGGAGCAGATGAGAGACCTGAGGTATACAACTCTCTCATTGACTTTAGTTAGGCATTGAAAGAAGCATGATTTATATTAGTGGAGTAAAAGATGTTTTTTATTTGGTCAGGAGACATTTATAATGGTACTGATTTTTTGACTAGGTTGCTCTTAGATTAATATACAGATAAGCCAAGTTGCACGATACATTTTTCATTATCAAAGTTTCTGATATATACTACAGAACGTGTATATATATATATATATATATTTCAAAAAGGTGTCACAGAGACATCAAATTCTGCCATTCGACAAGCTAATCCCAGCTTGTCTGGATTGAATATTTTTCTTACAATACTAGACCCTAGCCTGAGCCCATGTAATTCTGTATCAAAGTGGCAAAAGTGGAAGACTTAGGTGATTCACGCTCTTTAAAAATATTAAAGTTTTAAAGGCCAATAGGCTCCTAAAACAATTTAGTTCTTGCTCACAGCACTTGGGCTGTCTGCATTAATCTGAATGTTCTGGCACAATGCCATATTTTGGCAATAGATGTTCTTTTAGAGTATTTTTCGTAACTCATCATACTCTAGACCTTTTAATTGAATAATAAAGTCCAATTGAGCCTGTTAGACTCAGCATATACTGAACCTCGATCTGAGTCTAGCTTTTTAGCTTGAAATAGAAACATGGATTTGAAGGAAACCACTTATAAACGTAAAACATTCCCTTGATCTACTTTTATTATATGGCTGATCAGGAAAAAAGAACATAAGAACATTTTATTGAGTATATCCTTTGGCATTAGTTAGTTAAGGCCTATCTTTGGTTTTCCCTCACTTTTGTTGAATTCTAGGCCTCACTAACATATGTTACAGTGTCTTCTATATCATGCTCTTGAGTATTGAATTGTTCCATTTTTTGAAAAATACTACTAATGTTATGAAATTGAAATTAATTTCCAACTCGGTTACTTGATTTTATAAAGTCAAGGTATTTTGTATGTTGCATTATGGTGGACTGTTCTTTCTCTTCTTTGGTTCCCTGGTCTATAATACTGTCAATCACTGTGTCATAATTGTTGCTGACAATAAGGAACTTTATTTTGTTTAGATCCATGTCGTGTGTTTTACTGAAAGGGCTGGGCTTTAGTTGTGTCTAGTACTTGTCGATTGCTAGGGATGCTTTCAACTGGTCTTAGGGAAAAAGGCTTAATGAATTTGGAATTCATTTAGCTGAGAGAAGGATGTGAGGATGTGCCATTAGATTGGCAGCGATGGTTGTAGAGGTGGGAGACACAGGACTGGAAGAAAAATGTCGGTGGAGGACGTCCTTCGCTAGATAGATGCTTGGCGGGGGCTACAAAGCTCCCCAAAAAAGACAGTAGATGTGGAAAAACCTCACTGGAAGGAACACTTGGCAGAGGTGGAGTGCGTCGCTGGAAAGACACTCGGCAGAGACAGAATGCCTCACCAGAAAGGTACTCGGCAGAGGGTGAAGGCCTCACCAGACAAAGAGGGGCTTGAAACCCTAACCTATAACCTGTCTGTCGCCAGATGCCAGTGATGGTGACATCGATGCTCCCCCAGACAAGAAATACTAGGCAGAACCTATGCCAAACAGAGGCGATAGCAGCAGATAGAAGACGCCAGATACCGCTGGACTCCAGTGGTGGCGGCGATGGCGCTCCCCAACACAACAGATGTTGACAGAGCCGACGAAACCCTAGTGGAACGAATCCGCTCTAATACCCTGTAGAGAGTAAAAAGGCAAAAAGCACATAATGATCATGGTCTAGGGCTTATATCCCAACCCTAGACTGTAACATAAAGGGCCGTAACATTAGTTTGGCCACTAGGATGGGTCGTAACATAAGGGGTCCAATTACATTTGACAGTTACCATGGCCGTATTGGTGTGGATGAGTTCTCCATGATTTTTGCATAAGCATGAAACCTCTGAGTGGGAAATATATTAGTCTATTCATTAACTCATGGCATTTGAAAGGTCAAAACTCTCAAAAGTTGTGAATCTTTTATGAGACAGTAGAAATCGTTGTTCAGAGGTTTTGGTATGATTTTTTTAAGATTTTAGTAATGGAGGTTGCTACATTCTCATCACCTGTAGCTCTGTCAATGGGTAGACTATTAATTCTGTAAAGAATATATTGCCTTACAACATCTATCCAATGTGTGATGCATAATCTGACTATTTGATACAACACAAGATGAACTCAAGGATCACCAATGATATTTCTATCATTGTCATGGATTAAAAAACATTCTGTAGAATCAGGCTTCTAGCAGATTGACATATTTGATTTCCACTTTGATCCACACTTTTTGAAGTTTCATTTTAATGATCTGGTAACAACGATATTTCAATATTGGTTTATGCAACATGGCTTCTGTCACATTGAAGTTTTTTATTATGACCTGAATTCGATGTAATTTCAAATAATCTGAAAGTGGATGACCTCAAAGAACTTGGTTGATTCATATTCAAAGTTCGAATAGGTCTGCAATGTAACTGATATCACATGTTTGAGGGATGTCAGAGTTTGATTGCTTCTGTTTGTGAACTCAAGGATGAGTGTTTTATTGCAGGGTAGACTGATGTGGTCATATTGTTGACAACCAAGCACAATGGAAGTAGCTTTAGGGGTTTTAGCTCCGTTTTTTACTAAAATTCTGCATGTTAGATGGTTAATCTTTCTTTGAGTGGGCAACTTATCATTTTCTTCAGAAATGTTTTCAACTGATTGACCAATTTTTAAGGAGTCAACTTCTTGTTTCCTTAGGAGCTTTTGTTTTTGGTTTATTAACTCCTTAAAGGGCTAAGTTCCTAATTTATTTAATTTTCCCTATTGTCTAGATTTCCTTTCTTTCTTAAATATGGTCTGAGCCTCGCTGGGATGTGGTTGACTTATTATGATAAAATAAATGTTGATTCCTTGTCTTTTATTACCTCTAGCAGCCAAGTTTCAGTCCTTTGGTTGGGCTTCTTCCTTTTCCAGTGGTTTGGTTTCCCATCTGTGTGCTTCTGATATAGTCTGGTTTTTATTTATTATAATTTCTCGTTTTCATTAACATTTTAATCAGATAGCTGTATTTCATCTATATGAGTTCTTTAATTGATTTTTATTTTCTGTATTCGTCATCGTACCAGATGCTCACTGGACTGATTTTAATTGACACCATTCAAAGTTTGATGTGAAACTTACTTTGATACCCAATATTTGCACTTCAGGTCAGGAATGCAGCGATCCGTACTCTTTTTCAAACTCTTGGTAGTCATGGGCAGAAGCTTTCAAGAAACATGTGGGAAGATTGTCTTTGGAATTATGTTTTTCCCATTCTCGATTGTGTTAATCATTTGGTGGGTTTCATTTTGAAAGCATACTTTATTTGGAATTTGGTCGTCCAGGAAAACGGACTGTATTGTTATGTTCCTTTTTGCAGGCTGCAACATCGTCCAGAGATGAATGGCATGGTAAAGAACTAGGGACTCGAGGAGGAAAAGCAGTTCTCATGCTCATACATCATAGGTTTATTTCTTCTGGGGATATTTGTTTAATTTCATTCTCAAAGTTAGAACTTAGATCATTCTTCTGATACAGAATGATTTTGTAGTCGCAATACAGCACAGAAACAATGGGATGAAACCCTTGTGCTAGTCTTAGGCGGAATTACAAGGCTTCTACGATCATTTTTTCCTTTTCTTCAAGGTTTGGAGAATTTTTCGGTTGGTGAGTCTTCTAATGTTCTCAATTTGCACCCAGTTTCTGTTTCCTTTCATATGGGCTCTAGAATAATCATCATTTACCTGCTCACAGGGTGGGATAGATTGCTTCACTTTGTTAGAGAGAGTATTTCAAATGGCAGCAAAGAGGTTGCCTTTGCTGCAATAAGTTGTTTGCAGACAACTGTTATGTCTAATTGTCCTAAGGTAGAGAGATTTTCCTTCGATTGAGGTCTTGATAATTTTTTTGTGTTGTAGTTACTATTTGCGGACTATTTTTCATGAACAAGTTCTTTGATCTGGAACTCATTTTATCTTTATGAATATTAATCTTTGTGTTGTTTCTATTGCAACCTTACTCAGGGAAACCTGTCTGCATCCTACCTGAAGTCTATCCTTGATGTCTATGAGCTTGTCCTTCGGAGGTCTCCGAGCTATACAAGCAGTGCAGCCAACAAAGTGACGCAGGAGATCCTTCATGGTCTTGGTAATTGATTGTCTTAATGATCTTCGTGGTTATTTTTGACCTTTTGCTTTTACTATGACTGGGCTGGTTTTATTGCAAATTAATGCTTCACTTTCTTGATGAGAAATCCATGCTTTTCAGGAAACCTATTTCTCCAAGCAAAAATGATGTTCGATGACGACATGTACTCACAACTTATCATGATTCTTCACTTGGCAATTAGACAGTCCATGGGTGCCACTGATAGCTTCGAAGCGGAATACGTAAGATTGCTGTGTCATTCCAGTATTTTCAATTTAAGCTCTTATTTTTTTGGTTCCTTATTTCAGTTAGAAATAAAATAGGACTACTTTCTTTTCTTTATTTTTTTTTATGACATGGTTGTGTGTACTTTCTATTAGGAAAGATACTTTCGTCTGGTCCCATATCAACTGGAGACTCTTCTGCAATATATGTTTTAGATTTACTTCATAGCTCTCTGTGTCATTGCAGGGAATTGTTCAATCGATGCATCGTACTATTCTGGAGGTTATACCATCGCTATGTCCAACAGAGCATCTATCTTCCTTGTGGCCCCAATTTCTCCTAGAACTTCTCTCCTTTCTTCCAGGATCAGGAGAGATTCATTGGGCTGTCAATAAGCCTGATTCAAAAAGCTTAAAATATGGTTCAGAGAGCTTGAGTAGTCGTTCCTGTGATATTCAAACGAGTGTATTGCCTGATATTTCTGCTGATGCTGAATTGACTTCCGAAAAGCAAGTGCAGGATGATTTTGTAATCTCCAATGGCACTCTTGCGGGCACCTCATTTTATGCGTTTGGAGAGAAGCTTATTCCTGTTGAAGTGGAACTGTTTTTGAGGGCCCCAGCAACTGAGAGAGGAAATGTATTCCCGGAAATCGTTCATTGTCTTGGAAGGTCAGTTATTGGCACCACTTCCTCTTTATGAAGAGAATGTAGTACATAAGAATATTACTGTTGATGAATTAGTTTCTATTTAATCAACAGTGATGTTTTTATCGATTGAATCAGCTTCTGCAACCAGACATTACTGAGGATTTGTAATTATCTAGTTAGAATGCTAAAGAAAGAGTGATGTTCTGAATCAATGGACATTGGATTATCTGATATAACTGAGTATAATATTGTCAAAGCATCAGTGTTTGGTATTTCATAGTATCTGTTGATGTATATATTTTTTTCAAATGTGTTTCAAATCTAATACTTTACATACACAACATGTTCCTCATAGGTGCATGGCCACAAGGAGAGATAATCCAAATGGCATGCTTTGGAGGTTAGCCGCTGAGGGTTTCAACAATATTCTTGTTGATGATGTGACCAGATCAGATATGGATGAGATCAAGCAAACGAAAAATAGATCCACAAGAAACCGGCTGTGGAAGGAAGTTGCAGATGTTTATGATAGATTTCTAGTTGGTTCCTGTGGGCGTGCCATTTCGTCTGATGTCCTTTCGGCTGAAATACTCAGTGCTGATGAGTCACTTGAAATGACCATATTAAATGTACTTGGGGATAAGATTCTCAAGGCGGAACTAGATGCTCCTCCTGAAGTATTTTTCTTCCTACCTAGCTAATTTTTCTTAGATCAGGCCTTTATTATCTGTTCTCACAGTGTCTCTCTGCTGTTTCAGATTTTGGAACGGCTTGTTTCAGCTCTTGATCGTTGCGCATCTCGAACTGGTTCTTTGCCTATCGAAACTGTCAGTCTTCTACCTTCTCACTGCAGCAGATTTTCGCTGAGTTGCTTACAAAAGTTGTTTTCTCTAGCAAGGTATGAATTTATCAGGCATTCTTTTGTCACCACGGTTTCCTTCATGGTGAAAGCTGTAGATTTTTTCTTCTGTTAACATAGAAATGGCAGAGATTTTATGGCTCCCTTGATTTGAACTAGAGGATATATGACTCATTATACCAATAATCTTCTCAGAATTGTATATCCGCTCCACTGAAACTTTCGAAGTTTGTTAAATCGATTGATTTCGATTAATAGATTCTTTCAAACTATTCGAAGTAATAAGAAGCTGTGTTCTCTTGTCGAGTAAATAAAAATAGTTGAAAAATGTCATAAAAGTTTTCCAAGTTATGCAGAATCATATTGCATTTATTATCACTTTCATAGAACAGCAACTGAAAAAATGAGGGTTCCATCCTGCTGAAATCTGATAAAATTTTGTGTTGATATCTTAGAATTAGTGGTGGAAGTTTAAAATTGTGATTACCGACTAGAAAAGCAAGTGAAAAGCTATGAACTTAAACTGAACCCACTCATCGGTTTTGAAGCCATACATTTGTCTTTCTTTTCTTCTTGTCTTCTCATCAACCCTCATTCTTTCGTCATTATTATCTCTTCATCTTTTCTTCTTCATCTGTTTCTTTTTCATCTTTTTCTGTCTTTTTCTCCCTCTTTGCCTTCCCTTCTCTATTTTTAAGCAACATGATACTGAGGTGACTAACCTTGCTATGAACTGGGGAAGGAAAATGGTTGGTATTTCCCTTGTAAGATTTCCTGATCCAATCATGGTACCTAATAGCACTGGATTATTTACCCAAATGCCATAAATGCCTTTGGATTCTGCTAAATTCTGTCGAGCATACGGTTGTTTTTATGCTGTCAAAAATGGCGTCTGTCTTGAAATTGTTCAGGTATCGTCCAAATTGTCATCTTGGATACATGTGGTACATGGCTGTGGTGAAAAGCAAACTGATGATTTGTCAGTGAAATTTATTGGAAATATTACATATTAAACATGGAAACTCTTGGATGGGAAGAGAGGGAAAATAGTTGTTCTGTATTTTTTTTTCTTATTTCTTATTTTTTTTCTTTTGTAGAGGGTAGGACTACAAGATTATTAAAATAAAAAAAAGAAAAAAATGTACAAGTGTGAAAACTTTGAGCTCTCAAAAGATAGACTACGATGTCTCAGTACAGTCTTGCACTAGCAATGTGGTTGGACCATACAAATGAGAAAAAACTGTGGATCCAGCAGTGGATCCAGCAAATGCATAAATAGTAGTACTCCGTAAAAACCTCACGCACTCAATCAATTTTTGTCACAACGGCACATGGAAACCTTATAGAGTGAGGCACTTCCCATTTTGACAATTGCATACCTTTCCTTTCTATTCAAACATCTGTAAGGGTATCACGTAAATTAATCTGCCGCAACCTTTTGATCCAAGCTTTCTTCCAAATGATTGTTTCAACTCAGCCTGATCCCATTGAAATTGCTTGGATTTTTCCGTGGAAGACCTACTTAACTACAACAACTGTGAGATACCCTTGGACTAGGAACATTATTGGGGCAAAAATGATCCAAGTTTTCTTCATCCTTGTTACACAAGTTTGCTGCTTTATCCCATGTCCATCAGATTTACCTCAGAAAGTTACTATATTTCTGTTGTACCAGTTACAACTCGGGAGATGCTTGGCACTCAACAAGATCAGGAGTTTGCAGAATTTCCACCACATTTCTCCTGAACAGATGCAGTAGCATATTAAATCAGTATCTGACGGATGAAAATGACCAAGGTACCATCGAAACCCATGGATCTTTCTAGCATCTTTTGTTGTGGTTTTCAAGTTCTTCAAGTATCGTTTCTATGCTGACACTTCATCAGGAATATACGAAAAAGGCTATCAATGAGAAAGGTTTCCAACATTGGGTTAATTTTTCTTTCCCTTTAGGTGAACGTACATTGCCAACTGTGAGAACCGAGGAATTAATTTATGTGCTTCAAGAGCTTGCACGGCTGATTCTTCATCCTGAAACGGCATCTGCTCTTCCTATACGGCAATATCTTAAGGAAGATACATCAAGTGAGAATAGTCTTGGGAGACGAACGCACCTCCTGGTTATGTTTCCATCATTTTGTGAGCTTGTTGCTTCAAGGTTTGTTTCCTCTCCCATTTATCATTTCTTCCTTTCCTTGTCTCCTTCATTCTATTCCTTGGTGGAAAATTCATTGGGAACATCATTGAAAATTCCTTCTTCCCTCTTCTCTGTGCTGCCCTTCATAATTGTACTCCATTGTTAGGAAATTATCTACTTCTTCTCCTTTGTCATTGTCATAATTGTGAACGATCTTTTGGCTTTTCTTGGCAGGGAAGGAAGGGTGAGGGAACTGGTTCAAGTCCTGCTTCGACTCGTCGCCTCCGAGCTTGGGCTGCAGAGTATCAGCTCCTGATATATTCTGTCACCTTCTACAAGATTTTGATGCAGGCTGTATTTCCAATGATCTATACATATATCTGTTGCCATATTAATACCGCATTTTATCCGGAAACTACTGCAGAGGGCTTCAAGCTCTCCATCTCCCACTTGTGCCAGGAACAGTAATCATGTACAGGATGTCAAGATGGTTTCATCAAGCGCTTCTGATCTCAGTGATGCTTCGGCCATGATTCGTCCATCGCCCACAACAAGTGCTCTTCTTTCTATTTGATACAATAAGCTAACATCTTGTTGCCGGCATACTGAAAGAATAGTGTATGCATTTAGCATCAGACTATGGGCGGTGGGAAGAAGATAAAGGGATAACAAATGGGTCAAGAAAGATAATATCAGACATTGCATGGTATGAGAAGGCTGGTGTTGATCTGCTGATTGTCACCGAGAGTTTTGTAACGGGCACCCAGGGCACTGCGCCACGCAGTCTAGCGTTCTTGGACAATACGAAGAAAAACAGGAGAATAATGGATTTGGAAAATTATGAGAATGAGCGGGATGATCCTAGCATCACGGGCATGTGAGAGATGCCAAGTCAACATCTTGGTAGACTCTCAGTTCTAACAGGAACCACTGAGAACGTTGTTGTGTGGCGTGGTTCAAAGGGTTCGGATGAACAGAAGCCAATAGTTTGGTGCGTTTTAAAGAAACTTTGGACTAAAAATTGACGAGTGCGAGGAGTTAAAGTCAGCGCATCACCAACTCGGAGGGAGGATCGTGAGGTATGATAAAGATGGTGGAGAATGAGATACCCAACCCCTCGTATTTAATTCGGGGAATTGAAACTAACGATTAAAAGATCGAGGGTTAAGCTGAAGAACATGGAGAGATGTTCACATTTTGGAGGGTGGAAAGGAAGCTAAAGCCAACTCACTAAAGAAAGTATCAATTTTTCTTCCAAGTAATTGGTCGATTAGTAGGGCGGTCGAACAGCCTTCACAAGCGCGTCTGCACTTGATCTTGCCACCGGTACAACCCCGCCGAGTCTCCCCTAATAAGACGTTGCCTTCTCCTCCTCTTAGCACTCATCTTTCCTCCGCCGTCAGTTCCTCCCAGTCGTTTTCCTTCCGCAGAGCCGCCCGAACGGGTGAATCTGGAGGTGGGCAGCCATGAACCAGCAGCAGCAGGAGCGACCTCCCGATCTGGGTGGCGGCCCCTACTCCCTGCAGGAGGTTCGTTCTACCTCTTCCTCTTCTTCTTCTTCTTCTTCTTCTTCGTCGCCGTCGTCCTCAACGAACTAACTACACAGTGAAGATAGGGGAAGAACACAAGGGAAAGCCTGTGACCATGGGCGAGGCCCTGTTGGCGGCGTCGATAACGGTAGGAGACCAGCCGGTGGAGTGTGGCGACGCGGCGGCGCTCCAGGCGGCTGAAAGTAGGGCGGGGGGCTCGCCGCTCCGTGGCGGGTTGGCAGAGGCGGCGCTCGCCGCGGCGAGGGTCAACGCCCATGTTACTCGCCAGGGAGACAAGATAATGCTCGGAGAAGTCCTCACGGGGGGTCCTCGTCCTCTTCCTTGGATCATCAGAGAGGACGACACTTTCACCATCGTTGACTCGCAGGTCGCACCGGATTTGACAGCCCTGAACAAGGCGGTGACTGCCGAGGACGCGAGGACCGTGGCCGACGCTGAGAAGAGGTACTGCCCCAGCGCGCAGATATACAGTGGCGGCGTGGCCGCGATTGTGGCAGCCGCGGCGAGGACCGACCAGGAGAGAGATTAGAGGGAGAAGATAGCACTTGTAGTCTGATCGACCCACCAGCAACTACTGTGCTACTTTGTGCTGAAATCAAGAAGATAATCTTCCCAGAAATAGTATTATGCATTTACAGTCATCAGCTTTGTTAACTTGTTCTGCTATATTAATATTCTTTTGTCTGTTTGAGATTTCTTGGTGAACTCTGATTATTCTCGAGCTAAATTACCTTGAGAACCACCCAACTGTGAGAGTTACACTGATCAACGGAGAAACCAGAAGCTGTGCTAATATTAAGAAGATAGTCTCTCTACCCAGAATTAGTATGTTGCATTACATTTATGCATATATAGTCATCAGATTGGTTACATTATTGTGCTATATTAATTCTTTTCCTCTTTGAGATTTGTTGGTGAATTCTGATTATTTTCGAACTAAAAGACGTTAGCTGCTGCAAACGATATTGTAGAAATTATCGCATACACAAAGTGTACAAGGTTTCCTTCTAGGAAGTAGTCAATTGCACTGGATGATCATCACTGAACTATCATTTTGTATCTAAGTGATGGAACCCGGTAACACTCGAGAGGTTGAGAACTGACGCCGATGAGAGAGAGCAAGGTGCCATTAAAAGAGAAGGGACTCGGAAAAGAATATTCAGAATCGTTGCTTCTAGGATGATAATATTTGGTCCACTTCCCTGCTGTTTTACCCCTTCATCCAGTGACTAATGACCCTAAACAAAACTCATTTAAAACAATGTACAGGGTGTTAATAGAGGCGTCTGAAATTGTCAATTCGAGGCGTAAAACTTTCTTATTGTCAAAGGTGTGTTGACCACAGATAAACCCCTTGTGGTTTCTGGGCCTGAACCAAGAAGAATATTATAGGTGTCAACCATAGGAAATTCCACTAATTCTTGATTGGAGAGTGTCTATGGTAAGAGGAAAACTAGAACTTATGCTCTCAAAGTCAAAAGGTGTGAGACGTGAATTGGTCATTCCTTAATCTGTTTCTAGGTTTTTAGTGTTCTTCTGATGTGAGAATCAAGGAAGACCTACGGCTTTAGATCTCTCTGTACATGGCGAATTGTAAGACCCCTACCCCCGTCACACAGAATGGTGCGAACTGGACTACAAATTTAGATCCTGCGAGAGAGAGAGAGAGAGAGAGAGAGAGAGGCGGGGGGGGGGGGGATTAGTGAAACAATTTGTGGATGATGGTCGCATGAATTAAAAAACATATTGTACTATTAAGTTGGACGCACGATGTGTGTCGGTGAGCTTTACGTCAGATATGAAATTTTTTAGTTAAGGCAGTTCAAGATAATGAAACGAGTCGGCAGGAATGAGCCTTGGGGCTGGTCGTGTAGCGGCGATAGTCTTCTAGGTCACGGGCTCTAAGGTTTCTTCCATTTCGACAGCCTGAGAACGCCACGACGAATGTCATCCTCTCGAACGTGCCAGCAAGTTGACGGTCCAAGAAGTTGTTCGTCGTGGAGATCACACATTGTGCAGAATGTGTCGACAACATCGAAACGGCTGAATTCCTTTCGTCCTCTACACGTATTTGCCAGAGAGATGAGAGAGATAGAGAGAGAGAGAGTTGGCCAGCGTAGGCACGAGGAGCCGCCCATTCGGTAGAGGACCTGTTCTCCGCATGTGCTGTCAGCTGGGGAAGGCACCCGCCGCCTCACTGGCCGCCGTGCTGTCGGTTGCCAGCAAGGAGCACGTCGCCCAGTATATATTTAATTGTCTGTGGAGGCTCTCGGTGGGGTGCAGAGTGCGAGATCAGATGCCTTCCCAGGGCTTCATTGCTCATTAAAGATGGCATTTGTGCATCCAAGAGGATAAATAAGGACGTTGAACAGATAGGTTTGACAGATCGATAGCAAGAGTAAGGAATCAAACTGAGTAATATTTTGGCGTAGAATTCTGGTATAGAATTCCTAGTTATGGATGCAATTTTTGTTGGGATAGCTCAGAGTAATTCAATAAGTGGGCAAGAATGAACCACCAAAAGTGATGTTTCTCAGCATTCCAAGATGTATTGGTTTCCTAATTTTCATCCCCGAAAAGTATCCACGACCTTCTGATCGCAATTTCGACACCTATTCAAGAAATATGCATCGTCTCATCGTTGACCCTTCTGCCTACTGATCTGACAATTCTATTTCAAAGGACGTGGAAAACGTGTGGAGTTGTCAACCACTGTCAGGGGAGAGGCGTCCCAAGGCGGCGCTAGCAACGTCATCCTCAATGCCACAACAATGATGGCCTCTTCTCGTGAGAATTACAGATGTGCATGAGCGTGTCGACTCAGAGAGAACCGACCGAACCCATTCGTCTTCTACATAAGGCCAAGGCCAGGACAGCTGATGCTATACAATATTGTTCTCTTCAGAATCCATCGACAGCTGACGCAGAGAGAGAGAGAGAGAGAGAGAGAGAGAGAGAGAGAGAGAGTTGATATTGCCCTTCGTAAAGATGAACCAAGAACATCCCATCGGTTACGGGGACGTGTTCCCCGGCGTGCAGGGGGGCTGGCAAAGGCTGCCGTCCGCCCCCGGAGACGCGCGGCCCTCATGCAGAGCGCCGAGAGTATCGCCATGGCAGACCTTGAAGGGCGGCCCTGCCGTCCGCCATGCAGTCGGCCCCCGCCCGAAACGAGCTCGCCGGCCACGTTGGCCACGGCCACGTCAGCCGCGTCATCGCGGAGAAGAGTGTCGGCATCGTCGAGAAGGGCCCCGGCCACCGTACTATCGTTCTATTTTATTCTGTATGTGAGTGTCTATCTATAGACTCTGGGTAGGTACATGATGCCAACGCCATTGGCGTCTGGTTGTCCAGGGGAGGTATTGGGTTCCGACAAGGTGACCATTCGGGAGGTGTTGGGCGGGTCGAGGCTGCCACTCGGCCCTTATACAGATCAAAGAAGAGTGGGGAATCTCTCAGGCGGCTGGCCCATTGATGAGGGAGAAACCGGTCGACTGGATCGATCGACGCGGCGGAGATGAGGGCGAGAGGGCTGTACGAGACGCCATACAGTCGGCCGCAGCCCGCAAAGAGCACGTGTTTCAATATATAATTATCTCTAGTGAGATATAATTCCCCTGATTAAAACTTCCGTTCGTAGACAATCGAATATCTAATTATATAACTCAAACTTTATTTCCTATTCTGGCTTTATTCCGTGACGTCACAGCCTGTGGGTGGCTGCATGACGCGGGGAGGTTCGCAGGCGGGGAAAGGCGCGCAAGGCTCGCACGGAGCGACAGGCGCGCAAGGCTCCCACGGGGGGAAAGGCTCGCAAGGCTCGCACGGAACGACAGGCGCGCAAGGCTCACACAGAGCGACAGGCGCGCAAGGCTAGCATGGCTCGCATGGTAAGAAATGAGGAACACTGTCCCGACGCTGCCGCCGATGTTGGATCTTTAGCGTCTGGTTGTTCTCCCCTCTCGCTATGTAAATCTTATGTACTTGCGTCGTGGTCTTGTCGGCTTTATGGTTTCCCAATGTAGCCTCTAAATGGGCTGTGTAACATTCGAAGAGCATAGATATGTAGAGGAAGAGACCTGAGGGGTATGTTGGCGGGGCCGCATAAGCTACACCATTGTCTCGTATCGGGGTTTGTGGGGTTATTCTCTCCTCTCTCTATATACATCTTATGTACTTCTGTCGTGGTCTGGTGGGCTTAGGGTTTCCCACTGTAGCCTCTAGAGGGGCAGTGTAACATACGAAAAGTATAGATATGTAGATGAAGAGACCTTCTGTCTCGAGCCTCCTATGTTCTTGCATGCCGATGGACAAGGGAAATTGAAAAGATCATATATTTACAACAACAAAAAGACCCCCAAGTCCATCCAAATGTTGACTTCTCAAGAAGGGGGAGGCAATTTTCTCCCAATAATTATGAATTTCTTGTGCGTTCAACTTAGCCATACTTGTTGGTCATGTGTATGAATTATATTCCCATATCTTGAAAACATTGCCATTTCCCAGAAATACTTTATAAATCAAGCATAACAAGAAATTAAGATGCAAATCAAATTATGTATTAGATAACATATGAGTATTTCAAAACTATTTAACCATGCATTAGATAGAAAAGATTAAACTATCCTCTTGTTGGTTACCTTCAAAATAATTACATTGTTGTGGCCACATAACTATGAGAAACTAGATTAGTGGGAATTATATTTCTGAGCATTACCTCAGAGTTGACTTAATGTGCTAGATAACTAATTTGATGTTATTAGATTAATTCCTGATTTTAGAATTTCTATGACATAAGGAAACTAAATGAAATGAGGTGGGTGATCCAATCAATAAATAATAACTAAATGGTGAATAGAGTTTCATATCTCATTAAGGATGACATTTGTGCCTCTTATATGATGTTGAACCGACATAATCAATGAAATCATAAATTGTAATTGTTGGGTTTTGGCCTGCATTAAGATTAAAAAGAGTCTGTTGAACTAGTCAATTTTCTCTCTTCAATAATATGTTGTTGAACAATTGATCTTTTGTTGGATTAGTGAGAGTATAGATTTCCTAAGTTACCTATAATATTCTAGTCTTTTATAGTTATTCAGTTAACTACTTATGTCAACTATCTAGGAACAACATGTTCTTGGGTTCTATTGTAACATAGTCTAAACATAACTACAGATTAATTGGCTCAGCTCCTTTGAAGTTGCACCTGAAAATTATTTATTAGATTCATGTCTTTAGGAGGTTGTATAGTTGTTTCATTGAGATAGCTATGTGAAAACATCTCCGTAATATCATTGTTACACCATGACATCTTCTCATAATTTTTTTCTTAAAGTTTCCTTCTTGACTCATGGCTCTAAGAGGCACCACTACTGTTTTAATAAGTCATCTTGCACTCATAATAAATAAGATTTTAGTGTCAAGTTTATCTCATAATAAACAGTGAAAGTTATCACCATAGGATTTCTTATAAGGTTCCAATAGGGAATGAAGACTAAACCAAGGGGAGACCAATTGTATTTTATCTCC